TTTAAAAGCATTACCTACTAGTTCGTTCTTACTATTCTTATTATCCTTTTCTCTTTTGAATTCGGTAATATATTATATATAAGTACTATTAAAGTATTTATTAAAGTTATAGGTATTTTGGAATCTAAATTAGTAAATATTTCTACTCTTGAATCGAGCCTTTTTAGCCTCTTATTTCTCTAGTATATACTTCTATAAGCGGTATTCGGATTTCTTATATATAAAATACGATTTCGGAGTATAATTATTATAATTACAGGGCTTGAAGTAATTATTATAGGTTCTGAAGTTATAGCTAGATCTGTATTAATAATTTCCGGATAAATGGTAGTTTAAAGGATTTTGAGAATAGTATTATTAATTAGTAAAATAGGTTTCGGTAGTAATTTATTATTTCTTCTTATAGGTAGTAATAGATAATTAAAGCTTATTAATAAGCTAGCCGAGATTATTAGAAGAGTCCGAAACTATATATTAGTATACCGGTAAGCCTTAACAGGAAATAATAATTTTATTATATAGGAATTCGGTACTTTATAAGGCAGGAATAAGGCTATACTATAATTTATATAGGTTATTAATTAGTATTTAAATAAGCTCAAATATTGTCTTTTTAGGGTTCTTTATTATTATAGTTACTAAGGTAATAGTATTCCATTTATTTAAATTTCGATAATAGAAACCGGGGCCTTTAAAAAAAGCTATAAATATTTATATAGGCCTCTTTATATATATAGCTCAAGAGCTAGTTATTATAGAAGTAGTCTTATACTAGTCTCTTTAATATAGTAGGAAAAGCTCTTACTAGTACCTCTTCTAGAAGCTCTATATATTAGTAGATATTAAGGAAAATAGTGAGTTTATAATCGAAACTACTATTAGTTCTATTATACTTCTATATTTCAGAATATATTTTTACTACTTCTCTAATAAGCTTTCTAGTAGAAATAGTAGGTACTAATTAATAGTAGTTCGGGTTTAGTAGTAATACTAGTAGTAATAAAGGTAGAAGTAGTAGATAGCCTTAATTTAGAAAAGGTAAATAGATAGCTTGATTTCTTAATTGAGATTATCTAGTTCTCTTATATCTAGTTCTATCTAGAATAAGATAAACCGATATAATAGGTCCCTAAAGAAGATCTATTCTAATTAGATTATTATTAATAATATTAGCTTTGTTCTATATACTCTTTATTTCTTTTTGGGTAAGATTAATAAAGGATTATATAATAATAAGGTTTCTATAGTTCTATTTAATATAAATACTACTATACTGAAATTAGATTTAAAGATTTTATATAAGTATATAGTTAATTAGATTATATATTATAGTATTAAAGTTTTTGAAATTATCCTGAAACAGATCCTATAGATTATTATTACTCTTCCTATATAAGATATACTAATATATCTTAGTAGTTATATATTCCTGAAGTTTAGCCTTTATTATAGTTATTAGATTAATATTATTCTCTTATTTCTTAATTAGTTCCTTTCTCTTATTAGTATCTATACTAAACCGAGTTCAGGTTCTTTCTAGTATATATATATGATTTATAGCAGGAGGGGTTTAAAGGTAAGATAGTTTATAATAGGTTTATAGAAAGGATTTAATAGTAAAGATATCCAGATACCTGATTCAGATATCAGATATTCCAGATATCTAGGGATATTATAGGTATTAAAGTAAATATTTTACCCTTAAATATTTCGTCTATAATAAGAAATTTAGAAAGTGAAATATTATGATTCCGGAAGAATCTAAAGCTCGAAGGACTCGATTTAATAGTAAAATCGAAGTAGTAGTTAAATGGCTTTAAGGATATATATAGGGTATATATTCCGGAGAGAGAGTTCTATAGATATAGATATTATATAAGTGGAAAAGATAGTTTCCAAAAAGGTAATCTTAGGGCCAAAAGAAGTTAGTTTTAAAAAATAGTAGAAGTTAAATAGATAGATAGTCAAATAGCTAACCGCTTATTAATTAGTAAGAGCTAGATGTCTTCTTTATAGGCTACCGAATACTTTTATAAAGTTAATAAATAGTTCCCTTCTTTAATATAAAATAGACTAGATTTATCTTAGGCTACCGAATACTTTCAGGACTAATCTAAAATCTTTTCTAATCTATATATATAAACTAATTAGTATTAGTTTACCAGAAATATATAATACTATTATATAGGTATAAAAGTACTATTTATATAAGATTAGTAAAGTTATTATTCAGAAGTAGGGATTATAGTATTATAGTATTAATATATAATTCCTAAATCTGCTAAGCCTAAAGGGGTCTAGTCTACTAGTCGAGTTACTAATAGAATACGAGGTTATATAACTATATCCCGTATTCTATATCCTATTACCCATATCCTATTGCTTATATCCCGTATTCCGTATCCTGTAACTATATATATAACTCCCAAAGAAATAGCTATACTAATATTTAGTTTTGTATAAATTAATTATTAAAGATATTTTTTAAAAATAAAAATAAATTTTTTATAAATCTTTAAAATATAATATATATATTTTCGATATTATTATTAATATTATATAACTTTTACTATTTTTATATATTATATTTAAAAGATATAAATATATTAAAGTTATAAATTTTTGCAATTTTATATATAATTAGATATGTATTTAATCGGGCCGTATATTTAAATAAGAGTTTAATTACTTACTTTTTAAGTATTTAATTAGAGAATATTCCGGAATAAATAACCTTAAGCTAGAAAAAGAATATATAGCCTAAAATTAATATTCTTATAACTGCCTAAAAAACTAATAAAGAACCAAGTTCTTACTATTCTCTCTTTTTAATATTTAAAGGACATCTTTTTTTATTTTCTTTAAAATAATACTTTAGAAATTTGTTTATTTCTCCTTAGTAACTATTAAGTCTATTTTAGTTAGTTATATTTTCAAGATGTAAGTTAGTATTCTATAAGTATAAGATCTTGCCTCTAATATATATAGGCAATTCTATTTAATACTTTCTATCTCTGGCATGTTTTTTGTCGCAGCGCAAGCTCTCAGTTGTGAACAGGCCTATATTCGAGTAGAGTACGATCTTAAAGATTTCCCATCTATTAATATTGATGCGGCAAAAGTAACGGTCGAGAATGTGGTTAATGGTCAGCTGAATACGGGCTGTATTGATAGTATGGATGAACCGGCGTTTGATCCATGCTGGTATTCAAAAGACGGGCATGCAAATACCATTGTGTGTCCCTTTCGGTTATTCCGGGTTTCGAAGGGTTGTGCTCTCGATAAGCAACTTAGCGATGCCTTTGTTGTCCACTCAGATGATGGATCATTTACAACTGCATGGCGAATAATTGAAATACAACTAGTTGGCGATGTTCATTGTGGTTAATAATAGAGAGCCTAGTAAGCTGGAATTGGAAAGAAGTCCAGGTATAGGGGTGTTGTATATAATAGACTAAATGTTCTGTGAGGGTAGGGGAATACAAGGTTAGCAAGTTTAGTTAGGGGTCGATGGGAGTGATAGCCTCTTTTCTAATATTTAAGAGGCAAATCTATTTGGAAGCTAATGGATTTAAGGGGAAAATAAAGCTTATATTAGAAACTTATATAAACGAGTAAAAATTATAAAAATTTAAGTCACAATTCGCCCTACTAATTAGAAATTAAAGAAACTTAGCTAAAGAATTAGTGCTAACGCGATGGAAGTTGCTCTGACTCCAGCCTCAATATCACGATGTCGAGGCCGAATCTAGGGTAGGTAATAGTGCAAACTGCAGTCCAGCCTTCAAATTTGAAACTGTAGTTTAGATTTGGCAAATTAAACTGGCAAGAAAAGGCTCAAACTGCAGTTTAACTGCAGTTTGGCAACGGTTTAGTGCAGTTTAGTGCAGTTTACATACAAATTTTGCAGTTTGGAGACCCTGCACTAAACTACACTGAGATACGCCGAGGCTAGACTAAACCCCTAAACTGCAGTTTAGACTGGACTGAGGTCAAACTATTACCTACACTGGCCGAATCTATTCCAAAGTGGCCGGGTGTCAGTGTTGGAGCCATTGTGTAAGTCATGAGGTTGCTTCTGGTGCAGCGGAGGCTATAATGCGTGGATGGGGAACTTTGGAGTTCTGATGTTTTCTGGAGGTTTGCTTAGCAGGGGTCATCGCCCAAACCCCCCACGCCTACGCCACCAATCCCCCCCCATTTTTCAGAGTCTTTGGAAAATTCTCAAAACTTTCCAGATTATAGAGAATACTCGAAAAATTATGCATATCGTATTAATTCTTCGAAAATTGTAATGTTAAGGTCTCCAAAATCCAAGTTGAGCGGGAAGGGGGTGTGGGCGATTGGTGAGTGACACCTTCTAGCGTGTCGAACTCGGGACTCGCTCTCGTGTTTGCACTTGGATGGAAACTTTATGTCTCCATCCCCAACTTCATCAAAAATCCTCTCAACAACAGTATGCATCTCAGATGCAGTTATTTTTCTATTTGATTCTATCGTATAGTACAGGCTGGGACTGGAGGATTGCGAGTGCAACAGAGAGCTGGGCTTTCGTCTCGCTTCGCGGGTTGACAGTAGATGGAGGGATGGCACCTGCCAAACCGTGTTTTATTGCGGCATTCTGAATCAGGCCCCAAACAATCAATTGCTTTGTCTCTTGTACTTGCATTCTTATATTTCTATAAGAGGGATCTATCGTTCTCGAACAGCGTCCATCCACAAGCTTTGTCACATGCAACCCCCACCTTTCTAGCTTCCGTCTTTCCCCGCTGAATCTGACACTGTTTAACTTGTATGTTCGATGATTTGATCACTTGCTCTATTTTGTTGAAGATTCAAGTGTGCCTTCTCATCAATTTATCATACATGCGTTGCAGAAGACCGAACACCTAAGTACATCCGCAACGCAACTCAACGAGGAGATTCGGACCCGATCCCAGCACTGGAACCCTTGATACCAGTGTATACGTCAGGTCCTCTTGATCGATTTGTGATCCAAGATGTCAAAGCACACCCATAGCAAGCCTAAAATTCTCTCATTGATGCCGTTCAAGGCAATTGAAATGGAATATCTCAGTGACTTCAAGACTCAGTTCATAATTGAGGTAGGTCTCCACAATTAACGGGATGGAGTATATCCACTGAGACCCAAAATAGGAGCTGAATGTCTCAAATCGTGAAGAAGCTATAGCGGCTATCAGATCAAATGTTGTGGAGTCTGGGCCATATGACGCCTTTATTGTTCTTATGGGCACGAAACCATATGAACCTTTCACTCCCGAATTCCTCGCTCCCCTCATACCTCATTGCAAAACTATAGTATCTGCATCTGCTGGATATGACAAGTTCCCTATCGACTGGCTCACCGAAAATGACATTTGGTTTTGCAATACCCGAAATTCCGTCTCTGAGCCAACAGCAGATATGGCAATGTTCCTCACTCTTGCAGTCATCCGGGATACTTCTCGAGCCGAGAAATCTGCAAGGGCTGGTTTGTGGCGGAATGACCATGTGCCATGCACTGATCCAAGCGGTTTGAAATTAGGCATTATCGGGATGGGAGCGATCGGAAAGGTATGACTACGAATCGGCCGTGTGTTAAATTTAATTGACAGTGTGCCAGCACCATGCAAGGAAAGCCTCGGTGTTCAATATGCACGTTCAATACTACAATCGCCGCCGATTGCCTCCTGAGGACGAACTCATATACAATGTGACCTACTGCGAAACTCTTGAAGACCTCTTGAGAACTTCAGACGTCATCTCAGTCAGCTGCCCTCTCGACGCAACTACCAAAGGGCTGCTCTCTCATAAAGAGTTCGCTCAGATGAAAGATGGTACATTCTTAGTCAACACTGCTCGAGGAGCAATCATCGACGAACATGCCTTGATTGCTGCTCTGGAAAGTGGCAAAGTTGCTCGAGCAGGCTTGGACGTCTTCGAGGATGAGCCGGAGATCAACAAATATTTTATCGAGAGTGATCGCTGTATCATTCAACCGCATCTGGGTGGTTTGACGCAGAAAGCCAGACGCGATGCTGAGAAGGAATGTCTTGAGAATATCAAGTCTCTCTTCAGTACTGGTCGGCCAGTGGCACCAGTCAATGAGATAAGCCGGAGGTAGCGTCCGGCTTTTGCCTGAGCGAAATGTCAACAAAGTGAGATTTCTTTCAGGTGGAAATGAGTTATTTTGTTTCGACTTGCAATTTGTGTCCCACAGTGTGAAGTACACCCGACATAAACCTGATGATGCAAGCAAGCGATCGTACATTGGTGGCAAGACGAGGCTGTGAATAATTTTCATTCGCCTTCAGAAGTCTGTAGAAACAAAGCCAAAATCAATGTTTCAAGTACCCTCTACCTACAAGCACACTCTAGTACATTTCCAGAATTTCCATTACACTTAAGCAGACTCGCAGAGTTGTGGTTTCAGCAGCCCGACTGTGGAAAGCAACCATCAAACTATATCCACCCCCACCACATAAGCTCAAATTGCAGTTTGTACACGCAAAACTCTCTTCTAGCAGCGTTATCATCCAAGCCCCCAAGCGCATTCAGGCCAACTTAGGAAAAGAACTAATATTTGAGGCCAGAAGCCTTCTAACCTCTCTCCCTTAGCAATAACCCTCACCCGAACCTTCTCCACCACACTCTCGAGTCCACCCCCCCCGACCAGCACACCCAACAACATTACTGATACCATCACTATTTATACCGGCCAAAAACGGCGCCACAGCCGAGGGCCCCCAAGCTCCAGTCCACATTCCCGCACGTACGTTGTAGAAGGCCGTAGCACGAAGAAACCCCACACTAAAGAGAATAAGCAGCGCCGGCAGCGAAATCCAAGCCCACTTGACCCCAATGCAGGCCTGCGACTCGAGCACAATTCCCATTGCCCACAGAGCCGGCCCACCTTCGCCTCGCTGCCGCACCATAGCCATGGTAGTGCCCGAGATGCTGCACTCTATCCAAGTGCCGTTGCTCAGAATCCTGCCGGTGGCGAGGGAGAAGGTCATGTTAGGCGACGTGGCGATCTCGAGGGCCGAGGTCTGCGTTTTCTTTAACGGAGTTAAGAAAGCAGCGTTTCGTTCAAGACAGAGTTTACAACCCTGGCATTGTGCGTCTGGATGCAAGGGTAGATAGAGCAGCGTACGGTCTAAGGGTGCTTGGGACAACTCAAACTTGGTCACGCCGTAAGTTTCAGTGTCCAGGCCGTTTCCCCTTGTTGGTTTGTGGCATTGTTGCCACCGCTGTTGAAAAAACAGGAAAGTAATTGTAGTACCGGATGATTTGCCGAGAGGATGGATCGATGGCCATGGCAAGAATAGAGATGAACGCGCTAAAGCTTACAAGGTGACTTGGACCATTATTAGCCGCAACCCGAATCGAAAGGGCAACACACAATGCTTACTGTCCGCGAAACGATGAAAAGGGAAGCAAAACAGCTCCCCACGGACCGCGACTCTCAGTGGCCTCAACTCTCGAAACCAGAGCCACTTCATCTGGCTAATGCCTTGGCACCGGGTCAACACCAACTAGTTCATCAACCCAACAGTCAGACCCCGATCCATGGATATATGCACCTGCAGCAACTGGCAGCATGTCAGCTGCCTTCATGACGGCTGTGAAAATAGAGGCCCAAGAGTTAATCGAGATGGTGTCAGGTGAGTTAGGCGGTGGTTGTCCTGATACACGGCCAGAATCGCGATGATGGCGATGAGGCAGGCCATCGCCATGCCGCGGCTCAGTAACTCTAATTCCAGCGATCGCTACATTCTCCCAGGACCCGCAAGTACACAGTTCTATGTGTTCGCTCACCACTGTTGTTTCTCATCTTTCATTGATATATCAGAGGTCACCGAGGAACTGAATTGAGTAGCAGCAGGGCTCTCAACTTCTGGAAATTGTGTATTTGTGTCTTGGGAGTGCGAAGCCGGACTTTTAGTTCTGCCAGTGTCGTTTTGGATGCTGCCGTCGAGCACGACACGAACGCCTAGGTGATCACTTTGATGTTCCGAGAGCGTATTGGGAGCTCTGCCAGGCATAGGAAGCGCAATACTGATATTGGTGTCGGTCATATCGATGCCGTCGAACGAAGAGTGGTGCGGGAGTCAAGGAGCAGAGCAGACTTAACCCAGGGCCAGGAGCAGTCTTATGAGCTGAAAGAGAATTCTCTTTCAACATCATGCTACACAGTATAGCCGCAGGCGAATGGCCCGTCCAATGAGGATATACCTGGTATGCAGGCTCAGCATTTGCCCCATGTCAGAGGATGCTTGTAGAAGATTTCCTATATGTTCGGAAAGTTTGGTGCAGTTGGCGAATCAAAGTGATCGAAATCGATGAAAAAGAGTTAGGTATGGGTATAAAAGCAATTCTGGAGGCCGAGAGGCTCAGGATGTTGCGTGGTTGTAATGCACCCTTTCTCCGCATGTGGCGAGGTCAAGCCAGCCTTCTCCCCTGAATATCTGCAAGCGGTGCGTCCCGTCCCGAGGAAAGTTTTCCCGAGCCGCAAGAACACCGCAGCGCCGGAGGAGGGAAGTGGTAGGGGAGAGAAATATGAACAGTTTTAGGCGGGGCAAATGTGCTGAAGGGTACATAGACTTGAAACTTGTGTGACCTTCCTTGAGGATTCGGTCCATACATCAGTTGGAACGCAGGCCACGACCCTTCATCTGCTTATTAATTGGAAAGGAGACGTCCGGCGGGAAATCTTTCGGGGCAAATTATTGCCCGATCCCGTTCTGCACCACCTTTGTGCGAGCGCAAAGCTCATCCGGTGAGGCTTTCGGCGCACATTGGTAACGACTATCGAAAAAAGAACTGGGAGGAATGGGGCCGTCTAGCGCCTAACAAACGGTATGCGTAACTCGCGTAAGCCTCACTCGAAATTGTTTTGAGGAGAACTCACCGAAAGCAGAAATACTGATTTGAAAACAGTCTCTTCGGTTCTCTTTTCGTTTTAAGTCAGGCCCCCGAATTACGATAGGCTGCGTAATTCGCTGGGTTAACGAGAAGCTAGCCCCCCCCCCCCCCCCATGCGATATTGCAGTCCCTATAAAGGGCGAAAGTGAGTGGCGAATAAGGGGAAAGGAAACCGACACCCCCAGGTATCGTCGTATTGATTAGAGGTATCGATTGGGGGCCAGAGTGTTAACGACTTGTAATTAGTTACTTAAGCTCTTGGAAGCCTTAAGTTAGACCTTTTTTTAATATAAGTATAAGCAAATATATTATAAGGCTCTTTTATTTAGTTTTAGGGTCTTAATTATTAAATTTCTAGGCTTACTTAAAATTACCCTTAAATTTTTGATTATTAATTTCTTTAATTTCAAGAATTCTTATTAATTACTATTTTATAAAAAGTTTATAAACTTAATTAGTCTTATAATAAAATTTTATTAATTCTTTATAAAGTAAATTAAATTTAAAGAAAGAGCTAGATTTCTAGTATTCCTGTTCGAGCGCCTCTACTTTGGGTTGGTAAGTTAGTCTGGCCCCCAATCGACACCTTGTGGGGGGGGTTATAGTTTTACTTTTTCCGCGGATGGGGCAGTGATTGATACTGGCGCGGGGTACTAATCCTCACCCCCACTCTTCGATATTGTTCGGACGCCACTTGTACAACCTCATCTGTATTGACATTATATCTTTACTGCAAAGATAGCAGTCTTTATTCGCTAATCTACAAGGTCTCATATTCCTCATATCAATCTCCTTCCGTAAGCCGCTGATTATCTCGTCACCGAGTTACCCCACCGGACTTTATCCACATCATGGGAGATGTTAAACCTCTCATCAACGCTCTTCACCCCTCCGTGGTAGATAGATTGGATCCTCAGTTTGCTGGAATTTACACCAAATATCAAGGTGCCAAAACTTTTCAATATTTTCCAGCCTAGAATGTATTAAAATTGGCTGACAATAACCGCATCCCAGCGCCCAAAATCAGAGCCGACCAAGTAACCTACGAGGAATACAACGCCGATAGATCCAAATACACCTTCCCAATCGCCCCGGGTCCCTGCCCAGAAGTAGGCTGCATCAAATTCTTCACGATCCTCGTCTCAGACCCAGCAGGAGAAATCACAATCCAACTCTTCGCTCCCACCGAAGATGCGATTTCCAAAGGCGGCCTGAGAACGAAAGACGGGGAACTGCCAGCTCATGTGAACTACCATGGCGGTGGATTTGTCATCGGCAATCTTAAGAGCGATGAATCTTGGTGTCGACAAGCATGCCAGGATGTTGGCTGTCTGGTGATTAATGTCGATTATAGATTGGCGCCGGAGTTTCCGCATCCTGTTCCTCTGACTGACTCCTGGACCGCTCTCACGTGGGTGTTTGATCACGCGAGGGAGTTGAGAGTTGATTCTTCGCGGGTGTCTATTGGAGGGTTGTCTGCTGGTGGGCATATCGCCGCTGTACTCGCGTTGTTGGCAAGAGACGACCCGGAATTACCGAAGCTGGTACTTCAAATGTTGGTTGTACCAGTCGTGGATACTAGATTCATTCCAATGGAGGGCTCTTGTCATCCTGATGTACCATATGAGAGTTATATCAAGAACGAGTTCGCTCCCTGTCTGCCGCTCAACAGGTTGAGATGGTTTTATAAGTTGTGGTTAGGGACTGATATGGGTAAGTCACCTAAACTCTCGGAGAGACTTGACTAATTACCTGCAACAGAAGTAAGAAAGAAGATAACGAAGGACTTTCGAGCATCGCCTATACTTGCAGCATCCCACGCAAATCTCGCTCCGGCTTCGATTCATGTCGCCGGTGTTGACACTCTAACTTCGGAGGGGATAGCATATCATGAAGTGCTCACTAAAGCGGGAACATCGAGTACTTTGAAGGTTTATAAAGGATGTGGTCATCCATTCCGACATTGGGATGGGCAGTTAGACAAGGCCAAGGAGTACGTGCAAGATACTACTACGGCACTAAAGAAGGCTTATAAACATGACTGAAGACACTAGGGAACGCACTGCAAAAATATGGTATACAGGATTCTTCCCATGCTTTGACCGTTGAGATTATGGTTTCCTTTTGTCTAGCTAATATCCTTTATTCTTATTAGCCTACTTAAGGAGAGCTTCTCTCCTAGCATTAGATAACATTAAGCTTCTATACTCATTTGAATCATTCTATATTAGGTGCTATAATCAATAACGAACTCTTTTGTTTTACCTAAAACCAACATTGACCCAGAAATTGACGAATAAAACAAGAACTTCGGCTTCGGGTATTTAAGAAATCACAACTACAGTCTTACCAAGTCCCCCCTTTCCACTCGCAATCTGAGTTCACACCTCTCTCAAAGCCTCGATATCCTCCAACTCCACTCTTTTGCCACCCACAGGCTTCAGTTTCCCCTCATCAATCCACACTTGAGATCTTGATGGGTTGAGTCGATCATGAAGCCCACCGAGCCGTGGGGCAGCATGGGGATTTCCTTGACGAGGTCCGTTTTCTTGTAGTCAATAACTGTACTTCAATTTTAGCATTGGTCTCGAGTTCCTAGAGCAATATTGACAAACTTCGATCAACGACGCCATTACCTGACAGCTTGTCCACTTTGCCAACTTTCTCCGTTGAAACCGTAGTGATGACCTTGGCGGCACCAAATATATTCTTCGCCATTTGACAAGCAATAGATCCCATTCCTCCCACTTCAAAACAAAGCGTTAGCTAAGTTCAATCAAAATTCTCCATGGACGCCGACCCTTAGATTACTTAGGACCGGAAGTGATCAACACAGTCTTGTCTTCCACTCCTCCCTCGAGCTCCATTTTCTCAAAACATTGCAACGCTGTCAAAGCTACATAGCCTAATGAGGCAGCTTCAACGTGACTTATGCCTTTGGGCTTCAGTACCAGCATTAGTTCCGTGGCCACAGCATACTCTGACATGCCGCCTACCCAGAATTAGTCACCTTCTACAGCAAGGTTTAAAACTCATCTCTACATGTATCCATTGGAAAAGGCAAGAAGCCGAACACCTCATCTCCGATCTTCAATTCCTTTACCGATTTACCAACTGCGATGACGGTTCCTGATATATCCAAGCCAAGTTTATGGGGAATCCTGAAATGTTATCAGTGCTTGCGGTTTAGGGGAGGCTAATAAGCAGGATTCTCGGTGCCCTACGGTAGGGTAACAGCCATCTTGAAATCTCCCCGTGCTTGTTCCATATCGGCTGGGTTGATGCTTCCTGCCGCGACCTTGACGAGCACACGATTTGGCAATGTAATCTTTGGTGTGGGAATGGTAGATATTTCATATTCCGAGGGTGGTCTGTAAGAGTAGATGCACAGGGAGCGCATGGTATCTGGGATTGTCGAAGACATTTTGGCGCCCGAAACACGATTTAATTCATCAATGGAGAGAAGGCAAACACCACGAAGTGTTTCTGATTCGATTGAACTTGGAGAGAGGGCGTTGCAGTTGAGTTGTTGGACAGAATCTCGGAGTTTGATCAAGCACCAAACTCGGGAGGATTGTTGTGCCGCCTCGCCGGGATGGCGGAAATGCCTTCCGTTCATAGAGTCGTAGGATTCAATGTCCTATAAAGATGCGGGCGCAGGTGCTGGAAGTGTTGCACTACTATAAACACATCCGCAACGCTGGCGATATGAAATTTGTTGGAGACTGGACTGATGTGCGCCATTCTCCAGCGAGGGGGCCTATAATGTTAGCGAGATCTCGCTAAAGTTAGCGATCAGCCCCTATAATTCGGCAAAGCTTGATTCGGAACCTAAGTTGCAAAGAGCTCGTAAGATCCTCCACACACTTCCCAACATCTGCGCAGCAACACCAGCAACACCACTGCCATATCTCTCACCATTTTCTTTCCCAAACGGCGAGAATTGATTTACCCCCACTTTCATACTTCGCCAACTTGTGCCAGCCACCAAATCGCCCTTAATAGAATTTGGATCTCCGCTTGTGATGGAACTCGTGAGGTTTGCATGCCAGAGTCTACCTTCTGCGCATCACTAATACTTGTGATTTCGTCTGTGTAAAGTTGATAATTCATATTGTTACTATGGTTTGAACCGCCTTTTACTTCATTGTTTAAAGCCCAGTGGAAGACATGGACTAGAGTTTCTTGTGCGGAGGATCTATAATCTCTTGCACAAGTCACCCAGGGGCCGAATCGAGCATATATTCCCAAAAGCAGAAGCTGCGTGGCGTATCTGCATTTGGCCGTAAGTCCACCTAAGTGGGGTACATATACCCCAATAAAAGGGCCGGCAGATATCTTTCTTCAGGGATGTTAGCGTACCGAATAGGCAGCAACATTTGTACATCTCACCTCGAATAAATTCCACTATGAGAACTTCCCCGAGATCATCAGAGCATAAAGAGTGCAATTGAATTATCAAGATGCCTCACTCATCAGTCACTACACCACTCCTAGGACATCGTAATAAAGAAACCAATCCGTTTAATCGATTAATCTTAACTGCATTCTGGGTCTTTCAATTGGAGTGGATGGCTTTACATGTACTAGTTTTAGCGACTGGATTGAAAAGCCAAGGTGACGAGTTGAAACTTTTCCGAGCGTAGGTTTATGCATTTTGCAGGCGCTGGCTTCGGGAAGTTTTCATCAATTGCGGACAGAGATATAGCTACCCAAGTCAAGTCGCGAGACATTCAATTCGGCAACTCCACCTAGAGTTTGAAGTTTGCTGATGCTACCAACAGTGAACGCATCATCCTCTACACCCTCTGCCTAGCCACAATCATCGAAGTAGTCTTCGAAATCTTCGTTTACGCCAACTATACCTCTCTGTTTCGGCTCACTTTCACCCCTAGACTCTATCTCCGCTGCAGCCTTGTTAAAGTCGGTTTCTGGGCCATCAGTGGTATCGTCACCGTCATCGATGATTATCTTTACGATTACTCAGGCCACTATCTAAGCGTCAGGGGATTTTCTACGGCGTTTGCGGTTGTGTCAACGTACGTGGAGATGTAATTTGAGATAGGAGGGAGAAAGAGCTGACAATTTTGCAAGGATTTTGTTTCTTTTGCCGACTGGATATGCGAAATATGTTGACGTTAAGATGAAGCGGTCTGAAGAGGAGAGCAATACCCAGATGGAAGAAGAACACTCTATGTTATGAAAGCAAAAAGCAAGGTCAACGAACCCTGGAATATTCGGAAATATCCAATCATCACACAGCTCGCTTGAAATTTCGAGACTAATTATCTGCGCTACGCATGTGGCAGCTCCAAGGCCGCCAAGAATCCCCCAATTAGCTCGAGAAACTCTTGTCCAATATTCTGCCGATCACTAGTCCCTTAGGGATCTTCACTTGAGAGCCATTTGAGGTGGAATCGCTAGTGCGGCGCCGGGAAGAAGGCATTCGAACTGGGTTGGGGAGGCATGATGACAGACAGAAATCCGGGAAAGAGATAAGACAATGAAATTTCTTTTTCTTCGAAGTTCAAGTCATGACTCGTACGTTTGGAAGTAGCCGACCCTTGGTTACAGTGCTAAATGCAACCCCTCAACTTGCGGCTTGGTGCTAAGCGAGCCCCTGAATATTCATCCCACTCTTTCCCCAAAATCAATTCCTCAGTCCACATCTTTCAACACAGGCAGCTCTTCATCCTTCCCCTGAATTGTCCGCGTGGCTGGCTGGCTGCATGTTAAGTACCGATCGGGACGTACCACCCCGGCTTGAGCGTTCCCGAACTCATCCGCCGGTTTCGTTGACAGGCTCGCTTCCTCCCGTTTTTGAGAGATATTTGTAGTCAGGAAAAATAGTCAGCCAAATAAGAAGCGAATCGCATCATTCGTTTGAGGAATTGAGGTGAAGCAGACTGTGGTCCGACCCGCTGTCAGCCTGTCACAAAAGTGGAAAATTTCAAAACGACGGAAAGGGGTTCTTCACACTACTTTCCAGTGTCCACGACTTCTGAACAACAGATCAATTCCATCTATGGAATTTTAGTTGTCCAGCATGGAATTTGATAGGACGATCTCGAAGTCTAGAGCACTCGAAGTGAGGAGGTGCGGTAAGAAATCATGTGAGACGCACGCCGAGCAAATATTTGCATTGCAGATCCTTCCTTCCCCACAGTCAACCTAGGATACTGCTGGGGTGGTCGCTGGAACCGTTTCACATGCGCAAAGCACCTGCATGCAATGACTCGGATGTCACCACAATTGGGAAGTATAACGCACATCATATCGAGTCGTGGGGTCCACTACCGGGCGGGCGGATTGACTGCGGGCGGGACATGACCACAAATCCAGGAACGCGCTGGTGAAGCGCGACTGGTTTGGGGCAGGTTGGCCACTTGTGGATTTCTGTTCTGTTCCTGACGGGTGGGCCCAGGGGGTCGCCTGTGTCACTGTGTGGATAGCCTCGGCCGCGCTGCTGCGCCAGTCTTACGCGGAGGAAAATAGCTTGACAATATTTTCACCATGGCAAATGCGGCTTTTTAACCTCAACATTGCCCGCATGAAGAGCGGATCCTTCCCTCTACCCCTCGTTGTCGTATTTCTTTCCTATTGTCCGAATCGCCATTCAAATCTGAAGCTAAAATGACGGTACCTGTAGCAGGTCGAGGACCTCAAGTCGCTGGCGTTGCGGGACTGTTCCTTGCGCTCAGCACTATCACGATTATGCTACGATGCTACTGTAGAGCTTTCGTTGTGAAAAGCTTTGGGCTTGATGATTGGTCCGCTTTAGTTGCATGGGTACGAATTGCTCTTTCTTCCGATGAAACTTTCATGCTAATTGCCGTAGGTGTTCTTCGTTTTCTTTTGCACCTTTTGCATTACAGGTGTGCATCATGGCACGGGTCAGCATTCGAGTCTCCTTCCACAAGAAGAGATACCCGTTGGGTTGAAGGTAAGACTCTCGCTCAAAGTGGAAGCAATGGCTTATGGGGGAACTAGTGGTGGTGGGCCTGCGAGCCAGTCTACGTTCTTTCCAACATGGCACTCAAATTCAGTATCGGCGTCATGCTGCTCAGAATTTCCGTTTCAAAGACACACAAGATCATTATCTGGACTACCGTAACCATCCTCGAAGTCTATAGTTTAGCTTACTTTCTGCTCTTCGTCATGCAATGCTTGCCATCCAGCTATTTCTGGACTCGCTATACTGGTGGAACGGGAAACTGCATCGACCCCACCATCACTGTCGACGCAACTTATGCCTATTCTGCTATCTCGTGTGCTGCGGACTGGACACTTGGACTTCTCCCAATCTCCCTCGTGTGGAATTTGCAGATGAATCCCAGGACAAAACTCTCAGTTGCGGCAATTCTCGCTCTGGGGGCCATGTGAGCTTATCCAGTCCTTTATCAAACATCCCAAACTGACGGAAGATGTATCAGAGCCTCCACCGCCACAATTGTCCGAATCCCCTATGTCAAAGACCTCTCCAACCAAGAAGACTTCCTATACGCGACAACAGATGTTGCCATCTGGTCAACCTGCGAAACCGGAATCGGTATAGCAGCCTCCTCAATCGCTACCCTCCGTCCCCTCTTCCGAACTTTTCTGTCCCGTTCTAGATTACTCGGCGGGAGTTCTTCCCTGGGAGCCTCCAACCCTTGGCCTCCTTCTGGCAACCCCGGCTACGTCCGCAGTCGAAGCAAAAGTGAAGCGGAAGAATTTGGACTAAGGAGCGATATCGGAAAGAACAGAGGCGTCACGACTTTGGTCGAAACAGGATCGGATATGGAGAGAGGAGAGAGGAAAGGCGTGAAGAGGAGTATTTCAGGAAGGAGCGGGAGTGTGGGACCTTTGACGAGTACTCAGCACGGCTGGAGTGATAGCCAGAGTAAGTTGACGGAGGTTAGCAGTGAGGATGTGCAGAGTTGGGGGCCGGGCATTAGGAAGACTACTGTCTCGACACAGAATGTTCGTTGACTTGTGTTCTCATTGTCTCCATTCCATTAAACCAGTCCGTGTTCATAATGTATTAGCGCGAAAAGCGCGAAAAGGGAGCCTGGTCTCATTCAACACGCAATAATCATGAGAAGATAGTTCAAAAATAAAAAACGAGCACACACAGCGGAGTCATGAAGCCTTCATTTATTGCAAAGTCATCTCATCTCATGAGCTCGTGGGGAGCCTGGACATGAGGTCCTTATTTCTCTGCCAATGGTTTCGTCTATTGTACACGAGATTCTCCATCAGAAATCATTGTCATAACCATGTGCGTTCTGCGATATAGAGGTTCAATAACTCGTTATGTACCCTGATTCCTCCAGATACGGCTGGGTTGCACAGAGCACCCGAGAATCAATAGCCATCGTTTTTCTCGCACCGCCTCAGGGAGTGTGCCAGCTGGCCCTCTGTAGTGTCCAACAACGGCCTCGCCTCGTACTCCCACCCAACTCATCGACTTGTTTCAACCACTTCTCCGTCGTCTTCTCGTAGTTTCTGTCCGAAAGACCCTCGTAGAGCTCAGTCCCGTCGTTATAGCACTATTATTCGTCGCCATATCGTACTCCCCGGAGAAATGGCTTGAACATCTTCTTGGTAGTGGACTTGCCATCGCGACCGTTCTATCTGGGGTTGGAAGGCACCCAGTTTGCGAGCAAGTTGGTCAGCATGTCTCCGTCCATGGTGTATTCGTGTGTGCTCTTGCGGACACCGAAATTTTGCTACAACTTGAATTTTCTATGAGTCTTGTAATGGAGCGGATAGACTGCCTTGAAAGTGAGACTAAAGCTGGCGCAGTGTGGGCTCCAATAAATTATTATTGATAAAAGTGAGTCTAGCCATTTAGTGATAGTTATAGGGCCAATGCGCTATATTTTTAGCGATACAGCGCATTAGCCCTGTACGATGTAACCATTGCTAAAGAAATTAGACCCACTATTATCGATAATTATCGATTATTGACCAATTAGCGCGATTATCTATCGATCGATTATCGAGCCTATCGGAGCCCACACTGAGCTGGCGGAGCTAACTGGATCCAAGTTTTTGACGATTATGAGGAGAAGTTCAGGCGCAAGCCTGTCGATATAGCGGATGCCAGGTTCAGGTGCTTTGCTTTAAAGAAGCGCATTAGCACATACTAGTATGTAGAAGCTGTGCATGAAGGGCTAAACTCTTACCGGCTTCAGCCTATCTTCCCCGCTGAAGAGAAGATTTGGTACACTTGGCATTGGCCATGGCTTGCGTTGCTGCGGTCTTTGCCTTGGTGGAGGATCTCATGCTGCGACCGCAGCCAGGCGAGGCGGCGGTGACGTCAGCTTCGAATTGCCAAAAAGAGGTGATCTTTCCATTTCCACTGATTTCCCTTGAGGTCACATCAGACTTGAATGGCGCCATAGTGTGGTTTATTGCAGGCTTTGGTGCTAGATTGTTGTGTATTGGAAAGGGTCGTAATGAAGGACGATGGGTGCTCGGAAAGTCTAGAATAGAAGAAGCCGTTGAAGACCGGTGTCTCAAACAGAAGTCCTGCCGAATGACCCATAAAGTCTTTGCTTAAACAAATCCAAGCAGCATTCGTAAGTCAATTTATAGGTCTTTACAGTTTAAGAATAGCTAAATGACCTCCGTGCGCCGTGCCCGGCTTGAAGCAAAGGCAAGCCTAATCTGGGCTCTTAAAGTAAGAGTCTTAGCTTAATGAATAGAATAAGCAAACCTGTTTGCTTTCAGACAAACAAACACCATGTTTTTTCTCTGAAAACAACTCCAGTCATCGAACATATTGGCAAATACTTGAGAATAGTTCCAGTTAAATAAACAAACAATAATACCTGGGAGACTGCCAGTAGATTAAGTTGATTTCTTATGAATTCGGATTGGCTAACTTGACGTATTTAGTCTACAGAAGCAAGAAGAACGAATTGCCACATCTGCAATGGCGAGAGCCAGTCTCAATTGCGGCTCCAAGATCTTCGCCTCAGCTTTCCGTCCAAGCTTCAACAAACACTCATGATATCCATGCAAAGCCCAAACATTATTCGGATGTTGCAAAGCCCGTGGAATCACGTTGTCCATCCCAAGATCAGCACTATACACAGCGGCAGCCTCTCCAACATGCCCCTGCTCCAGTAGCAGAGCACCGTATGCATGTCGAGTTGGTTGCATCCACCCCTACCAACGAATTAGCAATATATTTCTTTGGGGAGGAGAGAACTGGGAGAGAGACGAAACACTCCCTACCAGTGAGGCAAGGAGCTCGGGGTATAGGACAAAGAAAAGGTTGGCTACCCAAGGCTCATCATACGGAAGCGCGTCATCGAGGGAGATAGACCGCCTCAATTCTTCGAATGCAAGGTCGAAATTGCCCTGGCGGTAGGCAAGCTCGCCATCGAGCATTGCTCCAGCGACGTCTAGGACATCGATGCATTTATTGGCGAAGATTGTGCGAGAAGAAGGAACTCGTTTCACGGCGTCACGAAAGCGCGTTCGTTCTTCCTCCGCTTCCTCAACCTTTCCAGTAGCTGCAAGAGCCACACCTTTCCCATAATAGATCATTGCCGTCGTCACGCAGTAGAGTTCTTGATCCTTTGGGAACTCGAGACTCAGAAGATCGTGCCATAGCCCGAACCGTATGAAAACATGCACACGCACGCTCAGAATACCTTCCAACCAGTCTGCCATTGGCGGGGACTCGACACGAAGCAACTCCTCTGGAAAAGACTTTTCGATCTGTGCAACACTTTCAAGAGCAATTTTTGACTGTCCAGAGAACATGGCGGCATAGATGCGGAAATGATAGTTGTGTGTTCTGTAGAGGCTGTAGAAATTGAAAGGTCCCTCTTGGGCAACAAATCTCTCGTCAGCCAAGATTGCTTCTGAGTTCGCGGCAATGGCTCGACGGTAGTCACCACACATGATGTCCAGATCTAAACCCAAAAATCTTTGGTTAGTATTCTGAGAGGAATGAAATCTGGATGGAATGTAAATTGACTCACGTGAGGGCATATGTCTCAAGTGCCCAGCATCTGGAACGAGGTCACGCAGACGATCAGCTATCGTCAATGCTTTCTCAGGCGTGCTTGACATCTCCATGAGATGAATATATGAATGAAGGAGACCAGGGTGTTTGAATCCATCCTCAGTAGCTATACCTTGGTCAAGAACCTGCTTCGCTTCTAATACCCGTGATCCCGGCGTCGGTTCTCCGGTATGTATATCCCACAACGCCCATGGCGTCAGGTTCATTAGTGCATCAGCATACAATGCCGCTACGTCGAGATCATCGGAGAATTTCCGGTATACAGATTCCATAGCTTCCGCATATTTCTTATTCCACAGCGAGAAGTCCTTGGTCATCCGCTGCTGCGGGTATCTGGACTGGATGGCGTGGATGAGAGCACGTTCAACGGGCTCGGCTGGGGCAGAAAGTGTCTCTGCTTGTCTGGCAGCGGCATTGGTTCGCTTAAGATTGGCAGTCCTCTCACATTCATCGAAGACATCCCATGGCTTGTTATAGTTTGGACCGAGGGCATAAGCCAAACCCCAATATGCCATCGCACAACCTTCGTCGGCGGCGATAGCCTTCTCAAAGCACTTTGCGGCTTCCTCGTGGTTAAAGCCGTAAACCCAAATGAGGCCTCGATCAAACCAGGTCTGGGCCTCTTCGCTGGTAGTAGTTATAGGCCAATGGTATGTTCCGAGGTCGAAGTATTTCGGCGGTGAAAAAGATGACTGCTTCTGAGAACCCTTCATGTTTGCGTTGATCATGTCAGGTTGATGACCATTGATACTACAAATTGATCGCCATATATAGGGGTATCTCGCCTAAACCGGCGAATAAGGAAGGAAGGAAGGTCCTCAGATAGTGAAGTGCTGTACGATGAGAAGTTGAAAAGAGCTCTGACGAACCCCACTTCCGGCCGAAATGCCGATTCTTGCCGAAAAACCTCCCAGAAATAGGGGTTCGCTAGTGGCAACGTTTTGTATTCTAGCGAGTAGAACCTTATCACTCCATCTCGCTAGCGACTTCAGAGGGCCTAAGATAGATACGAAAGGAGTGTGCCCCTGCCAACCCCTGTACCCCCCCCCCCCCTGTTCTGCTCGCTTCGCATTCCTAAAACGTGGGTGTACGCTCAAAGCGGTAATTTTTGATCTCGACTCTCTTTTAGATGACTAGAGGGCGTTTCAAGCGATCATCTTCTTACTAAGCAGACTCGCCACCGAGCTGGAAACCCCGCTTTGAGGGCATTCCGCTAATTGAGATCCATTTGAGTATAATAACTCAAGCACAAGCTTGCTATACTCCAATGGAAGATACTCTCGATTTCATAGCTGCTGATCTGGAGAAGGGGCTGCAGAGTTAGTATGTTGGGAAGCGAGTAGGCTTTAAGGTGAAGGAAAAGGCGGCTACTGGGTCATTGTGATGTTGTCAATTTTAGTCTTCCTGTTTCAATTCTCTGGTTAACCTTGCGAGCTTTTGATACCTATCAAGCACTATTTTCTCGTTGCTGTGAGCGTTTGACGGGGAATGATCTGGAGGAATCTTGCCTTCAGTAAGTGTCGGTTTTGTTTGCCACACTAGGCTTTGAACACTTCAAGAACTCCACTTTATATAAGGGTAAAGTTTGGTACGATTGGGTCTAGTGTAAAGACTGAAGCTTTGAGCATTATTTCTCAAATTATTTCTGAAAACGGGATAGTTGTTGTCTGAGGGTTTGAAGTGATCTCTAGCGCCTTCGGCTATGAGGAAATTGATAATTCAGGCTGGATTCAGTATCCAAAGAGTGTTGGATGAATAGCGTTGGATGATTGGCTGTGGTCTTAGAAAGTTGTTAAGGCTCAGAAGAACGGAGGGTCAAACGTTATTCGCTGTTGATTAGTGATTAGTCACAAACTATTTGCATTTGTTGAAGGGAGGACTTGCACTTCACGGATCTCTGTACCCCTATTTCAGCGAGCTGTCTTCAAAATTTATCCACATTGCGGCCTACAAATTTCCGTCTCACACCATAATAATTTTGACGAAAAGTGCCAGAGATTTTCACCTTTTTGAGGCATTAATTCGTTATACTACGGAATGTTCAAGCCCACCCCGCCCGAACTCAAGCATACCTAACCAATGGAACGCTGCCTCGCCTGGCAGAGAAGTTCGTATGCGCGAGCCCAGGATATGCAGGATATGCAGGATATGCGGGATATGCCCCATAAGCTGGTGGGTTGTTTGGATAGAACTGAGCTAAGGGTGGTTGTGAAGGCGGTAAAGCGTTTGCACGTCTGCGTTTCCGACAACAGCTGTAAATGCAGCACAACAGCAGCAGAATAACAAGACTTCCCAGCCCAGCTGCAAGTCCAATAACAAGATTTCGATTGCGATCAAACCAAGAGGAGCCGCCATTTCCAGAGGCGCCACCCCCACCAGAGGTGCCACCCCCACCAGAGGAGGTACCTCCATTATCCGAGGTCGTTCGACGGCATTGACCACTATTGCAACGCGAGTTACTACCGCATGGAGTTCCGTCCAAGAAGTTTTGATTCATCGAGGAGCAGAAATTACCCCCAGAGTTTTGAGTGGTGGCTGAAGAACATATGACGGAGCATGAGTTGCTGTTGCAGGCACTTGTATAATTGCCGTTCGAGAAAGTGTCTACAATCATCTGACACTGAAGATCGCGACTAGTGCATTGGCCACTGGCACAAGCTAGGCCGCTGTTGTTTCCACAACTCTGTCCGTTCGGAAGGTACTCATCCGAGGGACAGGCGCCTGAGGCGCCAGTGCAAGTCTCCTCTACATCACAAATACCAGTGCTTGCCCGGCACACTGTGCTTGCCGAAGTAAACTGGCAGTTTGAGCAGCAAGACTCATGAGAGTCGTCGCATACAGCGTTGTTTCTGAACTGGCAAGTAGTTGGGTTGCAGCAAGGATTGTTTCCGCAAGATTCTTCTCCTCCACAGTCACAATCCTCGCCAACTTCGACAATGCCGTTGCCGCATTGGCTGTTAGTGATAGTTGTAACATTGCGATTAGCACTGAGACAACTTGATCGAACAGTATTTCGACCCAATGCAGAGCATATGTTGCCAATTGAGCATGGCGAGAAATCGGTGAGGCTCCTGCTCGAAGATGGGCTCATGATATACCTGCCGCTCGCATCACACGATGAAGTGGATATCGGACAACACGTCCCGGATTGGCAACCAGTCGAATCACAATCATGCACGGCTCCAAAAGTATGACCTGATTCATGGCTGCAACATGGTTAGCAGATGGTAAAAAGGTTCTAAGAGCACTTACGCGAAGACCTGCCACTCCGATGGAGTACGGACAACAACATTAGCCCCACTTACGGACTGGGAACCGGTCCCCACTACCCCAGAAACGCAAAGTTGTCCAAGCCATGCTAGCCCAACTGCATTTCCTGTGTTACATGTACTCAGCAAGGTCCAGTAGGCATTGTTATCGCCTATTGATCCACGCCAGGTCGAGAAGAGATCTAGCCGCTGATCAATCTCGACGCCGGAACAGCCAAGGTTCCACGGGGTTGCAGCGGGAGCAGTACTAGGGCACTGTGCATCACTGATTGTAAGATTGCGGAGCCCAATGGTGATATTGAAGGTACGTTCATACACCGCAGATGCGGTATTCACCATGCTGATGATGTTTTCGCGGACAGCGTCAGTTGAAGCAAACGATGCGGTATATGTGCAATCTGTTGCAACTCCGATCAAGGCAACCCTGCCTTCTGTAGGGCAGCCAGCTGTGGATCCGATAGTCGCTCGAAGATTGCCGTTTCCTATCCGCCCGCTCTGACGTTTCCTTGGAGAGAAAACGGGCTTCAGAAGGGTGGAAGCCCAACCGGTGGTGGGCGCTTCTGATCTAGAACCGACTATTGGATGGCTGAATTCGTAGTTGAAATCAAGTTGATCTGCTCCGCAAGTTACACCACCAGGAGACCGTTGTTCAATATCAGAGAGCTCCTCTTGAGCTATATCGGAGTCCCGATACACAACCATTTGCTCTTCTTCACTGTCCCAAGAACTAGGAAGATTGACATCCGACTGACGTCTTGTCTGCAAGTAGTTGGATCGCAATTGGATATGGTGATGGTCACCGAACATGTTGAATGCACCCTCTAACAAGGGCTTTGGTCCGTCTCTTTTCACATAAATCCTAGCCCATCCCACCTCATCCCAATTCCCGTCTTCGGTCTGGAGCCAGGCTGATCCTTTGAACACCTTGTGTTCATATCGTTCTATTGCTGCTGATGATTTGATACTTCCCTGCACATCGAGGAACGATAAATGGGCACCATCCGGTAGGACGTCATGGTTGGGCTGTAGTTTGAGTTTGAAGTGCTGTTGTTGGGGAGCGCGGAGCAAGAAAGCAAGGGTGAAGTGTGAAAGGTGGCCGATCACGTGGGATGATGTATTAATAATGGGATCCTCAACGACGGAAATGTAGTTTATTTGATCTCGGGGTAATGATCGTGCTGTATTGTTGTGTGAGCTCTATTTCTCATGAGTGGAAGCGGGTATAGACGTACCATTTCCGGATGATATCCAAAGATGGAGACCAAACCATGCAGTAATTGGCAAATGAGAGAGTCTCATAACGTGGATGGGAATGCACCGCCTCTTCTCTCAAGATTTAGAAGCAGAGATAGGATCCAGAGTCTCACAACAAGGAGGAAGAAAGGAAGAAAGACTCGGGACGATCGGAAGCCAACACGATAAGATGCAAGTCAAGGGACAATACTAACTGTACAACATCTTAAGTTACAGAAAGAAAATGGCCACTCCAAAAGATATGATATGTGCCCAGCGTCGTAGCGTCGGCGTGTGTCTGTTGCCCAGACATCTAGGCTGAATACGAAGAATCCCTTGACATCTTTCGCAGTTGTGCGTTGGAAAGAGGCTTCGCTCTGCATGCGAGCGGCGTGCTGTTTTCTAGCAAATAGAAGCTCTTGAAAATCACGAAGTTCGTTGGGTATTGTTAGAAACTGTGCTGAATATGAGAGGTCACAAGAGGAACGGCCGACAAAAGAGTGCGTAATATATTGAGGCGGAGCCACGCTTGACTGCTTGGCACATGAAGCACATCGGCGTTAAATGAGTTATCTCCCTGAGCACCATTCGGCCGAAATATAACAAGGCTCAGTGGGAGGCACTGAGCGGCGATTGAAAGAATCAAGGGGTAAGCGGATGGAAGTTGGACGGAGGTAGCTGGTTGCACTGGGAAAATGGTTAGAGGAAGTACCCTCATCAATCACGTGATCACATCCTATGAACTCCACCAAAAGTTTCCCATTCATGCGAAGCTTCTGGCAATGTTTTGATTAAGGCTGAGTGGTACAAAATATGGAGCTTAATGGTAGGCCGAAAGTTTCCTGACATTGTAAATCGTAATCCCGAAAATCGGGAAGGATCCTGTACTTTGGAAGTTCTGAGTTCCCAGTCTTAACTTGCCAAGCTCAAACCGGCAATAGGTTGCATTACCCATGTTCTCTTGGCCTGGCGGGGCCAGGTTCTCTTGGCGCTATGATAGGTCCTGAATGTTCCTTAGTGCACCTAGTGCCTCAAATTCCAAATAGAAAGTTTTGACTAAACTGTAGCGGCGTAAGCTGGTTGCATATCGTCTAATAATGTAACGGGATTCATAATTCCGGAAGAGGAAGTCTAACCTCATTGTTAATCGATGTTCGACCGTTAGAACAAGAGCATATGTACTCGCCATATCTGACTTGACTCCTTTCAGGAACATGGTGTACACAATAAACTCCCTTACCATGGAGAATCGCACCCTTCCATGCTCATACAATCTCGTGACTCACGGACAGCCTGTATTAACCATTCGCTGACGAAGACACTGCATGTCTAACTCAAATGATCAGCAGCCCCATGGCCCTCTTCTGTAAATGGCTCGCCCTCTTATGCCCCCCAGTCTACCCATTGTCAATCAGCATCTCGCCATGCTTTCCGCATCTCCTCTGTTCCTCCCTAGTGATTTTCACCACCTCAAACACAGACTTTGCTTTGCTGAGGATGATATCTAGTTCCTCAACAGAGGACTCCATTTGGCATAGATCCTAAAACCGTTCTATAGTAGAAGAGCGATAGAGTATCGCGTTGAGCTGGTGTCGTGGTTGTGTACTTCGATGTTATACAAGTCTTACCTTCGTGCACTGGGCATACTCGGACAGCCAGATAGATGCCAGTTCACCTTCTCCACAAATGGTGAGTAGGCCTAGTCGTATGAGGCGTCACCACCAACTTTGCTGCAAAAGCAAACCGTATCAATAAAGTAACAGAAGTGGCCATCCATGTCCGCCAAAAAAAGTGTCCCCAAATGTCGCCTTTCCCAATGTCAAAGTAATGGTAAGTGTCGCTAACGAACTCCTGGGCTCGAATTGATGGGTCCCGTGAGGGTTCACAATCAATCTGCAACCAAGGTTTCTTCAATTTTGCGAGGAACTTTCGACGAATTGGTGACAGTGGCCATGAATTGGAGCTCACTCCCAAAGACATGGCCGGAAGGGGATAATTCATCGACCAGGTGTATCAACCACGATAGAAGCCCCGGACATAACGGATCGTCAATAACATCAACATAACAGGGTTCCAAAGGTTCAGGCTGCGAGCCTGCGTCCTAGAGATGACCGACTTCGTACTAGCTTTGGAAGATAATGGAGTCAACAAGTGTAACCTTTGACACACAAAGGGTTCTCGCCTTGGACCAGATGCTGCTGTCTTTAGGACCAGGCCTTGGAGACGTTGAGGAATGGTCTGTGTAGTTGGAAGGAACAATAGTTTCTCCGAGCCGCTGCAAGGAATTTTTAGTGCCGGACGGCGACGCGACTTGGGCCGAAGCTGGAAACCGCGACTCTCCTCCCACCACCAAAGCTAAACACCACCACTCCGCCGGCCTCACGATTGAGAAGGAACTTTCAATTTCGTCTGCATCTGGAGCTGGGGGTCAGTATTCGAGAACACTATCATCAGAATTTCAAAATCTCAAGCCGACAAAACTTGTGCAGCAAGCCGCTTCTGGGCCTCCCAAACGCGTCCACCCACTGTCCCAACACGAATTCATTTTCCTCCAAAAGAATAGCAGTCGCTCGCTCGAACCGTTTCCTAGTTCCCAAAAACCTATTATGAATTCCGACGCGTCGAAAGTGCAATAACGATGTATCTGCCGCGCTCCCTAATCTCGACGCTCTACCTCCACCTCCAACGAACCCACCACCCTTTGTCTCCACCAGTCCTCATTCTGGTTGCCCTAGAACCCGATGCGCTCTGCGGCTGTCGAATCCTCACTCAACTTCTCAAACGCGACTACATACCGCACAAGATCCAGCCAATTGCTGGGTATGGCGACTTGGAGAAGGCGGGACGAGATGTCATTCGACCGATGATGGAGAGCCAGGGAGGCAGCGGGGGAGTTGTAGTTTGCCTCGGAGTTGGAGGGCTGGTTGATCTTGGGGGTCTGTTGGGCATTGAAGCTGAGGGTGATGAGAGTAATTATGGTGGTGTTGAAGTGTGGGTGATCGACGCGCGACGTCCTTGGAATTTAGGGAATGTTTTTGCCGGGGTTCCAATACCTCCGCCTATTGAGGATGAGGGGGAGCTGGTCATCCAGCGGCCGCAGGGTGTTGATGGTGGGAAGATACAACGCGATTACAAGCCAGGGAAGGGCGGTATTATTGTTTTTGATGATGGGGATATTGAGGAGGAGCTGGTTGCGGAAAGAGACGCGTTTCTTGCTCTTGTGGATATGCCAGAAGTTGAGGATGGCGGTGATGATAGTGGGGGAAGTGACACTGAGAGCGAGGATGAGGACGCGCCGACCGATTCCCGAACTGGGCAGAAACGAAAATCCTGGTCGGATCGAGATGACGAGGACGAGAGTAGTGATGATGAAGACAGGCCACGGCAAAGACGGAGAAGCAATTCGGTATGTCATTGCGGCGACTTTACCTGCATTTACTAATTCCTATGCCAGTCGAGCCCAATTCCAGATTCTCCAACACGTCCAAAAAAGCGTGGTCTTCTATCTTTCAGTGGTCCCTCTGCGATAGCATCGAGTGCTTCCCGCTCCGTTTCCCCAACTCCTGCTCAACCTCCCAAAGCGCCATCTGCTCGGAAACTACGGCGTCGACTCCTACAGCTGCGACGTAAAAACGAATCTGTGTTACAAGCATACTATTCCCTTGGAGCGTCATATTCGGAGCCAATATCGTCCATGATGTACTCTCTTGCCTCAGAACTTGGTCGAGAAGACAACGACCTGCTGTGGATGACTATTGTAGGTGTCACTTCCATGGAGCTCTACGGTCGATCATCTGTAGGGGTTGCAATTTCGACTTCGAAATCGACATCCCCAAAAGGCTGGCTTGGGACTCGCGGATCTCGAATACGACAGCTACTTCGGGATGAAGTCCGGCGTCTAAATCCACCTGAGCTCTCAGACTCAAGTTTAAGCGGCAATCGAAATATGCTACCAGAGAACAGCGGCATAATACCCACCACGGCTCGAAGTCCAACCGACACCAGCATTCGATTATCACCTGAACCGAAATTCCTCCTGATCCGGCACTGGAGTCTTTATGACAGCATGCTTCACTCTCCGTATCTGTCCGCGCGGTTACATATATGGTCAGATACAGGGAGGAAGAGACTGCACAAGCTTCTGGCAAAGATGGGTGTTAGTCTTGTCCAATGCAAGCAAAGTTACACACATATGGACATGGAACTAAAGAGAGGACTACGAACAAAGCTGTTAAAATATTCGGAGATGTACGGACTTGACGACTTGGTTCCAGCTGCAGACACCGATGGTAGGGATCGAGGTGGGACGAAAGAAGGCTGGGGATTTGTGAGAAGTTGGGGCTGGAGGGCTACTCTGAGTGCTCAAGATGTTGGAGTCGTGGTGGGAGCTATTCTTGAAGTTGGAAAGAAGGCTGTTACAACACTCGAGAATGGAGGTTATGATCGTGGACGAGAAATGAAGGAGACGTCTGATGAAGACGGGACTTTAGAAGGGGAAGAATGGGTTGGAAGATTCTGGGATGCCTACGATGCGCTCGAGAAGTACGGTTTTCTAAACATATCTAGAATTATTGAGGGCTAACAAGTGATTTAGGATCGAAGAATTAAAATCTGCCCTACCGACAGCTCAACATCTTCACCGCGCCATACTTCGAACAGGTACCTCATTAATCGAGAAGAAACAGATCCGCCATCTTCGGGCGTTTCGAATGTGTGTGGTAAAAGATGGGCCAGATGTGACACTATTTACGCACCCCTCCGCATTGACCAAACTTGCGTTGTGGATTGGCGAGGCAATCGCGGAACAGGAACGCGAGAACAAGGGAAAGATTGGTCATGGTGGGCGAGGCACACCACTTGTGGTCGCTGGGCTGAACGAGAATCGAGGAGTCTATGTTGTCGTTGGAACTGGCGGAGGAGGAGGTGGCGGCATGGGCTTTGGCGATCGACATGCAGCTAAAGAAAAGAAGGAGAAGCGAGAAGCAAAAGCAAAAGCTCGCGAGCTGAAAAAGCAGAACAAGGAGAAGATCCGGGAACAGAAGCGAGAAGCACGAAGACTTGCTCTTGGCGACGACGCTGATGAGGAAAACGAGACGGAATCAGAAGATTCCGAATCGTCATCTGATGAGGACTCCGACGATGAGGAAGATGAGGCCTCCCAGGCGAGGGGATTTGGACGGAACAAGTTCGGAAATGCATTCCAAGAAGTGGTGGAAGAAACGAATGCAAGAGTGAGGATTGACAGTTTTGAGCATTGCGTGGTTGAAGTTAAAAAAGAAGACTTGGCTGGGTTTCTAGAGAGTTTGAGCATGAAGGCTGTTGTGGGTTGAAAGGGTGATTGATGATGTAGATATGTGTTCATGACCTTGATTTTTGACTTGTGGGTTGCTTGTGGCACTGGGTTGCTTGGAGTATGCATAGCTGGTTTGCTTTTCCGTATTTGCATTGAATGAAACGAGCCTGATAATAGCCCCGGTGCCTTTGCATCAAGTGAGCAGGAGTTTCCGATTAGACGAAGAGAAAAGGGGGAAGTGCACGTGATCAGAGGATCGTCACTAAACCCCACTAACGACCCCGCATTTCCCCACCTTCTCCAACCGTCCTCCATAGCACCGAATAAGGAGCCCTTAGTTATTCCCGGTACCTAGGTAGGTCTAATTTTCCTTCCCCTTTTCTTCCTCCACTCTCAATTTTCATACCTTCCTCCTAACCGTTGCTTTCCTCTCTCTTCACCAAGCATTCATCTATCCCAAGATGCCATTCAAAAGCTCTCAACCAGACATCGACCGTAAGTTCTCCACCCTTCCCAACCACCCCAACCAACCTCCACAGTACCAACAAACATAACAACCTGGACTTGGCTGTTCTCCTCGCCCGCCTCGCCCCTATCCAAGAATCCCGACTCTGAAATAGCCGGGTTCAGAAACGCCCTGACGGAACAACGCATCTCTTATTCGGAAGTCAAAAGACACACCACACACCTCTCCACCGCCCTCGTAAAGCACCACGGCCTCGTCAAAGGCGACGTCGTAGCTCTATTCAGCCCAAACACACCATGGTACCCCGTCGCCATGCTGGCCGTGAACCGCGTTGCGGGAATCGTGTCAGGAGCCAGTCCAGCCTATAATGTAGAGGAGATGACCTATGCTCTAAAGACTGCTGGGGCGAAGTATTTGTTTACGGTGCCGGGGAGCATGCAGGTGGCGGCTGCTGCGGCGAAGGAGGCGGGGATTGGGAAGGAGAAAGTTTTTTTGTTGGAAGGAAAGATGGAGGGGTTTATGGGGATGGGGGAGTTGCTTGAGCAGGGGAGGAAAGAGAGGGAGCAGGTGGTGGAGTATAAGTTAAAGGAGGGGGAGAGGAATGCTGATCTTTGTGGATTTTTGAGTTTTAGTTCTGGGACGACGGGGTTACCTAATGCTGTGAGTCCTCTCCTTTTCATTCTGGTTCCAAATTCGAGAATAGTCCAAGAGGGAAAGGAAATGAGAAAGGAGAGAGCTAACAAGAGGAAAGGTAATGATCTCCCACGCCAACGTAATCGCCCAATGCCTCCAAATAGCCCTCATCACGCCCCCAACCCACAAAAAGATCCTCGCCGTGCTCCCCGCCTTCCACATAACCGGCCTCGTGCACGCCCTGCACCTGCCAATCCTCCTGAACGCAGAAGTCTACATGTTATCTTCCTTCACCATGCCCTCCATGCTCTCCACCATCTCCAAATACAAAATCTCAGAACTATTGCTCGTTCCGCCGATTTTGATTAGGATGGTGAGGGATGAGGTTGTAAAGGAGTATGATCTGAGTTGTGTGGAGCGTTTTAGTTCTGGGGCCGCCCCGTTGAGTGAGGAGATTATTAGGGCGTTGGAGAGGAGATTCCCTGGGACGGGGTTTAAGCAGGGGTATGGGATGACGGAGTCTTGTTCTTGTATTACTGCGCATCCGCCGGAGATGTATGGGTTTGAGCATGCGCATAAAGTGGGTGCTATTTGTGCGAGTACGGAGGTTAAGATCGTGGATGAGGAAGGGAGGGAACTTGGTATCAATGAACCGGGGGAGTTGTTGGCGAGGGGACCGCAGATTACGATGGGGTATTTGGGGAATGAGGAGGCGACGAGAAATACGTTTGATGAGGAGGGGTATCTGCATACAGGGGATCAAGCAATGGTGGGGGAGGATGGCATGGTCACGATCACGGATCGTATCAAGGAGATGATCAAAGTGAAAGGAATCGGTGTCGCTCCTGCTGAGTTGGAAGATCTTTTGCTTGGTCATAGCAAAGTGGAGGATGTTGCTGTGCTTGGGATAGAGGATGAATACAGCGGGGAGAGACCAAAGGCTTTTGTTGTTTTGAAAGGGAATTTGGAACGAGGTGAGGAGGCAGGAAGAGAGATTCTGAAGTATGTAAAAGAGAGAAAGGTGAGGCATAAGTGGATTAAGGAGGTGGAGTTTATTGATGTCATTCCGAAGAGTGCCAGTGGGAAGATCTTGAGGCGAGTCTTGAGGGATAAAGCAAAGGCCGGGGAAAGGGGTGTCGTGGTTCAGGATGAGGAGGGTGTGAAGGCTAAGTTGTAGAGTAGATGTGTATGTACATCTTGTGAACAGATGCGAGATGTTGATTGGATTAATTGGTAAAAGAGATCATTCTCGGCTAATATGGTCCCACGGGTGAATTATTACTTTGAAACATTTTGGAGTGCATCAATGCCTCGCTAAGAGTTGAATGTTGACAATAATGTCGATCTCAGTTCACCTTCAGTGGCAAGTTTCTAAGAGTTGAAGAGTCAATCCGCCCTGAGATCATTGTTTGCTGTTGCACATCGCATCAATATTCCAAATGTTCCGGTACAATGAGATTGTCAAGATGCTGGGACGGTGAAAGCCAGTCACTTTCGCATAGAGTGAATTGTCATATTCCCAGTTGTTTCATGTCGACTCGATATTTGAGGTCGCTCCGGTACGATGAGATTGTTGTTACCTTGCTGGATGGAAACACTTATAGTAGTTATGTTTAGAGGAGGGTTTGTGGTTTGCAATTTTCAAGATGACAATCATAGAGAAGGATCCAATTTAAAGCGCCTCCCTCAACCTGATTGAGTACCTCTTCTCAGACTCCTTTCTTCTGCAATATCACATGTCATGTACATATACCAAGAGGATCACTTTTGTTGGTACAGTTTATTTTGGTATCCGCAAAGTCGCAGTAGTTATCTCACAATCTAGACGCCCTCCCCCATGCATGCTTTTGCCAAATAAACCAGCGCCATAAACTCCATTTCTCATTCCTTCCCACCCAAACACTCCTTTGCCCCCTAAACGCAAAGTCTGTAACTGGCATATCGCCCTGCCGTCTCTGACTTTCTAATAATCTTGACCACCTGTCCGCGTCTCAAGCCAAAATACCTCGCAACAGGATCGCCCAGCTGAATTCGCGGGAGCTGCGTGTCCTTCAATCGATATCTTTGCAGCAGGGCAGTTCTCTCCTCCTTGCTAAGCAAAACATGCTGAGGCACCAACTCATGATGCGTGATATTAACCAGCAAGTCCTGCTCAACGAAGCACTCGATTCTCGTCTCGGACGCAACGGCAGGGATGATCTTGAGTGCAGCGGGGGTGATATTGACGTTGGTGACCAGGATGCCGGTGTGGAAGTTGTGGCTGGTCAGGTACTGGGCGAAGGCGCGCATCTGCTTGATTCCTACGCTGGAGTCCGGCAGGAACTCGACCCAGATCGTGCCGATGTCTGGGCTGGCGGGGTTGGGGTCTGCAGCTGTAGGTGGGTTGGAGTATCTGACCATCATGGCATCAGAGGGACGGGCGGAGAACTTCATCTTCTTGCGACTGGGGGGTGTTAGCTTGAGGGAGGGAGACTACTATGGAGCTGAAGGGGCTTACTCGATGATATCCTCCTCCCCATCCGACGCGTAGTTGTACTTGAAGTTATCAAAGCTGATCTTGACTTCTTCGTCGGTCAGCTCGTAGCCGCGATCTTGGACCATCTCGTGGACTGTTCGCCATGCGCGCCAGAGTCTGGCTGCCTCCCTCTCGCCGGCCTCGCGTTGCTTCTTTGCCTTCTCCTCGTCTGCGGACATGTTGGTGGTGGTAGATACGACAATCGGAACTCGAAAGGGTTGGGGAGGAGGGAGGTCGAGGTCCGGAGAGTGGATGTCGAGGTGGTTGTTTCCTGGGAGGTCGAGGAAGTTGAGTCCTTCAAATATTCTCGCAAGCCCAAAAAGTTCACCATCGCGAATTGCACATTCACCGCTGCCCGCCGCCGTAGTAAATTTACAGGGGTGCACGGACGCCGTTCGAAATCTAAATCTGTTCTTGGGTTGCCGACAACGGATTTATTTCTCGTGCGCACAACCACATCACAGATATTCATTTATTTGTGAACAACCCTCCTCCCAGGGCAATTGATTCCTTCAACAACCTCTTTGCCAGTTCTCTTGGTTGGAGGTCACCTACAATCATGGCAGACGTTGCAACCCCATCTGGCGCGGCCATGTTTGACGGCGGTGCGCAAGACAAGAAGGAGAAGAAGGTGGTTGAGAAACCCGAGAAGCCCGATGAGGAGGCATACAAAGCGGCTCTCAAGAAGGCAGAGAAGGAACATTCTACGTCTATGGACAAGTTCGTAAGTACAATTCCTTGTCATTTTCGAACGTGAGCGCAAAGACTTCTGAAAGCGAGCGCAAAGATGCTCGGCAACCTGCAGTGACACATACTAATACATTTTATGCAGAATGCGATCAAGGGGCAACTTGACTCTGCGAAACTTTCGAAAGACTCTCCAGCCGGTAAGCGGAAATCGGAGCTGATCGCACAATTGAAAGAGATCCGGGAAAAGCAAGGCGCTGGTAAAGCTGGTCGCAACAAGGTCTTTGACGAGATTAAGAATGAAGACAACAAGTTGAAGGACCTGATCGCTGCTCAAAAGGTGGCCCGCAGCCGAGTTTCTTTTAAGAATGTTGAGGAAATCGACAAGGAGATTGACCGGTTGGACAAGCAGGTTAATAGCGGTATGATGAAGCTGGTCGATGAGAAAAAGGCATTGGCCGAGATCTCGAACCTACGAAAGCAACGAAAAGGCTTTGCCGGCTTTGACGAATCTCAGAAGCAGATTGATGAGAAGAAGGCCAAACTGAAGACCCTCAGAGACACTTTGGATGACCCCGAGTCGAAAGCACTCTCCGAACGATACAACAAGATCCAAGGCGAGTTGGACACCATTAAGGCAGAGCAAGACAAGGCTCATGCAAGTCTCGACTCACTTTACGACCAAAAGAAGAAGCTCCAAGCCGAGCAACAGGAGAAGTACAATGCTATCAAGAAAATCAAGGACGACTACTACCAGCAGGGCCGAGCCGTTCAGAAGTACGAATTCGAAGCCCGACAACGTGCAAGAGAGCGAAAGAAGGCGGAGCAAGAGAGTTACCAGAAGGAGAAGCGGATGGCGAGAGCTAAGGAAATGCTGGAAGCAGCCAGCGACAAGGCTTACCTGGACGAGATCCGCCGTGCTGAGTCACTCCTTCGATTCTTGGATCCCTCCTACAGCGCAGAGAAAGCACCTCTCCAAGCACCATCCCAATTCCAAGCCACAGCTCAACGTAAAGTCGATGATTCTGCCCTCAAGGGAATGAAGGTGGTCAAGAAGGAGGAAGAAGACTACTTTGCAGGTACTGGCGGAAAGAAAGGCAAGAAGAACAAGAAAGCCGCCGCCTCCACAACCGAGACCCCTGCACCAGCTGGCAAATACAGCTGCCCACCATCCGTTATGGAAGACTGTTCCGCAATGGGCATTGATCCACCCATGAGCGCATCCGACATCCCGGCTGTTCGTGAGAAGGTAATGGCGAAGCTGAAACACTGGAAGGAGGACCAGAATGCTCAAACCGAAAAGGTACACCCCCAACCCTGTCACAAACAACAAAGAACAAATATTAACAATCATTGATAGAATATTGCCAAAGCGAAACTTGAAGTCGAGCGCCTGGAAGCCGAGGAGTCTTCTTCTGTCCCAGGTACACCAACCACTTCTGCACCTAACGGACACGGTGAGACAAAGGCCACTGCCTCAGTCGACGAAGGTGGTTCTGTAGCTAACGAAGTGGAGCTTGTTAAGGCTGCCGCTTCAGACGTCGTCGCTGGCCTCAAGGGCGCTTCCTTGGAAGACAAAGACGAATAAATGATTTCACCCTCGCTCGGCCATCACCCCTTTTCCTCTCGCTTTTCGGTTATGATGGGATGGGGCTTGACGGCAGAAAAGAAAAGTTTACACATGAAAAAACTTCCTCCTTACATTTTGGCATCTTGCTTGGCTAGCTGACGGGGGAGCAACTTTCTTGTGTGTATTTTAAGTGGTCGGGTGCGGTGCTGATTTGGATGGAGCTGGCACCTCCAGAGGCAGAGAGGATAGTAGCAAGCAAGCAAGCCTGGTTTTTTCACATCACATGCATATTTGTGGCGTCGTTTTCGTTCTTCAGCAGTAGCAGATAATGCATTGCATTTCATTTCTCACCACGCCCTTCCGCCCCTGATATCGTGATCAATTGGTGCAAAACGGTCAAGATGTGAACGTATATTTTTGGGATTGATTTGAGATCTGATCTAACTCCAGTCGCTATGCTATGTCTGCTTGCTATGCCAATCATGTAAGAGGGGAGAGAGGGTGAAATGTACTCCGAAATGGACTCTGTCTGTCTGTCGTTCTGTCCTGTGGTCCGTTGCTGCGCCTGGGTACAACCCCTTCCACCACTCTTCCTTCTTGTTTTTTGTTTTCCTCAACCTCTTTTGTCTCCACTATTCTCTAAATTTCACCAATATTTCAAACCCACCACCCAACAAACTTCTACCTCCTTACATATCCCTCACAAACCCCCCTGGCGCCACATAGGCATACCCTCCTATTGGCGCAGGCGCATACATACTCCCCGGCCGGCCCCTCTCCCTAGCTCCTAAACTCGGTGGGGGCGGCGCAGTAATAACCCTCTCCCTGCTTCTCCTCCTTCTCCTCCTCTCCTCAACCTCACTAGCATCCCGCAGCCTAACCTTCCTCTCTCTCTCCCTGCCAACGGCAACCCCACCCAGCGCACTAAGTGGCGGATCCCTCACACCAGGCTCATCGTCACTCGGCAAGTTCAGATCCACCAACCCGTAAAAATATTCCAATACCTCGGGATAACGCTGCACGGAAGCTTTCCAATCTTCATCGATACCGCGTTTTAGCTCTGCGTCTGCGGCGGCGATTTCTGCGGGGTGGGGGCGCGCGTGGAAGTAGTAGGCTGCGCGTTCGGTCATACGGTGGACGGTTTGGGCGTGGTGGTCTTTGCGCCGTGTGGTGAGCATGGAGAAGTAGGAGAGGATGTAGTCTTGGGCGTGGCCGCGGACCCAGGCTCTGTGTCGTGTCTCATCAGCATTCAACTCCCTCGATCGAAAGGGGGATCTATTGGATTGGATTGGAAGGGAGGCATACCGTATGTCATTGAACACTGTCGTCATCATCCTCTGCTCCGCCTGCCGCACAGCTATATCCAGGCCCTTGGCTTCGCACTCACACTGGGCGAGGGCGGGCTGGTTGCAGATGGCACAGTCGGGGTCCATGATCTTGACCGGCTTTTTGGATCTGCTGTGCTTGATTAACATGGCTTCGGGGCGCAGATATGGCATCTGAGTATTAAGGACAAAATATTAAGAGTATGTATTAAAAATAAAATAAAATAAAATAAAGCCAAAGGGTAGAGGGGAGCGGCCTGGGTATGTGCAGTGCGGTGGGGAGAAGTGAGTATCAAAAGGAACAAAAAGAGGTTCCTAAGGAGCAGCGGCGCCTTTTGTAAAGTGGGAATGGGAGGGGAAGGAAAGGGGAACGAGGCACGGGATTGGAGAACCCATGATCGTGGGGGATGAACGGTGTAGAAGTGACCATCTCGAGGGGGGGAGGCAGAGGTGTGGGAGGGGAAGGAGGCAGATCACCCACCTCTCTAGTTTGCTGCGGATGTCTCGATCCCGCTATACATCTGCAACCGCAAGCTCGCGGTGCTCGCTCTCATCCACACACACACTATAGTAGAACAGAAAGCCACAGAGTGAAGGTCTAGAACGGGGGGGGCGGCGGTACACAAAAGGTGCAAAGGGTCAGGGAACAAGCACGAAGGCATTCAGACCGCAACTACGCAGTGGCCTGCTGAGAAATAGCTGTGTCGTTGCAGCAAGCTCTGCCATGGCCAGAGGGTGGAAAAGAGGAAAAGTGGAGCGCGAAACGGGGGCAGGCAAATGGGAGAGGAGGGTAGCGTCGCGCGGTGTCGTGGCTCGAATGCTTTGCGTCTCGTGAGTTGAACCAATGCTAGATGCGGCCTTGTGTAGCATATCATGAGATCCGGTTGGAGGTTGATGACAACCGACCAATGGCGCTCGTGATGGAGGTTTTGAGACCGGGGGTGTGCAGCTCTAGGTCATGCTAGGTGCATCTGGGTGCATGTTGGGAAGAGGTACTTAGAGGTCACATCTTCACCGCTGGATGCGGTGGCGGTGGATGAGAGGAGATGGAGATCCGACGCAACCAGCTGTTTTGCATTGGTCCCTCGATGGGACCAGGAAACCATGGTAGGGGGCCTGAGGGACCTGAATAGGGGAAATCCGAGATTCGTGAGATTTTGTGAGTGCAGTTGGGAGTGAAGGCTTGTCTCGGCGAGGTGAGACATCGGCTGGGTTGGGCTGGGACAGCACGGGCAGGAACAGCTCGGGCCGAGAGATGATCCGATGCCGTCCATATCAAAATTCCAACAGGTCTGCGAACCACAACCTTCTGCTCCCTGCACTGAAATATGCCACCAAGATGTCCCACCTTGCAAGGGACACTGGCGCCATTCCTCTACCCATTCCTTATCTCCAATGCAACCAAGTCGAGCGTCCGGCCCATTTTCAATTGCATCCGCCGTTATGAGAGCACGAGCGTCGAATCTGTCCAACAGCTCCCAGAAGAGGGTTCTCACTTAAACCCACCACCTACCGACTACTCGCGGACAATCTTCACCGATCGTGCAACAGTCACATTATATGCCGGCGCAGGAGGCCATGGCTGCATCTCTTTCCTCCGAGAAAAGTACATTGCAGCGGGACCAGCAAACGGCGGTGATGGGGGCAGCGGAGGCAATATCTACATACAAGCCGTACGTGGCGAGACGTCACTACACAAGCTTGCTCGACGCAACATACTAAAAGCTAGACGTGGCAAGAATGGGCAAGGAAAGGCTCGTGGAGGAGAACGTGGAGACGACATTGTGTTACAAGTTCCAGTCGGGACCGTCGTCCGAGAAATCGAGCGTATAAACCCAGTGGCAATCGAAGAGCAGAGACTGAAGCTTGAAGCGGGAAAAGAAGATGGCGTTGATGCGTCCGGACCCTGGAAATGGAGCCAGGACAAATGGCTGCTGTATCCTGCTACAACACCAGAAGATATTGCGACGGCGGAATTCCCTTCTTTGCCGAGGGGAAGGAAATCCGCGTTGGCCATGTCGCAGGTAAAAGCTCCTATATCTTTGGATTTGACCGTGCCAATGGAGACACCTCTCTTGCTGGCTGCCGGAGCTATTGGCGGTTTGGGGAATCCGCATTTTGTTACGAAGACTGTGCCGAGGCCGAAGTTTGCTACGAAAGGGGAACAGGGTGTGAAAATTACGTTAGAGTTGGAGTTGAAGCTTTTGGCTGATGTTGGGTTGGTGGGTCTGCCAAATGCTGGGAAGAGCACGTTGTTGAGAGCTATGAGCAAGAGTCGAGCCAGAGTTGGGAATTGGGCGTTTACAACACTGCAGCCAAATATTGGAACTGTGGTCTTGGACAATCATAAAGGTCGACCATTGTCACAGGCGAAGTATGGCGATGGAGAACCAAGGACGAACTTTACAATTGCGGATATTCCAGGTCTGGTGCAAGATGCTCATTTGGATCGTGGTCTGGGGATCAGTTTCTTGCGGCATGTTGAGAGAGCAAGAGTTCTTGCTTTTGTGATCGATTTGAATGCAGGTGATGCTGTGGAAGCTCTAAAAGGACTTTGGAAAGAAGTCGGCGAGTACGAACGGATGAAAATCGAAGAGCAGAAAGAACAGTCGGATCCAATCGTCCACTGGTCACCGTTCACTTCTGTTGAAGACGCTTTGGCGAATCGTCAAGAAACGATTGCCGTTACATCTGGGCCTACTTTTGAAACCCCTCTTGCTCCAGCAGCACCGAGCATTGCTGGCAAACCGTGGTTTGTAGTAGCAACCAAAGCGGATCTGCCTGGAACCAAGGAGAACTTTGAGGCTTTGACAGCGTACTTGGAACTTGTTAACAGTGGCGGGGAAGAGCACCCCAGTGGGCAACAGAAGCCATGGGAAGGGAAAGTGGAGGGGATTCCGATCAGTGCTATCAACGGCCATGGTGTGGAGAGAATCACGGAGTGGACGATTGGGCTGCTTGACGATTAATGTAGCCGACATGATGAGTGTATATAGTGTACAGATATGGTATGTTATATCGAATGCATCTCTAAGATGAAAATACTTCTGAAATTTCTCGCAGAAAAGACTCCCCGGCCCTTTTCCTGAAAAGGAGCTGCGGCACGTGCCCTTCCGCCAGTCCGCCAAAACACGCGATGCCGTGGTTCCGAAACTTAGATGGAAAAGCCACATAATTTCTCCGCCAACACTTCTTCCCTTCTTCCTCAATTTACAATCCTGCTTCACACCGCCCCGGAGAGACCACCGTGTTCAATCTTCGATTCCCTTGGAAGATCTAGGCTAGGCCGCCACGCGCCTTCGGTTAGTTGTAATACACCGAAATCTGGGCCGAAAACAACCCCCCCCCCCATTACTTTCTTTAACAGCCAGCACACTTAGGTTCCCTTAAAAAAATAACATCAATTAATGCGCAGTCCACAGGATTACCTTCGATAAGATTGCAAAAACTTGATTGCCACTGCTATGGAAGTTAATATAAAAAACATTGATTTTCGGCCCGGATTTCGGTGGCAGCTTCGGCCAAAAAACCTGAGATCAACCTTCAGCCTCGCTACTGCCTCGCCTTCTCACCGTCCTCGATTTACTATCTTCCAATATTACCCTCAAGATACTGCCGTCAACCTTCAATCAAGCTCAACAAATATAGGTTAGGCATCTCCCACACACATTCGTGCATCATGCCGCCCACATCGGGTCCAGTCGTCGATGCTACGCAAGGCTATGGCCACTTCTACTTCGCACCTCCTTATTTCACACGCGGCTATCGGTCTTCGTCACGTTGCAATCGTCCCATCAAGGTTCACAAAAATCCAAAAACAATCAATGAGCCGAGGTATGATTCCGCGGGATCTTGAGAAACCAGTCTGACAGCCTGGCAGCCCGTTCGAGACCTGTCTGCCGCAGTTCCCGTTCACGAAGCTGCCCGTGGAGATCCGTCACATGATCTACAATCTGCTCTTGGCTGCCTTAACTGAAGACCGCTCTGGATTGCAATTTAGAGAGGAGTTCCCTGGAGTGGCGATGGGGCAGGGCTTCCGATTCAAGGTTTTTGAGACCGACCACGACGATACCGGAGACACGGGCCAACTGTGGCAGCGTCCTTACTATGAGGTCGAGATCAAGGAAGTTCGTGTTCCGCACTTCGATGAGGAGTACTATGGCCATCCGGATCGCGGCTCTAACTGCGCACCCCCGGGCACATGCGACGACCTTGATATGAAAGAATGCCAGGCCATCCATCATCTATCTCATGTTAGCCGGCAATTTACCTCGGAACTCGGAGAATGCTTATGGGGAAATGCAATCATTAATATCCAATGCCCAGATTTCTTCTTTGATTTCTTCGAAGATCGACCTCAGATTTGGAAGCACATCAAGGGCCTTTCCCTTTTCATCTATTGGACCAACATAGATGATTCCGCCAATTTTGGGGCTCTTCTCCTCAGGATTTCGAAGTTCGTCTCAGGACACCTCGATCTTCGTGTTTTCTCTATCCGTATGGTTCCGGATTACCATGGATTGACTGATCTTTCCAGGTTCGAACGCTTGAAGAGCTGGATCACCGCCTTCCGAGGCCTCAAAATTGGAGAAAAGTTCACGGTACATATTGAAACATCCACTGCAATGTCAAACCTGGATCACAGGGTAAACGAGCTTAGCAGAAGGCTTTCGGCTTTGTGGCTACCAGACTCGCTAAGGGCGGCTAAGGTGAAGGCGTAAGGACACCATTGGGCGTCTAGTCACTCATGCTGATGTCGATGTTTGCTCTCGTTACCTCAGGATTTGGGCTTCCTGATAACTCTGGGCGAACAAAATTCGGCGAGCATTTCCCTGCCTGGCAGGAAGTAGCAGCCTTTATTCAGGGAGTCCTCGCCATCGGGGTTTGCTCGGCTCATGTGGTATATACATGCATCGAAAAGTATAGCATATGACAATAAGCAACATGCATGCATGCATTGGCTTTGCTTTTCTTCCCTTCTGTGTTTCATCAATGGACTATCTCGGCACGTACTGAATGCCTTCGATCAGCCGAACAAGGGACAGGAATGAGTCTAAGCTTTTTGATTGAACTTCAAGTGTGCATTTTCGGGCCAGGAACCCTTTGTTGCTTTTGCCTCGTTCAGTACAGCCTTCTCCGCTATCAGTATGCTTCTCCATGAATTTATTGAAGTTACCGTCCCCGTCTGAATGTCGATTCCAGTTTGAACTCACAGGTTAAGGGCTCGATGATCACGACAAACCCTCCTCTCCCGAGTAATCTCCTCAAAATCCCTCAAGTGTGACCGTTTTTAGCACTAGTGGTCTGTCAAAGCATTACTCAGACACAGGTCAGCCGTGCGTAGCTCGGAGGTTCTAGATCTCTGCCCGGCTTGCCCCTCACGAGGGAATCTTGGCCTGCAGGTCGGCAAAGCTTGTCTAGAAGTCACCTGATTTAGTGGTCGGATCCACCACTCACAAGCTGCAGGTTAGCCTTACCCGTCGACGCCAAGATTCAATCTTAAACGTTGTATAAATGGTTTCGTGAGAGGACAATTCGAGTTGCAATGTCGGTTCTGGGGAGCAGCATGTGCCGTCTAGAAGGGTTACGAGATGAGAAAGATAACATCACCCCATTGCAATATCTTGCTCGCCCAGAAGCAGCCGACTGCTGCGTCTAGATCCAGCCTCTGGGACTCTGACCCAATCAAATCTTCCGAACAAGCTGGAATGCAATATTGCGGGGTAGCGGTATATGTCGAAATCTCGGAGCTATTCAGTATGCGCGATTTTCTGAAACGGCATGTCACCCTTATCGCGAGCTGAGTGCGAGGAGGGAGGGAAGTGGTTGAAGCAGTACAACGCAATTGCGCGATTTAATTTTCTACGACTTGTGAAAACATCAGATGTCAAACTCTCACAACTACGCGAGGTCACACGATCCTCAACCCCGCGCTAGTAAACACTTAGAGGCATACCCCCCCTCGCCTTCTCAGCCTTCCGTCGTTGTCGTCGCGATTTTTCGAATCCAACAATCCGAGATTCAGCGCCTCAGGCCTTTCGGCCATTGGCCCACCACCACCAGGCCGCCATGGACCCCCAAGCCGAAAAGAAGGTGGTCGCGGCCGAGGATACTGTGGAAATGGTTCAGACTACCACCCACCTCGGTGGCGACCACAGGATTCAGTTCATCCCAACCGTGAAGCCAGAAAGGGAACCCAGGGCCGGTGCCAGAGATGATGGCTCAGCGTTTGTTCCTCCGTCGCGGCGATCTCAATCCGTGGGCTCCCTCACACAGCGACGACAATCTGGTGTTTCTCTTCCTCCCGTGATCTCTGAAAAGCAGAAGGCTCGTCGTGAGCAGGAAAAGGAAGAGGAAAAGAAGCATGTGGATATCAACGAGCATCTTATGCCTCACCTGGAAGTGGCCGAGAAGTACCACACAAGAATCAACATGGCAAAACCTGGAGATTCACTGGGCTTGACATCCGAACAAGCTGCGCAACTGCTTACTGAGTATGGTCCCAATATTTTGACCCCTCCTTCAAAGAGACATTGGATCCTCAAGTTTTGGGACTGTTTGAAATCTCTATTCAACTTGCTTTTGATTTTCGCCGGTATTCTGGAGTACATTTTGCTTGGTATCAACTTCCATGAAAACTTCCAAAATGTGAGTCTCACATCGATGTCATCGTCAGGGAACGCCAGGTACACTCACTTATACTTATCATTTCCAGACTTACCTGGGTGCCATTCTAATTGCGGTTGCCTTCATCAATGCCTTCATTGAATTTTACCAGCAACAAAAGTCTCAAGCACTTTTGGAGTCATTCCTTAACATGATTCCAGCCAAGTGCATGTGCATCCGCGATGGCAAGCTGGCTCAGATCGAAGCTGCTACTTTGGTACCAGGTGACGTTGTTTATGTCCACATGGGCGATAAGACTGCGGCCGATCTTCTGGTATTTTCTGCTTCGGACTGCAAAGTCGACAACTCCTCCTTGACTGGTGAATCCGAACCGCAGGAACGCACCAAGGACAACGATATGATGAATCCATTGGAAGCTTCCAACCTCATGTTCAATAGTACCTTGGCGATCTCTGGTGAAGCTTATGGAATCGTTATTCGCACTGGAGACAGTACAGTCCTTGGCCAAATTGCATATCTAACAGCTGGCGAAGACAAGATGATCTCTCCTTTAACACGTGAAATCGACAATTTTGTCAAGCTTATTGCAACCATCGCCATCATTACAGCTCTAGTCTTCTTCGGCGTGGCATTCCCAGTCAACAACAACAATGTAACCCTAGCAATCAATTTCGCAATCGGAATTTTTGTTGCTTGGGTGCCTGAAGGCCTCCCTGCCACAGTCACGATGCTCTTGACTATTGCTGCAAAGAGAATGGCTACTCAGAATGTCTTGGTCAAAGATTTGAAGGGCGTGGAAACTTTGGGTGCTATCACGCTCCTGGCTACCGACAAGACCGGCACTTTGACAAGGAACCAGATGACCACGACCAATATTTGGACCTGTGGCGAGCTTTACGAAGCCTCTGATCGTGCTGGTGCCGAAAAAGACATAGCCACCATAGACCATGCGGGTGTGCTCGAAATTCTGCTTATCTCTGCCCTCTGTTCTAAAGCAAAATTCGATCGGGTTGACGTTCCTATGAAGGAGCGACAGATTATGGGGGATGCCACCGAAACAGGACTTATTCGCTACGCCGCCGGACAGCTGAGAGACTACGACAACCTCGCCAACCTTTACCCGAAAGTCTTCGAACTCCCTTTCAACTCCGAAACCAAATGGCATATGAGCATCCACAAAAAGCCGCACGCCAACGGCTACCTCACCCTGTTCATCAAAGGCGCCCCGGAACGTGTCTGGAAGCTCTGCAACCGCATGCTTACCGGCACGGATGGCGAATGCGCTCCCATGTCTCTCGCCTACAAAACCGCCTACGATGAGACTTACGAGCACATGGCGTCTCGTGGCCATCGTGTGCTCGGCTTTGCTGAGATGCTTTTGCCGGGCGATAAGTATCCCGAGGACTTTGTCTTTGACAAGAAGGAGAAGAACTATCCATTGGGTGACTTCATTTTCGTTGGACTTGCAAGTTTGCAGGATCCGCCGAAACATGGAGTCAGAGAGGCGATTGGGAAGTGCAGAGCTGCTGGGATCAAGGTGATTATGGTTACTGGTGATCATCCTTTGTGAGCATATTCTCTTTCTGATTGTTCCACGGATGGTGGTACATTTGAGTTCCTTGGTCACATGATACTGACTAAATTTCCAGAACTGCTGAAGCTATTGGCCGCAAAATCAACTTGATGCTCAGCGAAACCAAGGCCATGGTAGCTAAGCGAAGAGGTAAGCCCATTGAGGAGATCCAGGAAAACGAATTCAAGGCCATTGTGGTTCATGGCGAGCAAGTTGACACTTTAACCGACACTGAATGGGACAACATCTTTTGGAAGGATGAGATTATCTTTGCTCGTACATCCCCCAAGCACAAGCTGGAAATTGTCCGCCGAGGGCAGTCAATGGGCCATATTGTCGGCGTAACTGGTGACGGTGTCAACGATTCGCCCGCTTTGAAGAAGGCTGATCTGGGTATTGCCATGAACATCTCCGGCTCCGATGTCTCCAAAGAAGCAGCTTCCATGATCCTATTGGACGACAACTTCGCAAGCACCGTGCGTGGTATCGAAGAAGGGCGTCTCATCTTCATCAACCTCAAAAAGTCGATCCAGTACACCATCACCCACATCTTTCCCGAGGTTGTCCCCAATTTACTCTACGTCATTGTGCCCATTCCACTTCCTCTCTCAGCCATCTTGATTCTAGTTATTGATCTTGGCTTCGAACTTATCGCTGCTTTGTCTTTTGCTTGGGATCCACCTGAGACTGAAGATGGCCTGATGAAAGTACCGCCGCGAAAGCCAGTCACACTAGAAACCTGCAATATCTTCCGTGCTCGCGCTCTACGCCAAAATAGATCACGTTTCGATGAAGAGGCAGGTCTCATCGTCCCTCTTGAAGATCAATCCAAAATCCAGCAATGGATCTGGGGCATTCGACAGTTTTTCACAAAGTCTTATTGGGCGGACAAGTTTGAGAATACAGGCGCTGAAGTGCTGGTCGATGGCCCCGTCCTCTCCTGGGCTTACCTCGAAATCGGTGTTATCGAATCGATTGGGTCTTTGGTGGCATTCTTCGTGGTTATGAATAAGCGTGGCATTACTCCTTACGATGCACATATCATGCAGAAGGGCAACGGACCTCCAACGAACTATTTCAATAGCGATGCGCAGACGTATAATGGTATCGATGGCCGCACCCAAGCTGATATCTTGGCTGAAGCGCAGTCGATGTGTAAGCCCTCCACCCCCCTCCGTCATCCCACCTCCAGAACCACATAACTAATTCAGTCGATAAATGACTAGACTACTGGTCCATAATGACCATGCAAATGTTCAACCTCTTCGCCTGCAAGACCCGCTTCACTCTCCCATTCGGCAAATACATGTTCGCGAACCGCGCGACCTTCTACTGCATCCTGGCCGGCGCCTCGCTCGCTGCATTCGTCATCTACACGCCTGGCGTCGAAGTCGTGTTCAAGACTTCGAGATCTTTGAGTCCCCTGTATTGGTTGATCCCGATGGCGTTTGGGTTTGTGGTTATTGCGTATGCGAGTCTGAGGTTGATCGTCAGGAGGAGAGTAAAGCCGATTAAGTGGAATCCGGATATTCAAGGATTGCAGATGTACCCTACGATTCGCACTTTTAGGAGTATGTCGAGGAGGAGTAGTAGGAGTCTTTGATGAAGAGTCATTGGGTGGACGGGGGATTTATTTTTTGTTTGCGGTGAGGGATGGCGGTTAGTTGTGGATGGAAGAAAGGGGCTTGTTACTGCTCTGAGCTTTGAGCATATGTTTGTGATATGATATAGATCTCTGGTCTTTGCTAGGCAGGATGGCACTGAATGCATTCGTTTCACTTCTCTGAGGGAGCGTTGAGCGGTTCTTAGCATTGGTACATTTCTAGATAAACGAAGGATAATGTCAGACATGGCATTGCGTTGTATTTAGCTGGTCTTATATATAACTTTTTGTAGCAAAAGTTCTCTGTTGGGATTTCAGAGGACCTTTGATGATCGGTGTATCCGAGGTTTGCCGTTCCCTCTAGCTCCTTGAAACATACTGCTGTTGAAGTCTAGTCATTAGCATGTGGTATAGAATTCGTGTGGTGACACCGCATCAGATAAAACAATCGCTTATGCCACTTACTCAAGACAACACACGGTGCGGGCTCCGTGATAGCGCTGCCACTCACACTTCACCGTTTCAGCTGGACCCCTCTTTCATTCTCAACCCCCAAAATCTTTACTGGGTTGACTCGAAGACTGTATCTAGAAGCCTGGAGAAACATTTAATTTCGCTTCTATGGGGCAAGCATTCCAAAATTTAACTCGATTTGGGCCGCAGCCTCGACATTAAGGGCGAGATTCAAGGCTGCACTCCCAATACTGAAGCCGAAGGAATTGGGGACAGGCGTTATCCCGTCAAGTGTACTATGAAAGCTGTGGACCTCAACAACAATCCTGATTCTGAAGCGCTTTCATATACGTAGGGAGACGGTCTAATATTCTACAGTTGCCAGAAAGCTGTAGTGCTACAGAATGAGTGGTACAAACCCATATACGAAGTTTTTATCGACGGCCATCCAGTGTCAGAGTCACTGCGAATCTCTTCGCAACCATGCCCTCTTGGCGGTTCTATATCGAGTCCATCCTCGACACAACTCACGATCCGGAGCGACTCGCCCAGCCGAAGGAGATGAACTATCAGCGAAAGAGCTATCTATGGATCGATTCGTTGCGTATCAACCTAAGTGATCTTCAAGAGCACGCTTCCCAAGTCACCCTCATGGGCCGGATTTAGAGGACTGTCGCCGCCTGGCTCGACGGGGAGGATGAAGCGTCATTCCAAATTATGGCCACGCTCGGTACCCTCTTGAAAATCCGGCCAGACCTCACTGGAAGATTAAAAACGATGAGCGTGTTCCACTCTCGAGACTCGGGCTTACTAATTCATGAACATTCGACCGATTAACGTCCTCCAGTGGATGAACTTGTTTGCTTTCCTCAGCCGGTCCTGATTCAAACGAGCTCAGGTGGCGCAAGAGATGCGATTGCCAGGATTGTCATAATATGAGTTGACGTAAAGGGTTTCAATATCGACACGATGATGGCGACGATGATCTTTCTGAGGCAAGCGAACGGAGCGACGGGCTGGGATATTTTGGTATCATGAATCAATTTTCCATTTCTTGACTGCCACATGGAGTTAGTAAGCTTGCCGCTCTTGCTCAGACGCTAATCACCCTCGGTTCACCCTGTGCTCAGTCGACTCGCCTGAGCGCCTTGAGCACCCGCCCTGAGCAGCTCACCTGAGCAGGCCTGATTATCCTGAGCAAAATCGTCACATGTTTTGACTTCTCGCTTTTTAACCAATTACATCTGATTTGACCTCTGTTCTCTCATATCACTTTTGTTAAGTTTTGACAATAATACTCAAAGAGCCCAAACAAGCCCAAGGAACCCAAAGTGGACACTTTCCAAAAATGTACTTATAGCTTTGCTATATTATAAGTTAGATTGACATGAATACCCCCGAGGAGAATACTTCTCTTTCTTCTATAAATTCCTTCCTGTTCTATACTTGTCTTGATCTAAGTCCCCCACCCCCCATTCCGGCCACCTCGCCTAACTCCAAACCCCCCCCGTTCAACACTTAATAACTCTACAACGCTTGTATTCCTATACAATTAGCTATAGATATAGTATTAGAGTCTTCGTGTTCAATATCGTGATCCCCAGCCATTATTTGAGCCTCTTTGATAGCCTTAACGTCCACAAATCTGGAATTTGGGCTAGTCTGGACCTCCCTCCGTTTCCGTAGCTGAAATTGCTCTAACTCAGTAAGGATATTCCTACTCGGGAGGCGGCTTGCTACTATTACAGATTTATACTATAGTTTTTCATTAATATCCCAGACGAGTTCCGCGTTTTATTTTTTTCTTTTATGAGAGGTCATCCTCCCCAAGGGCGATTACTACCTCACGTAATCTCCTCGCCGGTATTGTCTTCTCTCTTTCTCCTTGGAGCCTAATTAGATGCCCGTACGAAGCATATCTACATACGATGCCTTCTTTATTACACGGGTTGCTGCGAGCTCTCGTATAACAGTAGCTAGCCCTTTCATCTGGGCTTGCAGTCTGCGCCACCTCAATATCCTCCCTTCCCCTCCCCCATTTTAAAGCCACCCCTTTTACCTTATCCCACACGTCTCTAACTCGTACGGGCCAATTATCTCGTACGAAGGTCTGAATTATCTGGATTATACTAGTTATGTCCCTGCTTGCCGCAATAGCGCAATAGCGTCCAGATGCGTCACGCATTCCATGTAGACTCCTTTGTTATCGATGGAGATGCTGTAATTAAAGGTTGTTGAGTAATGATCTAGAAGCAGGCAGGAAAATAAAGAAGAGAGGCCGTTATTCAAGTAAATGATAGGAACCAATCTGTTAAATTACTTTAAGGAAATTAATCAGGCGGTGAAGACCCGACAGAAAAGAGTATAAAGTCGTAATTGAGGAGATTATATCCAAATGACCCCCGAACTTTTTTGGTGATCTGGCAAATGATGGCGAACCAGGTGCTACAGCCGCCAATATCTTGAAATGAGGAAAATGAACGTTTATGAAGTTTTAGACATCTTGTCACATATGCCTTTGATGTCAGCGTACTCATCCCATTCGCTAGTCGGCCAGGTTTGGCCGTTTTCGTGGCTTCCATCCCCACTCATGTCCGAGCTCATAGGCCCGCTGCTAGCGCTTTTCTTGCTCACCCTCACATTGTCACTCACTGTTCCGCTTCTGCTTAAAGTAGAATTGGAGACTGTTCTTCCTTGTGATGGGACAATCGATCTTACTGGCAATGTGAGCTGCGCTTGGAGAGACAGGTCGGCGGGCAAGATAGCGCAGCGGAGCCCGGGCAAGTTGGACTGCAAGTAATTTTCAACAGGAAGAACTGAAAGCCCATTATCTGAGACACTGATCTGATTCTTCATGTAGTCCAATTTCGTCTCAATCGTTTTCACCGTCGAGCCTGGTCTGTCATTCTCGGACGGCAAATGTAGACGAAGGTTGTTGAAGGTGATCGTCAAAAATGCGGCGTGTTGATGAGTATATGAGCCTGATTCTATGGTAGACTCACAAGTCAGAAGTAATTGTTCTGCACTTGAGCTCCAATTCTCTTCTCCACTAAGAAGAAGTCCATATATCTGGTGGGCTTTTGCCTTTTCGCTAGCGTGACGACCGTTCAAGTAGAACGAGGAAGGCTGCAGTAGGTGTTGGTACAAGTACTTTGCCGGATAGACGAAGTTAAGAACAGTGCAGCTGTGTGCAAGGTGAAGTCCGTGGATGAAAAGTTCAGGACAAGCTCGGTGGATATCTTCATCAGACCTCAAGGCTTTTAGTGTTAACATCATTTCCTTTAGGGTTCTTGTTAATGAATCCCAATCTTGCTCACTCAGCCAAATCAATTCTGCGAATAGATAGTATATTCGTCCGAAGAATCGGTCATTTTCTTGGAGAGAGTAGTTGGTACAGTCGAGGATAAAGTGGGTCAAAGCAATGAACAACCACTTTGTTGATTTTTCCAGGCGGCCAGTCCTAGCGAAGATTGTTCCAAGTAGGGCTGCGACGCTCTCCTGGGAGTCTATGGCAATGAGGCCGCGGCAATGGTCCTCTGCCTCGTCGTATTTGCCAATCTCAATAAGTGCTTCAGCCAATTCAAAGCGTACTGTCAATGCTTGAGGGGTGTATTCTCGATTTTGGCGTAGATATCGTGTGAATTTGCCGGCAAGAGTAGACGGATCTTTATTCTCTTGCTCGACGACGATTATGGATCGAGACTCCAAGAAAGGTTGAGGCACGTTGTTGGGAAGGTCTGGCCATACATCGTATTCTTCGGAAGGCAATCCAAACTCTCCGAATTCTTCGGATAGATTGTGGTCGTTAACTACAGTATCATCGTGGTAGTTGAGTTGGTGAGACAATTCGAAGTGTGACCACGGCTGATGTTCATCCAAAAGCCACCTATCAATACCTCCTATCAATGAGAACCGGGGCTCATCCGGCAAGTAGATCCTGTAAGTTTCACCTGGCTCTATCTCCCATTGATGAGAACAAACAGAGCAAGCGTGGCCGAGGGAAGAGCTCAGTACTTGGGTGGAAGTTGATAGGCACACGGTGAGTTTCCCATAAGATTCCTGAGATTTTTAGCGGGATGTAAAAGAATAGAGGGCAATTAATTACCTTTTCAGAAGAGTCACCTTCATTCTCGGGACTTGGCGTGTGATATCGAATGTTACTCGGAAGTGCTACGAAGTTCATTAGGTTGAGATCAGAACAGGTTATCTAACAACTCACCAGGAGCTAAGGGAGGAGCAATGCCTCGACAATGTTTTTTCTTGAAGTTCTCAATTCTCTTTTGAGTGATGGGTGTGTCTTCAAAAGAGAAGACAGTTTTCTTCCTTTTTTGTGCACGCTGCGCTTCTACCGCGACAATGGCGTGCATAGTGGAGGCTGGAAAGTGCTTAAAGAAATTCCATTCTTTGACCTTTTCTTTCCATCTCGAAATGCTAGATTTCGTGAGATCTCTATTTCATTTTACTCTTGGTATGTGCAATTTAAAGCTTACCATGCCTGAAATCCGTGAATTGCCTGCAGCTGTGCCTGAACCAACCTAAGTGGGTTCTTTTCTACCACGTACAAGCGATGGACCTCCCATTTGATCCTTTGCCAATCTTCGGGTCCAATGTCTCGGGCTGTAAAATGGGAATCGTCATTAGCCATGATGGAAATGAGATGGCAAGGTGTGTAGAGCGAGGCAATGGAAACGGGGCAGAAATAGAATGCTGAGCGCAAGGCGAAGGTTTGAAGAGAAGAGGAGGAAGATATCGACAAAAAGTCAACCCTGAACGGCTTGATGAGTAAGTCGACTGACCAATTGCACCAAATTTCCTACTCGCTAAACCTCGAGAACGCCACAGCCTATGCCGCGAACCAGTGGTCGAGGGTGTGCCAAAGGTTATGCATGATATGGGTTCGGACCTGACCACTCACCACACTCATGCCAAAGTTTACGCCAAAAGCGAGACGAATCAAATAGGTCAGACAGTAATCCCTACATGGGTCCCGTCGGTTGATGCACCGGATCTAATAGAGTACATCGCGAAGCTGTTGTGGAACCCGAGGTCCTAAAGTCTAGCGAATAGCCGTCACCCATCAGCGAAAACCACCACCCGCCACCGAAAATCGACCCCTTTAATAAAATCAACGCTTATTAGCGGAAAACGACGCCAGTTATTGAAAATCATTACCCATCAATGAAAGCGAGGTCTACCAGAGGGTGCTAATTATAAGTACGAGGATTGAAAATCGTTTCTAGATTTTAGGGTAGCTTTTGCTAATCCCTAGTCAGGGGTATGATTGTTATGGCTACATTTTCGTGAGGCCGGAATCCCCCCTTTTGGCCATTTAAGCGAGAAACCCTACCACTTTAAGAAGCGAATTTTGCCCGTGCACTACTTAAAGTATATGTTTATCCTATGTATTTCTATATAATAGATCAAATAATTAAATAATTAATTCTTTAAAGCCTTAGACTCATAATTATAACTCTTCTTTTAAAAATTTAATATTATATGGTTTTTGTGACGGCAGGAACAGAGCAATGGAACGAGGCTCAAAGATCAATGATTTCCTATGTCTTGAGAATTTAAAGCTAAGGAGGAAGGAGTGAGGTGTGGCAGTGGATAAGTAGGTATGGCCAAGACTACTGAAACGCTGAGCTTTGGAAGCGAGCTTGGTTTGAACCATAGCTTGGAACCTTAGCTGAAACCAACCCCTTTGGCTGAAACCAACCATGTGACACCAGCCGTCACAGTTTTGTTATATTATTAATTATAACTTTATATATATAAGTGAAATTTTGCTAAGTTATTTTATATAGGCTTAAAAGTAGCAAAAAGCGATTTTAGTAAAGTGCGGGGTTAGTAACTTGTAGCTTTTGGTAGAGAAGTTAATGCCTGACTAAACTATAGCCATAATAATCGTACCTAGCTAAATGACAGCCGTACGGAGAGACTAATAATAGGGGTCACATTTGTATATAAGTACAGCCTATTTACTATACTAGAAACAGGAGTGCGATTAATCATTCTTGCAGGCCAACCTCCCTCTCTTCCATTCTCAAGACTGACACAAAACAGGCCTAGAACAGGTTCCCAATCAAGAGTATTATTGTAATAAGTGATTGTTACAAGGGTTAAGCGTTGTGGATAATTGCTTATTACGCTATTGACTCGCTTTCACTTTTGCGTTTCTGTAGCGCCAGGCGGCTTCGGTTTGTAAGCGCACCCGCTGCTCTCCCATTTAATTCCTTTGTCACAGAGTCGCTATCTAAGGAACACTGCTATCTGTCACAACTTGTTTCCAGCCTTCCACCAACATAGGCCTTGCACAACACTGTGCATTAATAATTAAGATAAAGCTAAGAAATGAATTTTGGATAGGCTAGTAGACATCTCGGATCCTCTATCATTAGCACCTGCTGACAGGAAACACCAGTGGTACTAGTTCACCCACCCATGGACGACGCTTGCTTTATTAATGAATGAAAAGACAAGAAGTCAAAGGTGAAATTCTGCTTGGAACCTTTCCTCGAAGCATATAAAGATTCCATGGAGCCTTTGTCCTCCTCTGGACGTCTGGACACTCCTGTGATCCAACGAGCAGGCGGCATGTCGGACGACCCTGAGCAGTATTGGGAGCGTAGCATTCCGGTCGGCTTCAACCCGACAATCCTAGCATACAATCGCTCGCCTACTATCCACTCCGGATTGTTGCTGCCATGTGGGTCAAGTACGTGGCTGTGACGCTCGAATACACGGTGGGGCATGAGCACAAAGACAATGGCGACCCGGTGCTCGAAAAGTTCGATATCAGGTTGCAAGAGCTTCAGAGCTGGAGACGACGCAGCATGATCTCTCGGCAGAAAGTACAATCGGTCCTCAGTCTGCTGAAGGAATGGATGGCAAAGTATCCAACCGATGCAGTCCTTTTGCAACCCTTAATAACGGATTACGAGTATATCAATGCCAATATTGAAGAATATGGTCGTATGCTAGAGCGTTCCGTATCCGTGGTTATATCTGTTGTTCAGATATTCGAAGTTCGATGGGCATTCACCGAAACAACTAACATCACACGTCTGACAATTCTAGCACTCATTTTCTTCCCACTGAGCTATATCTCTAGCTTGTTCAGTATGAACCCGAGCAACGCGCCAGGGAGTTCTCATTTTTTTTCGTGTACTTTGCAGTCGCAATACTAGTCACCTTGTTAGTATCATGATCGCACTATCTTCGACGCCAAAGGCATAGAACATATTTACCTGGTTCAAAGCACCTCGCAAAAAGCACCTCGATGGCTCAGCTCTTGTCTAGGAGGCTCTGGCAACGCCTCACCTAGATGCCACTGTTACTAGTGATACGCAAATACTGCCATGGTCGGGAATCGGGTTGCTATTCAACTCCTCCGGCGCGGAGTTTGCTTGCATGAAATTGCAACTTGATTGATTAAGTTTTCCTCCTCTGTACTGTAGCATTTTGTTGGAGCCAACGTTCTACAGCAAACCGAGACTGTTGACTTCAACGTGAAAGGGCTCTAGCACTGCTTCATTCGCGAAGTCTCCTCTCTTACGCAACTGCGGGGAAACGGAAACGGAAATGGTTCAATGATAGACCAATCGAAACCTTCGCTTGTCGTGGCCATGCACTAAATTTTGTAAAAGCGGTGTTCTTCTGCGATTGGTGTGTTTGAAGCTGGCATTGGTGTTGTATGAATTTGGTAAGTGTGAGCTTTCTGTACAGCGGTAGGGGATGGAAAAGATCTCAATGTTTGAGTGGGTCGAATTCATTCAGCCAAAATGCAGACAGCGATTGAAATAAATTAACACGCGCTCTTTGATAAGAGGGATCCAAAATCTGCTCCGGCAGGAACCTGAAAGGGAGCAGAAACGGATTCCCGGGCAAAAGTCGGTAAGGAAACTGTAGCCGGGCACGCAGGAGGCCGAAATGGGTCCCACATCATGGTGCGCAGGCTGGCTCAGGCTCTGCTCGGGCCTGCTCAGGGCTTGCTCAGGCTCGGCTCCGGCATGCTCACCTTCGGCTCAGGTTAAAGCAGCAGTTGCTCACGTCTGCAGATTAGTACGGAACTAGCGAAAGGGAAAATTAAACCTGAGTCTCCGGGTAGTGCTTGCATCCAATCTACTCAAAAAGAACAGATGAACCGATCAACACCGGGCTACAAAAACCCGCTTGTCCTCTACAATAACCAGCCGGTAACATCATTGGATCCTTGACTTTTCGGAATGACCCAAAATGTGAGAGCAGGTTTGAGGTTGAATTCGATATAGTCAAATGTAAACCGGAGCTACTCCACTTCCTCTGCGCTCAATCCTGTCTCAATTTCAAGCGACCGAGGCATCAGATTCGAGAGACAAAGTGTCCGCCTTTTAAGTATTTCCAAGGAATTTCCGAATTTGTCCCCTCCATTTCTCAACGACGACAAATACGATTGTACCAACTACGAGAGCACATGTAGGGGGGTATATTTGGACACGGCGAAATTCATCATTAAATGTTCCGAGAATCTGGACGTCCTCTCGCATGTGCAAGATCTAAGCTTGCGGGGGCAGCAAGATTTACCTTCATGGGTCCCTGAATTCAGTGTGCTGAACTATCCGCAGCCAATCAAAGGATGGTTTTCGCTGCCCTGGAACGCATCCGATGGCTTTGGACTCTTCCATGTATTATTTGCGCCAGACGTCAACCATGAAGTACGAGGTTCATGCATTGGTAAAGTCAAAGAAATTGCTGAGTATGACCCAGAAAGCGAGAACATGATTAGAGAGATGTCGAAGTTTATGGGGCTTCTTCCTGCGGCCTCTGATATACCAGGCCCACCTACACCCAAAAGCTCAAACACTTCATTGAGACTGCTGATGATATGTATGGATCTGATCGAAACGCTCATCTTCACCGTATAACTGCCCTCTCACCCAAAGGCACACCAGCGAGGATCTTATGACAAAGCCTGGTGGAAGTTTTTAGGCAGACTATGTTAAGGGACAGTTTCTGAGGCCAACATCCGGCACCAGTTTTCTGCAGGGAAACGATGCAGTTTATGTGGCAGAAGGATATCAACGCCTTGCAAGAGGACATTGTGAAAGGTGTACTTAAGGAGAGCTTGTCAATCTTGACGGAGAGGGTGGATGTCACCGTCGAAGAATTTCAGCGTTGGAGGCAACTCAGTCATCTCTTCCCGCGAACGTTCGGAACTTCGGTGTCTTGTGAACAAGAATCCAAGGAACTTCAGATGTCTGTGGGCTTGCTATGAAAGGGGAATGCAAGATGTGTCAGGTTGAAAATGCGTTCGTAAATCATCGGCATATATTACAGGGGAATGTTAAAGATTTGAACCAAGAACTAGCCATCGTCCTAATTCTGGGAGTTCTAAAGCTTATCTCTACCAATACTAGGACCTTAATAGGCTAGGGGCACGCAGCCAGGCGCCTTCGGCGCGCAATTACGTACAGAGCGCATTCACGTGCATTACTTACACGTGCGTTGCACTTATATATACTATATTTACATATGCTATATTTACATATGCTATATTTACATATGCTATATTTACATATGCCTATATTTACATATGCTATATTTACATATGCTATATTTACATATGCTATATTTATATATATTGCACTTATATATACTGCACTCACGTGTGCTGCATTTATATACTCGAGCAAGCTAGGAGGTATATGCCTTAAGAATATACTTCTTAAGCGATTATAAGAGTATGGGAGAGACGTGCTTCTTGCTTGCCTTATATGCGCGTACCGGGGGCTAAAGAATAGCCAACCCCCCCCCCCCCCCCCCCCCCCCCCCCTTACTTAATAATAAAATTACAAAAATTAGTCTTCTAAGCGTGGGGGAAGGGGGCTAGAAGGGAATGAAATTTTGAATATTATAAGCACCCTTTTAGGGTTTGCCCTAGAAGGGTGCTTATGCATCCTAAAGAGAGTTAAGATCAAAAATTACTACTTTGGTTCGTTCCAACTCGTTGGGGAGGCATATGTTCGTAGGACGGTGCATGGTGCGGCGATTCCTGACTCTAACAAGAGCACTCATTTAATCCCAATTGCTTAACGTATGCTTGCCGATTCCCTTTCAGATTGGTAGTCGACTCCTGGCGATTGAATAGTAAAGTTTTTTTTTAGGACATTTATTGCGTGCGTAGTGTAATCTATCCTGGCGAGGCTTTGAGGAGAACAGTGAAAAGCTCAATGATTTGATGCTTGATAAGCAAGGCTCAACTATAGTTAAGCCAGCACCACACGTCGCCAAGGGCGCTCAATGTCAATCGGATACATCGCCCCAAAAAGATAGCAAGGAGAAATCAGCCGATGCTCCTCTTCATTCACGGGACGCAAGACAAATGCTGTGAGTCCGCCTTTAAGAAGCCATAGCTGGTCACCGATCTGAGTCTGACAATTTCCTGCTACAATTCCCGTATTTCCATTCTCAAGCATGAACATCTGACAGCCGTGTACTCTGGGGAACAGAGCTCGTTCAAAATCCTTCAACGCCACCTCATGACGAGAGACATCCCAGTGACCAGAGTTAACGTAATCGGAAAGTGTATGGCGAGATCCATTGTCACCACGCCAAATATCATATGGCATACTGAGAGGATCAGAGTTTTCCGAATTCGTTAACCAAGGGTAAAAACTTCTTAGAATAGTTTCCTTAACGCCTCTAGGAGCAAGGGTTTCTTCTCCCCGTGCCTCCTGCTGGTCATTTAGCGTTGTCTCCCAATCTGCAATAATCTGCCTTAATCTGCTCTCGAGGTCCGTCGGGTCTGGCAGGCTTGTGACCGCGTCTCCGACGGTCGTCAGCTTCCTGATGTTGAAAACGTGTTTACCAGTAACCGCAATTTTCTGGCCATCTTCTGAAAACTGCAAATCCGTGATTGCAAACTCCAGAGGCTGTCCATAGCTAGAACGTATCGCACGCCGATTCTTCGATGAATGGCTCGCAATCCAGAGAGGCCTGTCCTGTCCAAAAGGCTTCCGGAGGTCAGGAACCCACGATGGCAAGTCACCACCTCTACTCGAGTCGGCACAAGCGCTGAATATATCCAAAGTCCTAGTTCGTCTGATCCGCTTCTCTGCCCATGTCCGGTACACCTGATGCACCGGTATCGAGTAGTCTATCTCGTTGTCTTCGTTATCCTCGACAATTCCTCGGATGGCGTAAAGCCGATCCCTTGGATCGGAACATTTGGTATTTTGCGTGTTGTGGAGTATGGTCAAGACATTGTGAGTATCGAAGTTGTACATTGATTGCAACGCCACTTGAGTAATTCGATGCGCTCCTAGCAATGGAAAAAGCCTGCGGATATGCGGCGAGAGCACGGCTGCTCCTGGGCGAAGTATGAATTTCGCTGCTTCCTCCAGCGTTGGCCAGGCGATTTGAAGATTTCCCCACTGCGCAATTGCCTTGCGAGACACAGCAAGTTCTTGAATAATCCAAAGACGTTCAAACCATGGGCGATGAAACAACCTCGCCAGTTGAACCCAAACCTGTGAGTTATTTGCATGAATACAATCTGCAAGGCGTATTGAGACTTCCGTACTCTTCTTCGCAGGGTCTGCCTCCTCTTTTAACAACAAGGCCAGCACAATGGCTGAGCGAGCCATCGCTTCTGAATTCTCCTCTACTCCGTCTATATTCCATCTATTCAGATCAAGTCGGAAAGTTTCATCAGTCCTCTCGTTGTAGCTGCCAAGCCAGATAATAACCCGCTCTGCCTGTTCGTAGATCGACTTCATTCGCCGGACCTGCACGTCTCGCTCATCGCTGTCTTCTTGGTTGATACATATGGCATCGATCCACAGTGGCAACTGGTCCAGTGACTTAGACCATGTTTTGCATCTCATATGTCTCAGCCCATCCTCAAGGTTTGTCGTGACCAGAAAATCCTGCCCATTAAGGAATATAGGCACTTTTCTTGTCCCATCTCCCCACGTGTAAGACAACGCCTGATAAGTCCAGTCGGATTGAGTGCTGATGCGACGTGTGATCATACTACATCTCACTCTCTCGTCATGCTGGCCGGGATCTATTTTGATAAGGCGGAGCTCGGAATGTCCCAACGGCGAGTAGGAAAACGGCAACATCATGAAGAATACGGAGTAGACACAATTACACGATCGCCAAATCGCGCTATAGTAAGTTGCAAGTACGCAATTTGCGTTCTAGTTAATTTTTTTATGAGGAAAAATTTGATTGCTCCATAGCTTCCGTAAGGTATTTTATTACAGTAGTAATTTGGACCTTCTCTTTTCCAAAAATGGCCCCAGGCTGGGATAAGCGAGAACTGTCGATGTTTGCCCCGAGTCCGGCAACCTCCGAGCCCAGACTCCTCGTTCTCCTTTTCCTCGACCATCTTTGCGCCTTGCTATCAGCTTGTGCTTTTACGAAATAACGACCTGGACGATCATCACGAGTTCCTGTACACTCTCTTGGATGCATTATATAAGTCTGTAATATCATTCGGACTCGTTTCAATCTAATTTTGTTTGTCTGGGTTCTGTCTGCATCAGCATTTTTGATTCATCTCAATTTGTTCACAATGTCCGGAGCGTTGAGCAAGCGGCAACAGGCGCGCAATGAGCGCGCTCTTCAGGATCTCATAAAGGCAGTCCCTGGAAATAATGTGTGCGCCGATTGTCAGGCAAGGAATCCAGGTGAGACTCGACTCCGTCGCAGGCGAATTGGACATGTGCTAACTTCCCACGATAGGATGGGCAAGTTGGAGTGTAAGCACGACTTCTTCCATGTGTTGGTTTATATATCGGATCCGTTCCTGAGCCTGTTTAGTTGGGTATATTCCTGTGTATGCGGTGTGCTGCATTGCATCGGAAGATGGGGACAAACATAACAAAAGTCAAATCGTTAAGCATGGATTCTTGGTCCAATGATCAAGTCGAAGTACGTCGAAGCTCACATCCGTTTATGGAGCAGCTCTAACCTGCGGCAGAACATGAAGCGTGTAGGAAACATCGCATCGAATCGAGTATATAACCCCCAAAATGCGAATCCGCCTATTCCGCTCGACGTAGACGAAGCCGACTCGGCGATGGAAATGTTCATCCGACAGAAATATATAGACCGGGCTGTGAAGGCGCCAGTACGAGATAATACTGGAAGCACAAATTCCGATGATCAACCTACCCCTCTACTACTAAAGACTGGCAGCAGATTCGGCTTCCGATCTGCTTCGTCGATTTTCCACTTTCTTCGAAGCATCGCCGAGAGGCAGCACAATCCGATTTGGAGCCCTCAAGACAGCGACCACCATCTCCCCGACAAAACAAGCAATCCAGGGTATTCAGTGCATCAGGGGGTCCTGAATGGACAGAGGATTTGGAGTTGAAGATGGCTAAACTCCAAGATGTGGGCTTTAGAGACGAAAAAAGAAATATAGCAGTTCTGAAAGGACTTGGGGGCAATTTAGAGAAATCGATTGAGACCTTGCGTCTTGTAGAGGGAGCTGGTTCCACCGCAGGTGTGGAGCCTTCGGAAACGTCTTGGGCCTCTTCTTTGTTTGCGGGACCTATCGCTCACCAGCACGGTGAAATGACAGGAAACAACCCTTACCAGCAGAACCAGAATCCGAACCCGTTTGGGCTTATGCCATATCAGTCACAATATTCTCCGAGCCAAGATTTCCAGAATATGTCAGTTTCACACTCACAGCTTCTCTTCCCCGACAACACCGACGGGTTCCCCGGTCCGCAACCACCACAATATCACCAACTGTACCAGCAGTCCATGACACCTCAGTCTCTCCCTCACCAATATTACCCTTCGGTGATATATGAGAATCCTGCACAGCGACCTGTGCAGAATAGCAACTACAATCCGTTCATGCAACAGCAGGCGCAGCAGCAGATGCCACAACAAATGCAACAACCTCCGCCTATAAATACAAATTTCCAACACAAGAAGCCATTCCCTTGCGGACATTGCGAGAAGAGCTTTTCGATAAAAGATGCGTTAACGGTTCGTTCCCGTGAGACTCACGAAGGAAAAACTATATTTTCCTCAGAGCTGGAGCTGATTAATGGAATAGATGCATATCTTAGTCGATGGCTGCGGAAAGGACGGAGCGACTTCTCAAAACGACCCCAAATCGAGTAGCGAATCTCCCATTGACAAAAGGGTCAGAATCCTCAACTCGGCGGATAGCGACGATCAAGAAGAAGAGGCCCGAAAGAAGGCAAACAAAGAACCTCTGACAAATTTACAGAAACCGAAACAAGTACAGAAGGCCCCAAAATCTCCTGCTCCAGTTATTGTGTCCAATGCAATGAAGATCGATATCGGCTTGAGAACGGGGAGTACTGAAAACAAAGAATATTCAATTCTAGAGAAAATTCAGTTGGAGGTTCAGTTGGTCCTTACAAACACCCCGGGCCTACTGGTCACAAACTTCGGGAAAGCTCATATGGAAAGCAAATTTCGGGTGTGGTGGAACCCCAGGGACTTTATGCGCCGTCAATTTGGAGATTCCCATTTAGCATCCATTGGCTCTGTTATTGTCCTGAGTGGAACGCCACTGAATGCGCAAGCGACAACCTGCAAAGAGTACCTTCAGAAGCATTGGCCTACTACTTGTCTGACCTTGCTAAAATGCCTGGAAGATTGTATGAATGGACTCAGGGACGTTACCAGAGGTACGTGCCCCAATCCAACTTCACAACTATTCTTTCAGTGTCAGATTGAAATATGGTTCTCGTCGTACTGATTATCAATAGGCGATGACTTGGAACTATGCAATTGGATGGAAGGGGAAAAGCTAATCTTTGAAGCCGAAGGAACAGGAGAAAAAATTGTTGAAATAGCGCAACAACTTTCCTGGCTTGGAGCTGCACTACGGCATTCACCGGATGATGGATTAAAGAATTCAGAGGCTAAGATCAGTACAGTCCAGGGATGGAAGCCTATTTTTGACATCACTTTCAGCATGAACCCGCTGACAAAAACGAATCGTCATGCTGGCACTCTCTTTTCACTAGTTCTGTCATTGCCAAAGGCTTTCCCATTGCAGAACGAGGACAAGAAGTCGGTCTCGTAATACCACTGGAAATGATGGCGGCACTAACTGGAGTGCGGCATGCCGTTGAATACCAAGGGGGAATTCTTCTGAAAGGCCATTCCAGTGCTTTCTTGCCTGTGAAGCGATACAAAGATTCTATCCAGTGGCACTATATCGAAAACGACGAAAACGTGCGGTTGCCGTATTGGGAAGTGGAGGCACGGTGTCCAGGGCGGGCGATGCTGGAGGAAGTGAGCATGGACAGTCTGAAGAATACTCGCGCTTTTGTTGGATGGTGGGGCACGACTGAGACTCATCTTGGGACGGAAACCGCCAACTATGAGAATATTGATTGGTCTGCTTCTGACCAGGTGGGCCGTCCTATTAGGTTCTCGGGAGTGACTCTGGGATTCCAACAAATTCTGACTGGCGAGGTAAATTTCTCCTTGGGGGCTAGGGATGGTAAGCTACACGTTGAGAGGAAGGGGCCTTACCAGAGAATTGTTCAATGCGCTGCGAGGTCCCCAGTGGTGCTCTATGATTCTTGCGAGAAGAGAGCCTGGCTGGTCCCTTCCTCGGCGGTGATCTTGCACATTGCGAAGACGCGATATTATAGGAATCCGTATATGAACGACGGAAACAAAATCGCCTTCCCATCGGCGGATCCATTGACGAGCAACCACGAAGCTGCTGAGAAAGTATTACTAGAGCAGGCTCCCTTCAAGCTTTGTACCCAAGACGATCTTGAAAATCAAGACTATTACCTGCGAGATCTTGTGCAGGATATTTGGTCGTACCTGGAAAGCTTGTTAGATAAGAATGTTAAGAAGGAAGCAACTTCCGATCCAGAGGTTCGAGGAACGATGAGGGACATACTTCGAGGTTGGGAATTCATGGATCTAGTAGATGACAGGTCGCCATTTCGACTCAAAGAAACCTACATCGAAAAAAGCAGTGGTGGCTGGACAGATTTGGCTCGAGACATTGATGCCGTCGTTCTATTTGGAAGTGGATTCGAAGACATCATCAAGCCAAACGCAGAATCTATGGCAGGACTCTGCCACATGTGGAAGAGTGTTCCTAAAGGAAAGGACTACCTAACGGCCAGTGTTCCAACGATGAATCAGTTATATGAGCAAGCTGGCTCCAAATTGTCCCGAAAACATCTCACGTCCACGCATCTTCGGTGGCATCATGGAGGACAGCTTTGGGAGCGCTGCGAGTCCACGAAGCCCTTCTTCTGCAGCTGCAACCGTCTTCAGCAGGTAGTCTCTGAATATTTTACACAGCCTGGGAGTGTCTCGGATCCTGGTCCACTCGAGGAAAAAGGAGCTGTGATATTTGGTCAAGCCAGCGACCCGCTAGCCTCCACAGTGTTAGAGCTATTGAAGCCAAAAGTTAAGCAATGTGGCAGTTTGTATAGCCAACCGAACGTGGACTTGCTGAGTACGGACACTTTCAGCTCGCCTGATCCCAACTTATCTTCTGATACCGGAACCTCCTCAATCTTGAGCGTATCTGTTTCTACTCTTCCGACATCGGATGAAGATGATCAAAATCCAAAAGTTGAGGGCTCATTCGAACCCCTAGGCTCTAGCACTATTAAATCGATTGAAAATGACGGGAAGAGGAGGTCACGCTCGCTGAAGCGGAGTCACTCGAGGGAAGATGCTAGATCCACACGTCAACCCTACCGGCGACAACGAAAACGATGTACTGAAGAGATAAGGGGAGTCGAGGCGCAATGCGAAGTCGACCATACGCCTGCCCTTTTGAATACACCTGATGGACGATGCGTAGCATCTTTAGTCGAGAAGACTACTGGAGACGGCAAAAAGCTTTCCCTTCGCCGTAAAGGGAATCTCACCAACCAGAATGAGACTAATGATAGCACCCAACGTGGTGGCAACGTGGCCGCAATTCGGAATGGTTGACCTTATCTATTCAAGCTTGTACTGTACAATAAATATGAATCTACATAAAACCTGAGAGGGGACGCGGTATTACCAGGAGCGTATGTTATCATTGTACCCAGGTTTATTTGTCTGCAGGTCGTCAATACATCCAAGTTCAAACTCCCTCCAACTTCCTCAAGAACTTCAAGAAAGGGAAATCCTCCCGATCAGGCGTCTTCCCCAGCCTAGCCCTCGAAATTTTTCCTCATCCAATCAGGCTCGGCAACAATTGGCGTTTTGCACTATCGATTACAATTAATGCCACAATTGTAAGGTATATTGTAATCGATTAATAATCGATTGTTTAGCAAGCTGATTCTGCATACATATAATATTACCCCTTCTCTAATTCCAGAAGGTTAAGGAATTTAGTAATCTCAGCCGAATCTTTACCCACCTTACCTTCCTTGTAACGCGGTTAGTTAGCATCGCCGCTCTACTTTAATGCTACTCACGGTCGCCTTACCCTTTACTTAGGTTACTCAGCCACGGTCCTACTCTCCTTTCTATAAATTAATTAGAATTTACTTATTATTAAGCAATATTATATAAAAGTTATTAACTTTATATTATTATTGTAACGGCAGGAACAAAGCAATGGAACGAGGCTCAAAGATCTATGATTCCAATGTCTTAAGGATTCAAAGCTGAGAAAAGAAGTGAGGTGTGGAAGTAGATAAGTAGGTACGGCCAAGACCACTGAAACGCCGAGCTTGGTTTGGAACCCGAGTTTGGTTTGAACCTTAGCTTAATACCTTAGCTAAAACCTTAGCTGAAACCAACCCGTAGCACATGTAATACCAGCCGTTATAATTATATTTAAAAGAAACTAAGTCGGCTTTTAAAGAACGCAAAAGAAATTTCTTAAAAATTAAATCCTTTTATAATATAATATTACTCTTATATTTCTTTTTAAATCTTTCTCTTTTATGTCTTCTTTTATTAGACTTAATAAAATTAGTTTCTTATTTTACTTATTTATTAATTTTTAAATACTTAAAAGAAAATAATTTATTATAAATAATATATTTCTTCTTTTATTAATATTTATAATAAGTATATATAATAAAATATAAGTAAATATTAAGTATTACGAATTTAATTTCTTATTTTAAGTAATACTTATATTAGAATTATATAAATTATACGGGATTATATTTCTTAATTAAGTAAATTTGCTTTTATATACTTAACTAAGTATTAGGAAATATATAAGGAAATATATATAGCTTAAAAAAGTATATTAATTAGTTTTTTATTAAAATAACTTCCCGAAATTAATTATATTTGCAAGTATTATATTATAGTTTATTTACCTTAATTACTTATATATTACTTTCCTATTATATATCTTATAATATCTCTTATTTTTTGAAATTAATTTAAGATAATAAATATAATTATTATAAATATTAAAAAAGCGAGTTCATATTTTATAAATATATATTATTTAAGCCTTAATAATTGGCTTTAAAAAACCTATAAAACTATTAATATATTATTAAAAGAAATATTTTAAATTAAAAGATTATAATTCTTATTTTTCTTTTTTCTTTTTTCTTTACTTTTATATAAGTAAGTTAAGAAGTCCGGAGATATAAATCCATTTTATATAAGCCAGTATTAAAAGTCTCAACTATTAATAAAAGAGTCGTTTGATATATTATTGCTCGATAATACACAGCTAATAGTTAATCTCTCTCAATAGTTTCAATCTATAACCGAGCTTCCAAATATCATTCTTCAGCTTCACGAACTATTTCAGTCCGCCACCCCGACTCATGATTGTCTCTTCCTCCATAGTTACAAGAGATAGAAATTATCTTTTACCCAAGTTGAAATAAATGCATCCTAGAACATGGTTAGAACGTGGATCCTAGTCAATTAGGTTTTGACATCGCTACCACAAAACAATGTACCCATGAAGCATAGAAAACTAGGTACTTACCAATCAGTAGAAGACCCGGACTCAACTGCTTCTGCAGCAAGCAACGCTTGCGGGATCCTCGCCTGCCTCGCTATCTCATATAGACACCAGACAGCGTACCGTCGTGCTGGCTCCGGCGCCGTCGTCCTCTCCGCCACGATGGTCAACGGCCAAATCAGAAACCGTGCGGCTGAGCCAAACGTAGTGCCATTCTCGTCAAGGAAATGCGGTACACTCGCGAGTATGTTGGTGACGATCTGAGTGCGGTTGGCCTCAGCTGTGGCTTGAAGAGCTCTGGTGTCGAGATCTTTGAAATATCGGGACATCTCAGGCTTTGCCTGCTCCTTAGATCTAGCAACAAACCCCGCCAAACGCCAGACTACCTCGTTCATGAATAACCGTGTGGCTCGTAGAATGTTCCAGTGCCGGGCCATGCGGTGGTCGGGATATTGATGAGCATGGCCCTGATACGCCCATCGTGGAGTCATATGGGGCGGCCTGACTTGGTAGCGCCAGCTGTCCGGTAGCATGTCCTGCAGTGCCTTTGCCTCTTCCTCTAGGTGCAGTGTCTCGTGGATAACTCCTGATATTCTCTCGTCGGGGACTCCCTTCCATAATCGCACCTTTAAGCTGATCATTTTGTCGAGCAAAGGGCCAAGCCGCACGTTAGGAATATGGGGATCGAGAAAGGGCTCAGCTTCCTCGTATAGCTGCAGGAACTCGTCCGGTATGGGTACCGCCCGTTGGAGACAGCTACTGCGGATGTTGTTGCATGTCTGCAAGAAAAGTCTACTGCCTAGATCTGTCTTCAGATATTTGGTGCCCCGCAGTCGGATGAGTTGAACAGCTCCGAGTGTATGAGCCGTCCAGCTTGTGGGCGACCGACGGCTAGAGAACGCAATGGCTTCGTAAAGACCTAGTGTGAGGACAGAAATAAGACTGCTATCAAGTACAGCCGTATTTGAGGAAGCAAGCGCCGCGTTTGTTTGAGCGAGGGCTTTCGAGTAGTGTATGCGGGCATTGTCCATGAGCTGTCCGCTGCCGACATGGAGCGAGAGGCTTGCAAATGAGGCAGCCAGGACAGCCGAGGATACAGCATCTTGCGCGGTTGATGCTGTGGGGTTGTATATCTCAGGAAGATAGTAGAAGGGCGAAGCTGGGACGTAAGAGGACATAAAATAACCGACCGCTAGTTCGTCATGGGAAGGCGTGAGAGAACGTGTCGGCGATGGCATGATATCTGCAGTGTTGAAGCCTACGACAGTGGAGAATTCATGCTCGTGCCTTTGCCTCGGAAGAGTTAGAGGATAGAGTTCCCCGTTCTTTTCCCACTGGACTTTCCGAGCTGTTGACTCCGACTCATCTTTAAAGAGGAGCAGTGTAACGTTTCTGTAACCAAAACAGATTATGGACTTGCGCATGCATTGGGTGCAAGATGGCCGGATGCGATCACACTGTAGTGCACAAAGCGTTGAGAGAGTGATTCTTAGGACGATGAATAAACAGAAAGGCGTTGGCGGAACTTACCCTCAATCTTCCCTTTCGGCAAGGCCCACAAGCGTCAGACGGGCGGCCATGGAAGGGCATGGCGACCAGCCGCCAAGTGAGATTATTTCTTCGGAATGTGGTTTCGCCGAGGATGAGAGGCGCGGGTGGTGAGTACACGTATCGATATCCGGTTGGGCGTCTGGATGATGAAATTGGGCAAGCTCAAGGGCTGTGGGAGAAGTGGTGGATCACAGGCCACAGGGACTGGCGTTTGTCACTAGAGAGGAACGAGACAGGGACCAAAAGAGGGGTTGGCTTTCGTGCATGCTCTGGCATATATATGATTTTCTCGGCCAGGGCTCATCAACAGCTGCTGTCGGAGGTCACAAATGATTAAGAAGCTGCTGCACAGAAGAAGAGATGATAGCTGAAGTATCAAGGGCTGAAGGAGGGTCTTTTTTATAAAAATAAAAATAAAAGATCTTATTGTGTATTATGGCGCGCTGGGCTGGAATTCCTCAAGTCGAAGAACGACGGGGGAAGACTTGAAGCCCCAGTCGTGTCGGTCTGTCATATTTTCAGCTGCTGACTGATCCTGGGCCGACGGTAGTATTGCAGGGGTGGCTTGCAGTCTCCCCCACACCCGTGGGAACTAGCGTCGATATGTCCCCCTCATTAGGAAAGCCGCCCGTTGGACCCTGCAGGCTGCGGCTGAACTCCAGCTCCCTTTGTTGCATCCTCAACACAAATGTTGTTAAATCATCACTCACCTTGCTCCAGAAATGAACACAGGCAAGCATGGCGAGGACGCAATGCGTGCTGCGCACAGGCGGACACGAAAAGGAGCACCTGAACGAGCTGGGTGGCTCAGCAACCAATGAGAGAGGGAAAAAGACACGCCGAACATGGTCTCGAAAATGTTGTTCCTGCGTCCCATTCTAAAAACGGCCGTGGCTACGGCGATAGCGGACGAAGCCATGCTTATCGATATTTCTATATATTAGAGAAGAAACGGCCACCATTTTGTGCCTCACCCTCTTCATCCATATCCGCTTAAGCTTCAAGACAGATTTCATTCCAATAATCTGCAAGATTATTTCTTTCCAAACAACTTTTATCTACACAGCACTTGTTGCCCATCATGCACCTCGACAAACACGGCTACGTCTCTATCGTGGAGCTTATCGTCTTCCTCCCATGCTTGATCCTCGGCATTGCAGTCTGCCTTCGCCACGGATTCAAACGAACTTCGGGCTGGATCTTCGTCTTGATACTTTCTGTTATTCGTATTGCTGGAGCGATATGCCAGCTCCTGACATATGGTAGCCCGACAGAAGGGCTGATCAAAGCGACGCTTATTCTCGACTCCATCGGAATTGCACCACTTTTACTGGCGCTTTTGGGAGTATTATCCAGACTGTAAGTAAGAAAATTATTGATACCCCTGTCCGTACAAGTTCATCTACATTGAACCAGGTGGCAATGCTGCGAGTCAAAGTGGTATGCTTGGATCCTTTACTGACCAGACATGACGACAGCGTCGATTGGATCAACGCCTCAATGCAGAATCCAAAAATCAACTCGAAACTCTTTCGCATCCTCCAGGTGAGCTTATTTCCACATTAAATTGTTGTCTTTTCAATGACAACTGAGAGAGTGGGAGCTTCACTGAGGCTTGTATTTGTCTTGGGAGCCTGGTTCCCCAACTGCCCTCCCCAAAATCCAAGAAGTAACCATGCTAATTCGGTGATCAGCTGGTCATTGGTGTAAGCCTAATCCTCGGTATCCTTGGCGTTACCAGCCCCAAATCGCAAGCTGTCGATGGTACTTTCATACCTCCTACCATCTCCAAAATCGGCATCATCCTCAATATCGTTGTTTATATCGCCATAACCATTATATTCATTCTATCGCTCCCCCATGGCTCAGCATTGCCCCATTCGGAACGGCCACTCAGAATCCACATTCCCATTGCCTTGCTAGCCATCGCCATCCGCTTGCTGTACGCGGCCCTCTGCATCTTCGTGCACGACAGCACATTCTCGCTCTTCAACGGTAGCATCGTGGCAAACGTGCTAATGGCCATTGTGGAAGAGTTCTTCGTCGTCATCATCACGTTGGTGCTAGGCTTCAAGCTGGGTCGTATCAGTGTTGATGGTCAGGGCGAGATCGTGGATCTTAACCAGAAGAGCAGCGACAATGGTGGACAGCTCCCTCTATCGGCCTGAAGATGGAATCTATGCACAGCCGTCTAATGCTGAACTCGAGATGTTCTCATCGGCGCAAAGATGGGCGCACTTCTCTTTTTTTCACCTCTAGGAGGGAAAGTTGTCCGTGTCGCACTCATGTAAAATAGATAGCAGCTTTCCTAAATTTCTTCCGCATTTCATTTCAATCTTGTAAAGAGGGTCTCTAAAAGGCCTCTCACCCGAGTTTTTTGTTTATTAAAATTGTTTTCATTTAGTACCTAAACTATTGGGTGACTGTATAGTGGTATTTGCCACGGAGAAGTCTACTCAGCTAAAGTAATAAAAAAGGAGTTGAAATTTGGTAGTTGCAGAATGTGCATCTCATATCATGTCACTGAATTTCGTTCCATAACCACAGCCCTGACTAACCTTATAAACAGCGCAACAGCTCCGAGAAAGGCTTCTGGGCGTTTTGTTATTCTGTCTAATTAGGGTGAAGGAATACTAATATCTGGCTCGAGGCCGCTCTCGCGAAACACTTCCGTGCTTGCTAGGAAGAGGTTAGCTTAATTATAGATAACCCAACCAAGTCACGTTATTATTAGAATTCATTCAGGTTATAATATTAAGATGTCTCATTCCGTTTACCTAGTATTTCTTGGGAATTACATAAAACGCTTATTTGAACGCCAGGACTGTTATGAAGAAATAAGCGAGCTACCCCTGAAAGGAAGACTAGACGATGAGTTTGGCTTTTTCTGAAGAAGATCCTATTCAGAATTCGTGAGACCTACTGGATTTAGTCTCATACTTTAGGAAGGAGGGGTCTCGATGCAGATCCGAGTGATGAGTGACATCGCTAGAATCGATGAGTAACTGCCGGAAATATAGGCGTCACAAGGTGCGGGATATAATAAATGTGCACACCCTCCCCTCCCCCAGATGTAGCTCTCAAATCTTCTCAGTAGTCTATACCAACGATAAAAAATACTTCTTAAACGGGTTATCAAGAGTGCATCTAAGTACAAAAGGGTTACCTGCCAGAAAGAAAGAAAAAGGCGACAAAAACAGGTGGTGAAAATAAGCAGTAATTTGAGTACAAAACAATTCTATTAGTCCATAATAAGCGCAACGAGCGAGTCTAAGAAGCCCCCCCTCAAAAAAAAATCCAAGTCTAGTCTGCTTTAACATAAGAAATATTCACATCTAAGCTGCAATCCATCTAGCAAGTCTCACCATCCATCCAATGTGTCTCGGTAACAGTAACATTATAGTTATCCGAGTTGAACGCCTGACCACTGAACGGCGGTCGCACATTCTAGATATGGATTGGGAAGTTATTAATGATATCTGTTGCGTAGGTGGCGAGGTATTGGCAGGAAGGCTGGATGGCGTATGAGTTCTGCAATGAAGAATGGAGACTTAGTTAGCTTTCTATTTCTCTGAGTCTGTGTGTGTGTATTTGTGTAGAGAGAATATGTTGAACTAGCTAGCTTGGCTAGCATCCATTCCTTCCACTCCAGGTTCAATCACTAATTCAGTTCGTCCGATTATTGGGTATTACTTACGTACAAGCACACCAATCGTTTATTAGTATCGCCATTCGATTACGTTCCGTAAACGTACGTTCAGGAATCAGATTGGTAAATCATTCCCACCACCAAGTAAGTGCGGGGTAAATCACATGGTGGGCTGGAAATCAGGAATATAGCTAGGGAACCCATTCCCTCTGTTTTTTATGGAATCACTCTCCTGTATCTAGTCAAAACTAGTCATTCTACAGATTGTCAATCTCCAATATATCGATTTTCCACCGATAAATCGATCCCAGTTCAATAGAATAGGGTGTACCAAGCAAAGGAGGACGTAGGTTGTTTCAGAGATAAACCCCCCAGATCCACTGACAGAAAATGCTCGCACAGTTTCCTGGCCACCCCCGACAACACATTAACCAGGGAGGCGCTCAAGGTAGTTGATGTTGTCGGCGAGGATCTCTTGGCTGGTTTCTTGGCTTACGTTGCAGTTGATTCCATTCTGAATTTGACCAAAGTTAGTGCCATACTAAATTTTGAGGAAACTTGTGATAGTAGGGTTGGGGACACACTTTATTGCGCTTTTGCAGGGTATCCCTTTTAATTGGCGTGAGACCGATGTCTTCGACTTTCAAGCTCGGGTTCAAGTCTAGGATTTGGGCATGCACTTCCTGTGTTGGAGTCAGGGTTGATCTTATTGATGGAAGAAACGAGAGTGCTACCTGTGCTTTGGTCCTCCGGGGGTGATGGGTCGAATGTGTATCATTTTCGGAGGTGTAAGGGAAGATATGTCAATGGTTCTAGTGAGGTTTCATGGGATTCGAGAAGCGAAGATTGTAAACCCCGTCGCGGCAACAGCAGCGAGAATCGAGAATTTCATGGATTAGATAGGTTGATGTTCTATTCTAGGGGTGAGGAGAAAGATGAAGTCTGGTTGAGATAGTTCTGGAGGAGCTGAGTGAAGGACGGTGAAGGGGAATGGAGGGTAATTTGGGAACTTTAATATCCCTCGGCACCTAGGATACACCTTCTCATTTTTCTAGTCAAAAAAACACAGCCTTCTATTGCAATCATGACTCAAGACGCGATGTCGAACCCGGAAACACATTGTAGGTTGAGGCACCTAGATATCAGGCTCGGCAACGATTGGCGTTTTGCACTATCGATAACAATCGATGCCACAATCGTAAGGTATCGATTGTATCGATAGTGCAATCGATTGTTTAGCGAGCTAATCCCTACATACGTATGATTTTACCCCTTTTCTAATGCCAGAAGATCCAGGAGTTTAGTAGAGTACTATACTATATATAATAAAGGTAAGGCTCTCTCTTATTTACTTATTTAAAGAAAGTATCTAGAACTCTGCTCCTTTTCTAGTACTTAAGGTACTCCTGCATCTTGTCTCGGCTTCAAGCTGCCCCCTATTCTAGGTAGCTTACCGTACGACAAGCCCCTGAAAAGACTCCCTCTGGCTTATCGCTCGTTAGTACTATTAAGATGATATTAATAGCTATTCCTGCATCCGGTAAGACATAGTCCATACTAGTAAGGGGGTCTGTCACGATTTACCCTACCAAAAATCGGCCGCACTCACATATTACTGCCCCTCCTTCCTTTTCTCTCAGCATTTACTATTACTTAAAATATTTACTCTCTCTTTAATTCTTCTCTCTCTCTATATATATCCGATCGGCTGCCGCCAGCTTTACACTGGACCGTACACTTTAAGGCGAGCAAATCGAGCAAATCAGAAGGCCGAAATTTGGGTTTGAGCGTTTTGATTTGCTGCGATTTTGCGCATATAATTGGTCGTAAAGTGTAAAGCTGGCGGCAGCCGATCGGATAAAAGTATAAAAGTAGAAGGGGGGATTAGGGGATATTAAATTCAAGTAGTTAAAAGCCTTGGTTCTCATTATTAAAGGCGGGGAAAGGCCCCTTAATATAGTACAAATCCACTAGTCTCCCACTAGCCCTCCCATACACTGGCTGCCTTGGGCCCATAAGCTTGGCAACTTTTAATGGGGGAGGGGTTAAGAGGGCGAGTATATAAAAGTAAAAAGCAATAAGTGGAGAGAGAAAGTGAGAAGTGAGCTTCGAGGCTTGTGGGTTGCGAGGAAAAGGGAGCCCTATAATTATAGGCTGCTTATCGCTAAATTTTAGGGCTACGATCGCTAAATTATAGGCTATAGGTACTAAAAATTTAGTGCTTAGCTTTCGTGGGGTGCGGGGTAATAATCGTTTAGTAATCGATTACCAATCGATTACAATCGATAGCTAATCAATAGTGCACACAATCGATTACTAATCGATTGCTCAGCAATCGTTGCCGAGCCTGCTAGATATCTCCCTCGACTCCACTGTACCGGGCGAGAGAAGAGCTGCGAGGGGCTATCCTAGAGTAAACATTCCAAATCCAGAAAATGATCGCTCAAAAATATAGATGAGAAGACCGATACTTCTAAGACTATAAGTACTTCCCCTCTTGTATTCAATCCTATCCATATACCGAGCGAGCGAAAGCCATGAGAGGCTCTTCCACCAAATTCACAGTCACACGGGGCTAAGAATCAAAGAAACCCTTATCTTCCACCTGACAAGCACCCCAGTCTTCGCTCTCTGAGCCTATCAAGTCTCAACACAGACTCTCAAAGCCACGATCGGTACTATATGCCAGGCTAAACTCAACCATCGCGGATATCAGCCACTGCAAAACCATACAATACAATAAGGAGAACAATAATAGTCGGACTACACGTCGTGCTAAAGAGGCCCTTCCCTTTAGTCGGAGAAAACGAGTTGTCCCGCACCGCACACGCGATTTTCTAATTTGTCTAGAGCGCCCATAGTAAAAATAAATCAATTTGTGCACCGCAATCAAAAATTGGCCCGAAAAATTGTCTAATTCAATAGGGATGGCCCGTCTAAGTAGCCTCTCCATAAATACACTTCTATGTGACATACTAGAGAAGGATAAGTTTTGTAAGGCTATTTGGTTTCTCAAGGCTAACCTAAAAGAGTCTCTTATAACTTGGCACGCGCGTGTTATATATAAAATAAAGATATAGTAAAGAAAGTATAGTAGGGAGAGAAATAAAGAAGATAGAAGTAATAAGGATACAGTGAGGGAAATAAAATAAGTTCTCATATTTTAATACAGAGTTTTATATACAATTAATACAAGAAAAAGGGCTATAAAGTAAATAATACACTATACCTCTCGCTCCAAGCTTTTCGCGGGGAGTCATCCGCATTTACTGGGTGGGCACAACCACAGCCCACTCCGTGAGATAAGTGTCAGAATCTCAATCCTTACTTTTTCTTGCGAATGCCTAGGACCGGGTACAGCGCCAGGCAAAACTTACGGTAGGATCTTAGGCTCGAGGTCGAGGCGGGACTTGGCTCGTGGCTTGATCACATTTCGGAAGGGGGCTATATAGTCTTCATTCAATAATGAAGAAAACTTTTGAATGGTACTAGTCTACATCAAATTAATCCTTTCCCAACACCTCATTTGACCCTTCCCGCACAGCCACTGCACATTTCCCCTCTTCACAAAGCGTCGATTGCCTCACCTTCCCCTGACTCCCTTCAATCCTAAACAGACAGCCTCCAATCATATCCTGATCGGTATCGCCTCTTCTTGATTAACCTTGAGCTCGGAGTGTTCCTCCACGTCAGCTACGTCTTCGTGACAAAAGCCTCACAGCTCACCCATGTGAAACCATGGATGACTTAGCACCTCTCTGGCGCTTGGGCGCTTTTGTGCATCGTATACAAAGATTTTGGACAAGAGATCGTAGAGTAAGGCTGCCTCGTTCTCCGAAATCTTTGGCAGCGCCTCTAGGAGTTCGTCCGTCTCATAACTATAGCCATCTATATAGCTATTATTAATCTTCGTAGCTGTAGGCTTCCTGATAGTATCCGAGAGGCACGGAGGGTATGGCTTCTTTTTGTCCTCTTTCCACACTCGATCCTCTAGTCGAACCCTGCCAGTTTCGACGACGCTATTCTCGGGTTGGTCCCATATCTTGTAGATTAGATCTTTGATCGACCGTTTGTCTTCCTACGGCTCGAGTGGACTGCCTTTGGTAGGCTCCTTTGTCGGCTGCCCATAATAATCAAATAATGTATCTCCCCAAGAACTAGGCATTTCACCGAGAGTCTGAATAACAATCCTCAACAAATCCACTGGAGATGTGACTTCAAACCCCGAGAAGGGGCCTTCTCCCGATCTAACTCGGAAGATGGAACATCTGAGAGCCCAGACATCGCTTGCGGGACTTGCTTTCAAGCCTACCGCCACCTCTGGTGCCAGAAACTCAGCTGGAGTACCTAGCATCTGTTCTGGGGGCAGTGAAATCAGAAATGACTGGTGAAAGTCGATTAGTCTGACGTCTTGGCTGATTACGCTCTCAATAGAGGAGAGGAAATTAAGTGACTTCACAATATATTTCGGGGCCTCCGGACCTGGCGTCTCTCCAGATTCGGTTTCAAGCGGTGCCGTCTCAGGTGCGCCAAATAAGCGATAGACATCGCTCTCCGTATAGCGATCGATATTCAATAGACCAAAGAGAATATTAGCTGTTGTCACGTCTAGATATGTCAGTAGATGATTCAGATGGCCAGATAGGCGTTTAGGCATAATGGAGACTCACCTCCGTGACAGAGGCCTTGCGCATGAAGGTCAGCCAAGGACCTCGTAGCTTGGTAGCTAGCCCTACGAGATAGCGACGGTGTGATCCTAGAATAAATGCCCTTGGATAAATCAGATGCAGATGGGCCCAAAACTGGCAGGACAAGGCATAGATAGCGGCCATTTGGTCCATCGAGCGTGAAGTGCCGACGTTCGAGGACGAAGCCGAATACTGCATCACTAGCGCACCGTGAGGCAGCATGGCAGCTCAACTGGCTCTTGGTAGAAACAGACGTCGAGTAGTCAGCGACGACGATTTTCAGAGCCACCCACCTATGCTCTGTGTCGTCTCGCGCCAGCCAGACAGTAGAGAAGCCGCCAGCGCCGAGCTTGTGTACAACTCTATAACGTCCATCGTAGATGTCGCCTAGGTGAACGGGATGCAAGCCCCCTCGTTGGTATTTCTCGACGTCTTCAGTATCGGCATCGCGGAGCTGGGGCAAGAGAAAGCGAGAATCGGGCAACGACTCAGCATCGTCGTCTTCGTATTGGCGAGGCGACATCGATGGATGCGAGGACGAGAGTTGAGTGGTGGTGGTACGAGAGGTATGAATACTCGGTAGGATCGTGGGTGAGAGAGAATGTTTCGGACAATTGTTGTAACTGTTGGTATTTGCGAAAATTTTCACCCTTTGATGGTTGATGAGGGTTGATAATAGTTAAAGAAGAAAAGAAATTTAGGCAACTTGTTTATTAGGTAGGCCTCGCTAAGATTTCAAAAATATATCTCACATAGGTTCATACCTTTCCTTATTATAGACAAATCTTGCTTTCACTATTTGCATATGCACCTGCTTATGCGAATGGTACTTCGTAAGCTGAGAGGATGGTCGTTGTCTCCTTTGCGGCTTTGTGTAGCGAGGCGAGAACGCCGACCACGTGATAGTCTCCCCTTTTTCTCCAATCATGTCATTGTCTGTCTTTTCGGGCCGGTGCTCAACAAATCGAAATTTTGCTTGCATTCTGAGCCCAGATTAGGTTATGAGTATTATTTAAGTTGATATTAAACATGTCAATTGGCCATAGCAAATGAGGACACCGTCAGTTTCGTCCTTGAAGTTTTGCTGTCACGCGTTTTTATTGAGGATAAGAAAAAATCAGGATCGTAGATATAATGCTATAAAACACGACCATGGCAACGTGTGTATAAACTAAAAGTAATCATCCTGCTTCCGAAGTAACCAAAACCAATGACGAAAGCTGAATGCAATCAAAGACAATGGCCGGTGATATTTCAACGGGTACAGTCCTATAATAAACAGCAGACACATTAGGCCAAGCATCGACGAGTATTATCTAGATAGAAGACTAACCCAAGGCTACTTCACTATTCTCCCCAGTCCTCCAGGAGGAGACAATTTAAACAGCATGTCAAGATTTAGGCCTGTTAAATGTCTAATCAGCCAACTTACTATCGACGACGGTAGCTGCTTGGAAAGGAGATTACGTACACACTGTTTCACCACCACACAACAATCAGCCGGCTGCAGAGAATAAGTGAATCTAGTGGGTCAGATAGGTAAACTAACGGCTTTAACTCCATTCTATTTTGCATAACTGGTTAGTGAAGAAACTTTGGAGGAGAGGAGGAGAATAACTCACTCCGCCACAGCTTGGACAATCTGCTCCATCACATCTTTCCTCCATCATGTCCGCGGGTGCCGGGATTGTAATAGCCACAGCCGTGGTGACAAGGATCATCAAGCAGAGAAGAAAGCGCATCTTGGTAGGAGAGTCTCGAAGTTGTGATAGAAAGGACAGAAAAGATAATCGTAGATTCTTTGGAATGAATGAGTGTTGCTTGAAGTATGAAGATGAGTGTGGTAAGAATATTTTGGCCAGGAAAGAGAAGACTTTTTGTCTTATATAGCATGAATTCTGTCAGTCCAAATCGCCGCTCTCCGTCAATACAAGAAGAGATATGCCGTGTCATCCATCGCCCTTAGACCACCTTCCAATTTTGCTTAAGCTTCCTTTTGTATTACGAAGCTCGAAGCAATAGGTCCCGCCCGTGGTCTTCCTCGTAGAAGATTTTGCTTGCCGAAAGGAGGAACGAAGCCCGCCGAGCGACTAATGTTAGAGGTGACCCTTGCCAGCTGCCAACGCTCGTCAATGCATAGTCTAATGCGTATGCCAAGAAAACAGGTTCTTGGCTATGTCTCGTTTGTGTCTTCTATACCTATGAGGAAGGTATCAAGCCAAACAATCACGGGAGGAAAACCGGCAGTCTTATTTGTCCTATACACAAACTCGCCTCAAAACCAGTGTCGTCTCTGATAGGCTCGATAATTATCGATAATAATTTATCGGAGTCCACACTGCTCAAATCTGAAGTTCAGGCTGATGTCTTTCAGGGGTTTAGTATCCTTCGCTTCCATTACTCGATTTGGACTTCTTTTACCTAATTAGTGCTTTCTCACTCCACATGACAAAGTTAAAAGACTTTAGCAGGCACGAAGTGATACCTGCCATTTCTGGCAAGGCGTGGCTACGGCATGAAAATGTGGAACAAGATTGCTGCGAGCTGAAGACGGGGTTCATTCTATTTGGCTACGAGGTTAAGGGCACGCCCATAACTGCTCTCTGATAGGAGAAATTCCCATCTAGCCAAGACTTGCGTCTCAAATTTGAAATTATTCGCATCACCTCGCCCGCTTAGCCAACCCGAGCTTCCGGCCCTGGAGGCGAGTGGCTTGTTGGCGTCGTGCTTTGTGTCAAAATGAGGCCCGGTCCTCCGCTCATATAGACAGCAGGAATGGATACGAGTGGTCCAGGGGTGCCAGTTCCACCCCTTATTATATGGACTTGGCGCATGAGAGATAAAACTGCGCGCCGCCAGGCGCCGTTGCCTAATGGAGAGCAATGCTCTCACTTGGACAATATAATCGCCGTTTGGAGTGCTCTCAGGAACATTGAACGATGAATTTTTGGCGATTGTTGGGGCTAGCGACTGGTTTTGTGAGGAAGTGCTACTTGACAGAAGTTGAAATACTCACAATATGCCGGCCGTTCAACCAATTTTGGAGTAATCTTATCGCCCAGGAAGGCAACCTTGAACCAAACCTGACCCGAACCATCCCAGGAATCAATTGACTTTCTTTCGGGTGTCTTGGCCATGTAAAACTGAACAGGGCTGGGATGATTGATGCCCTGATCAGCGATGAAGCCAAGAGCTCCACCAGCTGCTAGAGTGAAGTTGCAGCTGAACCCACGCTCTTCAACTGGAAACAATGGAGATTGGCACTGCTGACATCGGTAACTCCATGGCCGTCTTGGAAGTTCTTAGTCTCGCGGATAAAACCCCATTCCTTATCCTCGGCCACGCCGTTAACGACCAGCTTGGAGAATCTGTCTAACTGCAGCTATTAGGACCCGGATCGAGGCAGAAAGATTGGAGAGGACGGTTACAGGGAGTTTGTTCGGTTACTGCTAGCTAGAGCGATAATGCGAATAACTTCATCACTAATGTTTGGTAATTCTGAATTGCACGGTAAGGTTCCAATCTTGCTGAGTGGACTTTATTTTGAGGAGCAAACGGGCGCCACCCGTTCATTTAATACACAACTGGGAAATGGACTTTCACTGGTATTTAGACTGTTGGGTATATGTTTAGCTTGCTATGTAAATAATCAATGTGGTTCGTGGGTAGTGTATATGAAGCAGGGATATACTCGGCAAACGCAGGCTCAATGCTGATCGCGGGGTTCCGGTTTTGAGAATTGCTTAGACGATCCTTGATACCGGTATGTTAACCTAATATGCTTCCTGAAGTGAAAGGTATTTACCGGAGAAGCGATTAAAACCTTCCCTGGAAATCACGAAGGGGAGTAATAAATCTCCAGTGGGATAGTCACGCTCTTATATGCTGAATCTCACTCAGAACATTTCAAACGTCAGACCACTTTGAGAATTAAGTTCCTTACTCTTGAAGTATTTATATTTTTAGTAAGGCCAAATTGCATCTATGAACTCAGTTGACGGATGAGGCTGGCATTTACATAGACATTTGAAGTATTCCGAATGAGAGTAGGAGAATAATCCAACTCGAGCGTCGGAGCCGAGTCCTCTTTCCTAGGACCCAAACTACCTCTCGCTACTTCACAGATGAAATTGGAAAGGGAATCTCAGGGTCACAAGGGAATGAAGCTTTCTAACGGACCACCAATTGTCTTACGAGAGTTGCCACATAAAAGCTGAAATTTGCGAAAATTTGATGGGGGATAAGAGTGGGTGAGTGACCTTGTAGCCCTCCGTACTGTACAAGAATGTGAGTAGACCCGCCAACATCTGTTGTGTCGATCCATATATTTCTCTATGAAACAATTGTTGATTCGTCAGATCCAGAATTTTTGTTCTAACTAGCAAACTAAATATATCGTTAGAATGTGGGACGGAGCTTCTGAGAATGATACTTACTTCCAATAACACCATTAACGGGAATGTCAATTGACGTGGTATAGCTTGCAGCATCGCTCAACAAGTAGACATATGCCCCACCCAGCTCCTGAACCTCAGCCAACCGTGGAAATCCCCCATAGTACTTCAATTGTTGTTCCCAGTCAGGTTGTTGAGGTACCCAGTATGTCATTGCGGTGTTGACGAGGCCTGGTGACACACTGTTGACTCTGATTCCGTACTGCGCCCATTCCATTGCCAGGGTATGTGTCATATTTCGTACGCCAGCTTTCGATGCGCCATAGGGTGTTGATGGGACTCTCTAAAAGGTCGGAGTAAGCAACGGCTCCACAGAAATTTAATGAACGGAAGACTTTTGTACCTTGTTTGGTCGGTAGGAAGCCATTGATGCAGTGAAGACGATAGCTCCCTTGATATTTAGCTTAATGAAAGCTCGGGCAGCCACTCTCGCACAGTAAAACGCTCCGAATAGCTTGAAAACTTAGGTCAGCAGGAGTCATCCTCTCTGAGAAAGCAGGTAACCCACGTTAACATTGAAGAGTGCTTCGATTTCCGCTTGTGTAAAGTCCAGCGCTGACTTATGATTTGTCCGCCCCGCATTCACAACCATTCCGTGAAGAGCACCGGCTTCACTGATAATCGTATCGACCGCAGCTTGGATGCTGTCTTCCTTGGTCACATCTGCGGTGGCTGAAAACAAGCGGCCTGGGAAGCGCTTCGAGAGTATTTGGAACTCATCGCCGGGTTGAGTGATATCTATTGAGTAAATCTTCTCCGCACCGTTGACAAGACAGCATTCTGCTATCCCAAAACCGATGCCTCGGTTTGCTCCAGTTACTAATGTTGAGGAAATGGTCAATAAAGCCCTTGCACAGTTGCGGTGAAATACGAACTCGCTATGATCTTTCCTCCTAAAGTTACTTGAGTTTGTACTTGAGGAGTTGCTGAGACCGTGGGAGTCGGGGCCGTCGTGTCAATCGCAGCTGGTGCCATTTTGAGAAGGAATTCAGATGAACAAAATTGAGCGCAATTGCTATGTGTTACGTGAAAGCAGGACAAGGGGTGTAGTGGTTTGAAATTGTGCTTGCCGCGGCACATAGAGTACTATATAGTGTTCAAATTTGGCTCGAGGCGAATTCGGCCCGCAAACTGTGTCTTCGCCTCCGATAAACTTGTGGCCCAGGCATATGCAGATCCTGGGTTAGGCAGCAAGGGCGAATTTTCACTTCAACCCCACCAGTTGGGGTGACAGTACCCCTCCATCGGCCGGCAAGGACAAGGTCTACTTCACATGTAAAAATGGTGTTGAAGCTTTGCTGCTTTCATTTCATGCCGCTGGGTATCGACCAGTTGAGGGATTGTTTCGTCTCGAGGACGGGTGAAGTCAAAAGCAGCCATTCAAATCCATTTCCCACTATTTCACAGTGGAGGGGTAAAAATGGGGTCGCCTCGCTTCGAGGTCTCGACCCCTATTCGAGCCCATATCCGAGTCTCGCTAAACGTGCCTCGTCTCGAGGCAAAACTCCCTCATGTCAAACTCAGGAGTTCAGTACCATGAACGCGTGATCGCAACAGGCTTGAAGTGGTAGAATGAGACATACGAGAAACCAAATATTATTTTCAAGGAAACGTTTGAGTGGTGTGCTATTGTTGTGAATGGAAGAATACATCCCTGCCCTTGACACGTAAAAGATTGAACACCACCCCTCATTCCTTGGTTGTCATCAAGGTTTGCTTGCTGTTCATTATGATGTACCGAACATCCAGGAAATTTTGCAAGTCGCTTTTTCCAACAAAGTTTTTAGCAGGATCGTCACTTGCGGCAAGATCATTCTCGACTGTCGCCAGACGGAACGACAGGTTCAAGTTACCCAACGGCATCAATAACAATGGGAGTTCGGAATTTGAAGGAACCTTGGCGCGGACAGATTCTACAGTCCAAGTCGAGCATCCATCCGAGAGCGATCTCCCAACAAGTGAGCCAGTGAAAGGAAGAGGTGGTTTCCATCACAAGAGAACACTTCCCTCTTTCTCCCTTGAAGGCAAAGTAGGAGTTGTGACTGGTGGTGCGAGAGGCTTAGGATTGGTGATGAGTCAATCTTTAATCATCAGTGGAGGCGATCTTGCTATTGTGGATCTTGACAGTAAGTGACAAGAAGTCCCCGTTCGTAAACTTTAAGCACTGAACTGCCATAGAGCAGGAAGCGGAGCGTCAAGCAGTTGAACTCCTCGCGACATTCAAAAGAGAGAATTCCGCTGAAGTGAGGTAGGTCCTCTGAATGCACCGAGTTAAGTTCATTGGACTCACCGAACCGTACATCAGACTACCCAAAATCACAGCATATCATGTCGATGTGGCCGACTCTGCTTCAGTTGAAACTGCAGTCGCCGAAATCATAAATTCTCATGGCAAGATAGACAGCTTAGTTACTTCAGCCGGATTTTGCGAGAATTTTGAGGCTATTACTTACCCTGTGGATCGACTCAAGAAATTGTGGGACGTTAATGTCAACGGAACTTATTTTTTTGCCACTGCAGTTGCAAGACACTTGATTTCGAGGAAGGCTCAAGGAAACATGGTATTCATTGGAAGCATGTCTGGTAGTGTGGTAAATGTCCCACAACCACAAGCTCCTTACAATGCATCGAAAGCGGCAGTAAGACATTTGGCAGCATCATTTACAGTAGAATGGGCCGCTGCGAGTATCCGAGTCAACTGCATCAGCCCTGGATATATGGTGACGGAATTGTGAGCCTCGTCTTCAGATCGGTGGAGACTTGAAGGCTGCTAATTAATGATAGGACGAAGCGTATCTTGGACAAGAACCCTGATCTTCGGAAACAATGGACTGCATTAGTTCCACAGGGTCGACTTGGGAAGCCCGAAGATCTCATGGGGTCGGTGGCATTCCTCCTCTCTGAAGCTTCCCAGTATGTCACTGGAGCGGGTACGTTCTTTCGTTTTACCGGAAACGTGAACTTTACTGATTTCTGTAACAGATCTCCGGGTAGATGGTCGCTATACGCTCACGTAGCCTGATCGTATATATAGTTTTTGATCAATCAGTATTTGAGATTCAACTTCAAAATACCCTTTAACAGTCTGCCTTCATTCAAATCTTGAGTAAACCCCCTCTAACAGACTTTGCCAACTGTGCTTTCCACATCCGTTTCTCATTCAAAATATACAATGACCCCTCGCGTCCAAAGCAAAAGTTTGCAGCACCGCCTTCAACTTTGATCGCGCCTAACAGTACACCACCAGGACACCAAACATTGATACCATCTCCACAACCACTGTAAACATTCCCATCCACATCGCATTTGATGCCATCTGGGATTCCATTAGCAGCCATTGCAAACAGGCGTCTGTTAGTCATAAACGGCTGGCCCGAATAATAAGTGATATCGAAAGCATATCTAAACATCACAGTTAGCTTGTGTGTTCAAATTAGCAACACTATCATAAAGCACTTACATAGTAGACGGTCTCATCCCATTTACGTTCCCATCTCCATGTATCCAATCCGTATCGGTAACATATACTGTCTTCTCATCCGGCGAGAACGCAATTCCATTCGGCCTTCCAAACCCATCGGCCATAGCTCTGATCCCTTTCGTGACTGGATCGTACCTATATACCTGATTTGGGAGTTCGGGCTTGGGGCGATACCCCTGTTCATACCCATATATCGGGTCCGTGAACCAGATACTTCCATCGCTGTGAATGACAACATCATTGACCGAGTTGAATGGCCGTCCGTAGAACGAGGAAATGAGGAGGTTACTAGTATAGGGCGATGAAGAGGACATATAGTAGAGCCCACTGGCCTGTGTTTCCGAGCCTTGAGCACAGAAGAGGATGCCATCTTTGTAGTTTATCCCTCCGTTCGCCATGGGCACGCCATCCGAGGAGATTTCTTCTCGCGTCGCTTTTCGGGATCCATCACCGACGGAGATTTTCGAGATCTGGATGCATCTCTGACCAGATGAGTTGAAGAACTGGTTGCTGGTTATGAAGATTTCGTCGGTTGAGGGAAGGTAGACTCCGGCTTCGTGGGCGAAGGGGTAGTCGTGGTGCTCGAGAAGCAATTCTAGGGAAGGCGATGGACCTAGAAGTCGATGGAATCTATCATCGAAGACAGCAAAAGCTGACGGTATATCTGCCATTATGATGTTGTTTATCTTTCAAGAGTGGAGACCAGATTTACTTGAAAATGTTGAAGTGTAGTGGGGAGTGCCGGCTTTTGACGGAATCGGCCCCGCTCGCTGCCGTCACCCCCATCCCCACAGCTGTGCGCATCGAGAGGGGAAATGAAGCCTGAAACGAGATACCTACTTACAAACATTATAAAAACTTACCATCTACGCTCTTTCATTATATGGTTCCCATAATTTATGACGGAGTTAGACTTTCTAATTGAGTTTACTGCAAGATGTGCTTAAGCGTGCAAGAAGAGGAGGCTGTACCAATTTTCGCAACCACGGGCTCCTTCAGTCCTTGAAAATACTGCCCCAGAGAAGAAAGAAATATCTGAGCCCAATAATATCTCAAATTTCAGACAATCAGACAGTGCTGATATGCTGCACTTCTAGACCCGCTTCCTTCTCTACACTCCCCTTATCACTGCCAGCTCCAGAGCGACCTTGAATTAGTGATGTAAGCCCAACTCTCTCCTGAACCCTGGCAAACTCCTCCATCTCCTCTGTTGCAGTATGACTCCCGAACACTTGATCCATCTCCTCTAACGTCTTTCCCTTCGTCTCAGGCATGCAAAGCCAAATGAAGACACCGCCTGCTGCAGACCAAAATGCAAAGAAGATATATGTCCCCCATCCAATGTTACTCAACATGGGGGGAACGACGAAGGCGATGATGAAATTGTTCATCCAATTTGCTGAGGCACCGATGGATGTCCCCTTGGCACGGATGGAGATGGGGAAGATTTCTGCGATGAGAATCCAGGAACCGGGTCCCCAACTATAGGCAAAGTTGACAATATACAGCCAGACGAAAACTGCATTAGGGTTAGCCTCTGTAGGATTTTCAGAATTGGAATTGACTTACCAACTGCGGCCCAACCAGCCGCCGCGTGAGTGCTCCAATCATGTCCACAGGTAGCCACGATAACGCCGATGATGACTTCACAAATACACATCCCAACGGAGCCAGCCATCGTGAGTGGCTTTCGACCAACTTTGTCGATGATGTAGATTGCCGGGATGGTTGTAGCGACGTTGATGATACCGATGACTCCAGATGCAAGTAGGGAAATCGTGCTGCTTGTGAGACCGAGGGATTGAAAAATGATAGATGCGTAGTAAATGACTATCAAATGTTAGTCTGCTACAAAGGTGGAAATAGATATTCAAAGAAACTTACTCGAATCAATACCAGTCCACTGCTGAAAGAACATCACCAAACTTGCAAGCGCAACACGCTTAAAGTTGTCCCTCGACCGGAAAATATTACTATACTGAGCAAACTCTCGTCACCAAACGCTGTTTCCAGCAGCTTTGCTCAATTCCGGGAATCGTTTATCGAATATAGCTCTCTCGAATTCCGCATCAGCCTTGATTTCGAGGAACTCGACTTGCACGAGATAATGATCTTCAGGGAGATTTCGGAGATATGAGAGGGTTTTGAGTGCTTCTTGCTCTTTGCCTTTGTTGACGAGAAGGCGGGGTGAGAAGGGCATGAAGAACAAGCCAATGCAGAGGATGACGGCAGGGATGCCTTGGATGATCATAGGGAGGCGCCATGCCAGAGCGGACTGTCCATCACCTGTTCCGCCAATGTAATTGCTCCCAAACTGGAGGTTGTGTCAGATAATTCTCCTAGAAGAGGACGCAGAGAGACTTACTGCAACCCAATATGCCAGCATGATGCCGATCGTTGTTGTCAGTTGCTGGAGAGCGATGAGAAAACCTCTCATCTCAGGTGGTGAGAGCTCAGCATTGTAAAGAGGGCTTAAAAGCGCGCTGTTAGCTTGTTTTATATCAGCCGATTTGTTGAAAAGACTAACCCAATAGCAGAAAGTGTCCCAACACCAAGACCAGTAAACAAGCGTCCAGCATAAAGATACGAAGTCGACTGCGCACCAGCAGCCAAGAAGCTTCCCAAGACTACCCACAAAGAACCCGCAAACATCGTATGCTTCCTTGAAAACACTTCCCCGAAGACACCAGCTGAGAGAGAACCAACCCAACCACCAAGTTGCAAGACTGAAGTGAGCCAACCGAGTTTGGACGCACTCTGTCTGATCTCAGGAAAATCTCTCTGGAAGGAATTCATAACGGCTGCTTGGCCTAAGACGCCTTGCTGATAGCCGTACAGGAGACCTCCGAACCTATTTGATGTCAGATTTGGGAATCAAGGGGTAAGAAGGTGACTCACGAGGCGAACATGGCGATGAAGAAAACTTTCTTGTTCTTTAGCAGACCTTTGACGCCAGTTGGGGCCATCTCAGCCCTCATGAGGGCCGTGACACCCTGTAAGCTCTGGCCTTGGGCCATGTTGAAGTTCGAATTCCCCGATTATCTGAAAGGTACAGTACAAAGTTTGAATCGTCCTCTGCTCAATAAATCAAGGTGATCGAAGAGGCAGCGATCAACAACAACAAGGAAGAGATCAGACGACGAGAAACGCGATCCTTATATATCGAATAACCCTGATATCAACGACAACCTCCTCCCCTTGCATAACCATCATCCAGTGTGCCAGTGTGCTGTCCGGGGATTCCAGGCTGGGGAAATTGGCGCATGTCGACCCCGCGGCCGCACTTTGGGGTCACCTGCAGCCAATGACTCGCAAGCTTTCTTAGCCAAACCTTAACAAGATCGTCGGCGAGAGGGTTGTTGCAGCAGCGAAGGAGTTTCCCGACGCTACGGTAAGAAGGCGCGTGGCGTCCCCAGTTTCAACCCCGCAAACCCCGATGCCTCGAGACGAGGCCACGAAAGCACAAGGGGCAAAGATCTGGGCTTCAACTCGTAGCGAGCAAGAGTAATGGTCGTGCCGGGACAGCATCTCGGGTGCTGGGTTCGTTCCATCGATACGGAATTTCGCGGTGGGGGGCTTGAAGCTATTCGGCGAGCTCTCTCCAAGTGTTGCTACTATTGATGAAGACCCCTCGCTACAGTTGCTATTTCAGCCCCTTTTCCGTAAACTGTACAACTGCAAAGTCGGCTGTACGTCCAAACATCATACTTCTTGAATTCTTCTATTATGCACAAGTCCGTGACCAGTTGCAAAAAATTGACGAGACCGATCAAATCTCAACCATGGCTCCTCCTCCGGACTGGAAAACAACCAACCGCACAATTCAAATCCTCCAAGTCGCGGAAGAAGGACGGTATGGTGTCCTCGCAACAGTGGCCTACAATATCGAGCACATACTCGGCATGGTCCAAGCCGCTGAACGAGCCCACTCACCTCTCATAATCCAATTCTTCCCCTGGGCTATCACCTTCTCCTCCGGGCTCCTCATCCGCACCGCAGCCGACGCAGCATCGCGCGCCAAAGTTCCAGTCGCAATCCATCTCGATCACGCCCAAGATGAAGAAATGATACGGAGAGCAGCTGATACGCTGCCGTTTGACAGTATCATGATTGACATGTCGCACTATGAGAAAGAAACCAATTTGGCGAAGACAAAAGAGTTGGTTAGGTATTGCCATGAAAGGGGTATTGCGACGGAAGCTGAGCCCGGGAGAATTGAGGGTGGAGAGGACGGGGTGATGGACACAGAAGGCTTGGAAGGGAGTATGACGACGATGGAGGAGGTGAGTGATTTTGTGGATACGGGAGTGGATTTTCTGGCGCCTGCGATCGGGAATATGCATGGCGAGAATCCTTACGGATTTTCTAATCCGAACTTAGATTTTGAGAGGTAAGTAATACGTGCGATATTTTGGCTTTAGTGGAAATGGGGTGCTAAGCCATGTGATAGGCTGAGAGAAATCCGATCGAAGGCTCAGGGTCGAGTCCGAATCGCTCTCCATGGCACGAATGGTTTCAGGCTAGAGTTAATGAAGAAGTGTATTTCGGAAGGAGTGGCGAAAGTCAACGTGAACAAACTTGTTCTTGACGACTATTCAGAGCATCTGAAAGCGAATGCTGGGAAATTCCCGCAGACTAAGTTGATGGAGCAGGGAGTGGAACTGGTAACCAAACAGACGATGCAGTGGATGGAAATTTGTGGATCGGCTGGCAAGGCTAAATCAAAAGCTAGAATAGCAAATGGCTGGATTTGAGCAAATGGGAGTTCTCCCTTACGGGTTGACCCAATGCATGTTTTGACAACCATAACCGATTCGTATGCTGTGGACAAGAGGTTCAACCTGTTCTGAGAGATGAAACTATTTATTACAGTGAGTGAAAGGAGTAAATCTTGTGTGAGCAGAGCCTTCTGGGGTTTCAATTCTAATTCGGGTCGTTTCACCCTAGCATTGCCAGCTTCGCTCTGATCACACATGGTCGTCTTCCAACATCCTGAACTTCAAACCCACTTCACGCCATACCTCAATTTTGCGAGCCCCCGCTTGAAGCCCGTGGCAGTGGTGTTGATCCTTCGTCGAAGTATTCGAAAGCTGGCTCTCCGCCTTGGTGAAAATGTAGTGACATAACCCCAATACTTCGAGTGGCATAGCCACGTTTAGGTTAACTGTTGTTTATAAACACTGTTGAAAGCTCAGCCGTTAGGCATTGTCTCGGAAGTCTTCCAGAACGTCTGAAGTTCTTCGCCCAAGGACAAAATAGGCCATCCAGTTCGTTGCCGACAGGCATCAAGCATCTTGAGGACGGTTTCTCGTCGTCGAACATCCTGAATGCACATGCCCGCTGTGGATTTTAGTCATGTCCCTGTAAATCTGGGAACATGGTTCCATACCAATGTAAAGACACTGAGAACACATCACACTCGACGCATGATCCGTCAAAGTCATCGCAATTCCACAAATATTATTCACGAATTTTGATATCAGCCTGCTTTGCTCAAGGTAGCCACCAAAACCTCCTCTGGAGGGCTTATTGAGGAGCAACAGTAATCGGGCCGAGTAATGGAGCTGAAGTGCCACTCCTAAAGGAGGGATGAGTAAGTTGGTCGTTAATGTTGAATGCACTCACCAAAAGCTGGAGGGTGTATCCATATCGGCTCAAAAGCTTCTTCTTCTTCTTCTTCTTCTTCTTCTCCTGTTTTGAAAGGCAACATCGTAAACTCCGTCGTCAAGTATAGCTCCCATTCATCAAGCATGGCCTGCAGCTGATCTGCTCTCTCAATCCGCAATGAAATATCTTCCGCCTCAGTCTCCTCTCGAGAACAATAGTTGACCACCTTGGCAATAACGTAGACGGATCTGGCAGCTAACTCATACGGATTCATGTCGTCAAATCTTCGTGTCGGTTTCCAGAAGGTGAATGTCTTCCGCTTCTCGCGAAACGCAGCCCATACATCTTGCTGGAGCCATGCCCACCAGACTGCTTGCTTCAGGCCCTTCGAATCGCCATGGATAACTTGAGATCGTTGGATCCAGAATACCCCTTGCAAGTGACGTTCCCAATCCTTGCCAGATCCGTCAAGCATTTCGTAGGTTGATACAATCAAGGCAGTGGCAAGCAATTCGAGACTTGTTTTGTACGTGTCGTATTGCATTGCTTTTGAGAGGTAATGCAAAGTTTCGTTGTAATATTGCAATGCATCGTTGCGATCATGTGTCTGCTCGGGGATGATACCTGGATTGAGAGAAATGTGGCGGGCCGAGAGTGCAAGAATGGCTTTCATCAAACCAATGTTACGCATCTTAGAAACGTTATCGGTCAGACGAATCAGTGTAAGAGATCTGAGGCTTGTCAACTTACAGCTAGGTGAGGAACAAATGTTGAAAAGCTCTGCGTGAGGTCGAAAAGGTCAATCTGAGGATGGCTGTCAGAGGGTGGCAATCAATCTATCACAAGAGAGACCCCATACCCAATGACTTGTGCGCTGAACAAAATTCCGAAAGATCAATTGCTCGTAAGGCAGAAGTTCTATCGCTTCTGGGGTTTGCCACTTCGATTTCTCAGCGATCGCACTTCGGTCTAGCCCAGGAGCACTTCGTTCTATTAGTTGGGGGCTGGATGAAGAAGGCGATGCGGAATCCAGAGCAGCGGTAGTAGGGGTGCTATTGTACGGCTCCATGTAAGGAACGCCCATTCTATCTTGCTCTCGAGGGGTGCCGAAGTTGTTGGGCTCGTCCATCCCAATGTCAAAATCCGCGAATCCATTCTCGAAAGCTGAGTCTCCAACAAGCATGTCAAACCACCGAGTGATTGCCACATTGAAGGTAGGTTGAGAGGATACGGATCTGGCCGCCAGGCTACTATTGTCGTTGCTACCAAAGGAGAATGCAGTCCCGGCATGGGACATTTCTGGGGACATGACTTGCTGAGCAGCTGTATCTAGAGGTGCGGTGGCCTGATTACCAAGAGCAAAGCCATTTGCGGAAGTGGTACTTGGATGCCTCTGAAAATTTGGGGTTTCAACCGATCCTGGACATCCGTTTTCTAAGAGAGATTTGGAATAGTGAGTCTGCTCTGGTGAAGTCTGCCATGGTGGAATCGGTTGTCGAATTGGCGCCGGTGGTGGATCTGAGATGGCTTCAGAAGATCTGTTCTCAATCCGGCCACTTGGTTCAGGTCTTTTGTCAGCGTAGATACATGTCTGACCGCCTTTATTGCATCGATGGCAGTGCGGCCTCAGCTCGTCACATTTAACATGTCGCCTGCGACACGTTATACTAGCTCTATTATCAGTCTACGTTTATACGTCAATCCTGGGGAAGCGAGGAGACATTGGAGACTAGAATGCAGGGGATACATACCATCCCGTAGTCTTTCGAAGACCACGCCCCCGAGACTGGCGATGTCGTGGTTTACGCGACAGAGGACGCTCTTCTTCAGCCATCGGCGAGTTTCGGGAGAGGGGAGCACCATGAGGCGACTTTGTAGAGAAATCATCGAATTGGGGAAGAGGTTGGTAGTTTCTGTCAAGGGTGGAGGTCAGTTCTTGAGCTAGACTACCCCACATATCCGGGGTAACCTAGTTGGGTTTAGGCCGAGATTGACATGGCATGAAGACTTACCTAGCAGGTCCGGGAGTCAGGGCCATGAGGATTTTTGAAGGCCGAAATACTTCCTCAATGCTGGCAAGATCAATGAGGATGAATATGCGCAAAAGAGACCCTTGCAGACATTTTCTTCATTTCAGACGGAGGCTGGTGGTTTGCGTCATAACCGTGCAACAGGGTTTCAAGAATCCGCATCCCAACTCTAACATATTCCAGAAACATGTGATCGACAAGAATATTCTTGATTGTTGTAAGTGAACAAACATCCCTCCGTCCGCGAGTAGTTGTGTGCCGTTGCAATAAGGACTCAGCTCCTCGCTTGCTAGAAACACAGCGGGACCAGCAACATCTTCTGGATTCCCGACTCTTCCCATTGGGATTCTTTCTTCCAGGTATTTCCTCTTCACATCATTCTTCATATCCTCATCTGCCAACTGTGTCTTGATGGTCCCTGGCAGTATGGCATTGCACCGAATCTTGTCCTTGGCGAGCGCAATTGCCATTGATTGTATCAAGGACAAAACGCCGGCCTTGGTGGGTGTATAATGTGTTTGTAGACCTCCTCCAACAAGAGCGCTGATCGACGATATGCCTATTATGGATCCTCCATGTCCTTGCTTGACCATCTGCCTCGCAGCTGCTTGGCAAGTATAAAATGCACCGTTGAGATTGATTCGGACGGTTCGATCGAAGAGTTCGTGATCGAGTCTGTAGGAACTCCAGTCAGCTAATTTCCCTAGATCGAACAGAGGGAACAGGAGCCCACGTTAAAAAGTCTGCAGCCTGAAAAATGCCAGCATTGGCCACAAATATGTCCAGTTTCCCCCATTTCTCTACTGCCTTCTGAACCAGCAGTTCACCGGTCTCTGCCTTTGTGACATCTCCGACAATTTCCAACAGATCCCCAGCTTTAGACGTGCTTTCACCCTCGACTTTTTCTGCCTTCAGAACAGCTGCTTCTTTCAGCAAGCTATCCTTGTATACCTCATCCCGCTCGAGACCCAGGTGGTTGATCGCAACATTGCAGCCTTGACGAAGGTATTCGAGGGCTATCGCTCGTCCAATTCCAGTAGTTCCGCCAGTAATTGCTGCAGTTTTGCCTTCGAGTATGCGCCAACGGGAGGGCGCCATCGTGGTCAAGGAAACGAAGCCACGATTTCTTCGAATGTATATCTCGTGCTGTGAAAGGAGGGGCGCTCAACGCGACATAAATTCCAGGCCGTCCTGCCCCGCGATGACACTCCACACACCTCGGTGATTGAGCACGGAAGCCCTCCTGCGACCATGCTTCCGAGTTGACCCCTCCAAGTTTTGTCGGCTTTGGTGTGGTTACAGGGAGATGGAGTTGATTCCGTGGATCGACGGTTAGTTCTAAAAGGGGCTCGTCTCGAGGACGCGCTAGACTGAATGGGGTTTGACGGCTTTTCTTACCCGTCGGCTTCCCGACGTCCTTCTCTCTCCAAGAATACAATTCGCATCTAGTCAGAACCCTTCCGATTCTAAATTCATCGGCTTATCCATTCGGTCCGAGTTCACGATGTCCTGCCACATCTTGGTCCGTAGCAGCGCAACAGCCACTTCGTCTCGAGTCCAGTCTGCAAAGTTGCAGGCTTGACGAGTTCTCTCAAGGCCAGCAAAGGCTCGAAACGAGGGAGGTAGAAAGTTGGCCGACATGGCCTTGTGATGAAGCAAGGTTTTCGGGTTGTGCACTTCGATTATCTTTCAATTCAAGCCAGAAACCAAGATCAAGTGTTCTCAGTCTCGGCAAGTGAACTGCTCAGCCATGTTCCGAAAATCGCGTTGCACTTAGTTCATTTTGACTATGTTTATCATGTCATTTAATTGGCACGTTTGACTTATGGGTTTCATTATTTTCTAAGGAGCTTGTAGACTATCTGCTCTCCACCATGACAAGAGCTGCACCGCCAGCTGTGGTTTCAAACACAACTCCGAGATCACTGGAAGGCAAACTTGCTCTGATCACTGGAGCTTCAAGAGGCTAGTAGTCTTATGCCATCATAAGCATTATTCTCACTAATCCTGCAACAAGAATTGGAGCAGCTATAGCGCAGAATCTCGCCTCAAAAGGAGCATCCTTAATCCTGAACTACACCTCAGACAGCTCTGCGTCTCAAACCTTCACCCTGGCCCAAGAGATCGAAACCCAACACGTAGTCACCTGTCTCTACATTCAAGTAGACATTGGATTCCCTACTGGTCCTGCACTGCTCGCCGACACGGCCCGCAACGTCTTCCTCTCCAAGTGTCACGCCAAATTTCAAATCGACATTATTGTCAACAACGCTGGCGTCGCCAGCAATGCCACGATTTCAAGACTTCGAAATCAAAGATTTCGAATGGATGTACCGGATCAACGTCCTTGGTCCCTTACTGCTCATTCAAGCAGCTCTTCCGTACCTCCCTAACGACCGGAGCGGGCGGATAGTCAACCTTTCTTCCATCTCTTCAAGCGAAGGGTTCGTAGGACAGTCGGTCTATGGCGGGACCAAAGCTGCTTTAGAAGCGATGACCAGAACTTGGGCCAGAGAATTGGCCGAGAGGTGTACAGTCAACGCCATCAACCCTGGGCCGGTGAGGACGGATATGTGGGCCAGAATGCCAATGGAGCATAGAGGAGGCTTGAAGCCTTGGACTTCGCATTCGCCGCTGGCTGCTGTGAGAGAGGGTCTCGATGACGAGGAAATTTTCAACCAGAAGGAGTTTGTGGGTGGGAGACCGGCATATCCTGGCGAAGTGGCCGGGATTGTGGGGATGTTGTGCTCCGATGATGCGAGTTGGTGTACAGGACAAGTTGTTTGTGCTAATGGTGGGATGAGGATGGCTATTTGATGCGGAAGTTGTGCTTTTGGTTGATTTTTAATGCCCTCATAGTGCATACTTCCAGACAGGAAGAAAATTGAGTCTAAAATCGAGAATCGCTGTTTATTCAAGCAGGAATACCGATTCCTCGTCTGAGTGCTTCTCGAGAGCTTCACCATACATTATCCTATACATATATGCATGCCCAACATGCTCAAAATTGTCCTTCGCCTCTTTTTGGCGGAATATAAAGGGAATTGGGCCATTGAGAAGAACACAAACATCGTCGCCAGGTTTGATTCCCAAAGGTCCAAGACCAATCCTTCCCTCCACGGTAGAGAAAAATCTATGTCCATCGCAGGCGGTAAGGTAAGAATTGAAGTACCTAGCCAAAACCGCACTTCCAAGTACACGGTGGTGGTGACTTTTCTGGATCACCGGCGGCCCTCAATCAGCGTTTGAACAGCTCGAGCCTTCAGTTGTCATTTGGCAGTCGCCTTTGTCCGCTACTATGCATTTGCGATGTTCTTCCGGGATGCCCGTGGTTTTATATGCTTCTTTGGGTAGTGTTAAGCATTTCTCTTCCAACGCTAAGGTTTTAGCTGCTAATTCGGGAGTTTTGGACGGTTCTTCCCCTATCCAGCGCTGACAGAGAAACTTCTTGTGGACACACAAATATTGCCATTGAGGACCGACATAAATACCGACCATTTGAGTGCCAAAGGTACTGGAACGAATTAGGTTCTGGGCATTCCAAAAGAACTTGAACAAGAAACATACTCCTGGAGAGCTGAGGCTTTCTTGATATTGGATACTGACTTGGCATTCTGTCCTAACTCGAGCAGGTTGGACAACCGCGAGAGGAGACAACTTGTGCAGCTGGGATTGAGCGAGCAGTAGGATTGACAGCACCGAAAAAGTTGATAGTGACTAGTTTGGTCATTGTAGAGAAGAGCTTGGTGACGTTGACCTTCCGTCCGACAGTAGAGGTGATGGATGAGAGCATGTTGTGGGAGGGAGGAAGTGCCGATGCGTCTTGTCCCTAAAGATGAGGTGATAAAGAGCTCAAACGGTAATGCTGCACTTTTATGAAAGCGGAGGTGAATTTTTGTTGAATATGGAAGTCGAAAATTCAGAGACGGTGTGGTGGTGCGTTGGCGTTGAGCCTGTATTTGAAAGAAAAGAAGTCGGAAGGACAGATGCACCGAGGACCTTAAGTATCCACCTCCCATATTAACAATCGCGAATTGCTAAGTTCACGTAAAATCTAAAAAATCAATTTAAGGCACTCTAATTGGCGGGTCTTAAAAACCCGAGTTGACGGGAAATTTAAGCGAACCCCTGAAAACTATCCCCACCCTAGCTCGTGTGCACCTCTTTCTAATTTTCTGCGTTATTCATTTCTAAAAAATAAAGCCATCAATTTATAAGTGGTGATTATTATTAAAGGCACCATTCAAGGAAGAGATGCATTTTGGAATTTGGAGCCCAGGACAGTTGGAAACTTGATCGGACTTCAGCCCAGCTCATATTAAACGTCAGACTAAATGAGGCACCTAGAGGTATTTATCCCTCGTGAGAAAAATTACCTTTGTCTCTTGTTATTTACTAATTAGATTCTCCAGATTATAATCAGAAACAATCCATGGGCCTAGAGCTATTAGTATTCCCCTCACTTCTCGTTTCGGCTAAAAGATTAGTTCCCTGACAACAGCAAACCTGTTGGATACACCAGTAAATACCAAACCTTAAAGCCTAAGATAAAACACAGGACTATATCACAAACCTAATCCTGGACAAAATTATCATCAAACTAAACGGCTACTGCGTCAATCTCCGGTCCGATTTCAGGGCTACCAACTTCACATTTCCGAAAGCGCAAATATTCACTCTTGGCGGTGATTGAAAGCCAACCGTTTCGTGGTTGGCATGGACTTTTACCTCATGTAAAGTTTTCAAGCAAGCTGGACATTTCGGTGGTGGATGTTCCCATCACCATCCTTTAATTTACCCCTTTTCTATATCGCTAAGTATTTGGGATCAACTAGGCATCCTTAATATCATCTTAATTGGAGAGGGTTCTTTCAGTAAGAGATCCAATACCCACAAGAAACATGCTCACTTTTCCTCGTAATTGAGAGTCTTGCAGGTTTGTAGTGGACGTTGCCTTATAGGCTCTCCCACACTAGCTTCTCGCTTAGAATTCGGTGAGTCAATTGCTTTTCGCTCCAGCTTCAAAAAAAAAAAAAAAAAAAAAAAAAATCCATCTCTACAACAACAATCCGAACATCCTCACAACTCTGACTTCAACTCTCGAAACAAGTCAACCCCAGCGCCCATTCAGGGTGTTTGGTTGCTGACTGACGAGATACTCAAGAATCACGTGTTCTGCCGACCGAAGTGATGAGTAGATTTGGCTACCTCTGGTGTGTGAGCAGCTTACAACTGTCCCCTTGAGGTGGCAGATTCCCGCTGGATCTTTACTCGATAGTAGTAAAAATCTGTATCAGCTCTTTTCGATTAGCATGGCCGCAGGCCTACCGACGACCAACAGTCTGCTGACAATTATCATAACGACATCAGTGACACCGTCTGCACCCTCAACGGAACTGATATCCTCTGTTCTGGAGTCATATCGCCGCCACTGTCCAAGCCTGATGGACTGCAAAGTTATCGTCGTCTTTGATAGCTACGATAGAGTTGTCCCAGAAGCTCGTCTCAAGAAAGGATGTGTCACGTCTGACCAAGCAAGAGTTTTTGATCTCTACAAGGAAAACGTCAAGGACTTCATCCTCGAACAACATTACCAAGGCCACCAAGATATTACCTTAATGCAGACACAAGCAGAAGCAGAGTATGGCAGTCCACACGACAGTCAGAATGCTGTTACCTACACAGCATTGCAAACACACGACAAGAGAGTTACTTTCATAGAACCCTCTCGACGTCTCGGGTTCGGCCTAGCCGTTCGTTCAGCGCTTCGAATTACCTCAACTCCCTACGTCTGGGTCCAGCAACATGACTGGATCTTGACCTCCTCATTTCCCATCGAACCCCTCTTACAAATCATGCGTGAATCCGAATCTAAGCCCGAAGTCCCCATCAAGTACGTTTGCCTACTCGCAGTACGCATGCTCAATTACGCCGTCTCTGCAAAGGTGGTCAGATTCCCTGCTTTGAGGAAGCTGACCTCTACCTTCAAGCGCGAATTCAGCACCAAAGAGCATCCCGAGATGAAAATTCCGTTAACGCCTCTCTTCTTCTGGCATGATAAGCCGCACATTGCTTCTACGGCGCATTATCTGGCGAAGGTCTTTCCTTCGCGGTTAGCAATGCTCCGTGGAGACTTTATCGAGGATAAGATTGGACAACGGGCTCGCACGCAGATGAAAGAAGGACTTGTAAGAATTTTGTCCCTTTCTCGACCGTTACTAGAATACCACTGAAGCACCGGACTTTATCCAGGGTTTTCTGGCTCTGGCATCTGACTATGCTGAAATCACCTCGATGGCCAATCACTAACTCTCTATTGCAGTTCACGAAGTGGGCAACGTGGCTATACTACCCCGGTGAAGGAAAGCAGGTGTGCTCAAAACACCTCCACGGAAGGATGTATCACGGTGCAGAAAAGCAGGCGGAAAAGATTGCCTTGGCACGGCAACAGGGGGAGGACAAGCTGGCTTGGCAGAACCTCGGAGGAACAAATAGCTGAAGGTTGACGTCATCGGCATAACCTGCTGCCAGACGGGTGCTTCTACATTGACCTAAATTGCAGTAAGCTGTAGTAATACGAATTCTTAAAGACAATAATCAAAAGACTTGGAAGCAACACAGTCATCTCCGGTCCTTGAATCAGCAACTTCGCAGGATCTTGAGGGACCCGAGATAGTGCTGGGCTAATTATTGTGAGAGACGAGCGATCAATAAATGTCAAGATAGATACCCTTGGGTTAATTCTCCCGCATTCAGAGCACTATCAATTGTGTATGAATATTCTTCGTCTTCGGTGGTCTGGGAATGAAGATCTCGCTTAAGAAAGGGGTTAGCTACTAGCTCACCCTATGTTGTCACTCCATCAATATCCATGCTAACGCAGGATCAATGTCAATGGTTTCTACCAAAAGTTATCAATTAAGCATATACAATGCCGTTTTCAGGAGTTTCAACCTGGTGGCTCGAGAAGGCGCAATGTGCCACCCTTTCGACAGTCACGGCCATCACGCCCCACCGGGCTCCTTTAGTGACTGTAGAAAACTCGGAGACCTTTTCGTTCTCCTGTAGCCGTCCCACTCCGCGGCTTGGGGGATCGAGACGAAAATTCCATTCTAGAGAATGTAGTGACCTGACACAACAGTTTGCGCTATGTTGCTCTGCAGCACCATTTGAAACGAGCCATAATCCCCAACCACCCACTCATTCCACCCTGAAATGTTGATGACTGTCATTAGATGCATTCCTAGCCCTGGACGTAAGAACGATGGAAAATACTTTGATGCTCCGGTACCCAAACCGAACATTCCGTAGACGACGAAGAATATATGGACTGCAACTAAGAGGACGTATCTTAATCCCGCCGGCAAAAAGAACCCAAATGAAACTTACGGAAGAGCAAATCCAAACCACCGAGGTTTGCCAACTGCAGAGCGCTAGCGTTTGCGCTCAGCAATGAAGAGCTTTATGTGGAGACAGCCATTTTCTTGATCGCGACTCAACCTGGGTCTTCTTCTTCGGTGCTTTGAATCTTGCCACATCTGTTTTTTTCCAACAGGCACATGGACTGGGTCATTCAATGTGGATCCTCAAGAAACAATAGGATTGCATCGTCTTGGGTCAATAAGGTTGTTTCTTTGACTCTCAAGAACAAAATGCACACAATGGCTTGAACTAGATTGACAATTCCCACACTAACGTAATCGAAAGGCCAAATTGCACTTTGCCGTTCCACCGTACTAGTACGAAAGTCCATACAATCAGCTGGATGAGCTATGGTCAGGCAATAATTGACTTCATAGCCAAATGGATTCCACGTCGAGATATTGGCGCGGAATGAGGAGAAGTGGTCTGAACAGAGACTTGTGTCCGTCCGCGGAAATTGGCTGCAGATCCAACGTGTGACTATCGGTAGCACGTGCGTCGATATCCGTTCGGCATATAGCATTACTGGTAAGGTGCGATCGAGATTCGATATGTCTTCTGTTACGATGTATAGATTACTCGTGGAGCTTTCGAACTCGACGGCATATACATTGAGGCACTGCAAGGGACCAACCCGCTTAAAAGCACCCGCGAGAAGCATGTTAAAATTAGCCGAAAGGGGCAGTTGCCATGAGAAGTCTTCAAAATACCTATTAGCCATCTACATCTACGAACCGCAGACAGCTGCAAGCGCCCCACGTGACCAGCCTCCGTATCCAAGACCAAAGACCCAGTATATCCACAATCTTATACTACCAACGTATCCGCACCACGTATTAGTATCTTTAAGCCTCACCTAGCACCGTCAGCTACGCCCTTAGCGATTCTCGCTTGGCTAGTTCTACAAGCTCCTCTTCTTTTCCGACCCCGATCCATCGTCGTTCCTGGCTCGCACCGTCTCGTATCACGAAGGGTATATTCGTTGTGTTTGTCTTCGCAGATATCCATTTTCGTAGGGAGAAAGGAAGGGTATGTCATTGCAGAGAGCGTTATGTAGAAGCCGATGAAAAGAGGTCAAGATCGGCTCGCAGGGCGACAAGCTCCCGCGGGCGGGCGTAATGAGTGGCTGGAAAACGCGTCCGACGTCGACGACAATAACAACGATGGCAACTTGACTATGAGCCAAGAGCTTCCAAGGTTTGATCCACTGAGAGAAGGCGATGGATATATTCTTCTCCCTGTGTCGCTCACTAGTGTAACAGGGATAAGCACACAAATAAAGAAAATTGTAGAGGGAGGAAAAGCCGACGTGTTATTAAGGCATTGAGAGGTTCGCCGAGTGAAATGTTATTACTTAATTGCCCTCCGTAAGAGAGGAAGTGAGAACTAAATATACGAGAATGCCCGGAGCGGGAAAAAACTCAGACTCCAAAGGCGCCGCAATTTCCCCCACAACAATGTCAGAAAAGAACGCGTATCAGTTGATCACCAAACCAAATCCAAAAGGAGCGGTAGTAAACAAATGAGACTTTGGAGCGCTGAGGCCGGCCACGAGCAACTCGTCTGACAAAAGGGCCGTGACAGGGGCAATCCACCTCAATCGAGATGGTGTTGCGCGAGAAAACTCGAGAGCAGATCCGCGATTTTCATATTGTTAAGATCAGAAAATAGAAAGTGCGTATTCCCCTTCACGCCTATGTTGGGCAAATGCAAAAGCTCCGCATGACCGCCATGCCGGTTTATCGCATCCACAAACGCCTGAGCGTCTCTGAAGGCCTGGGTGAAAAGGGGAGTTTGATCAAGATTGTCGCCGTAGACGAGTTGGATGGGGATCTGCGTCAATTTCAGAAAATCTTGCAGCGGAACAGTATGGCTGGGCTGGAGAGGACCGGTAACGGCTGGGAGCTCCCCCTCGGGAAACTGGAAGTTCGTGGGTTCATAGGCAACTATGGCTTTTACTTGGTTGCTATTCATTGCGGCACCCCAGCCTTGGTTGGCACCGCCTGAGTGAGTGACCAGTACCGCCGGGCCAATATCATCTGCAAGTATTCCAACTGCACTGGTCATCAGCTGATACGCGTCGCCAGCGCCGCTCCAATCGAGTCTATCGCCTCCTGTGCCATGAAAGGTTCCTCGGCGGAAAAATTGATTGAGTGACCCCGGATCCTCAGGGAACTGCACGCCTGCGAAGAATTGCGGTTGCGCAGGTGGAGTCCAAGTTCCAAGACGGAAGGTAGTAAACAAAATCGACTCGATTGGAGTTGGATCGGGTATCGCTGGAAGTCCCTTCGACGCTTGTCCGGCTCGGCCTTGTCGCGGTTGATCGATAATGTAGACGCTAAATCCTCTTCTCAGGAAGATCGACTGATATCCTTCTCGTCCATCGGGTGTGGTCTCCCATTCACAACCACTCAGACCGGCACCATGCCACAGAATCAAGGGGTATCGCCGGGGGTGTAGTGGGATTTGATACTGCACATATCCATGATCGGCATGCCAGGTGTCACCGTTCGCTCCCACGACGACCGTTCCCGCAAAGGCAAAACTGCCCTGGCTCTTTATTGACAGTGATGAATCCCGAGCCTCGTTCTGGCTCTTGGTTTCCTCCCGTTGCAGGTGATGGGAGAACGATGATACGACAGGTGTGCTAGCGGTCAGACATGACAACGCAGACCACAGGAGCAAGGAAACAAGCATATCGGAGATGTATGGTAGTGAAAGTGATAGTGTAAGAACGAGGCAGGATTTCCAGATGGGGCGAATAAGGTGGAAAAGATAGCATTCAGTCTGAGGCATAAAAAGTATCTGTAGTTCTAGTATCCCATTGCCCAGCTATTTATCCTTTACGTCAATATCCCATGCCAATGGATGCCCCAGTACGCCCACCTCGTTTGGAGCTGGTGGTTGCATTTGGCTTGCAGTGCGCTAATCATGGCTGGATAGCTGAAGTAAAAGCCACTGTGATAAGTCCTTGAGGGGTAATATTTTGCTCATAGGACGGACGCTAGTGATTTCGGTTTTCGCACCCTAGTACGGAAATTGCGGCATGAAATGACGGAATACAGGGCATTTTTGGTAAAAGTCCCCCGTGGAACCCCTACGGAGTATGGGGCGCCTAGCTTGTCCGTGTATTTACAGGGGACTACTCGCTAAAAAGGCCTATCAGGGCTATCATTATAGCACGCGGGGGCTGTGGTTGCTCTGCCAGCAGAGAAAGCCCCTGAGGGTTACCCATAACCTTGCGACTATGCGAATATTTTATGGTGGGTTTACAGGGTACACGGCCTAAACAATTAGAGCCGCGGATTAGACCCTAGAAACACTTGCTATGCGCTGCGGTGCCACCAGCTTTGCACCTTGTTAAAATAAAGGAATATCAAGAGCCCCATAACCTTAACTCCACCTATTTAAAACAATATTAATAAAAATTAAAACAAACAAAGAATAATTGTTGCGCAAAAGGTCGTCTATAATCCCAGTAGGGCAATTAAAAAAATCGTTATTTTGTGGCAAGTTATTTGAGTTTGAAGTGGTGGAAATTTGCTTACTAGAGGTACAAAGCTGGCGGGAGAATACATGCGTCGGCAAGGCCCTGTACTTTTATGCCGCGATCTCCTTTAAGAACAATTTATCAATAGTCGGGCCTGCGCTCTCGGCGGCTGTTTACATATCCTAATAGCGGACCACAAAGTGCAACGATTTTTGTCTAAAAACAGCCATGAAAAAAGGTAGGACATGTGGGATGTGAAGCTGATTCTGGTCACACCGCTTCACATGTCACTTCAGTGTGTGCTCTCACGACCCGTGTGTACTCTTACGATTACGATCCGAGTGTTCTCTCTTGACCCGTATATGCTCTCTTGACCCGTGTATGCTCTCACGACCCGTGTATGCTCTCACGACCCGTGTATGCTCTCACGACCCGTGTATGCTCTCACGACCCGTGTATACCCCGCACTCTGCGATGTGGCTGCTTGTCACACCGCTTCTCACCACAGTGAGGGGCTCACGTGTGCCTCACGTGGCTGCCACACCTGCATCTCGCATGTTTGTCTCAGACTCTCAGCGGCACGGCACAGGCCGCCCGACAATGACTACGCCGCTGTCGTTCAGATTTGTCCATTGGGACCGGTTTCCGCCTCGGGCCGAAGGATAGTGGGGGTGTTGAATGGAACTGGGCGTATTTGCTCCTCATGTAGTGTCTTGATTCGGCTTGAGCTTGTCAGCGTGACCTAGACTCTCACAGAGTTGGTTCGAGACTCTCAGGCTTGTACCACTAGAGCTGAGCCATGCTAAACGTCATAAAAACAGTTCATCCTTTGTCACCATTGATGCAACGGCAACTTCCGTCTCGGCTGCTCAGGTAATGGGATCTCACGCGTATTGTCCGCATGTTGTCACGTGAATTGGTAAGTCGAAGCTCATGATGCGGTAACTTGCATTAACGAGCCTGTGGACACAGGCCATTTTCTCTTCTAGTGTAAAGATCTTGAAGCATCACAAGCCGGAATGTCGTTAGCATTAACGACAAGGCAAAGAGAGTCGATGGACTGCGAAGTGTCACAAAATTGACTCGCCTTCTTGCTCCCAGCTCGACCCCGCATTTAGCATCAAGACAACGAATCGTCCAACCAATTCTGCCCTGACTTTCCTACCATCTGTCAATATTTCCTTCAATCCGAATCATCAAATCTCTCATCCCAAGCCCCGGGCATAGCACGTTCCGGATGATCAACCATATCCCAAAACTCCTCGAGGGAGCTATCCATTTCCTCTATAATCCGAAAATGCCAGTCGCTAGGCTTTGGACCAAACTCGAAACTGATCGAGAATTTCTTTGCCTTGTTCGCCCAAAATAAACCAGGCTGCCCGATAAGTCTTCGCCGCCACACTGGAAACCACCAAACCCCAGTAGTTCGACCTTCTTGGTAGAGTTCTTTCTCTTTTCGTCCATAATGCATCAAGTCAGCGCCGGTATCGTAGAGCAACTCAAGCCAAATCATCACGGGTTTAAGCATATCAGTTATGACGGGGATTGGAATATAGTATTCACCACGTTCGCCTCGGAAGTCGAGCCTGTTGTCCAGACAAAGGCCGCTCAGATGACTGAAGCTAGAGATCATAGCCGACAGTGGAGTTTCTTCTGCAGAGTCTGGAAACCTTCGGCAACATTCATGAAGGTCTGAGCCAGCAAGGACTAACTCTTTCATTAATGACAGAAGGTCCTGAAGGCAGCCTGCCTCAGCCTGCGAGTCGTAGTTGAAGTCGTTGCGAAAGCGTGGAGACCAGACCTTTCTAGCCCGACTTACTGGACGGATTGTCCGAGTTTGAGTTGCCCTGAGAGTTTGTTCTCCTAGTGCGTAAGCACAACTATGTATCAAAGTTCCTCTAAACTGATACCGATAGTTGCACATCTTAGCAATGGCCTGTGGCTCTGGTAGAAGGCATCGAACCAGCGAAGCGGCGCGCGGTTGTGCGACTCGGGCACACAAATCTATCGCAAGTCTGGTCCGATCTTCCATGGTAGACATTTGATAGCTATAACCGATAACATTGTTGAGAATCCAAATGAGAACGGTAGACTCTCCAAAGAAGCTATGAGCGGCTGATCTTGACTCCTGAATGTCGAAGAACTCGTCGTCGTCGATTACATTTGTAAAAGTCCGCACCAGCTCCAGACGTGTCTCCGGATCCTCCAATGGATTTGAAAGGCCGACTGCTGCGTTATATGCGGTCCTTACAGAGCCAGGTCTTGTTAGTGATTGAGTGCGTTGAGAGTGAAATGTACTGACCTGGCTTCTTGGCGTGCTCCATTTCCCAGGAGCAATCGACATACGTCTAGGTGACCCGCCCTCGCTGCCATCTATGCACAGTTTATTAGCGATCCTTGTCTACCTAGATGAGATAGCGTGAACGCAAGTACCTCCATGACTGTAATTCCGCCCCAACTACTGCCTCATTCAATCATATCATAAGGAGAGGCAGTCCCATTACTGAACATTTCTTGAATAGCGCGAACGTTGCCTTCCCGAGCGTATTCCATAATAGGTGCGTAGTAATTTACACACCTGTAAATCTTTACACCGATTGACATCCTGCATAGGCTCCGTTGACCGTAAAGTTCCAAACAAAGGGAGGTCATGTTGAGCCAAGAAGGTATTCCCAGTCGAGCTAAGATTCGTTTTGGACTTTTTAACGAAGTTCCGACTTTCTTATAAGTCCGTGCCAATTGTTTGCTGTCGTTTGACTTGGCATCATCTGCATTGTTTGAGAGAGTATCAATGCTTTCTGATGTACACTGCTGGATGATTGAGCAAGTCGAACGAGGGAAATGTTGAGGACTAGCCCGTACAGCTTCCGTAAACTGCGTGACATAAGTCTCTAGATTGCTGAGTTTGTGCGCTTGCATTTCGGCCAATTGCATCTGCATATCATGACGGCGTCGCTGGAGTACTCTCCGCCATATCAGTTTCTCTCTCGGTTCGCCGGAGACTTGGAACTTACTGCGAATAGTATTGATTCGACAAAACAAGTAGATCTTGCGCATCCCTCAACCTTTGCCTCAGCCTGTCGATTATGCCTTGCTTGAGAACAGCCTTGAAACTCCCCATTTTCTTTCCTTTCCTTATCTCAATTTCGAGATCCTTGACCACCATTTCCAATGCTTCTGCTGCTCGAATTAAGAACGCTTTGCTGGTTTCTATGGAGGCAGAGACAGCCCCGGAAACAAGCCCCTCGTCCTCTTCAGTCTCGCAGTTTGACAACACCAAACCTAGTGCCTCGATCTGTCTGAGTATATACCTGATCTCCTCCGGGGCTTCTTTGACGCTGTCTAAGAATCCCTTGACTTTCTTGACACTCTCAGCAACCTGGATAGCGAGCGACACCATGCCAAGGCTGCCTGAAATGACACCGAGTTCCGCCATCTTGACGGCTTGTCTTCGTATTCTCGCGGTTATGATGTTTCCTCGTCTTTTGAATCTCGAATTCGACGATAAAACTTCGAAATTGACTGGCCTTCAGGTGAGAATTCTCGAGATTTGGGGACACGAAAATTCTTGAGGTGTCGTGCAACAGTCTGCCAAAGCAGTCAGCCTTGCTTAAGGCATACCCTCCACTAGCGAGTCCAATGGTCCTGCCAAAGCACAATCAAGCTGCTGCAACCCATCCAATCTGGAGAAAAATGTTAGGCATGAACCCACCAGAGACACAGACAGGTACAGAGTATGAGCCCAACACATGCGGCTGCGAACGTCGATCAGCAAGACACTGTCCCAGCGGCCCCAGGATGGACCGAGCCACGTCAACTTGTTGGCAGCATGATGTGAGGGCATAAGGCAGAATTTGTTGGAAATTTGATTATGGAAAATGGCTTGAGGCTTTTGAATTGTCCGAGTAATCCTCATACTTGCACACCTTCATCTCCAGCTTCCAACAAGGTTGCGCACGTGACCAAAATCTCCATGCTATGTGATAGAAAAAGGTAAAAAGGATGTAAGCTTTCCATTCGTGCTTGATTAAGTCCTTACAATTAGGTCCTGAGCAATCCTACGTGATTTCACATACGTACAAAAGCGTGATCTCCGTTGCATGGCAACTGCAGGCCAGTCACGTGTGCTCACTTCACATGACAACATTCACTGTATGTAGCTCGGCTGTCCACGCCACATCTCACTTCTCCTTATCTCAATATATTACAATACAACCAGCATTTACTGCAACAATCTCGGATCACAGTTGCTTACCCGAAATCTCCTCTCCCCTTCTCCATCATTTCAACCTCAGAAACGACCTAGCTCGCGCTCAATCTACACACCCTAACTCCCTCCTTTCAACCCGTGGAAACGGTTCAGCCTCAAGCTTTGCACAATGTTCGGCTACCTCAAACCAAATCGCAAAGGTGTCGATGACCTGAACCCCTCTCGAGCCGTGAGCTCCCTCCCTCCTCGCCAGCCACAGACAAGCTAACACCACAGGAGACAGCAGAGCGCCCCATCTTCATCGTCTACGAGCCTCCTCGTTCGGGAGAGGTCCGACCCTTCCACCATGCCTACCTGGTACTCGGACGCCGAGGCTCCAGTGCTCAAGTAGACAGTAACAGCAAAGGCACAGCATACGATCGCTTCGGCGCAAAAGGCGAGAAGACCACATTCGCCGCTGACCCGGAAGGGTTTGAAGGTTTGAAGAATGGGGAATGGGCTGTGTTTCAGGGATGGACAAACAAGACTAATGAGGCGATTCAGAGTACGGGTATGTCATTCAGATAGGATGATGTTGATGGCAGGCAACCAGGCTAATGGAAGGTGTCCAGTTGATGGTCTGGAAGTGGAGAGCTACCTCTTGGAACAGAGCTATTCGGTTTGGGCGAACAACTGTCAGCATTACGCGAAGCAGCTGGCGGTAGAGATTGTCACGAGGCAACCATGAGTTGTAAATAAATCGCACATGCGAAATATTCTATCCCGTGATAACCTCACTCGAGGAGCAATCATACTTGCAACGTTGTAATGGGTATTCGTGTTTCTGTACTTCATAGTCCTCACACACCGACGTAGCGAACAGCTTCACTCTAGTTCTCACTCTCCGAATCATGTTCTCATTCTCATCCCTAACAACCCTACCACACCCAGCAAAAAGCACAACAAATACGTGTCGCAATCGATTCGCACGCAAGCCATGCAGCAAAAAAGCATTTCACTTCCCCATCTCCCCCCTCCACTACCAGTATAAAGGTATTGATTTATCACCGGCACGCAACTCAACGATGAAAAGGAAATCGAGGTAAAGAAAAGAGACTTCAACATCATAATACAATAATCCAGTCCGATCATGAGGCTATTCATGACCCCAGTAGCATACCATACCATAGCATCGCATCGTGTGTCTGTCGTACCAATCAATAAAGTTGATCGCCGGTCGTTCTGTGTCCGTATCACCCATCATCAATCATCGCCCAAGAAGTGCAAGCACTCGGCATGGACAGACTGAATGATTTATGTAGCAATCAACGGCTCCTCCTCGCTGCTTGGTTCTCTCAAACCCTCAGCAGCGGACTCAGTAGTTGGCACAGACTTGAACTCCTCCTTCGGCGCAGCAGGGAAATCCTCGCTTTTATAAGCAGGGACGTTCTCCTTCATGGTGGGCTCAGCTTTGGTGATGGTAGGGGAGACAGAGCGGCTGCGGCTACCGATCATCTCCTGAGCCTTGGCAGAGTATTCTCCAACATATTGCTTTGTAGTCTCGGTGGCTCGTGCGGCGTGGTGGCTTGCGAGTTGCTTGACTTGCTCGGTTTGTTGGTTGATCATGTTGGAGGCGTTCTTGAGGTGGTGGTCGATAAGCTCTTGGTTGGTCTTATAGATGAGCGGGCTGAGGAAGAGGACGGATGTGGAGATCAGGGTAAGGCCCCAGAATGGGACGATCTTGATCAGGTAGTAGGACAGGAAAGCTCCGACGAAGGCCTAGAATTCAGTTAGCTATGTTTGCTGTGAAAGCTGCCTGGAAACTTACGGCAGCAGAAGCAAAGACATTCTCGGCAAAGACAATACGCTGAGATTCAATAACGAAGAAGTTGATGATCTCGGTCAAATCGCCCATGAAGGAATCCAAGGTGGCCTTTGACACTGTATAGTATTTCCTTGGGCGGATCTGCGAGGTAAACCCAGTCGAGAACAGAGCCTTTCCCGTAACCTCAGCTGCAACAGTGATGGCCAAAGTGACCCATGTAAGCTTCATTGCATATCGGAGGACATCGAGGTATCGGGCAGCGAAGATAAACAACACGACGGAGAGATAGGCGATGGCGGAAGCTCGGGGGTTGTTCCACGACAGGAGACTCGTGAAGAAGGAGTGGTAGGGTGTGAGTTGTTGGCCTGTAGCGGCAGGTGTGGCCGGCGTTGTGCGCGAAGCAGCGAGGTTGGAGAATTCAGATGTTGTCTTTGTGTGTTGATCCTTGATATTCTCTGCAACAGGGCCTATCACATCTTATCAGCACTAGTCCATCAGAGATTTCCAGAAGCGGGAGAGCATACCGTTGGTGACGCTCTGGGTTATTGGGTGGTTCTTGACTGCGTTGGCGGCTGCGGAGGCATCTAAATAGCTTGTCAGTTGTGTTGCTGTGGAGCTTGGGAGCTTGGAGCTTCTGTTTCAAATGTCAGCCATCGAGATACGGAGAATGCTGGGGCGAAGAGCTATCACCAACCTTACTGTTGACAACGGTGTTCTTCGCGTTCTCCAGTCCAGACCCGGACTGGGTCTCGATGGACGGAACGGGGGTATCGTTGGCGGTGAGGTCAGACATGTTGAGGATTGCAATCAACGGACTCCGAACGCTGTTGAAAGGGATTCCTTCTGCGGCAGATGGTGGTTCTGCGTGTGCGAGGCAATCGTAGAAAGGGGTTGTGATGCTGTAGATGATGTTTAGCAAGACAGGCGTGCAGTTTGGAATCTGCAGTGGGATGTTTTGGTGAGTGGGCGTGGATTGGAAGTTGATGGTGATGCGAGTGTCCGGTGGAATTTATTCAGGCGAGAAAGGCGCGACCCGAAGCAGCTTAGCGCGTGGCACGCGACTCCCAGCAGGGAAACTTTGCTGGTTTGTGTGGCTTGACAGCAATGACGTGTGGCACAGCGCCGATCATTGGTGAATCTCAAGGTTTTCATACTCTTGCAACTCCGTCAACTGTCTGTAAATCGTCTGATCTTTACATTAACGTGACGAATCTTCTATTACGAAGAACCACACATCAAGTGAGGTCTGTTATCTCGAATGTTGAAGACACCTTTGCTGCTCGCTAACCACGCGGTTTTGTTTACTTTCGAGCTTTTGGCATGTGATCGCGTCAGGCAGAAGAGGTGTCTTGAAGTTGTATCTGCTGACGGGGGCAGGTACGACGAGGAATTTGACTCACAGATAAGAACGGCATCCAGAGAGAAGTTGTGAGCACTCTCACAAAGTTGCGGGAGTTTTTTGAGTGAGAGGGGTTATTGGGTAGCTCGTACCCCTATTCAAATTGTCAGTGCTCAAAAGTTCGCAGCGGAACTTCTCAGAACGCAAGATCAACCCGGCTCCATTCTTTGCCACGCATTGAACTAAATACTCCCTGAATGAGTTCTCAACTTGAAATTTAAGATATCTGAAACGCAATCTTACTCTCCAATTCTTTCTTCATCAGACGTCCTACAATGCTGAATTGAAATAGGATAGAATAGGATTAGGGGGATTTGATATCTATTATGGGAGGTGTTGCTTTGTTTTCTGGACTGCAGTCTTCCTTAGAATGCCGTGGAGAGAGTCCAAATCAAGCTTACGAAATTGTTTGCTCCAAATCTAGCCAAATCCTTGTGAGAGATCATCTTGGCTGTAAGCAAAACACCGTTCAGTCCCCCGTTTCTCGGTCCTTTCAACTGCAACGACATCAAAAACCTGAAGGTGTGTTAGTAAAGATTCCACCTCCTACCCCGTCATTGTTACTCACTTTTCTGGTTTGGTAAGTTAAGTATCGATATCCTCCAGATTTTTCTGTACCGACATTCTTGAATTCGAAAAGGCTTGCAACAGGATAAGCCATCTTAATAGCCTGCGATGGCGGAGCAGATCGTGAACGGAGAGATTCCAGGGCAGCTCTCTGCCCAGGTATTGGCTTCGCGCTCCCTGGAACACCTATAGCATGATCATCACCCCGCGGGCTCCTGATGTTTCGTCAACCTCGTTCGTGGTAGACTGTCTGGCTGGCCTCCCTTACTTTTCTGATCTGTCAAGAAAAGGTGAAGCTCTCTGTTGCCCTTATCCGTTTTATTCATCGCCATCCCCTCTTTGCACCTACATGCTCTTCAACCGAAGGGACAATAACAGCGTAGTTTTGTGAGACTCCATATTTAAGCGCAGTTCTTGCAACTCCGTCCGAGTTGATGACCAAAGAAACCCAACTATTAATTTTTTGTTTGAGCCTTGCGATGCCGACCGCCTTATCCTCTTGCATTTTGCTTTGATCGCTTTTAGGGTTGGGTGACAGCCATTCGATGCGCTGATCAAATGTTTGTCATCCAGTGGCGCCGTGAGAGTTGATGTCCCCACAACGTACTTCTCGAGACTGTTTATTGCCAGACTCAATGACTGAAGCTCCGATCCAACTGTCGCCACCTCTTGGGAGAAAGCTTTATAGTCCCTGATGAGGCTTTTCAAGGAAACGAAGATGGTCTGAACCAGAGACCCCAAGGCGATAGCACTAGTAGCGATGGAGAGGGGGTCCATTTATGTCGCAATTCAATTTCAGAACCTACAAATCTGCAGATGAGAAGGCTGAGATCAATCAGCTATCAACGATGTTTGCGTTTGTGATGGAAGAAAGCAAGAATGATGGGGCAGCAGGATTTCAGGCTGCGCCCAGCTGACGCGGGGCAGGCATAGCCTCCCTCGAGGCTCAAAGGACAACTTCCAATAACTTCATTCTAAAAGCGCCCATTCTGCAACCAGAAAGCCGTGCTCGGTAAACCATACCTCGCCATTGATACCAACACACGTGTTCACCAAGAGGCTCTGACTTTGCAGAAATAACAACTGCATTCAAATTGCAACAAGAGTCTCCTCGACACACAAATGACAGCTTGCGGCAATGGATTGTAAACTCGTCAATTCTTCCTAAGCATTTTGCTTCTAATAAGAACAGTCGAGTTCGTCACAAGTTTTGAATCAACGCCAGGGGGTCATTAGGCGAACGTTCCGGACGATAGAGCGCCGTAGCGAAACTTGTGAAATGGCCATCAATGAGAGTTGCGTTTCCGTTATGAACAAATGCTTTGGCAACGATTAGAGAACATGTCATCGCTTTTCGAAGTTGTACTCTGTTCTTCTTCGCCACATTGATCCCAAGGTGGCTGGAAGAGTCTAGTAGCCCAGTATCAAAAGACACGGAGCTATTGATGGACCAAGACACATTTCCTCTGCGAAGGGACAGGTAACGTTATGTGTGGCGGTTTAGGACAGCTTGGGGATCTTAAAGACATTACATTCCGTGGACGATCGGATTTGTGTGGTCGATTGACTCCCGTTCAAACGGTCCCCAAAATATTGAGCCGAAAAAGTTCGGCATTGACTGCCAAGTGGGTGGCATATTCATACAAGGCGCGTTTAGGATCTGAGCTGTGGGCAATAATACCGGGTGACCACTGGCCGCAGTTAGTACTTCGAACCAGTACTTCGTTTCCAAGTGTAGTCAGGCGAGAAGCAAGGAGTCCTGTAGCCGTGAACATGACTGCGTGAACGAATCCCAGGATCAGAAGGCCGAGAATTTTTCGAAAGCTTTTAGAGAGAGGAGACAGCCGGATGGGCAATGACCAAGCGATCTTTATAGCTTCCCGAGAGGTCTTGAAATCGGTCGCATTGTTTCGCGACGATGCTTGTAACTGATGGTACACTCCATCTCGAGGGCGGCAAGTTACCCCAGACTGGTGAAAGATGAAACACAGAATTGCTCCATGATTCGGCATTTGTGAACCAAACAGACCATTGCCAAAGCAGCGATTAAAAGAGCGGCTCGTAATGTGTAAAGTGAAAGTGGCCCGTACACTCAGCCGCGCGACCAATTGGCCCCTATAGAGTAACGAGTCAGCGTTTGTCTCTCTCCGTGAAATCTATTGACGAGGACCTTGAGAGCTTATGCATGACATGCCAAGAGGTGGGGAGGCATGCTCTCGCGTTGGAGCCTGGATAAACGTACATGTGCCAATAAAAACGGTGGAGTTTATTGACATCCTGGATTATCAGACAGTCTGACTAGGACAACCAAGCCAATTGTCAAGTATAGTCAGAACATCGTAGTCCGTTGGTTTCGGCTCGGTGTCCGAGCATAAATCCCTTGAATGCCCAAGGACTCAAGGAGAACATTGCAGGTATAATACCAATTTCAATACTTTGTCAGTGGCTCGAATTTGAAAGGTGGGCTTGCGATAGACACCTGAAAGCTGAGACGTGTTGGCTTTGAGATGAAGGCGGGAAGTGGGCCAGGCAGCGCAGTAAAAGGAGTGCACCAAAAGGCTGGCTTGGGAATTTCCAAAACATCGAATTTTCGTCGATATTGACTCACTATGGACACCAAGGGTTGATGTACTGTACAGTTTTGAATTTTGCTTGCCCTTTCCTGTTCTCCCCTTCAGCCTTCGTTTCTTCCTCGTGTCTTTGCCTCTCCATCACGCCTTCACCTCCTCAATATTCCACTCAAGGAGGGATTTTTATTTCTTGCAAGAAACGATTGTCCAGAGCTCCCGTAGCCCTCCTCAATTGCCCTTTGAAGATCCCTTGCTTCTCTGACAAGAAATATTTGAAGGATTTCAGTCCCATCTACATCTCGCTATCTCCTCTACCGAGAGACGTCTAGGTGTCCGAATATTATACACGTTCCGCATCCTCTATGAGCAGTTAGTCCATGCTTTTGTTTAGATTATTCAGGAGGCAGTAATACCTGTATCTCGTAGCGCCCGATGCCAAACCTGACCCTCAACAAGGTGACCAACTTCATGGGGTTGACGTTTCTCGCCGTGAGTTCTTGAGCTGAAGCCAAGTCCGTTGTCTGTAGATCCTCCAAGTACTCCTCGTCGTCTCCAACTTCCATATATTCTATAACCTCATAGTTCTCCTTCATGTGCACGTCATTGACCTTGGTATTCCGTTGGGGGGGCGAGTTTTCGTTTGTTCGTGCTGATTCCGTCAACATGTCCACTGATTTTGACAAGTCCTGAGTAAAATATCACTTTGACATCAACAAGACCTTGGGCGTCCGCCTTCTCTGTATATATGGAAAGCTGTCGTAAGGCAAAACACGTAAAGACCTCAGATTCGCTATTTTTAACTGGCACCTGTCACAGCCTTCATTGGCTGATTTTGCGCAATCCGCCCACGACTCAGCCGCACAAGGCCCCTGTTTTTGGTCCCCCGCATGGCGCCTTGGCGTCCCTCACCGAAATCTTGAATTCCTTTTGGTCCGCTAACTATGCAGCGCTAAAATGTAACAAAATCTGCCTTCGCTAAGCACGCCCTCGGCCTTGTCCACGCCCGACTGACAATTCTGACAATTCTGCCCCCCCTGTGTCCTGGAGACGAAACCCAGGAGTCATACGGGCCGTTAATAAAGTAAACCATGTGTGGTAGTGACGAGCATAACTATGAAGATGAAGTCGGAGACTCCGCCCATCAGACTCGTGATTCATGAGGGCATTGAGGTGTGTGAGTCTGAAATGCAGAGAAGTGATGAGGGGGCAGGAGGAGGGCGGCTGCTGAGTCGAGACTCCGCCACAGCCTCTCTCCTTTGGGAGACGCCCTGTTTCAGAGGCTTTCAGCTCGCAACGTTTCGACCATCGGACCCCAAATTCGATAGTCTGAGGGATTGCGCACAGGTTAAAGTATGAGTGTGGAGTGCAGCTCACCATGGTATCCGATTTTGAGAAAACATCTTTGGAAGGAATTTGTAGTCGGCCATCTTTTATTGAATGCATTGTTGTCCGTCATGGAGCGCATAAAGGAAGTTCTATCCGAGGGGAAACATCCTATCTACCTGTACGGAAGTGACGATGGCAGTACCAATGCGATCCGTCTCAATGAGGCTGAGGGAAGCCAAGATGGGAGCGAGACCCACGAAGAATCGGCACTATCAGCGACCTCAGACGAAAAATTGCCTGACTCTCCGCCCCGTGGGGGCGAAATTGGAGCTTCTCCTGATAGCAAGCTTCTTGTAGCTTTGGGATACGAGGAGATACGAGCGAAGAATAGAGCTGTGAGCCGGACTCGCAATCTTTTGGTTAACGAACTCGTCAGCAGCGCACCGAGTTCAAGCAATGGAGCGCGCGACCATAGCGATGAAGGCCCGGACTCTTCTCAGCAGTCGGGGTCTGATTCGGATTCAATCTCTTCTACTAGCAGTGACAACTCAGACTTGGATGGGAATCTTCAAGCGGGTGTCGGCGACCAATTTCAAGACGGCGACAGCCCAATTCCACACTTCATTGAGGATTCCGACCTTGATGAGATTGTGAGACAGACCCTTATACTCTATCGACGACAAAGCAACTAATTCGTCTCCGATAGAAACAACCAGAAGTCGAAGCAAGCGCCGCTGCTGTTGCGCCGTTCGGCGAGGGTGGTTTGCCCAATATACCCGGGAAATTCCTTACAGTGGGAGAGCCGAGTGAAATCACTGATTTCGGAGAGCTCATGTACAGGAAAAGCCGGAAGACTAAATCTAAAAAATCGACCTCTTCCGTTCAATCTCGCACCGGCGAACGGCGAAGCGCCAAGAGGACACTCCAGGAACGCCTGTTTCAGGCCCTCCAGCCAACTCATCAGGGAAAGAAAGAGTTCTTTCCCAGGAATGTTCTCTCTACCATCATCACCGAGAAGTGTGTGTACGAAGAGCTTTCCAAGCACCTCGGCGCCGACGCCCACAACAAGAAAGAGATTGCAGAATATGCAAGGAAGATCTGCGAGGAAATAGAATACGAAGACCACGGAAACCAGAAGATCAAATGTTTCCGCAAGATCTTTGTAATATTGGTCCTGATCGAAAAGACTCTTGAGATCATCAAGTTCTTGGAGAGGGACGTGAATGACTCGGATTTGCCACTTGAAAAGGTTGAGCGACCACATGAGAAGGGCTCATACGACCTCAGACTTAGCCGCAACCCAGCGAAGCGCTTAAAATGTTTTAGCAAGACTTGGAACCAGCTCCACCTAAGAAACTTTGAGATGTATCAATGGATGACGCTGTCCCCATTCTTCGTCAAAGGCGGGCACAAAGACGTCAAGCACTACCCACTGCAGGACCAGGTTATCTTGCCATTCATTTCAGCTAGCAAAAGGGATCGAACAAGTACATATAAAACACTGGAGTTTGAGGGTGGCTTTGGAAGAGTGTTCAAAGTGGATATTCACCCCGATCACCATAACTTTCACGGTCTTAACATTAAGGTGAGTTGAATGGGTAGTATCTCAATTTGTGGTCTCAGCTGACGACTTTACAGCAAACAGAGAACCAAAGTTTTGCAATTAAGTGTCTACACTCACGAGACAAGGAACGGTTTAAGAAAGAAGTAGAGATGCTGAAGAAATTCAGCACTATCCCTCCTCATGACCACCTTATATCTCTCTTGGCCACATACGAGCAATTTAAGAGCTACTTCCTCATTTTCCACTGGGCAGAAGCCGACTTACAAAGATACTGGAGGGAGGTAAACCCAACGCCAAGCATGGAACGGGAAACCGTAATCTGGGTAGCTAAGCAATGTAAGGGCGTCGCCGACGGTATTGTGAAGATCCACCAGTACCGTACCAGCAGTTCGAGACTTCAACCTCAGCCTCAGGATGTAATTTTCGGTCACCATGGCGACATCAAGCCCGAGAATGTCCTCTGGTTCCCAGATCCAGACCACGAGCAGACCAAGCGAGGGGCTTTGAAGCTCTCAGATTTTGGACTTGCCGAGCTCAGCATGCACCAAACTATGTCAATGAAAGCGAAATCCAATTTTGCAACATCTCCTCCGTATAGAGCGCCAGAAGTTGACTTAGAGGGAACTGGTGCCATTGGACGTTCTTATGATATGTGGACTCTAGGGTGTCTCTACTTAGAGTTCATAACATGGCTGATTGGGGGTTGGGAGTTAGTTGACAGCTTTGCATTCAAGCGGATGGCGCATGACCCCTACGTTGGACATGATACTAGAACCTTCTTCAGACTAGTAAAGATAAGACAGGCGGATGGCAAATGGAAAAGGGTGGCGGAAATAAAGCCGGTTGTTACAACAGTAAGTCTCCCATCTCCCTTTATCTATATCCACCAGACTTACTCATTTCGCGATCTAGTTTATAAATGAGCTTTACGCCGATAAATCATGCACCAAATTTCTTCGCGACTTCCTTGACATGGTTAAGGATGATCTATTGGTTATCAAAACACAAGATCGCGAGACGCGAGGTCGAAAAACTTGTCAAGAAGTACATAAGAAGCTCGTGGATATGCTCAAGAATTGCGAAGATGATAGGGGCTATGCCTGCGACCCGGCTCCTCGTTTGAATGTTGTGGATGGAGAGACTTCCGAAGGGCATCGGAGGAGATGTTATCAGTTGGTTGATTCGATTGACTCGCCCACGGCAACGAGTAGTGATGGTCCCGGCGCCTCCGACATCAAACAATTTTGACCGGGCTATTCACAAGTTCATCCAGTATATAATTGATACCCTATAACCTACTTACATTACTATCTTGTGCAACTTATCCTCTGAAAATGAAGACACATTTTCAAAGTATTAGTCGAGCGTAGTTAATCTTTCCTTCAATACTTTTCCATTGCCAGGGGAAACGCAACCCACTTCTAAATACATGGAAGGTTGTCACGTGCTGCGTACAGGCGTATATATAGCTTCTTCACCGCCCTTAGGGCACGATCATTCATACATATATTTACACAAACACACTACATTTCCACTTCCACAGCTTGTCCAGGCCGTGACAAAGGTGGAGTACACCCTAGCCACTTATCTCTGCTACAAAATCCCAGTCCTTTGGGATCCCGCGAAGAACAATCACAGGTGCATTAATAATTTCATGTGGCATCTCCAAAACTGCCAGGAGAGTTTCTGGTGAGACTTGGTCTAAAGAAGGAGTCGTCCAAATTCCCAAGTCCTGGAGGATCCATGGTAATTGCTCCTTCAGAGTGAGGTCAAAAGCGGGATTATTTGCTGATGCAAATGTTCTGGGATCTTTCCACACAAATTTAAATGACTCGCTCTGAGACATACAGAGTGCCCTGACGCTCGACTTTACCTCCTCTTGCCATAGTTCCGGCTTTCCCAGGGGAGCCTTCAGTTTCTCCACAAGGTCGGGTTTCTTGGACAGGCAGTCAGCCACATGACGGATGAGAACCTCTTCCTTTCCGCTTGTCATCCGCCGTTTGATTCGACTTGCGTCTTCAGCCCACTCTGGCGACATGATATAGGGCTTCTTCCAGTCAAATTTGGCAATGAATCGCATAGCCTGGACAAGTGAGTCTCCTCGCTCCTGGAGGGGCTTCGGCTTCTCCCCTGGCTTCGATTTGACCAATTCAGCCTTGAGTTCTGATATCCCGATGTTGATCGCGTACTGATATTGAACGTCGAGAAACCCTGTATCAACCCGGACATGATCCTCTCGTAGCCCCCCAAGATCCTGCATGCTGTATTGGAAAGGCAGCTTTTTGGAAGAGAAGTCTGTGTCACTTCGATCGGTGAACGCGTAGATGTGCTTCGCATCGTTCTCCACGGTCAGATCACCGAAAGGAAACCGAAAGGTATCTGAATTCCGCGATCCTGACCTGTACAGCTGATAAAAGTTGATGATATGGCACAGGATCGCACCGTCTACACCCAGAGACACCGTTCCCGTCTTTTCGGGTCTAACTTCTCGAGGCAAGGTTCTCCACGAGATGATACCTGCCTTTGGCCGAATGTTGAGAGCGAACAGCAGTTGTGCCCAGCCAAATGATGCCGTGGTCTTCCCGGAAGGCTCCAAGACGCCATCGTTCTTCACAAAATGCTTTTCGTATGCGTCCTTTCCCAAGAAAGGCTGTCGCCAGCGATGCTTTTCGGCTTTGGCCTCAGCCTCCCACTCACCGAGGCCATCTTTGAGCTCTTGCAGCACACTGTCGGCCACTCGTCGTGTCTCGCGGCTTGCCGAGCCTTGCTCCCAGGCTCCAGTGGCTTTGTCAATCACTTTGCTAACCAAGTCAAAAATTGATGAGGCGTTGCCTATGCCTGTGCCGACAGGGTCAGAAGGTGCAGGGTCAGGCGACGTTGCTGGCGCTGGTGTTGGTGCTTGGTCCGTCATGTTGATGATCACATTATCTTCATCTACGGAATTTTTCAGCAGCGATAGCATGAGATTAAGTCTAGCTCTGAGTACTGACCGGTGAGTCCGCTAATCACTCAGCCCGTAGCCACAGAGACGGGAACTGTTTTAGGCCGCCAGAACGTTAGGCTGAGTGCTAGTGGCGTGTGTGCTGTGCAGTAGTGGGATACATACCCTGCCGCAGAGCTTTTTCTTCACATCGCCAAGATGGAGTCCTGCGCAGGCAGCCAGGGTCGCCAGTGATGGCGTAGATCAGCACAGCCCCATTGTACCCCGCTTCGTAGCCTGCATTGTGCATTGTGGCGGTTTCTTGAGACCGTGAGGCTCTGTCTCACATTCAAGTTTCTTGTTCATTTTCCTCTTCGCAGTTATCTCGATTGTGGCGTCAATCAAAATCCTGTGAACACCATTGCCATCTTTAGATATAGAACATGAAAGCGCGATTATAGCCATTATGTCGTCTGATACAGAGGATTCTTCCAGTGATTCGAGTTCGCCCGGAGAGGAGGAGAGCTTAGGCTCCCAGATTGTGATACAACTCAAGAGAAGTGTCTTCGACAGGAATGACTTCCTCCCCGACGGATGCATTGAAACACTGATTACAAAATGCGCCGTAATCAAGGAGCTGGGCTTGACGCAAGAGGATATGAAGGAAAAGACTTCGAATGCCAAATTGGTTGAATTCATACTGAATGAAGGCAGAAAGCTCTTCGCAATTATGCTAATGTCTCGTTTCAAAGGCGGAGATTTACAAAAGGGGATGACCCAGTTCAGGAGGAATAAACTTGGGGATGCATTTCTACCAATTACGGAAGAGAACGAAAGCAAAGTCCCTTTCTTCAATCCGCCGAAGAAGCCTTGGGATCGACAGTCAATTCGTACCTTCTGCATCGAGCAATGGGCTTTTTTAGTACCCGTATTCTCCGACAAGAGCTTAAATTTACAACTCCACACGGACGAAATTCTGCCGTTTATCTGCCAGGGCGATGATGTGAGAGAAGGGGCGTTCGGCGAGGTACATCAGGTTACAGTCCACTCGTGCCATGACAAAAACCCCGTCTTCACGGTAAGATTACTCTCTTCACTCTCCATGTCCACTTGTCTAATTCGAGATCAGTTCGACGGCAAACGAGCCAACGTTGCTATCAAAGAGATCAAGCAGGTCCATACTGATGATGAAGCAAAACTGCGAGAGCTCAAGTCCGAGTGGGAACGAGAGGTCAAGGCTCACATCGACACCAACAAGTTCCATCACCCGAATATCATCGAGTTCATCGCCGCTGTGACGAGAGGGAATTCGAAAAGTTATCTCCTGTTTCGATGGGCAGATGGGGGAAACCTGCGAGAATTCTGGCAGAGCAACAAAAAGCCGCAGCTCAGCGTCTCACTCGTGAGGGACGTTGTGGTGCAACTCAGGGGACTCGCTGATGCCCTGGACAAACTACACGGCTATGGGGGGGGACAAGGTTCATATCGCCATGGCGACATTAAGCCGGAGAACATACTCCGGGTGCGCACAAAATCTGTCGCTCCTTCCGAAATCGACGTGGGAATTCTCAAAATCGCCGACATGGGCCTTGCCAAACATCATACCATAGTTACGGAATTCAGACCCCCAACCAGCATGAGATATACGACGTATAGATACGAACCACCGGAGGTAATTTCTGGTGTCAGTGGCGTGTCGGCCAACTCCGGGAGATCTCGGCGACAGGACATCTGGTCAGTTGGCTGCGTTACCTTGGAGCTCATCATCTGGCTCCTGTACGGCGCTGATGCCATGAATGAATTCAACGACAAATACGTCATTGGCGAGATGGGAGAACCAAGCCCCTACTTCGAAATTGAGGGAAAGGGCAGTAACAAAAGAGCCAAGGTACATCCAGCGGTAGACGAGACCATGGATGCTCTCTCGAGGGATCAGGAATGCAGGGTCGGAGAGAAAACAGCCATGAAGGACCTCCTCCACATTGTCAAGACGAAACTGTTGGTTGTCAGTCTGGGAGCAGCTACAATAATTGATGGAGAGGGTTCTGTTAGCCCTCCGCACCTTTCCACAATTCCGGCGGGATCCCGTGCCAGTGCTCGTGAACTTTGCCTCGCGCTGGATGAAATTATAGACAAGGGCGATAAGAACGAGGGATACTGGTATTCAGGGAAAAGCCGAAGCCATTCTCAACGGCTCCCAAGGATTCGCTCTCAGGGTTCAAGTTCTCTTTCCCCTGACACAGCTTTTGGACAGGGTTTTCCAACTCGCCAGAAGGAGCCCATGCCTCCTCCATCCAAAGATATTACCATCGTTGTGCCCCCAGTGACCCAGGTACTAAAAGATGAGTATCGTAATGCGACACAGATAGATAAGACAGAGTTTCCAGTTGACAACAAGTTTGCCAAAGAACTTGTTAGGACTATCGGAATAGATGGCCTGTTCCCGATCAACATCAAACCAATACGTCTCTGTGGTACCTGTCAAAAGATGGAATTTTTTGAGCCGTACTTTCATATCGAAGATACATGGCCAGAGCTTGAAAGCAATCTCGATATATGCGACTTTTGTAAGATGCGCTGGGAGGTTGCTCAACATCTCAATCTGAAGAAATCATCGCCTATCAGGTTTGACCGTGATCAGTCCATGCTGAAACTGAATGAGGGCCACGTTCCTGTTATGTCAATTTGTCGAAGTTCAGGTGAGTCCTCAAAAACTTGCCGCGGGCTACTAATATCGAGTTCATGCCTGCTAACCCGTGAATGTAACTCAGAACTGCAAACTCCGAACGCGCATTTCATCCAAGTGGGACTTCCCAAGCTCCCCGCGGCGGCCAGCAAGACTCATTTCGACATCCTTCGACAATTTCTCAGGAACTGCGATGCCAACCATCCCAAGTGTCCGCCACCCAAGACAGCCCCCCTGCCAACAAGGCTCATAGACCTTGGGACTCATGAATCCCCCACCATTCTCATTTATGAGACCAAGCCTACAGACTCGCTCCAATATATTGCCCTGTCCCATCCTTGGGGACCAGGTCCTCACTTCTGCACCTTTCGAAACAACCTGGAGGAATACAAAAAACATATCTCCTTCGACAAACTCCCCGCCACTTTTCAACATGCCGTGACAACAACCCGTGAACTTGGCCTACGATACCTCTGGGTTGACTCCATCTGCATTATCCAGGGCCCAGATGGCGATTTTGCCCAGGAGGCTACGCGTATGGAGGACGTTTTCAGTTCGGCGTACTGTGTGCTTGCTGCGAGTAGCGCGAAGGGGCAAGAGGATGGGTTCCTGACTCCGCGGAAGGAAAATGATTTCTTGACCTTCGACAAGGGCGGCCAGCCTCTGTATATATGTCGATTTATGGACGATTTCAAAACACATGTTCTTGAAGGCCCGCTCAATAAACGCGGATGGGTGTTGCAGGAGAGAGCTTTGGCACATAGAACCATCTTCTTCACCGATAGACAGACGTACTGGGAATGTGGCGAGGGTGTAAGATGCGAGACGTTGACAAAGATGGACAAGTAAGTTCATCGCATTGCTTTCAGAAGCAGACTGGCGGAAACTAACAACTCGAAAGTCACCTCATATCCTTCCTCGGCGACCCTAACTTTCCCTCCAAGATTTCCAGGGATAACAGCGACCGCGGCGAGAAGATCCGACTATACGAGAACCTGTACCGTCAATATTCTAGACTCGAATTCACTCGCTGGCACGACCGGCCTATTGCCATTGCCGGACTCGAGAAACGCCTCATCCGCGATCTAGAGGCGCAAGGTGGGTTCGGCGTCTTTGACGACGGACGCAGTCTCCTTCAGCGAAGCCTCCTCTGGAGAAAAGGTCAAGAAGTCTCCGCCCTTGAGCGAATCGAGTTTCCACCCGAGAGGGCGTTTCTCGTGCCCAGCTGGTCGTGGATGGGGTATGAGGGCGCCATCGACTACTTGGATCTGCCTCTCGGGGGTGTCGATTGGCCCCCGGACGCGATTCTTGGACCCTGGGCGGAGGGCGGGACAGAAACGTGGCACACAGGGGACGGCAAGGGGGTTGTGGCGTTGAGCGCTGCTGCAAGGGGCTTCAAAATGGGAAAAGAGAATGAGGAAGATTTCGGGATCTTCTATGACAGGACCGAGCCGTCAAAGACAGAACAGAAAACTTTGAAGTGCGTCGTTGTTGGGAAGCGGATTATGAAATCGAAAACACCGACTGATGAGACGACGCATTATGTGTTGTTGATTGCGCCCAAGAAAACGAACTCTCCCAGGGGAGGAAAGATATATGAGAGAGTGGGCGTTGGCTATATGAAAGGAAGATTTATAGATTTAGTGGGTTCTGGAGCATCGGGGTTAGTCAATGTTCAGTAATTCCCTGAAGTTTGCCCAGGCAAGACGCTTTGGCGTGAATTCCACTCCCTGTGGCTTAGCAAAATTCTCCTAGCTGCAGACAATTTATCCAAATTTGAAGCGAGTCAGGATTTAAAAGAGCATTCCTGGTTTTGAACATGTAAGCCAAGAATGTGCTGGCTTGACATTTCTGCGCGACCATTGGTCCGGTCACGGGCACCGCATGGCTGAGAATCTATTACTTTGATCTATTCAACTGCTCGATATGAGCTTTCCAAAAGTTTTTGGGAGCCTGCCCTTACTAAACTGCTCGATTCCTTTGTATCCCCAACTCCGGTCCAGTAGAAGAGACCTGCTAGGGAAAGATCCTTCACGAATTGAGCCTTCATCCGTACAGTCTCTGGAATGTCAAATGAAACGAAAGAATCCCCATCGACATGATACGCCGCGCCCAGTACCCGATCTACTTGCGCCTTCTCAATCCACTCTTTGGAAATGTCTTTATACTCGATCTCATCACCCCCCTGGAAAGTCTGCCCTGGTTCCGTTGCACCCCGGAAGCGTCTTGCATAAGCTGGAATACCCAAGACTAACTTGTTAGGCGGAAAGCCCTGTGACAGGACATACTCGACACCTCCACTGCAGGACTTTTTAAGAGAAGGGTGTCCGCCTTGCGGAGTAAACAATTGCGAATGGTGGCCCGAGAGCTCACTCCAGGGCCCGGCGAAATCGTATCCCATCAGGTTTAGAAAGTCTAACTGTTGGGCCGCGGCCGACAGGTTGATGTTTTTGAGACAATACTGGCCCACTGGTAAAGCGGAAGTGAGCTGGTATGTTGGTGATGGCAGCGCACGCCTGATCGCCCCCAGTAGCTGGATGTAATCAGCGCCTTGTGATGCCGTTGTAGGGTGTTCCCAATCAACTAGCCCGCAAAGGAGGTGTTACTTTCTCGTTTCTCGAATATATACGGGGAGAGGGACGTCAGCACGGAAGCTTACGATCTATTCCATCCAGCGAGAAGCGGTCCACAAACTCGCGAGCTGTCCTTGCAAATGCTTCGCGGCAATTAAAATCCGCAGCCACAGCGGGAAAGTCAGCACTCCCACTCCCCCCACCGACACTTAGCAAGGTCTTGATTTGGGGATGCTGCTCCTTTAGTTTGGATAGCGCGGCGAGACAACCTTGTTTGCCATCCACAGGAAGTTGCAGATCGGCCTTGGGATCGAGAAGCTGTTCGATTCATCAGTCATCAGCTTTAACAAGTTGACCAAAAATGCGTTTTTGGATCGGACACTCACCCGCAACGTTCCATCGGTGTTTACACTGGGAATGAGAAGAAAGATAAATTAGCAAATATGACAGACGGCTGTTGCTTTGATTTGAGAAGGCTAGTGTACCGGGCAAATGCGTAGAAGATGTGCGTGATAAACTGATGCTGCAGTGCTGATGGCGGACAACCCTTGTAAATTTGCCAGGAGGGGTAGTAAACCGTGTTGACAAATTGTTGAGCCATCGAGGCTTGTGCTCGAGTGAGGGAGAACGAAATGGAATTGAAAAGTGGTGGATGGATGGTATTTGTAAGGTTAAGGATCCAATATTTTGTTCTTGGAGACCTCCCTCATTGTATTGGACACGTAAGGCGCCGCACACTGTCAGCATGTGGGGCTGCAGCTGGTGGCGTGAGATATTGAATGGGAAGAATGCATGAGTGAAGGGCGATCTACTAATATTCAAATAAGTATTTTGGTTAATACAGTTAAGTTGAGGTCCATGCAATCAGTCTTTTGTTGTGTCAAGGTTGAGATTACAAAGCGCAGCCCTTAAGCGACGCTTTACGGTGGGCTTCTCCCGCTCGGAAATGCGGCAGGGCTCTCGCAGGGGCAAATTAGGCGCGAAACCGCGACAATAAGCAAGATGAACCTTTAACGTTCGATCGGATACGTACACCACATCTCAATCCGCACACCACGAACTTCCCTCAACAGCTCAATGTCCATTCCGTCCTGCCGCATTGCGACTACAATCGTATCATACTGTTCCAAGCATGCCCTATTCCAATCACCGTCGGCGAGACGTGCAATTTGTGGCAACATGCTCTGTTCCACGAGCCGGTCTGCAAATGACACATCCACCCTTCCTGATTGCGAGAGGCTCTTGATCAACTCCAGCCCCGGGGAGTTGCTCAACGTTGCCTGCCCTGCCTTGAACCCGACGCCGACGACCAGCACTCGTGGCCGCTGGTTGATCGTCTTGTAATGTCCTTCCTTGGAGACGGAGATGGAGTCGAGGACCCGTTGCGCAATGATCGATGGCCGTTCCCGCATCCTCTCCGTCGCCGCTTGGAGCAAAGGGAAGCTGTTGTTTGACAGGAGATAGTACGGGTTTATGGGAATGCAGTGCCCACCAACACCCAATCCTGGTGTGAAAGGCAGATATCCAAATGGCTTTGTTGCGGCGGCTGCGCACACTTCGAAAGAGTCAATTCCATGCGCAATGCATGCATCTGCCATTTCATTTGCATACGCAATGCATATCATCCGCTGACAGTTTTCGTATAGCTTCGTCATTTCTGCGATTTCGGGCTTGGAGACCGGGATAACAGTGTCGAAGACTGCCGAGTAGAGTCGAGTAATGCTCTCGAGAGACCCCGGGACGATATCATCGAGACCTGACACAACCTTGGGAATGGACTGAATGGGTGGTTCTGTTCGGCCTGGATCAACTCGCTTTGAATCGATGCTCAGTCAGCCCCCGGACATCACGTTTTTCCCCACGAAGAGAGTGCTTACCTCAGGAGACATGCCTGCGAAAAGGCCCCTGGATGCTGCGACAGGTCCAAGCAGCTGCCGGGTCATCCCCACCGCGACCGAACTCTCCACAACCACCGTGGCACCTGGACGGGCATACATGGCAACGGTTTTGATCGCGTCTCGAAGGGCCGAGGAATCAATTCGCTTGTCGGGGAGAAGCAGAGTCGGAACAGCGATCAGGAAGTGGGTGGCGTCCTTGAGCTCACTCGCGTCGTTGGTACATCTTACATTTCTGTTGTGTCCAAACTCCCCCTGAACAAAGCCGATCCGCTCCTTTGATATGTCGAAACCCAGTACCTGGAACTCAGAAGAGAAGACTGCTATCAATTGCAAGCCTACGTATCCAACACCAATCACGGCAACCATCGGTTCTGCATTCAGTTTGATGGGTGCTAAGTGGAGTAACGATGTTGCATCCTCGTTGACGTAGTCGTCCGCTGGAGGAGTGGCGGGAAGGTTCTCGTTCAGATAACTCCATAGATTTCCTGTGCCTTCTAAACATTCATTCGAGATAATGTTGCCTTCCGGTTTGATATTCGTCGACATCATTGTTGCAATGATCTTTTCTTGCTTAAACTTCTAGAAAATCAATGTATCTAATGAGGAAACGCTCTTTCAGGAATACTTTTACTTTATATCGATATCACATCACTCTAGTGGGATTTGCTGTGTGGACCGTCTCTTTGCCTCGTACGTTTCCTGGACCGATTCCCACCCCACGGGGACCTCAGATGGCGCAGATTTCCGGGAACCTGACCCACGCGACATCTGGGCCCACGGCCATGCCCTTGGGTGAGTGAGGCTGAAAGAAGACTTCCGGAATCGCCGGAAATCTTGACGGCCCGCACTGATGCGCCGATCTTCCTTGTTAGCTTGATCCGAGTCCATCTTGCATGCATGAGTGCGGGCCGGAGATTCCACGTGCTCTCGAGCATCCATTCTGATATCTCAGAGATTACATTCAGTTACAGGTTCTCTGCTCGCTCTCCTGGAATAGGATAATGGACTGAGGTGTGTTGGGGGAAGCGATGAACTACAGCAAGTAATCGTCGACCATTCCACACACCTTGCGCCTATTGATTCTTCATGGCCGTGAAACTCCTTGATTTCCTCCAGCCCCAGTCCAATGCTGTCCTACTGGCAGTGGTCTTCTACTCAGCTACTCGGCTACTCAGCCAATGGCGGCGACTGAGCCCACGTTCTCACTTGGCAGTGTCTCGCCCTGAATAATACTTCCAGTCACCGCGCCAAATATTACTTGCCTAGGCCCTGCCGACTCGTACGGTGGCGTCAACAGCTTTTTGTGGGTATTTGGCCCCGCAAAAATTCTCCCCGCTAACCTTTTGCTCGGGTCCTTGGCGCTGTCGGTTCTTAGCCTGTCGGTTCTTAGCGCTGTCGGTTCCTTGCCATTGGTTGCACCGTGACGTACACAGCTTCAGTCAACATTGGCTCTGCAAAATTAGCCGCTTCTACCTATCCTCAGATGATGCGTTACTAAACAAATCCCAATGTAGTAATTGGCGTTTAAGCTGAGTCAAGTGTGGACTTCGAGACCCAATGTCCCTGGTCGTCGACCGCCGCCGTAAGCCGTGGTCACGCAATGGCGCTTGAAAATAATATGTTGAAAGTTTACAAAACTCTGAACATGCCCGTGAACCAAGTAAAATTGTCACTCGTTTGTTTCTTCCTATACTCTCCTTCTTAAACTTCCTTGAAGTGAAAATGGAATCTCCTACAAATCTTCCAAAGCCTGTCAAAGTTTTTGACCCAATCCCTCCGAAGAGTTCGACTGAGGGCTACGGAGCAGAGATCACTTCCCCAGAACCAACATACGCTCCTTCTGGCAGTGGAACAACACATAGCGGTACCGGTCTCTCTGGGAATTTTCCCCATTCGCACAGTATTTCATCTGGGTCTACAAAACTTTCCACTTTTACTTCCACTTCCTCCAACGAAATTGCCCTACCACAGCCTCTCAAGGCGTTTATACCACCACATATCAACCATGAACTGGTTTCCTTCACGTCACCCGGAGTATCTGTTACCCATACGCCTCGGCCACAGAATCATGATCAGGAGAAACTGGCATATCTGGTTCAGTCAATTGCAAAGAAGGGCACTGCACAGCCTACTGCTCAGTTGCAAGCCCGGGGAAAGCAGCGTATGAAGCTTGCAAAATATGCAATGACTCTCTTTTTAGTCACGTTCAAGTGAGTATCTTGGACTTTATTGAATCAGATCTACTCCGGCTTACACAGATAGCTTTATCTTCATTTTTTCGACGTGGTGGTGGCAAAAGTTCTACTACTTATTCCTCCCATTCATATCGCTTCCGCTCGCCCTCAACTGCGCAATGGTAGCATCCATCATATTTTTCACCACAAAGCACAAAGTTCGCCCAGAGCGTACCATAATACCCGAAAGCCCCGAGAGCTTGGTATTGCTCATGCCGTGCTACAACGAGACGATGGAAGAATGTACAAAATCATTGGACTCCCTCGTTGAACAAGTGAACATCGACCAGCACAAGAAAGCCATTATGGTGATTTGTGATGGGCGTGTTCGGGGCCCCGGAATGGCTAAAACCACAGCCCAGTACTTGTTAGACGACATTTTGATTCGACCAACGGCTCGCCATTTTATCAGGAAAGCTTACTTGGCTTGGGATAATCAGTACATGGACATTGAGGTCTCAAAAGGTACCTACAAAGGAGTTCCCTTCTTTTGCATCGTCAAGCAGCAAAACCAAGGCAAACGCGACAGCCTTATTGTTATACGGTCCTTCCTCTACAACTTCAACAAACGAGAGCAACATCCTCAAGTAATATTTTCTCCGGAGTTCTTCTCCCAGATGGCTTCATTCCTGGTTATAGATGCATCTATCTCTAATGTTGTTCACCTCATTGGGATGGATGCGGACACGATCTTTGATCCAACTTGCATCTCAGAACTTCTCAAAGAATCCCGGTATCCTCACACTGTGGGTGTCTGCGGGTATGTTGCAGTTGATTTCAAATCTTCCAACTGGAGTGCGTGGAGTCTTTACCAATCCACCGAATACACCATCTCTCAAGGTCTCCGCCGCTTACACCAGTCAATCGCAACTCACAAAGTCTCCTGCCTCCCGGGCTGTTGTCAGCTCCTACGCATATGCTCAACTACCTGCGGCGACGAGATTCTGCTGCAGAAATTTGGATACTGCCCGGGTCCGCTGGATAGCATGCTTAAGCATATCCGAGCAACCGCTAGTGAAGATCGAAATCACGTCTGTCTTATGTTGACAACATCCCCTAAGGCCCAAACCCGCCAGGCCTTGAGGGCTCGAGCATATACCGATGTCCCACACTCGTGGAGCATTTTCCTCAGTCAGCGAAGGAGATGGACTCTGGGAGCGACGTCGAATGATCTGCTACTAACTTTTGCCCGAGGAACCAATTGGTGGGAGAGGATTCTTGCGTTCTCGAATGTTTTGACGTGGTGCCTGAATGTATTTGTGCTGGCTAGTCTTGCCTGCATGATCAGGGCATTCATGAGTAAGTACAAATCCACCCTCTCAGCTGCTTGGCATGTGCTAAAATTTGGCCCATAGCGGTGCCATGGTTCATCATTGTCGCTTTTGCAAGTGTGATGATTATCCCACTCATCTACTACATTGGCATTGCGATATGGCTCCCACGCAACGCCGTTGAGCGAACGCAGTATCTCATCGGTCTCGCAATTTTCACGATTTGTGGACCATTCATCAACATCTCAGTCCTCCTCTACGCGGTGTACAATATGGACTCCTTTGGCTGGGGTAAGACACGGCAGGTTGTCGCTGAGGAAACCGACAACGACAGCGATACCGGCATTGGCAGCCCAAGCTCGTTGGGCTCTCGACATCTTCCTGACGACGAGGAATCGCAGGTGGTGTCAGGGAAGCTGACTCGCGATATGCCATTTACAGCTTCTCTGGGAATTTCAGGGTTGTCTGGTTCGAATTCATGCCGGGAAGGTGGCGCATGAAGCCAAGCTTAATTAAGACATGGACTGCAAACTCGCCATCCAGCTAGTATATAAAAATAATTTCAACATTTTTTGGGAGCAGACAAATTGCAGTGCAAAATCTTCACAATTGGTTGACAACCCCTTTTCTTTGGTGGCACGTGGCAGATCGAACGCACCGCAACAATAGGCTAGTCGAAGCGAGAGTGAATAAAGAGTCTTCCAATGAAACCCTCAAAAGTCCTGATTAAAAGCGCAAGAGGCGGCTGAGGTCCCGATTACCTGTTCATGGCTTTCCGCCATCAGCCTCCAACACTAACCTAGTAAAATAAATAAATCGGTCCTCCGCCACAGTTTTGAACTGTAAAAAGACTCTCGGGGGCTAGAACATGGGAAGATGTACCGAAGTCGACTTTTTCCGTGGGACTGCTTTTTTATTTCGTCGGCCTGACCGGCGGCGCCTTGTCTCACGTGTCTTCAGCTCACGTGCCTCCAGCAACAAGCGGCTCAGCCCTTCCCTCGCTGCTTTTCCAACCAAGGGGCAACACCCAAGAGCCAGGGGCCAGTGATTAGTGATTAGTGATCAGTGATCAGTGATCAGTGGCTAGTGACAACTAGTGACCACTCCGCTCTCTCCGCAAGTTCTCGACGCTTCGTCCGTACAATGGGGATTTCCCCAGGTCTTGCCACTGGGCAGACCAAGGCTTAGCAACATTCCACGAATCCCTGTACCGTTCCTCTGAGGAATGGAACCACGGTGGAACGTATCGACTAGAAGACTTGGCCCCTTGTACCTAAGCGAGAAATTAGACCTCCCTCCCTACTTTTACCTCTTTAACTCAGATTTTATTATAATAAGTATCTCTAATTAAAAAAGTAAGCTAGCATTAGTAATTAAATCTATTAGTATATTAATTCTGCATGTTTTTATATATATTTTTAAGGCACTTTTGAAATATTCTTAATTTTCTGGTGTCCCTCATCTCGTGCGTTGCATCCTCTCGCTTACTTACCCCTCGTTTATGTACCTCTCATACAAATTTACTATATCAGGTACTTAGCCAAGCCTCGCTTAGGGTTAGTCTGGAACGATCCAAGAAGGTTCCAGGAATGTTAACTAATCCATTCCAGGATTGATGCTGGATCGATACCTCAGGTATTATTTCCAAGCCTGTCCAGGTAGACCGCCGAGACAATGTCTCTGTGCTTGTAGATGCGGCGCAAACAGAGCCAGGACTGGTTTTCAAAGCCTAGAGCTCGGTGCTACAAGTTTTACTTTCGCGGCCTCTCCGGACTCCGCCCTATGACACTCTTTACCGTGGCCAGACTCCCGGGTTCCAATATGCCTGGAACGAAAGCGCTTTGCTGGCACCGCTTTTCTCGCACTAGCTCTCGATCAGGACTGATTTTCGATGCATGTCTCACTGGTTCAGTCTTTTGGGCCATTCGACTCCATTTCCAGATCATAATCAGGCGAGCAAAGCTTTGTTGAACGTCTCTTACGCTTGGCTGCACAAATACATAGACCATGTGCGCGCTCTTCAAATACTCTTCTTGCCCCCAGATGATACTTCTTCCTAAACTCGTTGAATATTTTACTTTCCTTAACTATGATGTTAACATACCTATCGACAGGATTGCTGCTCTTTTCGGACGTGAGCAGGCCTGCTAGTCAGTTCGCTGCCGCTCATGGTACAGGCTTCCGCATCCGCTCTTCGCCTTCTCAGGACGAGCTGAATGTACATTTTGGTGAAGGCGAAGAAGTTCGTTCTCTGCCTGAATTACATTTACTTGGACGCCGGGGTCCCCAATCCTGTGGTGCTGGTGTCGGCTCCTGTCCAGCCGGACAATGTTGCTCTTCCGGTGGACTCTGCGGCACAGGAACTTCTTACTGTGAGGGACCTGATTGTCAACTTGATTATGGGCCAGCTTGCGATGGAAAGTAGGTGCTCTGATAATTTCCAACATGAGAAATGTTTACTAAAGTGTCATCGCAGCATCGCACCACCTGGATCATCTACCCTCAGCGTCCCTCGTCCGCTCTGGGGCAATCAAGTTTATGGTTCGATATTAGTCTCTAAATTTTCCAGTCACAGAGCCTCTCACTAACGAACTGAGATAGGCGGCCGTGGTCTCTTCCATTGCCAAACCCCAGGGACAATTGCCCTTACCTTCGATGACGGTCCATATCTGTACACCCAAACAGTTCTTGATACTCTTCAAAAATACAAGGCAACAGCCACCTTCTTCATAACAGGAAACAACATCGGCAAAGGCCGCATTGATGACCCAACACTTCCATGGCCAGGCATACTACGCAGCATGTATGCTGCTGGTCACCAACTGGCGAGCCATACCTGGACACATCAGGACTTGAGCCTCACCAATGCTACTCAGCGCCAAAATCAAATGGTGTACAACGAAATGGCCTTCAGGAATATCTTCGGCTGGTTTCCAACCTATATGCGCCCCCCGTTTACCTCCTGTTCCTACGCGTCTGGCTGCGAGGATCATATGGCCGCCCTAGGTTACCACATGATTTATCTGGACATAGACACAAAGGACTATATTAACGACTCTCCGAATCTAATTCAGAATAGCAAGGACTATTTTTCCGGCAACGTCTCGGGCAATGCGGCAAATAGTAGCTACCTCAGCTTGAGTCATGACACCCATTTCCAAACGGCAATCAACTTGACTGAATTCATGTTGCAGACACTGCAGGCGAGAGGCTTCAGAGCAGTAAGCGTGGGTGAGTGTTTGGGAGACCCGAAGATAAATTGGTATCGGAATGCAACCAACGGTGCTGCTCTTTCCAGCAGCGTCAGCTCGAGTTCCAGTACAGCCAGCAGTTCACCGTAAGTTGTCTTCATATTTCCTAACTCTCTTTTCCTTATCTCGTCTGCTTCATTATAACCTTTGAGAAAAATTCAACAGCAAGTTAACGAGAAGTAGTGCAGCACAAACCCCCACCATCTCCAGCTCAATCTCAATCTCAATAACCACCTCAACAACTACTTTGAAAACTTCAACCACATCCTCACGGACGTCTTCCAGCGTTTCATCTTCGCCTACAGCCCTAGTAATCACAAAAGATGGCTCCTGCTCTTCACGAAGCGGGGGGTTATACACCTGCAAAGGGTCGGCCTGGGGTGATTGCTGTTCTGCCTATGGGTGGTGGTAAGCAACAATACATTCTCTTCATCTCCTCCCCTGTAATCCAGTCAATCAACAAATCAATCAACCAATCCTTCTCTACATAGAATGAGCGTTAATCAATCTCCTATGTTTTATTAGCGGCAAGACATCCGCTTATTGCTCAGGAGGCTGCTTGCCTTCGTATGGGACATGCGCGCTGAGCACAGGGGTGATCGTCTCGGCGAATGGCATGTGTGGATCCGCGGTGAATCAGACGTGTCTTGGTTCAACCTATGGAAATTGTTGTTCCAAATATGGATTTTGGTAAGGATTCTTCTTCCCCCCCAACCCCACCTTTTGCGTGTGGATCACACCGGCGTTGTAGTGGAACCTTGCTCATACTTCTGGACAGTGGGAACACGACGGCATACTGCGCCACGGGCTGTCAGGCTGGTTTTGGGACTTGCTCGTGAACTTGGAGATTGGAGATGTTTCTATGATAATGCTTAGGGAGGCTGGAATTAAGATTTGACAATAGGTACTATATAGGGAATAATCTTTTTAAATATTGTTTTAGTTCACTAGTGAATCTTTTTGACATGTGGAGGTATTTCTCTCCTCAACAAAGAGGCAGAAGCTGGCGCGCATAACAATAGCTTAGACTTAGCTAATATACGTCAATTTTTCTATGATTGCTCCTGTCGGCCAAGTTGTCTGAAAGGCTCCATATTTTTAGCAGTCTCTCAAATTGAGCGGCACTGGTAGAAAGGTGATGGTGATCTTAAATATAGATATCCCCAAGGGGGGATCTTCCAAAAAGGGAAAATCGTCAACACAAGCTGATAAAGCTCGTAGAACGTTTACTCGAGACTACTGAAAATACTTCTGAGAAATGGCAATATCCTTAGCAGTGACCCTTGGTGGCACTATTGATTGCATCGCATGATCACACTGAAAACCGAGCATTGGTAGCTGAAAACAAGGACTTTTATGATGGATCTGTCTTAGTGTCCGTGGAGATGTGCTTGGAGAATCATGCCACAACCTCAAGGCCATCTAGGGCCAAGCAATGCATTGTTTACCACAGAGAAACAGTTACCCGCTACGACTGGTGCCTCAGCTCAGGGATAACAGCAGTAGAGTCTTGGAAGAGAACAGACTGACTGCAAGAAAAGGAATTGATAGGCACGTGTGCTCAGACGAATGAAATGGCGATCCCGAGAACTCGTAGATGACATCAAGGTTTGTGGACTGAAAACGGCAAGCAGCTGTCAAGGTGTAAGCGGACTAATCCAAAGTTCCAAACGGTATGTCGAAACAAGGGCGAGCATTCGTGCACCACTTGGTTGTCGACCCAGATAGAGCGCTTCAATGTCTTTGGTATGTGGTGAAATGGCCAGAGCAGACAAGAGGCTCAATGAGGGCCCAGATCAGAAAGATGCAAACGACTTGGCATGACTCCACCCCCAGATACCCACAAATAATAGTACAATGGTTCTCATGTGATGATGCCGTCAACTGAGGAACTCAACGCCGCCCTGGTATAACGCTCCCAAAATGCACTTCCCTATACCCAGCGTCTAGAGATTGCTCGGCACAGGCCGATGACGGAATCGGGTTCAATTTTGGTGCAGAGTGCTAGTACGTTTGAGGTTAAACAAGAAAGCGAGGTTGTTGTCTCACTTTTTATGGAGAAGTAGCGGAAATCTTCAAATAGCTGAGATTTATGTTGCAGAAATTGATTCGCGTTAGCCCCAGTCCTAACGGCAAATCAGTTTCCCCGCGGTTTATAAGCTAACTGTAAACCCGTTTCCAACCAGAGCACCGGGTCGCGGACTTTCCATGGAAGCTTTGCCCGGAATTTCCCTGCATTCTTCAAAGGGGTTGAGGGACGTTCAGGGGTTCACTTACCAAAAATGGTCACTTAAGCGAAGCGTGTTCAACAGCGTGCGGTACTCCAGAGTGACTTGTCTCGGGCTTTTGTCTCGGTCAGTCCGCAGTGCAGCACGTGGCAAGAAGTCAGCCCCACCTGGACCAGGCTCGCAAGTATCGCAGGTGATAAAGCGCTCTTAGCTCGAGGCCTAGACCACAGTATTTTGTCGTTCCTCCTGCATGTGCGCGTGGTGTTAATACTAACGGGTTAGCCAACCTACCACGGTTATCCGCTCTATTTTAATCTATTTTCGTTTCCTGGGAAGTGACTGAGACGCGCCACTTTGTCATGTCGGCGATCTGCTTCTAGTCGGTGACTCCAAAACAAAACTAGGAAATATCTTCCGCGGGAAGTAGTCGGGGGGGTGGGGCTTTGCCTGAGCATGCACTGAGAGGCCATTTTAGCTCCCAAAGGGGCTCGTTCTGGCTCCCTTGACCCTCGGTTATACTTTCCTTATCTTGTCTCTCACCAAGCTAAGGCAGGGACTCAATCACTCCACGTAAGAGAAGGCGGGTTATTTAAACAGTCATGTGATAGATACGGTGCAAGAATGTTTCGCTCTATATTACAGGACATGGCATGCTATCTAGGAGGCACACTTACCTAGATTCTCTATCTTTGACCTCTCGACGGTCACCCTTGGAGCCAATCATACATATGAACGTAAATCGCTTGAACACGTGATTTTGATATTTTATAACCCAAATATTTCTATATATTTTTGCACGCTGTTTAATCCCTGGACCGTTTCTAATAGCCTACTATGAGATGGGTTTTCTAACTGCTCTCGAGCAAAGGGGTAATGGCGGCCTCGTTCCCTCCAATAAAGCCGCCTAGAGTGCGTTGCCATACTCTGCGCTCTAGTCATCGAAGTTGCCCTCCTGAGAAATTAAGCCGCAGACGATTTTCCCGCGATCTTCGTGTGAAGCCGCCTGAAACGCGTTACCGCATCCATTGCCCTGTGAATCGACACCGGCCCCATTCTCAAGCAGGAACCAGACGACGGACTCGTAACCTCCACCTGAAGCCGCCTGGAGCGCATTGCCATAGAATCCGCCCTGGGCATTTATATCGGCCCCCTGGTTTAGTAAGAGCATGACAATATCATAGTGACCTTTACCTGAAGCCGCCTGGAGCGCATTGCCATATTGTCCGCCCTGGGCATTTATGTCGGCCCCCTGGTTTAGTAAGAGCATGACAATATCCTAGCAACCTCTACCTGAAGCCGCATAAAGCGCATTGCCGTATTCTCCACCCTGGGCATTCACGTTGGCCCCCTTCTCAAGCAATAACCTAACGATAGCCTCATTCCCTCTATATGAAGCCGCCTGGAGCGCGTTGCCGTACCTTCCGCCCTGGGCATTCACGCCCCTTTTCTCAAGCAGACGTGCAACTGGTTTAACTAGGCCCTCAAGGGAGGCGTAGTATAATGGAGAAGCGATATTTCTTGTGCTTTGTGTCATATCAGACCCTCCTCCTGGCATGTCTGGGTTGAACAGTCGAATCCAATTGATATAGACGTCTCCTTTCGAGTGTAAAAGCCGTATACTTAGCTGATTGACTCGCTCTGCATCTTGTGTAGCTGCTCGGGCGTGGCGAGTCCAGTACTCTGCTGCATACCTTGCAAGCGGGAAGTCATCGATATTATTTGGTGTGAGTAATGTAGATCCCTTGAACTGAAGAAGGTAAATCAGACATGCTTGAGCAATTCTATCTTCGGCGCATCCTTGTATATTGTATTTGGAAGCTGGTCCGGTTCGAACACGATCAGAGATTAAGTACTCTTTGACGGAGAAATGAGCTAGTCTGAGCTCTTCTGTCTCATAATAGACGCCATCACCGCCCTCAGCTGTTACTGCTGCCGTGGTTACTAGGCTGGAGCATATTGTCAATATGTCTCGACGCTCCCGGAGTCGATTTTCAGCATCAAACCGTAGAAGATCTATTGAACTGGGATCGATTTATCGGTGGAAAATCGATATATTGGAGATTGACAATCTGTAGAATGACTAGTTTTGACTAGATACAGGAGAGTGATTCCATAAAAAACAGAGGGAATGGGTTCCCTAGCTATATTCCTGATTTCCACCCCACCATGTGATTTACCCCGCACTTACTTGGTGGTGGGAACGATTTACCAATCTGATTCCTGTACGTACGTTTAAGGAACGTAATCGAATGGCGATACTAATAAACGATTGGTGTATTCGTACGTAAGTAATACCCAATAATCGGACGAACTGAATTAGTGGTTAAACCTGGAGTGGAAGGAAAGGATGCTAGCCAAGCTAGCTAGTTCAACAAGATCTATATCGATAGCAACGACTTCGGCAACTTCTTCAATTCGGAGCGGCCGAGCGGAATATACCAGCCATTGTAGAATGGTGAAAGCATCTTGACTGTATTCTTCATCGATGCTGCACAATATCCGGGCATACGTGTCGTCCAAAGTTTTCGGAAGCGATTGCAATGCTTTTCGTAGCGCATTGAGTTTCAGACATTTACTCAGCACATCTAGTTGACACACAACCCATCGAAACCTTAAGAAGTGTTGAAATTAGGGGCCTGAGGCCCCTAATAGGCTTAGTAAGCCCTGGAACCGAACGCCATGGGGCTGTGCACTAGCTTAATACCCTGTCCAGCTGGAATACCCTGTATAGCTGGAATACCCTGTACGGCTGGAATACCCTGTATAGCTGGAATACCCTGTACAGCTGGAATACCCTGTATGGCTGGAATACCCTGTACGGCTGGAATACCCTGTATAGCTGGAATACCCTGTACGGCTGGAATACCCTGTATAGCTGGAATACCATGTACGGCTGGAATACCCTGTATAGCTGTAATCGGTTCAGCTGGCATAGGGATTTAGTACATGTGACTTAGGGGGTTCAGGGCTATATATACGGGCTACTTACCACTGTAGAACAGCAGTCAATTCAGTACGTTTTACTTGGTTTACATTGCAAGCACGTGACCCTAGCTATATTGCTTTAGCTAGTTCAACAAGAAGATTGTCAGTGCATTTTGGGACCTGTAAAGTAGATGGGGCGTTATAACGTACATCCCATGGGCTCCATCCATCAATGTCTTCTCGACCTCTCTTTGAACATTTGCAGGCCATTTATTCAGTTTTGGGTCGTTCTGAAGCCGGTCGCAAATGTGAACGTGAATATCAGCATTGACAAGGGCACTTTGGATGCAGATCTGGTCGGTAGCCAAAGGTGCCAGAGTCTCTTCAATGTCTCTCTCCCTCCGACTTGTGGCCAATATATGCAGATTCTCAACCTTCCAGTCCATAGTATTCTCTAGCAGCTTTAGGAGTGCTTCCCTTTCCTTGCATTCGTCCAACGCGTCAAGAATGATGAATGTCTGCTGAAAATCTCTTAGAATATGTTGTAGAGTCGACAAAAGAGCATCTGTTGTCGGCTGCTGCTGCCCATCTTTGCTGCGAGCGAAGAGGATGTTCAGGGCATCCATAGATTTCACAGATTGCACAGAGAGTTGTTCGATCAGGGACCGTAAACATTTCTCATGTTGTTGCTTCTCGTTGTCATTGAAGTCGAAGTAAAAGTAGGCGATTGCGACTGCAGGATCTGATTCATAGATAGACCTGATATGTTCAATAATAGTTGAGCTAATTCTGTCAACGGCTGCCATGCTCGAATCTTACATAGAAGCCTTACCACAGAATAGTCTTCCCGCAGCCAGCTGTAGACGTCAATTAGTGATCAAGGCATCTGTCCGACGCCTGTGGACCATGGACTCACGAATGCCTTGTAGCCAGAGGAAGGAATTTGCGCACATTTTCCATTCCTCGAACTCGTCGCTTCCGACGAACCATGCTCCTGTCGTTGGTTGTCGCTTTTTGCAGGCGGCGTTGTGGTTTGAAGAAGGGTCTGGCGATGATAACCATTGCTGGACCTCCCGTGCAACAAGTGTTCTTTGCCCGGCCTGCAACTCTACCACGCTATCACTTAATCTCGCCACATTATACTTGAGTGCTCGAGCTAGACCCCTGATAATTCTCAGCGTATATTTATAACGGAATATGTATAGCTCAACTTACACATGATCCGCAGTCAACGCCAGATTAAACGTCACCTTGTATCTTCCAGTAATGACGAGAAGCTTCTCAACGTCTTTGCTGGTAAAAGGCCACTTCAAAGCTCTCAACCCAAATTGCTTCATCTTATCCTTCGCCTGGCCAGGCTCTAATTTTGCAATTAGCCCTGTCAGATCTTTCTGGCACTGCTGAACTGGCCCATCTTGTTGATTGAGAAGGCTCAGGATTAATTGCTTGGCTGTACCTGGATCTTCAGCCAGGTCTGCCACATTTGTCAAAATATCCTGGAGCAACATTACTTCTTCCCGAAGGCGTTGGATATCCTTTCGAGCTTCCTTCACCCCCAAGTAGTATGTTTGACACAGGTCAAAAACCTTTCCCGAAATCTGGATCACGGCAATGATGCTTGCAGCCTCGCCCAAGCCAGCCATTTTGACAATGACTGAAGTCTAGTCGAGCGGGAAGTGCTTATGAACTCAGTATATCGCCTTTGCTATTGTGGTTTGAGGTTACCGAATTGCACTTTGTAGCTATATTCATTGCGCAGGTGTGCTTTTTGTTCATGAAATTGTCGTTGGTATAGACGCCTGGAAAATTGTGGCGGAGCCGGCTTCCTGCCAACGACCACGTGGCACTGTTAGCGCCTAACAACGTATCACCAACGATCAGCAACCAACTTTCTGTATCAGAAATGGAGAACCAACCAATGGTCATTAAGTGAAATACCCCTAATATACGGGTTGGTTTAACGACGCTACTGCATCTATTTTTTTTCTTTCGCAAAATCCAAGTGATGAATCGCGATTTTTTTTTGGCCGCATTGAGCCCGTACCTATACAATCTCAATGTTTGTGCCAGAACCCTCGCACCTGTGCGTGCTTTCGTCTGAAATGCCAACACAATGCAACTCCAATGAACTGCTGTGGTGCGCAGTCCTCTAAAAACATGGTCTGGTACCACATCGCCGCCTCTCTCGCCAAATTCGTTGTCCTAGACTCGTAGGATGAAGCTTGAGTATCACAAGCTGCAAATTAAAGTATGTGGGAAGCTGAGAGTGCTGCGAATTGTACGGGTGGTGGGGCGGAGGAAATTGTCAACAAACCAGGGGCCACATACAACAGTTGTATAGAATTGACCCATGTATGCATGTAAGGGAACATCGTTGCAATCTGGTATATGCCAAAGAGAAAACACCACCAGTACTTTTAGGCCACGACCCCCGACCCCTCACTTCCACCACCACTCTTCTATGTCTCCCCTTCTTTTTTATCCCCACGACCTCGGTGTCCCTGTTGGGTTACTTCTCTGTATTATCCTCCTTCTTATCCACCACGGTGTTATCAGCCTCAACTTTCTCAACCGCCACCCCAACACCATCGATATCCTTAGTCGCATCCGCCGCAGAATCATCCACATCCAGCTTCCCCTCACCATCCTCCCAATCTCTCGGTCTAACAACCTTCACTGAAACACCATTCTCCTTCGAATAAACCCTCAATCCCACAACAACAACGGCATTCCATGGATCAGCCTCAAATTCATCCTCCTCCTCTTCCGGTTCCGGTGGAGGTGGAGGAGGAATGGCTTGCTCTGCGGCCAGTTTTTGCTCAGCAAGGTAGTCTTCGATTTCGCCGTCAGAGATATCAGACACATCAGAGTGGATGTCGGAGTCATCATCGTCATCCTCATCGTCCGGGAAGCCGACGGTGGGCGGCGGGGCGGATGGGTTGGGGCCTTTCGCTCTGATTTCGAGAGTTTGGGGAGGACCGGCAGGTGTTGCTGTGGTGTCAGGTTTTGCTGGCTCAGGAGTGTTTGTGGATTTTGCTGGTTCCGCAGGTGCATCAACAGAAGCAGACTCATTCCCAGGCTCGGCAACTTTTGGTTCATCCTTCACCTCTGGCTTGGCTTCCTTCTCCTTTTGAGCTTTCTTCTCAGCTTTGGCTTTGGCTTTAGCCTGTCTCTTCGCTTTGGCAGCACGCTGTTTTCTCTTCTCCTTATTTTCATTATGCTTTCTCTTTTTCTTCTCCTTCATTAGTTTCTCTTTAGTCTCTTTCATAAGCTTCGTCTTCTTAGCAGCTTCGACTTTCTTCTTCCCTGCTTTTTCTTCCTCGGTCTCTGTAATATGTCCTTTGGCATGAGCCATGTCGTACGAAAGGCCAATGCGCACAAGCTTCCCACGGCGCTCTTTAGCATTCTCGCGAACGACTTTCTCAATCGGCCAGCGGTCCTCCGAGCGCCTTGCTTCAATCTTCATCAAGACGTTATACTCACCTGGGTCAAGTTCGAGCTCAGCGGTCGTAGATCGGCTCATGTTGTACCTATTGCAGCTGCGTACGAGATAAGTCTGTTCTCCTGCCTTATGCACACGGAATGACAAGCCGAATGTATACTGACCCTCAAGACCACGAAAGTATCGAGAGTCAAGCTAAGAATCGAATTAACCAATAGAAGTAAAGCATATGGGAAGATATATTACCTGAGAAAGTACTATCGTAACGGAGGACTTTTTTTCCAGCGTAAATGTGAACTTGGTGTCATTGTAATCAACATTCCAAGGAACAGTTACGGTTGTCCACTGCTGTGTTACTTTCCACTCATCCGAGAACAATTTTGTACGGTCAAACAATTGATACTTCTTCATGAGATCGTCGTAGGACATCCAGAAGACCCCATCGTCTCCAAAGCGGTGGTCGAGCTTTTGCATCCATTCCGGTGTCCATTCTTTGCTGCCATCACCTAAAACTATGAGCCGCTTGCACAGCAATATAGGGTTGTCCAAACTTACTCCACGGGCCTTTCCACTCGACCTCGCCCCAGGGGTTCCTCAAAAGGACCAACCTCTGACCATCAACCTCTACTGCCTTCATGACTGAGTAGGCATGTCCTTCAACAATGCCCTTTCGGGAGCCGTAACCCCGCTGATAGGCCCAGCAACCAAAGAGGAATTCTTCATTGACCTTCAAGAGTTCTTCCTTCCAGAAATAGTCTTTGTCGAGGATGTCTGTTATGAAAAGCTCTGTGGTCACACCTCCAGTCAAATCTTCCACTCCTTCACCAGCGTAGCCTCCCTCAATGGCTGAGTAGTCCTAAGCCAATTAGAGTAACATTTGGGAGGAAGAGCGGTCTTATACTTACACCATGAGCTTTAGCGTATGCTTTCTCCATCAGAGGAAGCCAGCTCTCATTAGGGTCCTGGCACTGGGCAAAGAATAAGGCAGAAGAGCCGGTCTAAACCTGTCAGCAAAAAGTTGGAAATATGTTGGAGAAATTGATACCTGATAGAGCTTGCGGTACTCTTCCTCTGAGTTGATGCGATGGTGGCCGTCAAGCATCATGCGCTCAAGCCAACTTGCGTCGTAGTCGGGCTTGATCAAATATAGCTTGTCGTCAATTATCTCTGACACCCATTCCCCATCTCGATGAAACACGAAGCCATACGCTCCAACCTTTTCATCTCTCGCGACGCAGACTTTCTCAATGAGATCAGGTTTATTCGCCAAGGCGCAAAGAGCAGCTAGAAACCAACAGTCGCCATCATTGCCTTGACGGACGTCATTTGCAGATGCTCCTTCGACGAAGAATTTTGGGTCTTCGAATATGTCCCCAACTCGCTTCACGCTTTCTGGTATGGCGGAGGATTTCGGCTCTTCATCGCTTGACTTCAATTGCGTAAGACAATCTTTGTCCCAATCCAGATCGGTCTCGATATCGAAATGGGGGTCGAGGTATTTTGTATTGGTTCGATGGCACTCATGCACAATCTTCTCGACCTTCTCTTTGCAGATCGCTGCTGCTTCTTCGTAGGACGCTGCAGCATTCCTCCCCTTGACAAGACCCTTGGGGCTCTTTTCGCTGGCCTTCTTCGCAAGGAGGTTCTTTGGTATGACAGTGGATGCTGCAAAGGGCACATATTAGCAGATGTTCAAGCATCAGGAGGTGTGTGGTTGAACTAAAATACCTATTCCTGGAGTTTTTGTGTCGAACTTCTTCCAGAACTCGTCGATGGCGTCCTGTGGAGACTGATGTTTCACTTTTTTGGGTGGGGGGTCTGCGAGTTTGAGAATGACGTCCTTCGCAGATTTGACCCTACCTGCATCGCTGCCAGAGCCAGAGATTTTGTCTCCCAGTTGACTCATGTTGCTAGTGTTGCTGCAAGGGTGATTGGTCTTGGAGGCGTTGGAATACAAGACTCAATGATTGATTTCCTCTCCTACTCCACATCAAATGCGCCCAAGAGTAGTTCGTATCGGGTGGAATGAAATTGAAAGGAGATAAGACAAGAGAAATGAAAGGAAAGAAATCCGGAGGTTGGAGTTGGAGGGAGGTTCAGCTCCAGGCTGGAGCTGAGCCTCTGCTGCAGCTCCAGCTGTACAGATACTCGGTATGCATGCAGCAAGGTATATTTTAATGGTTCATGCTCTCGCTATTCGCTGGAGCATTGCTGACGCGGAGGCGGGGGATCCGGACCAGCAATCTATCCACCTAAGGGTTTGGTGTTCCCTCAGAGCAAGGCTATTCCGGCCCCGGCACTTTTCTCCTGGCCGCAATACAGCCCGTGCGACCCTGTCAAAAAGAATCCGACCGTCTCGACCTTCGATCAAAATCATTCCCGAGTAAATAGAATAGGCGAATTTCATAGTAGACGCTCTCTATAAGGCCCCAGATACTCGCGTTGGCAGCAAGAATGTGTCGGGTCGTCGTCGCTGTAATTTGTAGACTATTGCACGCGTTAACCTTAGCACTTTGGTTTGCGCACGATCTATGTTGCGGGCCGGCCGTGCCTCCTAAATCTCTGCGGGACCACTACGGGACTGCTCCAGCCGGAGGATTTCGTAGAAGTAGCAGCTTGATATACTTCTAACTCCTTAGCCCGGCTTCATGAGGCCCAAATGGCCAATTTCAGTATCCTATGCAAGCCCAACGTGGCCAGCGCATCAAGCCCGAGTTTGCCTAGCGGCCGCAACCCAGCCTCGTGAGGCTGAGTGCAGACAACGTGCTCCCGACGAAGTGCAATAAAATCCAGCGACATGAATATCATGGTCTTCCGTGGACTAACCAGGCACTGACCACATACCTGATGTCTATCACTTTTGGTAGTTCAGCTGTTGTCTCAATACTGGGAGTCCAGTTCAGCACTTTCCCGCCGCTTCCTTCCCAGGGCCCTTACTCAAATGGTAGCCCACCTCAATTCAACTGGCGGACAAGTCTGCCCACAAGAAAGGTGGCAAGTATTGCGGCCGCGCTTTCATCTGCCCCTGCCAAGCTTTTGCCTCTACACTTACAGCCGACCATAGCGAATGAACTACTAGTGAATAGTAATATAATATTATTACCTTATATTTCTACGTTAGAAGAGTCGGTCTCATCTCAATTGTCGATTGGCAGGCCAGGCCTTACAAGGTAGAGGAGACCGCTGTAGATATTGGGGAAGTCTATCCGAGGAATGATTTTGACGATGCCACCGGATGCTGAAGTCCCAAATCAGGGCATGCAAATCGACCAGTGATACTGGCACACTGGCTTACTTGGTATGCGACCTAAGCTCTTTTTCTAGAAAACTAGCTTAGGTCGCATAACACTGGATGGTTGGGTTTGATCTGTTTCTGCTTGCAGCATTCGCCAGCTCCAAGGTTACTACTCAAGTTCGCAAATGAATCTTTGATTTCTGTACTGCTAAAGATGAAAAAGTTGCTCCTAGAGTCCTAGAGGAATACGACCGATCATATACACTTTTTGTTGTGGAAAGTTGTCGCTGTTATCTGGGTATTATTCCACACAATAAGAGGTTCATCTCTCCTCGCCGTTCTATATTTGCTTGTCTCACCCGCCACCCTCACAATCTCCGATATCCATCATTAGCTATTGCCAAGGACACCAACTATTGAAAGACTTTATTGCTAAGGTAATTAAATAACTCCTTTGCTCATCCTCTCCCTCTCGGCCACGCCACCTATCTCCAAAGCACTGCTGTGACATTTCTTGAAAATAAATAAGGAGTGAGCAGCCACGGCCAAGGGTCGGCGACCACAGGTTTGTTTACTGGGGCAGACAGATAGGTTTGGACATGATATCAATTATATGTATGGATTGATAGTGATTTTTCTTGAAGGAGAGATCGATCTAGGGAACGTTGCACGGTATACTTCGTCTCTCACGTCATGGACTGCGACTTTCCCGTTGGCATTGAAGATTTGTCTGTGGCTTTTAGCTGCCGCTTGTTCCCGTTATTTGGTTAAAAAAATCCTACAATTTTACCTCCTATTGCAAATAGCAAGGAACAGTGATTTGCATAAATGATTGTCTGATTAAAAGAAGCTCTGAAGGGAGCCTCTGGATCTAGCTAAATAAAAGGGGCTGATGAGTAAGCGAAGCTAAGCTCCCTAGTACCCGTATCCATACGACATCTCCTATATTTGTAGTTTCTGTTCCGTATCATGCACGCAGACATTTCTCCTCGTTCCAGAGCAAGCTCCCCAGGCCTTCGCCACGTGGCCAACCCGCAATCCTTACTTTTTCGACAGAGAACAGATGCCTGCGGGATTGGAGTGTAGGGCTAGAGCAAGCTGACTGCATTCTGTGAGCGCTAGCTGACTAATTATTACCCCTTGAGCCTCTCAGAGCCTTTCCTTTGACAAGGCTAAATTACAAAAATGCTTTGATTAGCTACAAATTACGAAATACGGGCGTGTGGTCCGGTCCAGGACAGGCTCTTGAGGGGGCAAGTCTCGGAAACTTCTTCCTCCGCTTCCTCCCCCCCGCCTTGAGTGGCAGTTATATACACCTCATTTCCAGTTTCTTCGTTCTGTTCTCATACTTTTCTTAGGTTTTTACTCCACCAAATATCAACCCCTACCGTGAACGTCCCTCTTTCTGAGAAGATCACAGTCATCATCTATTTTAATACTCAACAATCTTTGGAGGATGTCTGCCTCTCCAGATTTTCGCTACAAGATAGAATTCGACCCATTAACAGATATCGGCCCTCGCCCTTCTACCCAGCTAGCAGATCTCATATCCAAACACCCAAAACTCAAAATCTACACCTCCTCCTCACCACACTTTCAAGGCATGAAAGCAATCTGGAACCTGGAATATGCTCCGAACGAGCCTTTAGCTCTGGTACGCGTCACCGCCCCCTCCGAGGTCTCGACTGTGATCAAATTCTGTGTCACCAACAATCTCCCTCTCGCAGTCCGATCAGGAGGGCACGACCTCTGGGGTCGCTCTCTCATTGACGGCGCCGTGATTCTCGACATCCGAGAACTGAACCAAATTGTCCTCGCTGAAGACCAGAAATCAATCACAATTGGAGGAGGCACCCAAACTGGAGATGTTGTCAATTTTCTCGACGGCCATGGTTTGGTAACGCCTTGTACTCTTGCTTCAGTTACTGGTCACTTAGGATGGGCATTCAGCGGCGGGTTTGGTCCACTCGTCAACGCCTTCGGGTTAGGGGTTGACCAGATCATCAATGCAAAAATTGTCACCGCTGATGGAGAGATGCAGGAGGATGATAGTGAGCTACTTTGGGGGATCAAAGGTGCTGGTGGAGCGTTTGGTGTCATTACGGAGGCCAAGTTCAAAACATATCCTTTGCCGAAGATGCTGGGCGGCATGTTGATATTCAAGTTCGATGAAGCGGAGAACATTCTTTCTGATGTTCAGAAACTGCTCGATGAAGAGAATGTCCCTGCTCAACTGTCGATTGGATGTCATTTTTCGAAGAGAGGCGGGGCGCCCACCCTTACGATGATGTTCTCGTGGGCCTCAGTTGATTTCGAGGAGGGAAAGAAGTGGCTGGATAAGGTTAAGAGTTTAGGAACTGTGATGATGGATATGGTTTCCGAAAGTTAGTTTGAAACCTGCATGAGACAAATGCTAGGCTGACTTTGATCCTCAATAGTAACTATGAAAAAGTGGTGCGACATAATTGCCCCCATGCTCCCGCAAGCATCCTATAACTCCTCTCGCTCCTTCTTCATTAGCAAGCTCTCTGCTGAGGCAGCCAAAATTCTCCTCACAGCCTCCACCAAAGTCCCCGAAAGCCTGCAGTGGGGAATTGGAACTTTTTTCATTGGGGGAGAAGCGATCAAACCGCAACCAACTTCATCGTTTGTACTCCGTGAGAGATTCGTCTTCCTTCATGCTCTTGCTCCTGTCCCGGAGAAGAAACAACTTACTGAGTCGATTGAATGGACAAATGACATTTTGAATCAGATGAAAGATGAGGGATTGGTGAAGGCGAATTATTTGGCCATCATGGGACATGATCTTTCTGTACAAGAGTGTTTTGGAGAGGAGAATTTTGAGCGTCTCAAGGCTTTAAAATGGAAAGTAGATCCTGGGAATGTATTCAAGCATGTGCCTGCTCAGTTTACGTAAGACATCCAGGTCTATCTTAAGGCTTAAATGTCCAGCAACGCAGCTTGCCTCTCCTTGCGATTTTCTCCATTACCAACAAGTATATACGCACCCTGACTCCAATCCCAACCACTTCTGATCGGTACGCTGAACGCCTATTCTTTAGAGGTATATTCCCCTTTCAGAAACTGTTTTGGCCAGAAATAATATCGTCCGGGGCCTAGGCTTACTCTCCGAGATAACAGTCTTTCCAATCTTCACTACCAAGGAACTCCATCTTTTTGGAACACAGTTTTGATATAGTCGGGCCTTAACTCCAGCATTTCGTCTTGTCGGATGTCCCCTCAGACGGTGGGACATTGAGGCACTTCCATCCTCGTACAGATGTATATCGCCCCGCACTTCTTCGGCACATGATGTATGACTGCTTACCACAACATTCTGTCTCGGAAGAAATGGCTGACCTGGTCACAGAAAAGCAGACACCACCAAGGCCTAGCATCTCCGAAACCGCACTCCACTATCTACATAAGTATACTGAAAGACTGTTCTCATTGGTGAAGTTGCTCATCCAATGCTGCCCTTCAACACAGGGGGAAAGCAAGCACTTGAAGATTGTGGCGCTCTATTCGCTCTCTTCTCAAACCTGACGTGCAAGACACTGATCCCTGAACGCTTGATAATGTTCGATCGAGTGAGGAGGAAGAGAGTGAATAAACAGCAGATTGTATCAAGCGTTCCGACAGAGAAAGTCAAGTACCTTGCCGATAAATTGAATATGAATCAAGGGACCACGGATGTATCAAAAACCGAAAATGCGAGAAAGTTTATTGGGAGAGCTCAGGGTATATTCAGATGCGAAAGTGAGAAGAGTATTCACTGATTTGTCGTCAGATATGACATCTTTAAAAGATGCGACGAAGTTCTGAGATCCGCCGATAAGAATTGGTTTGAGGGGACAAATACAGTTTGATTCAACGGTAGCAAAACTTTATTTACTATTTATTCGTCCTCTTCTCTGTTCGTACAACTTCCCTTTCCTTCTCCGCCCCTAAACCATCCTCTTTAGTTCTCCGGTGAAAGTATCAAACACAAGACCGGCAATAGTCATGTTTTCAGCCAACGTGGGGAAGCTTTTCAGATACTCCACATCGGCAACGACACTCTTCTCGGGACTAAACTCCAGTCAACTTCTACTCACCCGGGCAACAAAACCAGGCATGGTACGTACTCGTTGATTGCTCCATAATTGAAGTCGGGATGACGTCCAGCAAAATCAGGGTGCTTCTTTTCGACTCGGTCGTGGAACTCTTCCTCACTTAGATACGTCATGCCACAATCTTCATGCGACTGTCAGCGCAAGATTTTGGTCCTCGATGGTAGGAAGTTTTATTTACCTGTGTGGTGGATCACAACCACTGTTCCAGTCGCCCCAAGAGAATCAAGGTCGAGGATGGAGCGCAGTGCATCCACTGTCCTGCCCCCGCCATTTCGAATAATTGCCGCTTCTACCGCTCATCAACATCTGCCCTCTCTCGTAAAATTGTACCTGCTGAACTCACCACCAAAGTTGAGGCCCAGAAAGTGTTCCGGGGTAATTCGTGGATCGGCGCAGGAGATGATGACTGTCCCTTTTGCTCCCTTCTTCTTTCTTTTCTCCAGACCCTCGCCAAGCGGTGGCGGTCGCTTGTACGACTTGGAAACCTCTCTAGAGCTTTTGTCAGTGAGGAACTCTACCATCAGAGTATCTTTACCGTACTTGTTCCTCTCAAGGAGATCTGCAACTTTGTCTGTTGACATTGTTCAAACACACTTGCTCGACTTGCCGAATTGATTGATATTTGTTCTATTGATTAAGGAGGTCTAAAAGAGTTTATTTTACTTGGAAAGAAGGCATTTTGGCTTGAAGTTGTTCTATCTATTATATGTGAACTCAAACACTGCAGCTGGCGGCTGCTTCCACACACGCTGTGTAAGCACAGCGCTGCGTGTGTGGTCATCGAGTGCCTCAACTCCATAGAGTCCAACCATGCCGCCCGCGGAAGCTAGTTCACGAATCAAGATTTTCGAAGAAATCGATGCACATTGTAGAGTAATCGTCATGCAGTTGTGTGGCTGGGGCTTGGTTGTGGGGTGATTACTAGTTCCTCGCTTATTTACGGCCGAAAAGGAGAAGCGGACGAGAAAGCGCCTGAATAAGCACCTCCGTATTATAACTCCGTACAACGTCCTTAATCCTCTTTCCCAACATCAAGTTGTATGATTGTCCGAGGCAGTCTGAATCATGTGGAGTGTGGAATAAGAGTGAAATGATCATTCTGGGAAAGTATAGTTATGCTGAAGTGTATAAGAGGGGTCAAGGACCCACTTCCAGATCGACTCTCCTTCCTCTCCAGTCCGCATCTCTTTCAACTTGATCATTATCTTGAAGACAATTCCTTCGTGAAAAGAATATCAGTTCGGAAGTCGGCTTCAAATTTTTTATTTGTTTCATCAAAGTCAACCTTAATTTCAAAATGTCAACGCCAAAACAAACAGTACTCTTGATCGGCGGAACAGGGGCCCAAGGCGTCCCAATCGTGAAAGGTACATACACACCTTCCTCCCCTCTCCCCGCCATCCCTCTAACAACCCCCAGAACTCTCCAAAACCAACAACTACACCATCAAAGTCCTAACCCGCTCCCCCACCTCCCCCTCAGCCCCTCCCTCTCCGCGCTCCCAAACGTAGCCCTCATCCCCGGCGACAGCTACAACGAAACATCTCTCCACTCCGCCTTCGAGGGCATCGACATCGCCTTCGTAAACCTGAACGGCTTCGCCATCGGCGAGAAGGCCGAGATCTACTGGGGGATCCGGATCTTCGAGCTGGCGCGCGAACACCGCGTGCAGCACTTCATCTGGGGCTCGCTCGCCAGCTCGTACAAGGCCAGCGGGTACCAGGCGCGCTTCCGGACCGGGCACTTCGATGGCAAGGCCAAGGTCGCGGATTGGATTTCGGCGCAGGAGATAGGGGAGCGGGGAATGAGGTGGAGTGTTCTGACGAGCTGCATGTATCTGGAGACCTTCGCGGAGATGCTGGCTCCTGCGCATGAGACGATTGACGGGGGCGAGGTGGTGGTGTTCAAGGCGCCGGTTGGCGGGGGAACTCCGCCGTTCATTTATTTGGAGGATTTGGGGAAGTATGCGAGATGGATGATTGAGAATCCGCAGAGGAGCAGCGGTTTGAATTTAAGGATTGCGACGGCCAATGTGGGGTGGGAGGAGGTCGCGAGGTCCTTTACGGAGGTCACGGGCAAGAAGGCGATTTTCAGGGATCTTTCTCTGGACGAGTATTTCGCGTCTGGGATCTTTGGACCTGCGGACAGGAAGGTGGGACATTCGGTCGGGCATGATGATGATACCTTGCAGACGTACAGAGAGAACTTCTCCGGATTTTGGAATACATGGAGGGAGGATGTGCTGAAGAGGACCGAGAAGGACTTTGAGTTGATGGATGAGATCTTACCAGAGAGAGTCAGCAGTGTCGGGGAGTGGATGAGATTGACGGGGTATAATGGGGAGAAGAGCAATGTCTTGAAGGATTACGCTGACGCGGGAGGAAAGAAACCGCAATGATTATGAGGAGGAAGCAATATCAAGAGACAGGACATAGCAGATAATTAAATGTAATCAAGGCCAAGACATGCCCCTCAACTCCGGTTCCCAGGGGTTAATCACTACTAAATGGCAACCCAGAGGACAGAAACAAAACTCAAAATCCATTTTCAAATCCTTAGAAAGGATAGCTTGCCTCAAGTGCAAAACAGACCGGGCTTTGGAAAGTGTTACACGAGACAACATGATCGAGCATCAGCTCTCCCACGAGAAATTTTCAGGATACAACCTTTGAGTACGACGCTGACCGGTGGAACCCTAATCCGTACTCTCTTTCTCGTCGATCTGTGATCAATTTCTGCAGTCTTCCACTTTCAGCAACAGAGCTTGTGTTTTCGTGCCCGCGAGCGACCGAAGGGGCCGGGAAGCCGGAACTTTGTGGGAAAGGGCGGGCCGATTTGTAAGACTGGATGGGCACGTGATCTGCTATGAATCAGAGATTATGAAGCTGGGTGGAACGAGAGAGCATTTGCGGAGTGAAATAGCAAGAGCATTTTTGACGTAAATTCTCTTTCTTTGGGTTGACTCCGAACCATGCTTTGTAAACTTGAGAGAAGAAAAGAAGCTACTTGACCCCGACTAGGACTGGCAAGAAGGTGGGATGAAAATTCCTGAGTAGAAACATCTCCATCAATCATTCATTCAAGCGCACTACAGCGAAGTCAAGCTTATATCATGACGCTAGGTATACCAACAGCAGCCGAACCATCCCCTTCTTTTACCAACCAACTCCACCTACTCCAAATTTTATATATGCCACAATGCCCCCTCTGTCTTACTCCTTTCCATTCTCCCATCTTCCCCGTATATCATACTACCGACTCTGCAAATGTCCTTGCTGAGCTTGTTGCTGTTGCTGATTCTGGACCGCCGCTTGCTGCTGAGCCTGCTGCTGCATCATCTTCTGCCTCAACAGATCATTCTGCGCCTTCTGCTGCGCATTCGCATCCCCTCCCGCTCCAACATTCACACTCTGATTCCCCTGCACCGCAGCCGCGTTCTGTTTTTGCGCCTGCATCTGCTGTTGCTGTGCCTGGTTCCTAGCTGCCGAGTGCAGCGGTGGTTCCTTCTTCGGATCCACGCCTGGGAATAGCGCTTGTAATTTCTTGTATAAATCTCCGAGCGACAGCGCGCGCTCTTCTTCCATCTCTTCTGGCTTCTTTGCGTCCGCCTCGGGTTTCTTGTCTTCTGACGTACTCGAGGAGGGTTCTTCTTTTTTTGTTGTGGGAGAGGAGGTGGATGGCGTGGTTTGGCCGGCTTGGGCGAGCTTCTGCGAGGGGGGAGGCGCGGAGATGATTGCGGGGTGGGCGGGGATCTGGGAGGATGGTTTGTGGGATCTGTCAGCGATGGCGGCGAGGTATGCGAGGTTGCATTGAAGACGGCGCATGCATCTATCCATCCACATTAGCTCTCATCCCGTCCCCTAATCCAACTTATAAAATACATACTCAAAATATTCCCTAGTCAAATAGTCCCTTGTCTGTTTAGGTGCAGGTTTCTCTGCCCTTTCTTTTTCCTTCTCTTCTTTCTCTTTTCCGGTTCCTTCAGGGGAGGCGGTAGCAGAGGCAACTTCGTTCCTCTCTGCTTCCGCCTGTGCTTTGGCCTCCGCAATGCTGTTTAACCGCATACATTCTAACAGCAGCTCTCGATTGATATCTAACAACAACGTGACTCTCTCCTTCTCGCGTGCTTCTGACCCGGGACTCAATGGTGTAGCAATATTCGACCCAGCATTCGCGCCCTGTGAGCCCGGCGGGAAGTTTGGTGTTTGCGGCGTGACGACCGTGCTTGCCTGCGCTCCCTGATTACTGCTTGGTGTTTGCAGATGCGTCTGATTCGGGTTCTGGGGTGTAGAGAATTGCGATAGTGCATTGGCGTTCGGCGGTGTGTTCTGTGGGACGTTGCCAAAGGGAGGAGCTCGTGGGCCAGGCTGTGTAGGCGTCGATGAGGAAGGGGGAGGCTGCATCCGCTGGGCCTGGTGTTGTGGATTCATGTTCGGGGCGTTCATGGGGTAGGACGGCGCGTTCGAGGTCGTGGGCATGAAGGAGAGGTTGGGACCGGAGGACGCTGGCATGTTACCCCCGTAGGGCGAGCTCGAATATGGGGTCTGATATGCAGGCACTGTTTATAAAGAATCGCGTCAGCATTGTTTGCTGGGTCCGAAGTAGCAGACAATCGTGGGAAGAGGATGACAGGAGATGGTAGAGAGCTGGACATCCTGTACTCGGTCTGGATTGCTGACGGGCACCTGCTGCTGTATGCACCGCAGAGCCCACGGCGCCTTCTTCGAGCAGTGATCAAGCGATGCCAGGCAGTGACGAGCCGGACGAAGCAGCGAGAGGTCGACGACCGACGTTGGGACGGGGAACAATTGTGTATGCTGTGCTACATACCTCCACCAGGCATATGCGCCATACCGTTGTTCTGCATCATTCCCATCGCACCCGCATTGGGGCCCATGCCAGGCCCAGGCTGAGCAGCGCCTCCATAGGGCGACTGGTGAGGAACAGGACCAACGCCGCCGCCATATTGCTGTGGATTATACATCAGGTGCTGAGGCTGCTGGCCGGGTTGGGGTTGGGGTTGGTGAGGATGGTGGGGGGTCTGGGAGAGGTGCTGCTGCTGGTGCTGCTGGTGCTGCTGCTGTGGAGGGGCGCCATTGGGATTGGGGACGAAGGCTGCAGCAGGAGAAGGGTTTGCCGGGCCATAGCCATAAGCAGGTGCGTACATCCCGAGAGGCTTCCCTATCACAGGGCGGCTGGCATTGCGAGGGGCGTTATAGGGCAGGCAGGACGTGCGATTAGAGTCGAGAGATGTCAATCAGGTGGGTTTCGGGACGGTGTGTCGTGGTAGGGATGGGGAAGGCGGGGTCAAGGGTTCGGACCGGCAGGACGTCGGGGGGGGGGGGCGGGGAACGGGGAGGCTGGGAGGCTGGGAGGCTGGGGTGCAGCGAGTGGCCGCGTTCGGGTGCGGGTGCCGGCGCGAGCGCAGGAGGGCTTGGCTTGGCTTGACCTTGAGACTGGGCAGAAAAGGGGGGGCCAAGTGAAGCGTGCAACAGCTGAAACTTCAACGATTTCGCTGTGGGTGGTGCTGTTAACGAGCAGGAGGCGAACAAAGTGCCACCCGGACAAGGGTGAACTTCACGAGGATACCTCTGTGTTGCGCTAAACGCCGTGACTGGCTAAGCTACGGCTTTCTATTATGGACCACTTATGCACGACATTGCTCAGGCTCATTGTTATTGCATTTTGGCGGCCGTGATCCGCGAACGAGGGGAGGGGGGTGGTTCAGATGAGATGAGGGGTCGTGTGAGAGGGGAGTGGGATGGGTGGGAACTGAGGACATGGATAAAATGGGGGTCAATCAGGTGATACCGTAGACTTGAGAAGGAGTGGATAACTGAAGCGGGATCCCTTTTTCACAGAATACCAACCTAGAGTGATGTCTGTGAACTATAGTTCGTGGATGCTGGATATTAAGTCCTGTTGTAGAAGAAGAAAAGGGGGGTCCAAGCGGGAGACGACGTGGTGCTGATCTTGATATAGAAACCCCAGCCGTGTGATGGGAAATGCCAGAACCCTCCGAAAGGGACGGCCCGTGACTGAGGTGTGTATGCTGCTCGGATGCGGGACGAAGATACCGAGTCGGAATTGCTTCTTCGGCGAGGCTTCACTGTCCAAGCATAATCCAGGCTCCAGCCGTGTGAATCGAACGACATCCTCTTGGCATATGCAGTGACACCTCACTCGGCAGAACTGTTTTCTCGTCCAACCATTTCATTAATTCGTGTTCATCGTTAAGTTCCCCTCACTTCCAATACGCAGCATACTTACTCGCCCCCTTCACGACATTCACAAACTCCCTCGCAATCACCTTGTCTGTCGCCTCACTCGGATGCAACTCGTCATACCACATAAAGTGATCCAGTCCCAGACGACTCGTCGTACAATTCGTATTCGACGGGGAACAAAAATAGTACGTTCCCGTTACATTGGCTGGCGTGGACAGATACTGGCTCGGATGGTTGTAGATGTCAGTCATTAAACTGTGGACATCGAAGACAGCGAATGAGGCCCCTGGGTACCGTTTTGCGACCACCGCTTCGTAGGGAGTGCGGTAGGTGAAGAGGGAGTTCACGAGCGTGGTGTATTCTTTCATCTTGTAGCTGACTTCGGTGATGTTTGCGGGCTGGCATGTGTGAGTAAGGAGTTTGGGGGAAGTAGGGGAAATCTGACCTTGTCTGGCCAGTAGTGACTTGCAGCGAGTCCTCCTTGGCCAGGGGTGCCATACAAAGGCGACAACTCCAATGGCGCAGTGTTTATCAGCACGAAATACCTCCCCCCATTGGTATAGATCTGATCAAAGCGACTATAGATACAATCCACGTAATCCGGGATCGTCGTCTGGTTGAGGCTGCTATCCGTCAAGAAGGCATAGCTTCCAAGATCGTTGGTGCCAATCCACATGGAATACACCGTGTTATCGCTCTTCCGGTTCGTGTAAAGCGTGTTCGTGTTCGTGGTAGCATTGACGAACCTGCTGTCTGCGATGAAAGCATTGACTTCGTACACGACGTCTGGGAATGGCCCGTTGATGGCCCCAAGATAACGGTAGATCTGGTTGTTGTCACAAACTGCTCCGGAAACAGCGTAGTTGTAGAGCTTTGCGCTGGTGTAGTTTGTTGAAATTAGGGGCCTGAGGCCCCTAATAGGCTTAGTAAGCCCTGGAACCGAACGCCATGGGGCTGTGCACTAGCTTAATACCCTGTCCAGCTGGAATACCCTGTATAGCTGGAATACCCTGTACGGCTGGAATACCCTGTATAGCTGGAATACCCTGTACGGCTGGAATACCCTGTATAGCTGGAATACCCTGTACGGCTGGAATACCCTGTATAGCTGGAATACCCTGTACGGCTGGAATACCCTGTATAGCTGGAATACCCTGTACGGCTGGAATACCCTGTATAGCTGGAATACCATGTACGGCTGGAATACCCTGTATAGCTGTAATCGGTTCAGCTGGCATAGGGATTTAGTACATGTGACTTAGGGGGTTCAGGGCTATATATACGGGCTACTTACCACTGTAGAACAGCAGTCAATTCAGTACGTTTTACTTGGTTTACATTGCAAGCACGTGACCCTAGCTATATTGCTTTAGCTAGTTCAACATAGTTTGATACCCATCGATCCCACGTGACTCCCCCGCCTGCTGTTGATGTGCTCCCTGGGAGTAACAATCCTGGGGGAGGCGCTGATCCATTGTGATTGATGAAGTACCCCAATCGACTTTCGTCTGTATAGCTATCAATTCGTAAGCGCCGTTCTTTGACATGGTGTTGCTTGCTCACCTGTCCCCGAATGTTACCAAATTGTCAAAAGTCGGGACGAAATGCGATCCCCATCCGGGATGACCATGATTATCGGTATCTGCAAAAACAACTGCACTCGCAGCGATGAGTGCAAAGGTAAACAACTGCATCTTGATACCTCAACACCTTGACCTGACAGAACCTCTAGTCAAAACGAAAATCAAGAATTGGATCAATTGGAGGAAGAAGGCGAGAACAAGGAAAAGGGCCATACGAGCATCTATATAGATCCCACCCCTCTAGCCCGGAACTTACGATTAATAAAAAAAAACATTCATGATTTGATCCCAGATCTTCTTCCGGATGCCCCATCCATACATCATTCACACGGATGAGGGGAGGCCTGCATTAGCCAAAGACCCCTCCTTATTAAAGTACAAGCTCTAGATGACACAAGAGCATCTGGACGAATTGGGAAGTGCCGGTTGAAATTATCCATATTTGGCGATGGCCTGAGATTTCGATTCAGTCAATGATAGCTCAAGGCTGACAACGGGTGGAAAAAATGAAGGGCCGTGAACCGTGCTATGACGAGCCTGAGTGCTGCAGGTGAACGAACCGGCATGTGGGAAGCGGAGGACGAAGGGTGGTGGGACCATCCTGGCAGCCATGCTCGGATGTTGGGATTGGGAGGCTTGTTGATCGGTGCGGAGGAGGAGACGAAGTTGTTTTCAGCCTGAAAAGGAGACGGAGTCTCGGTTGAGCTGCCAGGAGATCTGCGTCTTGTCCGTGGATGGCCACCGTAGTTAGCTCATGTGACTAAACACGTGACTGGGACTCGATCATAGCATCGGGCATTATTCGATGCCTTATGTGAGATGAACAGAGAATGAGTTTCTAATCTCGAAATTATAGAAGTCTTCGGCTATGAAGAATTTAGCTCTATTCTGCTAAATTGTGAGTACAGATAAGTTGGATGGGGAGCAGAGAGGCAACTCGTCTTGAGTTGAAATGACAACCCTACACCCTGCTATCGAATCTCGTTAATTCATGGAATCTTTGGTGCATTATGAATTTTGCGATATGCAGCAGAAGTTTGAAGCATGGTGGATTGTGAATGTGAGTCGCAATGTGAATACAGGTGCGATTTGCAATAAAACGATTCCAAAGGATTCACCTCTTGCTGTATGATTTCATGCAATGCCTCAAATCTTCAATATAAATTGCTTCACTGATCTCTGTATGTGATAATTATCTGTCTCAAGGCTGAGAATGAAGTATAGCTATGGGTATTGCATTTTCTCGCGGGCACCGACCTCAGCGTTTCTCTCACATCACCCGACAAGAACCGACCAACCACATATCCTGTAAACGACCTTCTTACATAGCGAGTTACTTCAGGGAATTGCTAATGTGTTTCGCTTCGTTCGATATCTATTGCTCACTAAGAAGTGGTTCTCGTTTTCAAGTGCTTCTCGTTCGGTTCTAGGGTCAATCAACCATGAAAAACTAGGGAAGGGTTGATGTCTCAATTCTAGAGGCGCTTTTATATTATTTTCATCTTGAACCCCATGGTTAGTAACAGTAATGAGCGTCTTGTTTAGGCTGTTTAGAGGCTAGAGCTAAACATGAGACAAAAAAAGGGATGACTTCTTAATCTTCTACGATCAACCGCAGGTGAGATCCGAGTTGGCTTTTAATTTCCTGTTTGTTGGACTTCAGAACCCTTACTTGACTGTTTACCAAACGAGGGCAAGCTTAAATCGAGTAGCCACTGCTGCCTTAAACATGCGGATCTTCGTCCCAAGTTCCCGACGTTGGTCGCGCCTCGGCTAAAAAGGGGGGCGAAACACATGAGCTCGTATGCTCTCTGCCCCGGTCCGCCGAGTACCTGCCTGACTTAGCGCTTCATGCAAGCCTGGTACAAGTAGACTGCGCCGCCCCCGCTCCAAGACTTAAAATACCCGACTTCTCCTCGATCAGGTTCTGAGGAGGCGTCAAGTTTCTTTCACATCACGATCGTTAAGTTTGTTGAGTGCGTTCATTCGTTCTATCTATTGATCCTCTCGACCTAAACGACGTGAACTACCTCCTGTAGGACCCCATCGCTTCTCGATCTGGTACTGACGTTGCGCAACATGGTCCACATTTCCTCTCTGCTTCTGGGACTCTCAGTAGCGGGCAGTATAACTGCAGCTCGTCCATATGGGTACGACAGACCGGCCAAGATCTCCCTGTACGACCCGTCCAGCGCCGTCGAAGCCTCATCCGACCCAGCGGAGCTCGACTGCGGAGAACACAGAGGACCGACCATCTACTCTCTTAATATCAACACCTGTCTCTGGGGAGATTTCCCTCTCACCCACTTCCGGGTTACGACAATGCCAGTCTGCGCAAGTGGTGCTCAACCTGTGGCTTACTTCTTCTCTACGACAAGCTGCACTGGCAACCCGAATTTCCGCTCTGACAATCAAATCATCAATCAAGAATACCGTGGCCTCCACGACAAATGTCTGTCCTTGAAGTCACCAGCACAATGGTCGATGATCTTCCGTTGCGATAAGCAAGAGTCTAGAAGCAACCATTATGTTCAAGCGATTCCTTACAACTACAACTCAAACAAAACCCCCATTCCCACAGATCCGAAAGCCTCAGACGCTGTCGTAACACCACACACTTCATTCGATTGCACGATCTGGAAGCCCAAGAAGCCCACGCACCTTCCTGCTGACACCTGCATCACATTCGAAGGCCGTGAAAGTCGCAGCGTCTTTATAGACAAGCCAGCGACCTGCGCAGATGGGTCCGAAGCACTCTTGGAATTGTTCAGGGAACCAGGTTGCGGAAAGGAGTTGTCCGAAGGAAACGATGGATTCACGGGCTGGGGTGGATCGTTCGTGTCCACGAAGTGTTACAGTTCGGATTCGCTTATCCGCAGCATGTGCTTCCGCTGCGGTGACAAGGAGATGAAGATGTACGAGGATTTACCTCCTTATAAACACGCTGAAGTGGAACCTCTCGTCCTCCATGGAGCACCGATGTCTACCCAAGACGATGAAGAGCCTGTACTGCTAGTCGATCCCAACAGCGAGAAAGTCCTCAAGCCAACCTTCAGTCCTGGTATCAGCCCCCAAAGCACCAAGCCTCAAGGCGGAAAGGTTGAATCATACTACGTTGAAAATTGTAAGATTGAGGAGGGACGCTCCCACAGCGTGTCCGTGAGACGAGCCGATACCTGCGTCTGGAGCTTCATGTACAAGAGCATGGAAGTCACGTCTCCTGCCGTCTGCGCGAACGGCACGCAAGCCTTATTCGCCACCTACTCGCGTCCTGGCTGCAAGCCCGACGACCTCAAGTACCTCGGCGAAATTCCCGAGGAGTTCACAGATGGCTGTGCAGATATCTCGGACATTGACAGCTTTGCTTTCATCTGTGAGGGCTTGCCGGAGACCGAGATTGGTAATAAGGGGAGTGCGGGTGGGTTCCTTAAGTTTATTGGGATTGTTCTTTTGATTTTGATTTTGATGATTGGGTTGAGTATTGCGAGCTGTTGTCTCAGGGGAGCGGCGATGATGAAGCAGGCTAATGAACTTTGGGCGCGTATTATGGATGCGTTCAAGGGGAGAGAAGGCGCCATTCAACTGTAGAGGAATTGCTTGGAAGACGAACTTGGGAGCTGGGGGGGGATTACTTGGCGTTCTTCTGCGGAAAGGAGGTTTCATTATTCTTTGGTGGACATGGGAAGGAAATGTGCCCATGGAGCTTAGGATATCAGGGGCTGTCAAGAACTATAACCAGAATAGAAAACTTTAGCTACCGGCTTTGTTTCCATTCAACGAGAACGTACCCGCAATTCACAAAATAGAAACCTGTAATCCAGCCAAGTGCAAGGCATTATCCAACCAACTAATCTTCCTCACAAAGATCAAGGCAATAAATGTTTGCCAAAGCTATCATCGAGCCACCGCTTCTCTTTCTACGTCTCTGTCGTCTCTCCATCAGGGTGTGATGAGCGGATAAGTATCATGTGTAGCGGATTGTGGAAAAGGACTCGCAATCTCACGACCTTTCTCTTACTGGAACTGGTGAGAACCAAAGACTGAACATTACCTAGACCACTCCTCTCCTTATCTTTCTCTTCCACCATCCACCGCCCCGAGCTCGGCTGAAACGTAGTCATATCGTTAGTAGCAGCCATCCCAACAGATCCCGCATTCATGCTCATCTCAAACTCCTTGCCAGTCTCAAGATCTTTAAGCCTAACGGGTACAGCGAACCCTATTTTGTTTTCGAGATTGGGACGGCTGTACGTGAAACTTGACCCTTCCATCCTCGATCCGTCTGTCAGCTTGGCTTGGTAATTGCTTTGCATCATATGATGATCCTCGTCCTTGATCATTATTCATCCATTGCATCGACATCTTCCTGGAACAATGCCGCCTTATGGAAAATCTGCATTTTATTTGCTCTAGAATCTATTCCACTTCCACTTCGCTTCGTGTACACATCCCTCCCTCCCTTTCACCCGACCACACCCATCCTCTCAACGTCCACCACCACTACCACGAACGCCAAACGTAACGACGAAACCAATCATACACCAAACACCAAGCTATGCATCCTTTCTTTCCATTCGATTCATTCCCAACTTCAGTCCCTGCTTCGCTCGAAGAAAAGTCCATATGTATTGCTTGCTCAATCCATCGCCCGCCCGCCCGCTCGCTATGCATCAATCAAAGAAAAGAGAATCCATCGCAAGTACCATAACTAAAAGAACCCGAGGTATCTCCCGTTGTAAAGGAAGATAGAAAGTTTTATCTCCCGCATACCATGCCACGCCATATGTGCTTGCTTCAAAGAAAACAAAAGAAATACCACAACGCATCGTGCTGCTGACATTTTCCACCGCAATGTTTCCAAAGCAATCCCGTCGAACGAGATGAGTATGAGATGAATGTCCGCATCTGCAGCTGAAGAATGATCTAGTGAGTCTTCTTCCTCGGACTCGCTCTCTTTCCGCCTAAGCTCGCACGACTACTCTCCCCTCCAACCTGCCCCTTCATCCTCTCTCTAACGACGCAAAACTCTCTAACCACACCCTCATGCGCTGCCATGGTCTCCACCCATCGTTGCAATACCACTTGATCTTCCTTTAGTCCCAAGCGATAATGCTCTGTAGCCACTTCATCAGTCCAGCGCTTCGATCCGGCGGCAGCTACATTATTCTTCCGTGTCACCATGTGCAGGAGGAATTTGGAACTGAAATGATCCCATTCGGCGGTGTAGGTGGCGTACCGCTGGATGTAGTTATCGTATGCGAGTTGGGTAGGGATGCCAAATTCAGATGGAGCTGGGGGGGCGGGAGCTTTGGGTGGTTGAGGCATGTTGAGAGAGGTGATGAGATCCTTGATTCTGAGGTCGTCCAGACCAACTTTAAGGTCAGCTGTATCGGTCGGTGTTGAGGGCGCTGACTCGGCTGGACGCTTTTGTGCTTCCGAGAGCTTCTCATTGATCTTGCTGGCGGTAAATTGAGGGACAGTGTGGTTTGCCGGTGGGGTATCGACATCCATTGGATCCGGTGTGATCGTTGTCGGCGATGCGGTTGGCTTGCGGCCTGTGAAGAGAGGCTTGTCTTCATTTGATGAGCTGCCATCGTCGACAACAGCGGCCTTACCTCCCAAGGTGGTCCGCAGGGTGGGTGTTCTCTTTCTCAAAGGATTGGCAGCGGTTCGCGGAGGAGGAGCAAACGTCTGAGACTTGAATGTCTGGTGCCATTCTTCAGCTGAGAACTTCGCCCCAGGAGACTCAGTGGGTGTCGGTTCAGTTGGTGGCGCAAAAGATGGGATGTCTCCAGGCCCTGATCGAACCTTAATTGGTGATCTTCCTCTTGAACGGCTACCAGATTGAGCACGTCCACGAGCTGGAGATGGAACTGGTCCTGCTTTCGGATCCGGTTTGAAGTAATCTCCACCAGCCTCAAACTTTCCCTCCCAATGTTCAGGCGTAAACTTCGTGCTGATATTCTCCGCGCTACTACTGAAGCTATTCTTCGGCGGCTGAGTAGTTGCAAATGCGCCATTGGGAAAATCGAAGTTGAATCTAGGTAAACGATGATAGTGATTAGCATTATTTTCATTTTTATTTTTCAAATCAAACATAAACAAATCTCGGCGCTCGCTCGCCGTATCATATCCACAGAGGTCATCACTCAAGTGCTTGGACTTCTTGGTGGGGCTTCCCGCCTCAGCAGGACTGAGTTCATTTGGCGCGAATCTGCTGTTGATCTTAGAAGGGGTTCCCGCTTCAGCCGCACACCCCTTGTATGTGAATTTGCTTCTGATATTCGGGTATGATGGCAGCGGCTTGTCGAATTTGTCTGGTTGGTCCTGATTGCTGTACCTTGAGGTAGAAAGCCCAGTCGGGGTGTAAGTTTGAGGCATTTGACCCGTGCTTGCTCTCTTGCTGCTGAGAAGACCGTCGACAACATTGCGCTGAAGAGTTTCAAACGCATTGAGATCTTTTGGATCAAGTGTGACTCCACTGGGAGGTGTCGTTGGTCGAGATTTCTTCAAGGAAGACGGAAGCTTCATAGAAGATGAGCGAAGTGGAAATGGGGGTATTGAAGAGCTGCTCTCCGCAACTGTCGGGAGACTGTTTTCGAATGAAGATTGCTTTCTTGCAGGATTGAACCAATTGCCTCTGGAGAAGAACGAAGAATTCTCATACATTGAAGGATTGCCGTTTGCATCTGTCTTGGCCTGACCAGAGCGTAGAGGAGGTCCATCTGGAGGAAAACCGTTAGGTGGGGGTTCTGTATTTGGATTTTCCTTCATCCATTGTCTGAACTGCGAGACTTTGCTTGGCTTACTTGAGGAACTCGGATCGTTTGTAGTGGGATCTGGCTGAGGCGGAGCACCACGGGGTTGCTGTGGGGTCGTAGAGCGGTAACGGTGGCTTGATCGAGGAGGCCGTACCTCTTCATCAGAGGTATCATCCACGCTGGCAGCGTAAGGCCTGGAATTGCGTGGTGTAGTTCGTTCAGCAAAAGAGCGAGCACGATGAGGCGGCTTGAAACGTGGATCATCTGTCGTAGGAGAGAAACCATTCATCGTGGGATCAGACGTATCAGTTCGCTCTCGGGTACTCTTTGATCTGTTGATATTAGCACTTTCGAAAGGATTGAACTTCTCCCCTCCCTGCGTCGCATAAGGCGTGCTCAATCTTGGCTCCATAGTTGGCATTGCCTTTGGTCGGAATTGTCTCAAGGGATCGGGACTAGCATTATGCGTGGAAGGCGGAGGATCTCGAGCGGGTAGATCAGGGGCAACGCTTGGCTTGTCCCGTTGCGTGAAGTAATTTCCTCTCGGTGCTGGAGGCTCATCACCACCGGGTGTGTTGGGCATGAAGCCTTTCCGACTCGCAGCACTTGAGCTGTGACTCCGCTGATGTTGGCTGCTACTCTCTGGTCTTGGGGGAACAGGTCTTTGCGACCTAGCATTGCTCTCTTCGCGCCCAGATGTTGGAGTACCTCTTGGTGGAGGTTGTGGAGATTTCCACGTCTTGCCAGGTCCATGTTCGGTGGCCTTGCTGTGTCTCAGATTCTCCCATCCCTCATACGTAGCCTTTCTAGCTTGTGGACCTTCTTGTGCTGCTTGATATGCGGATGCCGGCGGAGCTTGGAAGTTCTTGCGGTAGCGCTCTGCACCGGATGAGGGCGGTGGTGGTTGTGTCTTGCGGGCGGAGGTTGGGGGTTTCGGAGGCGTAGGATATTGTGAGCTTACATTCGACCAAGGATTTCCTCGCATACCAGAAGCCCCCGCATAGGTGTTCCGGAAGGTGGAACCCCTGACTCGGTTGGCATCATACTTTGCTCTTTCCGTAGTATCAATGAGGACTTCGTGTGCAGATTGTATTCGTTGGAATTTGGCTGTGACTTCATTCTCTTGCCCTGGGTTGCGGTCTGGATGGTACTTGAGCGCTGCAAAGTTGAAGTTAGCCGTTTGATCAAAAGTGTAAACATGGTATGCTATAAAGGTTGCCTATCGAGGGTGAAGGGATCCGACAGAAGGACATCAGACGGTACAAAAGCTGTCCATCGTGCTTGTACCATCCCATGACCAAAGCCAATAGATCCGACGGACCGACATAGGACGTTACCAAACCTCCTCACTCTCAAAGGTGAGGAGATCCGACGGACCGACACGGGACGGACCAAGAAGAAGAAAAGCAAGGAGATCCGACAGATCGACATAGGACGGGTAAGAAACAAAGGACGGTACATGAACAGACGGAAAGAGATCAGTCGGATCACATACCAAGCTTCTTAAACTGCTTCTTGATTTCCACAACATCGGCCGAAGGCGCAAGCTCTAGATCACCGTAGTAATCCCGCGTAAGGTCTGCCTTGACCATCTTGCCTTCCCTGCTCACACCTTGGTGTGCTCTCAAATGGTTGTGGAGGTGTTGTGGTGCGCATATAATCCGCGGTTGGGTGTGGAAGACGGATGTTGTGACTTGAACTGGTGGTTGAAGGTAGCGCTCTGTCAATCTTCTACTCGCTTCCGGAAATCGATTGTGTCCAGCAGCCTTGTCCTGCTCTACTGCACCAGCCCTTTTCGGATAATCGTGGCAGATAGAAGTTGCGCAGCGCTCTGCTCAAAGAAGAGAAGTGCTCTGTGGATAGATATGCTCTGCTTCTCGCTTTCCTGTATCGATTCCGTACACACCAGCGCAGCCTACCTAGCAATCCACTGTTGCTTTGCAACTGTCGCTCTTTGAAGGTTTCTCAGTATGTGCTGCTGCTCCGGACCGCGTGCCTCCGTGCCGCTGGTACACTCCTCTTCTCAGTGAGCTCAGCGAGCGAACCAAATATCCTCTCTCCTCTCCTTTCCACTCTGCCGTGTAGAAGCCACGCTTGTTGTCCCTCAGCCGCAAGGATACGGAGCAGAAGTGCACGATAGCGATATCCAGAAGCCGTCAAGATGTTGGTACAGATCTCCTCCTTCTCGGTTTTGCCTTCGTACAATGGAGTTCAGCCCCGCTCGTGGAGAGCACCGCCCTGCGTCCCGGTGGCGGCGCGACCTCCTCTTTGCCAAAGAACGATCGACTCAATGCTTCTGCGCGCTCAAATATGCGGGAGCCATGGACCACAACAGGCCAGTCCTCGAGGGGTTTGCTGTATTGCACAGGATCTGCGGGGTGATGTCGTTGGAAAGAGGGTGGTACGATGCCTTGTGCAACGACGCGAAAAACAGAGTGCTCAGCCGCCAGCCAGCCCTTTGGTAAATATTCAAATTTAGCCGAGCACAGCCCAGTGATTGCACTGACGGCCAAATGACATCACCATAGCCTTTCAAGACGATCTTCGAGGCTCGAACATGCTATGAGGAGGAGATAGATGGTCAATTGATTCTGTTCTCGCGCTGTGTTGCACTGTTCCCAGTGCTGCCCAGCTGAGGCGGCTAGCCAAGTCAGCTGCAGATCTTCCGCTGCGTTTCCCGCCGCCAGCTGTCTCGATAAGCTGAACATCCCTGCAACTTCAGCCTATCAGTAGAGGCACGTGATATGGCTCATTTCTCCGGCTTGGTGTCCCTGATGCAAGGCGTTGTCAGCTACGCACATGTACAGGAAGATGGTAAGGCTGCATGTAATACTAAATCCAGCATATGGGTAAGGTCAGAAAGTGAAGAATCATTCGTATTCATTGCTCCTATGCATCAATCAATACCCCATTCATTCATCCCCCGTACCCCAAACACCATAACGATGAATGAATGCATGCTTCTCCAAAGAATCTACACAATACAAAAACATCTCTAATGTATGCATTTTCCAAAGCCTCTTCAGTCCTGCCCCCATCTTCGTTCATAATTCATTTCTTTCCCACATCCATGTTCCTACACCATAGAATCATACGTCCATCCTCCTTGTCTTCTCACTCTATCTCTGCCCTCCAAATCTCTTCTGACCTCATCCTCGGTCAATCGATCCTGCCCAGTCCAATTGGCACTGGACGTCCTGGCTCGGAATTTGTGCCATCTATCTTTACTCTTACTGAACACCTCCTCCATGTTCAGCGGCCCTGGCTGCCCGAATATTGTCGCAGGGTCTATGGGCTCCTGTCTGGCGATCGCTTTTCGGAGAGCCGGAGAATCCGTCCAGCTAGGCGCATCGAAATTATCATCAGCAGAATCCTCATCCTCTGAGTCCGTATGGATCTCTGGCAGCTCAATATTCTCTCCGTTTTGATATCGTGGAGATGACTTCGCGGCCGATTTCGCTCCTGACTTAGCCCCGCCATTCGGAGCACCCGGTCGAGCTGGAGTCTTGTGGTTTTGATTATGGACTTGATTCGAGCTTGATGCGAAAGGGATTGGAGCCTTCGAAACCTGCGCCATATCCATGGGGTGTGTGGCCTTTGCCTGGTTCATATTATGCTGTGAGATAAGAGTTGACCTCTGGAGGTTACCTGCAGCTGGCGCAGGGGCGTATCCACTGGGAAACAGCGACTTGGTTTGCATTTCCTGTAGATAATTAGTACGATGATTCACAACCTTTCAGTCTGGAAGCATACCTTTGGACGGCTGCTAGATTGCCTAATGGGAGGTGCAGTCATCTTCGGCTGGGGCTCAGTCATGTCTTCATCGTCATCAAACTCTTGGCTCGTCTTGCGGCGCTTGGATTGCTGCTCATTGTGTTGATAAGAAGGTCCATTGCGCTGAATTGTAGGGCGAAGGTGATGGTCTTCTGACTCTTGTTGGAGGGGTCTCTTGGGAGGTGCCTTGGTGGTGTTTTGCAATGTAGAGCTGACTGAACGGCCAAGATCCTCTTGAGGTTGGGGCCGTTGAGCAGGAGCGTTCACCATTCGCGGTGGCTTTGATTGTGCCAATTCGGCGCGCGGGACCGGGACGGGTGGCAGTGCCTTCTCCTGGAGCATTGCATGCGTGAGATCACCACTCGGCTGTGGTCGGACTGCTGGTGGTGGGGCTCTGGTCTCCTTGGCCTTCTCCATCTCAAGTCTTCTCTTCTCAATTGCCTGTCGAGAAGCAGCTTTCTTTGCATCTGCTGCAGCGGCTGCACGTTCTTTCTCACGCTGCAACTCCTTCATGCGCTCAGCTTCCTGTCGGCGCTGCTGTTCTTCTTTGCGGCGCTCTTCCTCCTTGATGACAGCACGTTGTCGCTCAATCTCCATTTTAGCCTCCTTCTTACGTTGCGCAGCAAGTTCATCCTGCTCTTTCTTTTTTGCGGCAGCCTCCAATGCTTTGGTAGCAGCAGATTTGAAGCTGCTCGTGGATGCCTTGCTTTGAATAGAGCTAGTACTGGCCTTGTGTCTCAAACCTTGAGATGGGGTAGGCTGTTGGGAAGATGCCAGCGAGTCTTGCAAAGATGCAGCAAGCGTTGAGTTCGATGGATGATATTGGTGGCCACGTTGAGAACCCGTGTCGACTCTGATGACCGTGGGAGGCTTGGCCTTTGTGTGAGGTTCCTTTGCCGGTTTGAGTGGTCGCTTTGCTCCAGGCCGACCAATTTGAGACTTTGGTCGAGGAATTGCCGGTGGGGGCATAGCGTGAGAAGCATCTGACATCTCAACATCTCTCCCAGCGAGTTCATCCACACTAGCGGCAGCTGCAGCAATTCCCTCAGCCTCCAATTGCGCCTTGGTCTTGCGAGGGCTGGTTCGAGTTGCTCTCGGGACTTCAACATGGCTTGCCTTGGCTTGGGCTTCTTTCTCTTTACGGGCTGCAACCTCTTTCTGCATCGCAACAACTCGCTCTTTCTCAAGGTGAAAGACTCTTGCTTCTTCCTTGACCTTCATCCGGGCCTTTTCGAGTTGATCAGCCATCTTTAGTGCTTCCTTCGCCTCCTTAGCTTCTCTGGCCTCTTCGTGTTTTCGTCGTTCTTCCCGCTCTGTTGATGCTCGAGTCTTTCGGGAGCTGGCTTTACCTGGGCTGTCTGGTACTCTCTCGTTATGGTGATCCAGGCTCGGATAGGAAGGACTTTTGCTGGACTGCGAAACAATATCTTCGAAAGAGGGTGCATGGTTTATGCCCAGGCGCGTGCTGACTGGAGATAGTGTCGAGGATTTGGCTTCAGCACTGACGGCAGCGCTGCTAGCAAACAAGCCTCTCGAAGTCTTCAAAATAGAAGAGAACTTGTCCTTTGCTGCTTTCAATGGGCTTCCTCTATAGCTTCGGGAAGGAGACTTCGGCGGAGTTGTAGATTCCAGTTCGTTTGAGCCGATCGATGGATTTGGGTTGGAAACAGAGATAGCCTGCTTATGTCCAGGAGAGCCTGCTTTCTTGGGAGATCTGAGAACTGAAGTAGACACTGATTTGATGTGACCAAGAGTGCTCGTTGTTCTTTCTGGAATGACAGGCTCTCGGACAGGAGATTTTCTATGCTGGTCTCCTCGTTTTGGAATGTTGAACTGAGCGCCACCAATGCTATCCTTCCCATGGATGCCCTCCATTACATCTGTAGAATGACTCTTGGGCATTTGAGGACGAGGACTGAAAATTGATGGTTCGGCCGCCGCAGCATTCGGGGGTCCAATCCAGCTGTCTTCATCTTCAGGGAAGGCTCCGGGTGTCGGCGGAGGGCGTTCTTTGCGGAGAGGCGACTTTTGTCGTGTCTCATGAGTTGTTGGAGGGTGGCTGGCCTGGACAGGTTCTGGTTGAACGGGAGCCGCATTTGCAATCGATTTTGATGGTCGAACATTGGATTGGGATTTCCCAAGCATGCTAATCTGATCTTGAAGTCTTTGGGTGGAGGTTTTGTTATGAAGACGAGTCATCTTGGAATCAGTGTCATCTCTAGCTTCCGGGCCATTGAGTTCATCAATATCCATATCATCTTCGTCTCTATCCTCTTGTCTGGCATTCCCTAGACTCTTTCCTCCTGTCAATCGACCGAAGTAGCTAGTCCTCGATGGATCGATATGGCTGGTGCGCGAAACACGGTTGCCAATACTCTGCTTCGTTGTGAGCGGCTCTCGAGCGGGTAAAGATGCAAAGCTGAAGCTGCTCTTCTTGCGAATAGGTCTGATTGGGCTCGATCCTTCGGATGGAGACTGAACATCGTGCATTTGCTCGTCTTCTTCGACTGAGAGAGGTTGGGACAATTGTTCAACAGGGACAGGTAACGGTTTTGGTGGAGAGCATTTTGCCGGCGTAGGTCGCGCAGGCGAGTGTTTCTGTGGTGATGGTGGGGGTTGGTAACGGTTTTGAAGTGGTGACTCGAGAACCGGATGTGAAATCTGTTCCAGCTCATGGCTGGGCTTATCAACTTCTGGCTCTGGCGCGACTTCTGCTAACTTCCGCGTCTGCTCCTCTTTAGCAGAGTGGAATGATCCATCTGTTGCTGTTGTTTCCCGTTCCTCTGAGTCCCGACCCAATATGACCACATTTGTATCATCATCTTCGGATTCAATCGTTTCGGGAGCCTTAGGAGGAGATTTCAGAGACACTCGTGCTGGGGATACTCTCGGTGTCGGTTGGTGAGCTGCTGGCTGAATATGGTAGGCTGCCTCATCCGCTTGGCTGCCATGGTAACCTGAATCTTGGGTATTGTGGACGGGAGGCTTCGGCGGGGACGGTTGTGCTGGTTCGGTTGCGCTTAGAACAGGCTCCTCCTCTTCCGGTGTTGGTAGATCTTCAGCTACTTGAAATGTAGCAACTGATCGTTCGAAATGCGCTTGTTTGAATGGACTCGGGACTCCTCGTGGTGTCGCTGAAAAGACATCTGATAATGGCTGTCTGGTATCAGCTAGGGCTACAACTCGCGTTCGACCTAACTTACTGGGCGCGCCTCCAAGGGGTTGGCCTTTCGAGCTGTTCGTGGTGTCTTTCCGCGTAGCTTGCCAGGTGTTTTGAAGATTTCCGCGACGTTTCTGCAATGATTTGATCAGCTAGGTCCAGGAGTGAAAGCTTGTTTACTTACACCTGGTTTTTGCTGAATATCTCAGCCATATGCTCATTCAGCCAATCGACATCGTTTCGCGCAGAAAAGCTAAACTCTTCAGCTTCTGCGTTCACTAACTGTAGCGCAGCAGTCCGTTCTTCTGTTATCCATGATGTTGATCCGACCTGTAGTCGCGGGTTTGCTCGCATCGTCGCCATGATCTCAAATCAAAACAATGCGCGTCGAGCTATTGTCAACAGCACAACGTGGATGAAACCTTCGAGTTCGTGATCATAAGATCATGTCGTATAAAGGTGAAGCTATGTTAGCACTGGCGAAGTATCGAATTGTCGTTGTGGTTGGATGCTGGAGCTGTCGAGTCGAGGGGGTTTGGAGATCTCGGATCATTGTTTTGGTTGCAGCTCCCTGGCTCGGGCCATGGACGCGATTGGCACGTGACCTGGGAGCCAAAGTTGGCAGCCGGCAATTATCGGGAACAAGAACTTCCCCTCATCAACTTCGAGGGGAAAACAACTTCCTGAACTTCTTTCAACTCTGTGCTTCTTTTCCATTTCCCGTATTTCATTTGTTTCTTCTTGCTTCAGATTTTCTCAAACCGTGAACCTCTGTATACCTTTTCTTGCATCCAGGCAAAGAGTTCAGAATGCAGCGAATTGTCCCAAGATGCATCGGCTTTGCCCCTCGTCACCACAGCCGCATCCCATTTTCTGCTTCAAGACAATTTTCAATTTCAATCCCACGCCGAGCAAATACATTGATGGAAACAAGTGGATTCTCAGATACTCAATTGCAAGTTAGAGAAGCAATTGCCAAAATATGCTCAAACTTTCCCGACGTGAGTTCGTAAATCTAGTCATTATTTTGTGTGTCTTGTTCTGAAAGGGCGCCAGGAATACTGGGCTGCACATGACGAATCAGGAGAGTATCCCCATGAGTTACATGCGGCATTATCAAAGGATGGATGGATTGGAATCGCTCTCCCGGAGGAACTGGGCGGGTCCGGGCTGGGCATCTCAGAGGCAACAATGATGTTACATACCATTTCAGAGTGAGTCTACTTAAAACTTGGTTCACTACTTGGAGTTCTAAATCCCCGTAGGAGCGGTGCTGGTATGGCCGGAGCTCAGTCAATCCATGCGAGTAAGAAATCCTGGCTCCAATTCAGTGTATTTGCTCACTCCCTGGAAGATGTATATGCAACTCAACCAGTCGCCAAATTCGCAACTCCCGAGCAACGAAAACGGATGCTGCCAAAACTCATCAATGGCGAGTGGCGAGTTTGTTTCGGGGTGACAGAACCGAATACAGGCCTGGAGACCTTGAAGCTCCGAACTCAAGCAGTCCGAGATGGCAACAATTACAAAATCTCCGGCCAGAAGATATGGATTTCGTCAGCTCAAGTAGCGACCAAGATGGTTCTCCTTGCCCGAACAACACCGTTAGAAGAAGTCAAGAAAGCCTCAGAAGGTCTCTCCCTCTTCTTCATTGACTTCGATCCCAAGCAACCTGGACTGGAGCTCAAGAGAATTAGGAAAATGGGAGGAAGAGCAATAGATGCTAACGAGGTCTTCTTTGATAGCTACACCATTCCAGCCGATTCATTGATTGGGAAAGAAGGTCAAGGATTCAGGATTGTGCTGCATGGAATGAATGCCGAGAGGTGTCTGCTTGCTGGAGAGGCGTTGGGACTTGGCTATGCTGCACTTTACCGAGCTTCGAAGTATGCCAAAGAACGAGTCGTGTTTGGGCGTCCCATCGGCATGAACCAAGGGATTCAGCACCCTCTTGCAGATGCCTATATGCATCTTGAAGCAGCCAAATTAGCAACATATCATGCTGCGAGGCTCTACGACCAATCGATGACTGATGAAAGCATCACGCAAACAGCAGTTGGAGTTGCTTGCAACAGTGCCAAATATTTGGCAGCTGAAGCTGCATTCACAGCTTGTGAGAGGAGTGTGTTGAGTTTAGGAGGAATGGGTTATGCGCAGGAGTATCATGTGGAAAGGTATCTGAGAGAGTGTTTTGTGCCCAGGATTGCACCGGTGTCGAGGGAGATGATCATGAATTATGTTGGGGAGAAGGTTTTGGGCTTACCTAGAAGTTACTGAGAAGGGGGGGCGAATTTGATGGACTGGTAATGTTCCACGCGGTCTCGTACACCCTCCAATATAGAAAAGAACAATTAGGCATTCAGACACTCCGAATTCTAGCTTCATTTATAATACTATTAACCCCCAAGTCTCACTAACGCCTATACTCCGAGTATGCATTACCTTCCTGATCACCTCACTTCTTTAACGCCGCAAACCTCTTCGCCAACTCATCCACATCTGGTATCATTCCCCCAACCGGCCCCTTACTCTGTGTCCCCTTCCCAGCACTAGCATCCTGCATCTTCTTCGTCGGTTTCAAATCCAGTGTGCCCTTGACCCTCGGATGCAAATTATCCGTACTCGGACTTGGGGGATTAACCCTTAACGGACTGCCCGGGCCAAAACTCCTCGGCGGCGTCGCCTTACTCAACGCCTCTCTCTCCTCTCTCTCCCTATCCACCTTTCCCCCACCAGCCAAAATCGGCTCCTCCAAATTCTTCTGCGCCTGCCCTCCACTCGGATTCTCATCGTCATCATCATCATACCCTGGCGGCTCCCCAAGTTCCTCCTTCGCTTTCTTCGGCCAATCTACTCCGTATGTCCTCGCAATCTCTTCTAAGTAGCCGTTTACGAGCTCTGGTGGAGGAGGCGTAACAGCAAGCTTCTTAAGCACCTTCTCACTAACCTTCCCATCACTATTCTCCACCGCCTCCAGCGCAAATTCCTTCCCGAACTTCTCCACCAGCAACAACCTCACCTGCTGCAACTCCTTAACATCCGTCCTCGGCGCCGCATAAATAAGTGACTTGACCGCCTCCTCCAGGCCTGGGTCACAGGTCGGCGATTCCATGAGTCCTGTTCGTGCCAAAAGGAGTTCGCAGTAGAGCTCGAGGATTTCGTGCAGCTCGGTGGTGATATCGGATCGGATTATGTTCTCGACGCGAATTCTTGCGGACTCGATTTTGCCGGCTTCGAGCAGTTGGGCCATTGCCCGACGTTGTTGTTTGGATACTGCTTCGTCTTTTTGTTGGACCATTCGCAGGCGCGCGATGGAGAGCTTGAGTTGGACTTTGAGCTTTGCCTGGTGGGGGTTAGGGATGTGTTGCAGTTGGAAAGATCAGGATCTTACTATGAGGGATGAAGAGGGCGCCATCTCGATGGAGGTTGGAAAGCAACTCTTGCTATTCAAAAGATGTTGGTTGTTGTCTGGCTGACTTACAAGTTGGTAGCCTGGAATCTCGATGGCGGGGCACGAGGGGTGGACATACGGTGATCGAGAAATCAAGTCGCGCAACCGAATATCAACCTTCTACAAATCTTCCAGAGCTCCACAAATCTTCGACAGCTTCAACCTTATGCGTTCTCGTACATATTTTGGGTCACTCACCCCCTCTCACGATATTTAATGCTCTGGAAGATCCATTGACCTACTTATGCTTCGAACATTGCACCGACTCTCCCCCTAGATACGATGACGACGCACCTCAACCTTCCTTTAACACGGCCGCCTACGGAATTCGACAAGCTATCCAAACCCCATAAACCCTTCCCATAATGGGCCTCACCTCCAAAGCCAAGAAAGCACCAAAAGATTTCCTGTCATGGCTCGAAAGACGCGCAGACGCAATATGGAGCAACCTCCTCACGAACCATCTCTGGCAGCGGATGCTAAAGAACACCCTCGCAACCACAATTGCCATCATAATCGCCTTGCTCCCGGCCGTCGTCCGCGTGTATGGAAAAGCCGCCTACCTAGCACCCATCACCACCGTCTTCGGACATCCCGGTCGACGATTCGGGCAGATGGCTGAAGCGCTAGTACTCGCTGTCTCTGGGTCATTGGTTGGCATAGGATGGTCTTCGTTTGGGTTGTACCTCTCGAGCCTTGTGTACGGACATAATCCTCCCGCGGCGTACACTATAAAAGGACTGTTCTTGGTGGTGGCATTGATGGTTCATGGATTTTTGAGAAGCCATACACCGAGACTGTTTATTTTTGTGCTGTTGTTGGTTATTGTTGATGTGGTAAGCTTGACGAGTACAGCGACTGCGGTCACGAAGTTGGGAGTTACGCAGCTGTTGTATCCGATTTTGACGGCGTCTGGGGTGCTGTTATTGGTTAATACGTTGGTTTTCCCGGAGTTTTCCAGTGGGTTTCTTGGTGTAACTACCATTGAGACGCTTGGGGAGACGGTGGGTGCTTTGAGGGATGCGGGGAAGTATTTTATCAGCATTTCTGAGGGCAGTGAGAAGAAAGAAGACGACAAAGAAGACGATACGTCTAGTGAAGCCCTCGCTCATGTACCAACTTTGGCAGAAAAGCCAAAGGAGAAGCCTAACGGGGAAGAGCATCCATTGCTCGAAAGGATCCGAAAGCTGTTCAAGAAAAAGAACTCAGCCGAGGACGAGACGAGGGCAATTGAGGCTCCGAAGCCAGAACCAGTCAAGCTCAAGTCTCTTACTGATCAGAAGGCCAAATTGCGCACGCAGCTTGCTAGCTGCAAGGCAGCACAGCAGGAGTGTAATTTTGAGTTAGCTTGGGCAGTCTTGCCTCCTGGAGATGTGAAGCCAATCAGCGACACTTACATGAAGAAGCTGGTAGCGAATACTATTGCGCTGATTGGAGCATGCGAGAGCAAATATGCACTCATGGGCGATGAAAGTGGTAAGAGAAACGAAGAGGCTAAAGAGGAGCCTGAACTGAAAAGTGCTGAAGCTGCAAATATCATCCCTGGAGACGAGTCCTCAAGGCCTAGTACTGGTGTTGATGGTTCGCATGACGAGTCCACGAATGAGAAGAAGAATAAGAACAAGAGGAAGAAGAAGAAGAAGAAGAACAAAAGCAAGACGAGGTTGGAAAGAGAGATTGAAGATCTTGAACTTGTCAAGCCGAAGAAAGAGATCCAATCTGGCGATGTGGAGCTACTGAGATATCTTGTATCTCGCATTTCAAAACCGCTGGCCGATCTTCAGGAGAAGATTGACAGAAGTGTGGATGTCGTAACCTCATGCTTAGCATACTGCTACGATGTACCAAAGCTACCCTCCGGGGCTCGAGCCCCAAGCGGCATCGAGCTAGCTGAAATCGACATCCGGGTTGACATCTTAACAACGGCTATAGCAGAGTTTGACAAAGATTCTGCAACAGCTCTAGAAGGCGCCGCCTCGTTACGCGATCTCGACCATCCACAAGTTGATATTATGCCTCGCATGGAAACATTCCTGATCTCATCTTTCCTCTTAAATCTCCGTCAAGCTGCTCTGCGTACTTTGGAAATGCTCAACCAGTCTCGAATATTGGTTGAGAAACGTCAAGCGAGACACGATCGACGACGACTTTATGCGCCTCAAATCAATTGGCAGAAATGGCTTGTTTCTGGTGGCGAAGAGGACGCTCTTGCTTTGCCTGAACAAGGCAGAAAGGATGCACGAACCGGGAAGAGGGACAATAATCAGGAGGATGGCGATTCCATCAACAGCAAGGAACGTCTTCTCAAGAAGAAAGATGTTGAATCTGCTCCTCCTACAGAATCTCAGTCTCAATCACCACCACCTAGAAGACGTACAGTTAAGGCGTTATCAAAGAAGGCTGAGAAGGGCGGATTGATCCACCGCCTGCGAAATGGCCTGGCAGACGCCATCGAGTACTTGGTTGGAAGTGACGATCTGCTATATGCTCTCAAGCTTACGATAGCTGTCTTCCTTGTCACCTGGCCGGCATTCTTGCATCAATGGAATGAATGGTATTCTTTGAATCGAGGACTGTGGGCTGCACTCCAGCTCGTGCTGATCACTGAAGTTGCCATCGGCACGTCAGTCATGACCTTCACGCTACGAGCAGTTGGCACGACGATAGGTTGTGTCTGGGGTTATGCTGCCTATCAAGCCCACAACGGGAATCGGGTTGTCTGCGTGGTGATTCTCGTCATGGGGATCATTCCCTCAACCTACATCCAGCTTGGAAGCAAATATATCAAAGCCGGAATGGTCTCCATAATTTCCATGAGCATCGTCGCCTTAGCAACAGTAGACAAGACCGTCCTAGGAACCGCAACCGAGAACTTCCTCAAACGACTCATCGCCTTCCTCATCGGTGGCGTCGTAGCACTCATCGTCGAAGTCGCCTTTCTCCCCGTCCGAGCACGAGACCGCCTTGTCGAATCCCTCGCCGCCTCCATCCGCCAGATCAACGAAATGGAAGCCTGTCTCGCCTACGGCATCGAAATGCAAACAAACGTCGACGTCCACTCCACCGACGTCTACGCTCGCTTCGAACGCGCAAAAGGAAAAGCCCAAGGCGCGCTCACAGCAGCGGAAACCTTCCTCCCCTTCTGCGCCAACGAACCTCGTCTAAAAGGCTCATTCAAAGGCCTGGCTCTCGTGTACGCGGAAATACTTTATGTGTTGTATGCAGTGGTAGACAGGATGGACAACATGCTGCACCTGCGCCAAGAATATGGCTCCAGCGTCCTCGAGGAACTGAATGAGAAAGTCTATCCCTACCGCCGCAACGTCGCGGGCAGCATAACGCTGATCCTGTTCGCGGTCCACGAAGCGCTCACCACTAAACTCCCACTCCCGCAATTCCTGCCTTCTGCTCGTCTCGCACATCTCCGCATGGTAAATCGTGTAAGAGAAGTTGTGCTCGCAGGTGGTACTGAGAAATTGGCGGATAGTGAAAGGAGCGAGATTGAAATGAGCATGGTGAAGCACGTTGTGCGGCAGAAATTCTTGAGTTGGAATGCGGCAAGCGCGGGGCAGATTGAGGTTATTGAGTATCTTGAGGAGTTGATTGATCTTGTGAAGTTGCTGGTGGGTGCTAATGAATTTCGGAGTGGGATGTTGACGAGGCCTACTTATCAAGAATATGTCAACCGCATCGATCGTGGTGCTCGAGACGATGAAATGGGAAGAGAGGGAGGAGCGGATGTTATGGTGGGCGATGAGCAGAATGAGCAGAGGGATACGGTTCCGGATCCGCAAGTTAAGAAACGGAGGACGACGACGTTTTCGGGTGGGGAGAAGAAGCGAAGCGAGAATGAAGAGTTTGAGAGGCAGAAGAAAGAGAGTGAAGAGGAGCTGCCGAGGTCGCTGCAAAGGGTCAGGTCGAGGCGGATTGAGGAGATGAGTTTGCAGACGAGTCGCAGTCAGGAGGAGGACAGGAAGAAGAGGGAGGGGAAACGTGGTGATAAAGGAGTGTAAGATGCGAAGATGCAAGTAATCTACAGCGTGTATTAATCCAAAAGTACAATTCAAAACTCCGAATGGAAAGTTCCAGCCTAGTTGGATCATTTCTTGACACCCTCAACGTCTCGCTTGCAACTTGGATTCTCGTTTCCAATGGCCAGTAAACATTATCACAAACGCCTTGATCTGCCAAGTGGCCCAATCCCAAAATTAATCCACCCTTCCGTCAAAATCTAGCATGGAACTCCGTCGTTCTTGCTTGATGCCCATTGAACGCCCGATCAAACGCCTTGATGTGCTGAGTGGCTCGATTCACATATTCCTCTACCGTTGTTCTGTGTCCTCGAGCGAGACGTTCCATCACATGCGGCATGTCATAGACACTTCTGTCCAGGGACATCGACGGCTCCGCCTGGGCTTCCTGACTGCGAATAAAAGTTAGAAGAATTACGCCGGTACCGGGGAGAGATTTTTGCGTACCTTGAGAAGGTCCTTTGATAGTAAAAGCCGGATGTCATGGTATAGGAAGAGCTCTCAGACATGGTTTGCTTCGGAGTTCGGGACGATGGGACGAGAGATCCTTGGCTCGGTTCAGATCTAGACTTTGGATTGATATAGACCGAGGTTGTCTTGGATCTAGGTTTGAAGTTACATGAGAATTTGACTGTGACCGAGGAAGAAGTGCGAAAAGAGCGGCAGCAAGTCGCTAGGGGTCATTTTATACAGCTCGTCACTATCCATTGAAAATCTCAAGTTCCAAATCCTCCAGTGTGAGGTTCATCACGTTAGATTTGCACATTTGCGTCCACAGCACGACCTCCTCTCATTATTTAACTGAGCGTCGGTACATAGTCACGTGTGCAATATTCGAAGTTGAGAATTGCGCAGGCGTGCATTAATCCTTGTTCATTTTCAGCCTCACCAGCCTCCTTGTCGCCCCTCCGTACCTCCACACAACCCTCCCTTCGTCGTGCAAACGCATACACTTTGCAGAGCGTCTTCATCAACAGCAATACGGTGATGATATTTGCATTGTGTTGTACGAGTCAAGTCCAAACTAAAGTTGAAACGATCGGGTCCAATCACCGAGGCGACAACAACCCACAGCCTCGTTCTGCAGTGTGTCCACTAACCCTGCAAGACTGTTGCAGAGAGCCTCGGGGACATTCCTTGCTGTTGTAAGTACTATTTTTGAACTCCTAAATACGACATTTATGTAATGGGGAAATCTATTACTGAAATAATGGTTCTCACAGTACCCTCAAGCTCGAATCTGAGCTTTGACGATTTGAAGTGGTATTCAACTCGACTATACAGAACGGCACCTCTTTACAGGCACAATGGAAGAGTCGCAATCGTTCGCCCAAAACGGGTCTGCGGCTGCCACCCGTGTCATACTTCAATTGCCTCCTCAAAGCCGGCGAGACGGTCCCAGCGGCCAAGATGTTAGAGGCCATAAGAATCATTCTTCGCAAAACGACCCAGTACAGCAGAACATGAAGAATGTCATGGCGGAGCAACAACAAGAACAAGATAGCATAAGCATTACCCACCCCGGGACGTTGGAACTCCAGGTTGACCATCACAACTATCCACAATATCTACCTGGCTACTCACAGCCGCCGTTTTCTATCTTGGGAGGACTAGCATCACCGCGTTGCCACCTTGGGCCTCCTGGAACAAGAAGCAGTCCGTTGTCTTCCCGACCCGGACGCCCAATACAGCAACAAATGAACATCAATCTTCCAGAAATTAACAGTTCATCTTTCACTTCTGCTTCTTATTTCAATCCCCCGAATTCCCCTCGTCCTATGTTTCATAGTAAAAATTCGCAAGTTCCGATAAAATTGCTGGCACGGTCATACATGAATCGCCAGGGAATATTACGCGAGGGCAGACATTCTGGAAGTACAAATGGGTGCTCTGATATCGATGAAGTGCATGATAGTGTTGGTTTATCGACTTCAGATAGTTCGACGGTGACCTCCTCGTGGAATTCGGAAGATTATATTCTTCCTTTCTTTGATACAACATCCGAGCCACAATTCAAGCCGTTGTCGGATGTAGATTCAGAGACTGCATTGGCCGGACTTGCTTTGCCAGGTAGATATCTCTTCATTCAGCCCCGACTATCGTCTAGCTCTAAGATTGGCATCGGAACTTCTCAGAGCTCTGTCGAGTTTTACAGAGAATTTGTCTTCGTCTCTTCTCCGTATCAACCTCGAAGGCTAACAATTGTCTTAGTAAACGAATTGCATAAATTCCCAATGACATTTGACGACTGTTCTCTAAGGTTTGCCAATCAACCATCTCACGAGTCCTTTCAAGCGACGCATCTAGCTCAGAACAAATATGGCGAGTCGCTTCTTACAGAAGAAGAAATGGGGAGCTGGTACCAGCTCAGTTCTCCAATATCCTCGTCTGCTGCTCGGAATTTCTCCCAAGCTTCCAGAGCGGCGATAGCCATCGAACAGCGCAAGGCAAAGAAAATCGTTGAGAAGGCAGAGAGGCTCCCTTGCAGGAATTGCGGCAAATTCTTCCTCAATATAAAGGTTCGTCTGAATAAAATCTCAGCAGATAACTGCGGGCTCAAATACTGATGAGAATTCAAGAGACATCTGCAGCAGGGGCATTGTGAGAACTTTTTGGGGGACGCAAGCCATATACGAGAGGTCCTTTCGCATGTTGAAGGTGTCCATTCCTCACCCGGAACCGAAAGTCAACGGCAAAATCTAATTTTCAATGAACATACCTTTCCGTGCAACCCCGAGCACGCTTTCTGGGATCGACGTCCGAGGAGCTGGAGCTCTGTCAAGTTAAGAGCAGCACAACTGAGCCTGGATATGATGACCGATGGGCAGTACAAGGAGTGCGCAGCCAAAATCAACGCACTCGTAGGTCAGGATATTCTCATTTCCTGAACATCCTTATATTATCATGCCCTTCTTTTCCTAAATATTAGATTCTGACTCTGCTTATAGATGTGAGACCAATTGACCTCGAAGTCGCTGATTGCATTATACGCGATTTCCACCGAAGTATTCAGATGCGCACGGATGATGATGCCCTACTAGAGATGACAGCGAAGGAGAGGGCATTGATGGCAGAGAAGAGAAAAGAGGCAGATATATCCGAGAAACAAGCAACGGACGCGACTGCCCACCCTCCAGTTAAAGAGATCGCTGTTTCTGCTGATAGAGAAGGAGTGCCAGCATTGGTTCGCGAAGAAGCATACCCCACGTCCGCTAAATCTCGCTCTCAAAGCCTGGTGTCCCCAACCAGCGAATATAGCAACGCCATGCAACTGCCTCTAGACTTGCCTCATGTCTCTCCCACCAGAAACAACACTCTTTCATCCTTCACAGAAGACGATACGGACTGGGGCGAAGATGAAATCACTGGAAGCCTCCAAGACCTCCACTTTGCCGATTTTTCGGCCTTTTCGCAAGAAAGCTTATTTTCCCAAGATCAAATGAATGAAACCCTGATGCGGCCCGTATTTTCACCAATGAAAGAAGAGCTGATTGATAGAATCATGAAGGAATTTTGGGCAATTTTTGATCAGGAGAGCGGAACGATCCTGTAAGTTTTAAATGCTGCCTCTTTCTAAATATATTATATGATGCGGTCTCGCTCACAGATGCTTGAGTGGAAATCCCAGTCCTGGTACCGGCTCAATGGACGCAGACGAAAACCTAAACGATAATAAGCAGACAGCTTCTGAAGGGGGAGAAGATTCAACACAAAATACAGGCTCCAACTCGTTCAGCACGACGAATAACAACAGCCAGAAGTATCCCCGGAGTGTGCTTGGACGGCACAGCAGGGAAGGCGAAGATGATGATCAAGACAATGGGGATGGCAGAAGCCCGAAAAAGCCTAAAACGTTCGTATCTCCGTGTCAAACCCAAGACGGCAACACCAAATTCGCGTGTCCTTATCGGAAGAGAGACCCTCGGAAATATTGCGTGCAGCATTGGCGCTCTTGCGCCTTAACCCCGCTAGATACTGTTGCTCGGGTTAAGTAAGAAACCGTAACATTTTCTCACGTTTGCAGGACTGAACTACCGCAGGGCCCATTTGTACAAGTATCACCGTATATTTCCTTGTCAACGATGCCAGAAACTCTTTAAAGACCCAGACGCAGTAACATTGCATGCCCAAACCCCCGAAGGATGCGAAGTCAGACATATCGAGCACACTGATGGGGTGACCCCTAAAATCGCCGAGAAGCTTCGAAGCAAGAAAAAAGCACGAGACCAAACCGAAGCAGAAAGATGGCGGGATATATATGAATTACTGTTTCCCAACGAGATGACACCCAGCCCCTGTAAGTCCCTTTCACCTGAATGTCAATAAAGTAACACTGTTTCGGCGAGCTATGAAGAGGCGATCGACAGACCATCGTGAAATTGAAATCTCTCTGCAACTGAGAGCTTGTGCTAACTGCCCCACCATAGACTTTGAGACTGTTCAAGAAGATACTGCTCTGTCCCCTGATTCGCGACAACTGGCCGACTATGATGAATACTACCGCCGAGAATTACCACGGGCCGTGAGAGCCGCACTAGAGGAAAGCATCCAGAACCAGTCACAACCTATCGAAGAGAACTTGAGAAATAGATTTATGGACATCGTCAGAGATTGCCAGGATTTGATATCAACAAGATATCGATCTTCAGGAGGAAGAGCGACTGCTACACCTTCGATAAATCCTACAAGTCCAGACTTTCCAATGATATCAATGAGAGAGACGAGAAACGACATGTCCTTGACCGCGAACGGAACAGCTGAGCTTTCCTTCGGGCGCATTACTCCTCCCTTCTTCCACCCTCCGTCACCTCAATCTCATTTACGGTCCCGCCTGGAGGTTTCTGACCTGCAAAATAACGCCTCGAAAGCTCCTGATGGCAAGGACCCATCTGATTCTGGTTACAGCAGCAACACTTCTGGCCTTCAATCACGGCATCCCTCGTCATTTCACAACACAATCGACAGTGCTTCTCTGTCAACCTCTCAGTCTCATGTTGCGTCTTCCGAGTCATTTTCAGCTAACGCAGAAAGCACCTGGAATTTGGACGATGGACTGTTTGGTATGAATCCAGACAACGATGTTATGAATGAGGATGACACCAGCGCATTCAACCAATCTTGGGCGGACTTTAAAGCTCAATCTGCGGAGGGAAATGCTTGGAACCTCTACATGAGTAATTCGGAGGTGGAAGACCCCTTTTCTTCAGATCAACCGCTTTAATCTGCGATGCATTCAGGACAATTCGTCTCATTTCAGTGTTCCAGAACCTTATCATTCACATGTTTCAACGACATGATTTTGGCAGAGGATTGGTAGGGATGGATAAAGGAGAATGGAGGGTTAAGGGGAGGTTATTGTGGAATTGGGTGATATCGGAATGGGGAAAAAGTGAGCGTTTGCAGCACAATATTGTTTAGCCTCCTTTCGCGCAATCTCGGTTTCTCTAATGAAATTTTCTTCCAAGATCCTTCAATCTTGAAGGGTTTCTCTTTGCGTGGACTAAAGAAAGTCTCGCTTACCCCTCTATCCATGGAAAACACTCCATATTTTCTGAACGAGGAAACGGATTATGATCGAGAAGAAAGGGATAAGGAAAATTCAGGTAGTTCTTGGGAAGGATGTTTTCCTCGCGTTTAAGGAGTCAATCGTTTATGGAGGGGGGGGGGGAATTTCGAAGTGTTAGCAAAGCAATTGAGTAGAGTGCAAAATTAGCTTTCTGAACTCAGCTGCGTCGACTGTGATTCTAAATGCAGGGCGGGCTAAATTGCTTAGACGTGCTAGTCACAGTATTCCAGTTTTCACTTGCAGTTGTTAAGAGCGATTCGGACAGCAAAGAACATGAATCCTCGTCCTGGTGATTTTCACGTATGATGTTCCTTCGGACCTCGGACATTCTGAACAATGAAGTGCTGGCGGCTGGGGCCCACATGGCCCCCCTATTCTCGCACGGATCATTCTGCGATCAATCTTCGCGACAGTCACCGGACTTCGCGAATCTCGAAAGGCCGAGCCTGGCCATCGTGGTCTGACGCGTGCAATCCTTCGAGGATATATTCACAACTACTTACCCCTCCCATCCCGCATTCTGAACTAAAATATCTCCGATGGAAGCCACTTCAAAATCAAGCGACCTCGACATCGCCCTCTTCCGGGGATGGAAGCAAAATGGCGTCTACGTATGGTCTCCATTCGTCACTAAACTCGAGCTCCGCCTCCGTCTCGCAGGCATAAGATACACCACAGAAGCAGGCAACCCGCGAACAGCACCAACTGGAAAGATCCCCTACATCTCAATCGCATCCAAAACCGAGCCTTCTTCGCCCCCGCTCACAATCGGCGACTCGTCCCTCATCGCCCAACATTTTGTCACCGCCGGCCTCATGCAAGACCTGAACGCGAACTTGAGTGGAACCGAGAAAGCGGTGGATCTCGCAATGCAGGCTTTGTTCGAGGATAAGTTGTATTTTTTCAACATGCGGGAACGTTGGATTGATAATTTCTACGTGCAGAGGGACCAGGTGCTTGAAGATGCGCCGTGGCTGGTGCGGTGGCTTGTGGGGGGGATGATTTATCGGAGTCACGTGAAGACGCTTCATGGGCAGGGCACGGGACGGTTCTCAGCGGCGGAGGCGAGGGGGTTCAGTCGCGAGATTTGGGCGAGTTTGAATGGGATGTTGGGGGAGAGTAGGAAGAAGAAGCCGTCTTCGGAGGGGAAAGAATGTTTCTGGTGTTTGGGTGGGGAGGGGCCGACGAGTTGTGATGCGGCGGTGTTCGGGTTTGTTAGTTCGGCGTTGGTTGCGGAGAGGTGAGTGGGTTGTGAGATTGTTGTTGGAGAGGGAACGTGCTGATGATTTTTAGTTCTCCGGAGTCAAGGCTACTAGTCAAGTCTTTGGACGCGGTGACGGACTACGCCAATAGGATTCACGAGAAGTATTTCCCGGATTATGAAAAATGGACTTGAAGGCAGCTTCTTTGTGGTGTTGACTGTTGAGAGACTGCGGGTTTGGAGAAATCTTTAACTGCCGTCGAATGACATGTGAGATGCATGGACTTTGTGTAACCGGAACATCTCACCAGAGTCCGTTAAGCTATTGATTCCCCGAGGCTATGTTCAGTCACTTGACCAGTTACCAACTGGTACCGAGCTGGCGGAAACGAGGATGGGTGGACAAGTTCCAGGAGAGGAGCCCCATCGCATTTATCGTCGCGCTTTTTCATCCAATATCTCGCACGAGCACCACAAGGTCTGCCCCGTTATTTTTGATAATCGTGGACATGCCCAAAGCTCAAGGCCCCAAGGAGGATAGTAGCATGGCTTCTTCCGTCAATACAGTACCTGGGGGAATGAATCCCCCCTACTGATTAATCAGACATTGTTGTTGCCGATCACTTAATCGAGGCTCCGCTTGAGGATCTCTTCTCCAGTTTGGCATCTTGCAATCAAAAATGGACAGCCTCAAACCCCACATGATCCCCAAAACGGTACGCGGAAATGTGTGTCAAGGTTCAGGTTCTTGGTAAATCTGTGCCACCTCGGGAATCTCCATCCTCTGTCCCGTCTGGCGGCCTCCTGCACCCGACACTACTCCATATGAGGCGTCTCCCTCTGGCTCAGCCGCTGCCACCATCACGGAAAAAATGCCGTTGTGATCCGGGCCACACAGAAGCTTGGGCAATCCATCGTGATCAGAGCGCCCTGGGAGCACAAAGGCTTTCGATAGGATTGCCGAGTTAATGCACGGATTCAGTGCTGGCCCGCTCCCTTGTGGCACATCGCTAAGCACTGTAGAAAAGCACTTTCAGGGCTGTTCCTCGATCGATGCATCTGAATGAATCCCGAAAAAAAAAAAAAAAAATGATGTTGGATCTCATTCTGCAACGCCCTGGTTGTCTTTAGAACGCACACGGCCTGTGCACACACATGTTGGCTTTCTCTCAGGGGACTTTCGGAGCGAAGAGCCCTCTATTGGCGAGTCCCCCTGAGCCTTCACCCGCGGGCCGCGTCCCACCCCACCTGTTTTCCCTGGTTGAATCTTACTTTTCGACTCCAAGGCCATCCCGCTCTTCACTTTATTATTGCAAAAATTGGTCATGGGTGAAGGGGGTGACTCGATGCACCCCTGCATGCCACACCTTGCCGATCCATTCCCCGACACGTCAAACACACATGGGCGCGGCGAGCCGCTCTCTGCTCCGCATAACTGTCACAAGATGGCTGAGTTGTTTTGGCCGTTGTGGCTTTCACTGACAGCCCTGATTTGGGGACCGTCCCGACTGGGCTGGGATTGGGCTCGCAGACGGCTGGTATCAATGTGGTTCCGCCTATATCGTATGTGTTAAGGTCTCCTGCCAACACGGCTCCGCGATATCTGGTGGTCTTGGATGATAGGGCTACCTAAGTTGGGATTGCTTCACCCTTATACCGACGATTGCGTTGGATCCTTTCGTTATGTGAACTGCACGTCTCTGTCCACGCATTCATTTCTTCATCCGTGTTTTTAGGAACAATGACGTCCACGCCGGGTGGCTTTGAGATTCCTCCTTCGTTGCTGCCATATCTACTTCACGAGAAGACAGACGACAGCACCCTCCAACCCCTGCTCCTCAAAGTCAACATCGTATTTGTGATTGTTGTCATTTTTGCAACGAGCTTGCGATTCACAGTTCGATTTCGAATGCTCCGCTCTGCAGGACTAGATGACAGTATGTGATTCCTCGTCTGAAACTAAGCGCTTCAACACCGATCAGTTGGTGGCTGATACTTCACAGTACTCATGATCTTAGCCTTAGTATTTGCCCTCCTTCTTTCGGTAGCTTGCCTTGTAGGAGAACACTATGGGCTCGGAAAACACATTTGGAATCTAAACAGCAACCTCCTTGAACTTGCTTATGACGTTGGCCGAGTCACGAAAGCTCTTTACGGCTGCTACCTCGCATACTCGACCTCTATCACTTTCTGTAAACTCTCCATCATCGCCACTTACACGAGGATCTTCCCAAATGGAGCTCTACGATATAGCATCTACGCGATTGGAGTCGTGGTTATCATTTTCTGGATCACATCCGTCTTTTGCATCATCTTCACGTGTGTACCAGTAGAAGCAGCGTGGGACTATAGTATCACGGACGCGAGGTGCATCCATATTCTTGATTACTTCTATACCTGCGCTGGGGTGAATATCGCTACAGATCTCCTGCTTTGTTTCCTCCCCCTTCCAACCATCTGGAAGTTGCAGATGCCAAAGGCGCAGCGCATCGTTGTCTGCATCATATTCGGCATGGGAACTTTGTACGCCACATCCCCCCCTTCCTACTTATCCGACTAACAGCAGCTCCCAGTGCATGCGTAGCAACAATCCTCCGACTCACCCAACTCGTCCACCTCAACGGTATCGACGTGCCATGTTAGCCCCCTCTTCCCCACCCTTTTCGTCCCGCAGATCTAACCCCAAACCAAAGACCAATCAATAGGCTCCCTAAACTGGTCCCTAATTGAAGTCGGCACGGGCATCGTGTGCGCCTCCATCTCCTCTCTCCGCCCCCTCGCAACTCGCTACCTCCCGCGGGCATTCGCGCACTTCACACAGCACACTTTGGACCTACCGTCTCTCCACCTTAACAACACTGCTACATCTACATCTGCGATCACGAGCAAAGGCGCACCCCAGACGGCGAAGCGGAGTATGACCGATAGTAGCATATATGTGGAGCGGAGTTTTGACGTCACGGAGATGGATACGTTAGAGAATGGAGAGGTGAAGAAGGATGGGGAAGAGCCGGAGAGGGTCCATCGTGAAGTTTGGACGGAGGAGTCAAGAGGATCAAGTCAGGAGGTGCTGGTCAGGGATTTTGAGCCGGCCATTGCGAGGTAATGCGTTTTTGGGTTATAATTGGATTGGAATAGAAACACAAAAGCCTCGGGGCCATGTTCATGTTCATGTTCATGTTCATGTTCAACCAACATATTCGGCTTCACGAGTCACTAGCGATTTGCACCGGTGATTTGACTTACCAAAAGACTTCCCAGCTACTGTACGAAGCAAGGTGGAAAGTTCCACTATCACCAAACTCAACACAATCCACCCAGATCTGCCAATCGAAAGGCTCACGTGTTCACATACCCAATGTCACGCCAGCCAAACAACTGCTTCCTATAGCATAAATCATAGCTCTTTCACAATGAGCGATTGGCCACTTCACATCAGCGAAACTACGTAGCTCATCAATTATCACATATAAATAAGATTTAGGATCTTCAAACGAGGATGCTAGTGTCATGCTTTACCCCTGCATCCGGAATCCGGAAAGATCCCCTGGATTCACAGTCTCACCCCCACCAAACTCTATTCCCGTCTTGATAAAACAACGCGGCTTGGGATTATGCGAATTGGCTCCCCACATACTGCGCACCCAGCCCACTCTCGAACTTCGATCTGCTCCTTAGTGGAATTTTCGCTTCTATTGCAAGGAAAAGAGCAGAGAAGATGCCCCGGTCAGGACGGCACAGTGAAAGTAATAAGCGAAATTCACGAAGTCGTCCCAATCGCAAGTCCGCGAACACACGCAGAACTGGGCGAATACTCGAATCACAACCGGCTGTAGGAAGGACATCTGGGATCGTTGAAAATGCCATGAAAGCTATTTGGTGCCATGCTTATTTCTAAAACCTTACAGGTATTTTATCGTGACGCCCCACAAGCCATTTTTACCGGCAACCCATCTATAGCGAGTCGGGTTTGGATCAAGACCATCGGTTGCGCCAAGGTTCTGATCCAGCAAGAACGAACCGGCGTCGAAATTATTATTTGCACGATAGATTTTCCCTTTCCAGCGCCCGACGAAGTGCTTCTGCGAATATCCGTTGATACTTGACGTCGCTGGTTCGACCGGATGTCTCCAGAGTTTGGAGATTGATCTGGCAGTTCTTGTGTATTAGGTCATTCGTCCTGTGACCGAGCTTGCTCTCCAGGGTGATAAATGTGAATGTCGATTTTAGGAGTATCTTCAATATTCGTACCTCCTCCACGATTGCCGCCGCAGAGCTTCTAGCTGATGTTTATGGTTTCGTACTCCCTCTGGGCTCGCTCCTCAGCATTCCCTCAGGCGCCTGGGTTGTTGGGCGGGCAACATCTTATCAATACGACTCATCATCGTCTCACCAGGGCCCTTCATTGGATTAATCGACTGTCTCTCGCGGGAACTCGCTGGAAGGATAAATATCTGGCTGTCTGTTGTTTATGCGCAGACATTCATCGCACTGAATCACTGATAGGCTATGTCAAATGTGTCTTCGGACTTGCGACCGTGGGTACAACTTTCGGCTCCTCATGCGTGTCCGGTGTTTTTGGTCTAATCTATGTACATCTAAAGCGTCTCACCGTGTTCATTTCCGGAACAACCCCTCCCTGTCAACATCGCTTATTCTTTTCCTCGGAGTCGGGTTCACGTTATTCATCTTCCGCATGACGTCGAGGAAAGCCCGGTCAGTACATGTTGATTCATTAACATAGAACAATCAAAACGAAAACAGAAAAGACAATCCTTCCTCTCTGGGATGAATGTTTTGGAAGAGATTGAGATATGTTGGCGTGCGGCTCATGAGATATTACGAGGTACGAGTAGAAAGGGACACATGATGATGTAAGAATGCAATCATCAATCCTCAGAACTTTGAAACAAGAAGTGCAATCTACCAATAAATCATGAAATACCGGGAGCAAAGAGCGCTTAGGCCATGATCCCCTTCTTCCCAGCCCTGATCCGCTCGACCATCTCATCTTCTTCCATGTCATCTTCATACTCATCTGACTCATCTCCACCATCGAGGACCCCTTCAGCATCCATATCCACGTCCGAGTCTTCTTCCTCATCTGAGTCGCCCCAGCTTGGCTCATTGAGGGGCTTGGTGTAATCTGGTCTGAGCAGACACCAAATTAGAACTCATCAGACAACAAAAATCAAAACTGGGGCATGACCCATGATTCATGAACTTGCAGATATCAAATTTCTGAAATGGACTTGAGATGTTCAACATGGCAATGAAGAAACAACAAACTCTTACTCACTTCTGCATCGGATTGATACCCAACGCCTTCAACTCTATAGTCAATTCCCCCTTATGCGCCGTCACAGCGGGCTCATCCATCTCGCTATCCACATCCTCTCCATCAAGAACACCTTCTTTCTCATCACCTGAATCATCGATCTTGATGACAACTTTGTGATCCTTGTCTGGCTCGTCTTTGATCACGAGGGCATTGACTTGGGAACCGAGCGTCTGAAACACGAGGACATTAGCCACGGTTCACGTTTGAGATGTCCAGATGATTAAGAACGGTAAAATCATAAGAGAGATAAGACTTACCACATCGTCATCCTCGATGAGCACAGGGTTGTTTGGGCCACCACCCATGATGATTAATGTAGGATTTAAGTGACTTCGAGAACACGAGACCAGAAAATCTCACGCTGCTTCAAGAATTCCTTGAACTCTCTAAAACATCAGAAGGGAAGATGGACACATTCTCTCTCCATGAAGCTTTTTATACTCGCGATCTCGAAAAACACGCTAACAAACACGACACAATGCGCGTATTAAGTCATATATCTGACCAATGAAAGTGAAGCTTTTCAAAAAGCATGAATAGAAGAACCAATTAGAGGACGTAAGCATTTATCGGAATTGCGGCACAGCAATTAGGCAGCTGTCGAGGAGGGTGGCTCTTTGTTTGGGGAGAAGTGATTGGTTGGAGGTTCATGTGAAGGGAATAGCTAAGACCCATTTTTATGCGTTAAGGGAGGAGAATGGACCAATCAACAGACGAAGGAGAATCGAATTGCGGCACAGCAGGGTGGCGCTTAAGAAGGTTGCTATAGGACAAGGATGAGATGTTCGAGAGAGGAAGAGGAAGGTGCGTAAAACTTGATAATAAAGGTGAAGACGACGTGATTACTTACGAGATGGCCAGACCTATGCAATATTGGAAGATCGAGACTATCTCGAGGGGTTGGAGGATGCAATATTGAGGGAATTATGGTCAGCAGATGAGTAGAGCCTTAAAAGTTTGTGAAGGGGACCGAAGATTAAAGCGAAGTATGATTGGTTGCCGTAGAAACCGAGCACGTGATTCTGATTGTTTGAGTCCTCGGGTCGGGTAGCGGCTAGGCTGTGTGCTTATATAGGGCCTGCGCGGTACTACTGAATGCTTCAAAGCAAGACTGGAGCTGGTTGAGTTCCATGTGTCATGGAGCGCGAAGCGAATGACATCGCTTAATCCACGGTTCTGAGAAAAGGGGCCATAAGGGGGCCATAAGCGAGCCTCTACGCCAGATATGGTAAGGGAATATAAAACGTCCAGAAGAGCAAAATTTGCTGTACAATTTAATTTGCTAGTACTGCAATAGATGCGGTTTTCAAGGCGTTAATGATACGTTGTAAGAGCATCATTGCGCCAAGGAAATATTGCTGTTGCTCCCTTCCTGTCCCTCCGGAATTTGAATCCTCGCAATCCATAGAAAACGTATTTCCCCAAAGTCCCTCTCCAAACATCTCCCGCATTTCCCCCCTCCCCATAGCACAAATATCCAACCTAGAAGCCGTGTCTTCGCCGACGCGCTTCGATAACTAGAGAAATTCCTGCGCAAAGACCGCTAGCAACTTCTTGTTTGTCACGGCCTGGACAAGCTGTGGAAGTGGAATGTGGTGGGTTTTGGTATAAATATGTATGAATGATGGTGCCCTAAGGGCGGTGAAGAAGCTATATATATGCTTGTGCGCAGTACGTGACATTGTTGCACAGACAGAAATAAGCGACCATTGAGTCAGCTGTCTGTCGGCCAGCCATGGAAGACACGTCGTTAAATAAATACTTAAGATAATATGAGATACGATTCTTTGACAGGAAAAGCAGACCGCTGAGTATCTTTACAATTGTTGCCGGTCTTGAATACAATAAACTGAACGTTGCAATCAGACTTGATATGATATCTCAAGAATTTTTTTCAAAATACCAGATGCTGTTGAAAAAACAGACGTCTCGAGCCGTATTTAAGCAGATTGGGTATCTTGGAATTTTATCGTCGGGAAGTTTCTTGTAGATCCCTAGTCGGATGGTCCGGGAAACACCCATATTTGGATTTGGATTTCCTTTGGGAGGCGGAAAAGGGGGTGGAGCGTGGGGGTAGAAGACAATTTCGAGAAAGGGAGAAGTGAATTGATTGAAGCATAGTCGGTGAAAATATTCGGTAGTTGCGACGGAAGGAATTGGTGAGGTTTTAAGATGCTCAGTAACAAGACGCTAACACTCGTGACTTGGCACTTGGCCGCCTGGGCCATAGAACGAAGCTTGCCTGTTACATCAACCTTGCGTTAGTCCTGAAGTAGAAGGTATCAGTGAAATTTATTTGGAAATTAGTCGGAAACCCTAGCATGTTACGGTCTTGCTGTTAAGAAATTCCACACCGTGTAAATCAAGTCGAGGAGAGTTCTAGCTTTATATATCCATAATGAACACTCTTTATGATACAAGGCGCTTTACTTCGTAGCTAATGTGACATTTATTAATTATTAGTTTGTTAAATACCGGAGTACATCGCCGAACTCTTCACCAAAAAATTCCTTGTTTGCCAAAGTGGCTTCGCAATTACACTGGCCATATATCACAAACATCTCATCGCTTGTTATATATTTCATATTGACTGACGGATATAGTTCGAACTCGCCAAAGAGCTATAGAATCTCACTCGTTAGGGAACAATGGCGTTCAATTTCGTCTGGCCTGTACATCCCAAGTCGGCCACCAATTTATCCAGTTTCGGAAAGAATTTGATTCTGAATTTCTTAGCAGCAGAGAACTACTTGATTCCAACAATGACAGACCGTACCTCGCAGACCTCCGCAGCGCCAGGGATTAGCGTCTGCAATTGTGCAAGAGCTGTGGGGCACAACAGAAGCAACTCATCTCGGGTTGAGTTGAAATACGTAGGATGAGGCAATTGTCGTTCGAAAGACGGTTTAGAGACCTTTAGTGCTATGTGTCGAGAAAGTTGGCAGAACGTGTAGCACGGATGGAACTACACTGTACGTGATGCATTCAGGGAGCGTGTCCGGACCCCCTCGTGCTTCATATACTTCGCCAGGGTTGTCTCCGTAATGTGTGAAGCATTTCCAGCGCGGATTGCATTTAATCCTGACGATTCGGAGCACGGTCAAGGCGTAAGTCCAGATCTTGATTTTTGGATCGGTGGGAAGTTCGAGAAATCGAGAAGGTGGAGAGGCAGAGGGGCTGTTAAGATACGCCATGGTGACGGCGTAAAGTGATCGGGTATTTGTAGGTCTTGGTGAAATTTTTGCAACAACAGGTGTAGGTGTGTGGCGGAAGAAACCAAAGTAGCCCTGGTGCTCGAGATGATAAGCTACTATGGGTATGACGTGCTGTTGTCCGTTTTGATCGGTGGTATGAGGGCTCTTAGCCCCTAGTTTCCAAATGGGACAGCGGCTCTGAATCGTAGAATAGATCCAGGACAGAAATACTGGAAGACAACGCAACTCCCCCACAAAGCTCAGCGAAATATTGGTATAGAAAAAGGATGACGTCTAATACAGACAGATCTTAGAACGTCGCATTCCATAGCAAGGGCCTGGGGTATTTCATCGTCCTCGGGGGACTGCATAGATCGATCTGGTCAGTGAGCGACATGGTGGAGTGTGCTCCAGCTCCTCTGAGTGAAGACGGTCTAATTGATCTTGATGCTGCTATCGTTTGATGTCTTGTCTTTTCTATATATGCCATTGGAGTTCTTGTTGGAGTTTTTGATTAGTTATTACTGGGAGTGTGTTTTGCTTCGAATTTATGACTGATACCTATAGCTTTTCCCATTCTTGATTTCAGGATGGTACTTCACACTCTATATCCTGTAGAGGACGATCTGATCGGCTTTTCAACAGCGTTCCAGCAGTGGTGATAAATCTCCTCCCTGGGATGAAGTGTATATCACGTGATAACACCCTTTTGAGAGAACCTTGTCTCTTTGCTCAAACATACCGTTATGGCGATTTGAATAAAGATATTGTCGAAAGGTTGATATCCTCGCATTTCTTCAAGGCCTATGGTATTTCTATCCCCTGATGAAAACAGCTTTTCGCTCTCTAGACCAGCAAAGTCACATACATAAATCATCAAAAGTGTGAAGGATAGTATAATGTTAGATCAGTCTTTCAGGAGTCAATAGATAGATCCAGACTTTCACGGTAACCCCGACCCCTCCTGTTATCTGAATGTGGATTTCTCGCCTCTCGGGACGTGTTGAAGTCGAGTTTGATTGCCTTGAAAGTAGCGATTAGGCCTCGACGTCCCTGCCACAGTGGAAACAATCCCACACAGCAGAATGAAAAAAAGAGCCACATGATACCCGCCACCACCCATCCCGTGAAAAATGGCTTGCTGAAGACGTAACCGGAAGCATAGAGAGGTATTGGCCAGAGGATGAGCAAAATTAGGGTCATTCCCGCCGTGGTTGCTTTCGCTATCTTTGACGCATGTTTGAGCATTGCCCTTTCATCGCGGGCTGTCACTTCCGGAGGATTGGTAGCGCCAGGTACGAGCTCGAGATGTATATTTCCTGCGGCGATATCGGAGTCATCACCTCTGCGAATGGATTCCATAGACTTATAGTCATAGTTATCCACGCCGAAAGCGTAGGTGAGTATCGGAATGAAAAGAACAGGCGACAGGAGAGCAACCACATTACCCGCCAGCATTGGATTATTGGCATATGTAGAGGCAACAGAAAGGCTCCCACTCTCTCTCTTCGCGGTCACCAACCATGCTGTCAGAGAGCAAAACAGCCCCAAAATAGGTGTGGCAGTTGCAGCGACCACGTTTTGTCGTTTCCACATGAGAGTGAGAGTTGCAGGAATGACCGCAGAGGATACAATAACACCCATCATCAGATATAAGTATGTCATTGATATCCCAATATAGAAGAGAGCAGTGGCGAATCCAGCCATAAAAATGCCGAATCCAATAACGGAAGCGTGTGCAACATAAATTAGACGATGACCCGGCGCCTCAGGATCGAAATAAGTCCTAAAATTCTTGTCAGAATTAATATCATGGAATAAGGACTAAGACCACAGACTGGTAGATATCGTAGGTGAAGATAGTTGATACAGCAATCAGTTCAGCAGATGAGGCTGACGTTACTGCCATGAAGACCATCAACAAAGTGCAAATTGCTCCCCCTTGGCCAAGTAGAGCGACAGCAGAATTTGGTAACACTAGTCCGGCGCTGACTTGGGCATCTGACAATCTGTTTGGATATGTGGGAAAAGCGGGATTTCCTTCTAGGGCCAAGGCGCTGAGTCCCATCGTTGTAGCGCAGAGCCATGGGATAGCAAACCAGCTAAGCCCACCCATTATGTAGCCAGGAAGAGCGGAGACAGGATGGGCAGCAATTGCTTTGTTGTAGTACCCTTTCTGTAAGTCAGGAGCTGAATACAATTTGATACGGTGGTAGATGAAAAAGCGAGTTACATCTGGGACTAGAACCGTGAAAGTAGATGCAGAGCGATCGATCTGAAATTGCAGAAACTCACCATTGTCACAGAAAACAGTACCAAAGTTGCCTGCTATGTTGATAACAAAGAATATGATTCCTTCTCTGGATTGCATTGTCAGATAGCTTCCTTGCGCGTTCCCGGCCACGGGGTGCTCGAGAGCTGCTTTCTGTAAAAGCTCCCAAACGGCGCCAGGAGATCCGAGAATAGGACTTGTTGCATATACTGTAAATGCGAAAATGAATATGATTATCAGGATCGTAAATGTGTGGACATAGTCTGTCAAAAATGTTGCCTTGATCCCGCCGAAGAGAGTATACATTACAACTCCGACCGGTAACAGGAAGCATGCTGCCGTGGTGGGCATGCCTGTAAGGGATGTGACTACCGCAGACCCTCCGCTAAGAAGCATAGCAGTGACTAGAATATTTGTCATTAGACCGAAAACGATGAAGACGATGTGTGTGTATATTCCTGAGCAGCAGTTAGGATTGAAGTCCTGACGGGAACATGTTGGACACACCGTAGCGGGCACGAATGACTTCCAGAAATGTGTGAGCATTGGGGGCTCTCCTTTTCAATTCTATTGCAAGAGTTGCAAACCAGAGAATCTGTACCGTGGCGCCAGAAGCGTACTAGGGTACAATAATTAGTTGACCGAAGGGACGGTTGAAAAGTCGGTTCTCGGGAAGTCCTACCCATAGAGGCCCAGAGACACCATATCTGTACGCGACACCCGATGATGTTAATAACGTCGCGGCCCAGGTCCACGAGGACACCACTGCAGAAGCAACAAGCACCGATTTGACCGTTCGACCAGCGGTGCTGAATAGTTCACTGGTCTGCAACTCGTTGTTATACCTGTTCGTTGTCAGCCGTTTTCTCAAATACCTTATTCTCAACATACCTCCTCAAAATCCAAGTGATTAACATCATTCCTAAAGAAAAGAATGTTCGTTAGGCCCTCGTTTTGTTTCACAGATTTCGTGTCTGTTGCCACTTACCAAACGCAAAGAGAAAGCCCAGACCGAGAACGATGCCGTACCCATACCCCACACCCAACGGCGGTTTGATCATAGTGTTAACTTTGTCTACAAAGTACAATGTTGATTGGATTGCCCAAAACGGCTGAAATTTGTATGTCGGAGTTGAGAACAAACCCTCGGGGTGTAGATTCTGTGCATGGAAACACTTTTGTACAGAAGGCTGCGTCGTGTCGGAGAAGCCTATAAATGACGAGCAAGAGCTGCCAGAACCACAAAAGTAAATTTTCATGGAGACGCGTGGCTAGAGAGTTTTGTTGACTGCAAAAGCGCGCCCAGTACTGGCGCTGTCAAGTCACCCTCATCAAGTTTCAGTGGCTGAATCCTTGCGGAACGTCCCAGCCAGCTCACCGAACACCTGCAAGCCATGAGAAAACATTTCTGCATCCAAAGACCAAAGAATTTCCATTCTTAACGCCAAAGCACATGAAACTGCACCTGTGATTTGGTAACGAACGCCACGAGGAGCAACAAACAAAGCGAGCTTAGCACATGGCGTGCCCCGATAAACCTGGAGACAACCGGGGAAATTGAAGTGAAGATAAGAAATTGGGAAGTTTAATTGGGCGCCCGTACGGGCTGATTTAGCGACGTTCGGATCAAAACTCATGGAATGCGAGAAAACCGATAATTATAAAAATTAATATTTCAAGGAATTTAATAAATTAAAGCTATTCTAGGCTAACCTAATGAATCGGAACGTAATTGCATACCATTGAATTGCTTTCCTATTAAATTCCAAGCCTATAAGTAATATAGATAGTAATGTGGGTAGTAAAAGTTATTATACGTAATTTATCCCCATTCTCTATATCTTGACTTACTTTCCCCTGCAATTCTATAATACTTTACCTAATTCTAATTATTAGAACTACTTTTATTCCTTATAATAGGTCGTCCGCCGAAGAGTCTTGAGCCCTATAGGGAGTTTATTTCTAATTTATATTTAAATAAAGGTTTCTCCCGCGAGGCGATTATTAAGTATCTTATAATGGAATTTGAGTTTAATACTACTATTCCTATACTATAGCGAAGTCTTACTAAATGGAGTATTTGCTATAGGGCTATCTTTACTCCTTTAAAAGAGCTAAAGGCCTTAATAGTATTCTTTTTTTTAACTATCTATATAATAGACGAGAATATGTTCTATAATCTCCGATTACTTAACTATAATATTCCTAATATACGGCTCCTTTACTAAGTATATAGAGCAATGGGACTATGCCGTAGAATGCTTAGTTCAGAAGTAGAAGCTAAGAAGGAGCTATTACGGAGAATATTAAAGGAATATATAATTAATCAAGGCCCCCAGGGCACTATCCGGAGTTATAGTAGAAGCTTTCTTTATGTCTATATAAACTCTTTACTAGGTAGTAAAGCCTTCTCCAGGAACCGAATTTAATTAGTTTTACATAATATTAATATCCTATTAATTAGACATTAATACGAAGAGATACAGTTATCTAGGGGGAAATACCGAATTAAAGGGCCTGATTTTGTCTGGTTAATTAATAGCTACTATAAAGTAAGTATAATTATGCCCTACCTTTAAAAATCATTATCTTAATAATTACTAATCCGTTTCCTTAGCTACGATTTTGTGAAATCGAGATATATGCCAGTATTAATGCCTACTTATGCTTTATTCCTTGGATTTATATTGGAGTTATAAATGGGTATGCTATAAGTATAATATTTGTAAACTATTACCTCCCTTTATGCTCGCTTAAGCTAGGGGCAGTATATAATTCACTAGTATAGGTTATAATATTAATAAATTTATCCCCCTATAGCCCCCTTTCTTTATTTTATTTAAAATTAACCTAATTAATTATTACTTAGGTTACTATTCTCGTTTAATACCTTAACCTTACCGGTGAACTTCAGGTAATACCGCTTTTTATTTAGTCTAATAGAGGGGTAGAAACGCCTATAGTAGTAGATGCCTATTATATCCTGTACTAAATATTAAGTATTAAAGCGGGATTTAATTCCTATAAATTTTCAGAAATCTACTAGTTCGGAACTAGTATGGCAAATTAACGGATTAAAGCTTAGTAGGCTTAATTAGTAAAGGTATTTTCAAGCCCTTAAAGTATAGATATTATTTATTAAGTTATATAAATCTTAGGGTATATTAAATAAGTGAAAGATCTTTTTCAAGAAGCTCCGTACTTAACGACTATATTCCCGTTAATTGCTCCCTAATTATATAGCTATGCTTGCAATATATCTTCTAATTATTAGGGAGCAAGTTACTAAGTTCGTTAGAATATGGAATATTTATATAATTAGGAAATAGCCTAATCGCCTATATATTATTTGCGGATAACCCTTCTAAAACTACTTCTTTCTAAAGGAGGGGATTAAATGCTATGGTATTCCAGTCAATACTAATAAACTCCGTAAATTACGAAAAGGATATAAAGAATGGGATATAAATGCGTATCTTCCAAAGAATACTCTTTAGTTCTCCCAGGAATATCTAGTAAAAGCTGGGTTTACCCTCCCTATTATAGAGTCTTTACTTAATACTAGTAGAGATATAGCTTACCTATCCGCATATCTTATATTATAAGACGAGATTATATATTATATATTAACTACGGGTAATTTAGTACTAAAACTAAGGCTTTTACTACTTCCTATTAGTGCATATGACTGGGTACTATATCTAGAGGTTGCTATAGGCCTTGCAGAAGCTAGAGCAAAGAACTATAATAATCAGGATAGCGTATAGTTCGTAAATAAGAGTAGGGATATACTAGCCTCTAATTGTGATTTTGTATATTTTCCGGAGTCTAATAAAGAGAATAATAATATTGAGATTACGGACAAGCTAAGGATAGATGGGACATCGTTTTAGAGAGTTCCTGGTTCTATAAACTGGCTGGTTAATGGTATAGATATTTACTAGTATATGGATTATGGACGTATATCTGAGAGAGAAGATAATAGTAAAGAAGACTTAGGTTTACCTCCCTCTAATATTCGCCGATTTGTCCGGCCAAGAGAAAATAGACGGGGGATATAGTTAATAACTTATATAACTTAAAACCTTATACTAGAGTTAATAGTTATTTAATAATTAATTTCTGGATATGATATAATATTATATAATTAGTAATATTCGCTTAGTCTAATACTACTCAGGGAGTGAATCTCAGGGGTTATAATACAAAAAAAGTTACGTGTCTCGCCTCGTCCTATATCTATTATACTTCTATTAAAAGTTATTATTTATTAACTAATTAGTTTAGGAATTCTACTTGGAATAAGCAAGTTAGATATGTAAATGTTTTATTAAACAAATATAGGAGCTATTAATCTTATATTTCTAGAAATATTGAGAAGTATTTGGTATAGCCTATTATATATAACTAGCCGTTCTAAATCTTTAATATTCTTAATTTTGAATTCTAATCTTTATATATATGAAATACTACTTTGGAATTCGATATAATAGCTATTACTTATTTATTCTTGATTATAAGCTATACTATTATATCTCTTGGAATTAAATATTTCAGGTATGTATTTATAGGAAAGGCTCTAGTAGCTTAAAAGTACTAGTACTTGTTATTTTATAATATATTAATACTAATAGGTATTTCAATAATTAGGAATTTATTAATAATACCTAAATACTAATAGGAATATATACTAAATATATAGGCTCTAAATTTAATTTAATAATTAATATATATAGGTAGTAGTTATTATTCTCTAATTCTGAATTCACCTCGAACTTTGCTAAAAATTCATACTTTATATTTACTTGCCCTTAATATCTACTACCTTTAATTTTATTATATCCTTAACTTCTTATTATTTAACCTAAAACTTATATAATAAGTTTATTTAAATCCAAGTATCCTTGGTATAATAACTATTTTATAAATAATAAACTATATTCTCTAATTTCTCGGTATCCAAAGTATAACTATAAGAACCCCGGATAGGAGGATTACTTAAGGAGTAAATCTCTAAATTCTGTCTGATCTACTAGAAGTAGTTAAGGTAAGACTATAAAGCTCTTAAATTCGAATAGAACTAATAAAAATAATATTCTAGATACTATTTAGGAGGGTTTATTCTAATCTGGGACTGAGTAGGAGAGGCTTAGTACCTAGCGAAAAAACTGCGCTTTAGTGCGTTTAAAGATATATATAGAGGCTATATCTAAAGGTACGAACCTTAGTTTGATTCTATATAAATATTAGGCTAATATATTATATAATTAATTTAGGATCTAATAGAACTTATAGTTAAACTATACGAGCGAATGCGATTAATGTCCCAAAAGGAAAGCCTGCTTTACTATTACCTCCTTTAGTCGAACTATATTATAAGGTACTAGCTTCGTATATCTTTTGCACCTATATGGCGTCTAGTAATATAAAGGGGGTATGAATGAAGCGTGGTATATGCCGTAAAACGTATATTAATCTTAATAAATAGGGCCCTGTAAATATTATTATTTTATGTAATATTCAGGAGGCATATAAATAGTAAGTTATTTTACTATATGCGATTACTATGGCTAATATAATTAATAGAAACGAGCTCTTACTTATAGATTTCGCTATATATCTCGCAAAAGATATATATTTATATTAATAGCTTTATTTTTTAGTAAATGAGCTTCTAGAATAGGAGGAGGTTAAATAGAGCTTTGACTTTCCTTTTCTAGCTATTAAGGTAAACCTTAATTATAAACTTAATATATTAAAACGAGCTAATTAATATTAGGTTAATGAGAAGACAAAGGAGGTAGAGGCACTTAGCCTATCTTCCTTTAAACAGGAGGCACTTGAGCTCCTGATTAGTTAATTTACTCAACAGAAAAAGACTAATTCAAGGCATATATATATATGCTTTGATATTAACGAGGAGTACGAGCTAAAATCGCCTTTACTAGAACAGGAAAATGGCCAAAGTAGCCGCTCTGGTATAATATTAATATCTCTAACCCCTGAGCTAGATACTCTAACTCCCGCTCCTGATTAAGCTAGCCAGGAAAGGGTCTTTCCAGGTGGAATTACTATGTCCCAAGTAAACGCCTAATTAGCGGCTAATTGCGAATCAGAGCCTGAATTTGAAGCTAGAGCTTTATCTGCGAGAAAGAGAAAGAGATCAGAGGAAGAGGAGACTTTTGATAACGGAGTAATCGATTTGGAAGCTACTGGGGATAGCGTTTTTGTTCCCAATAGATTAGCTAATGCTCTAGGGGGTAGAGAGGGTAGTGAAGATAATAATGGAGCCCGGAGGGTACTACCAGCTAGAAAAAAGTCTATGTATAGGGGCAAGCACGTGAGGTTTAGTGACGAATAAGGGGGGGCGATCTGAGTACTGAAAATCTCGTATGTAACCAATTAATTATCTTTAGTGCCATGCGATCATTAATTTATCGTGATTTCGCATATAAAATGCGACTAATTTAATGTTGGGGTGGCAATTCGCGAAAATGCCGAGTTTTGATCCGAGCGTTCTTAAATTAAACCGTAGCCCGGCATATGAAAAAAGGCATGGCGTTCTGTGTCCGCCCAACGAGGCTTTCCTGGTACCACTTCTCCCAAGGCTCTCCCCGGAATCCTGTTGCAAACTCACCATGGGTTTTGGGTGAGTCATATCTAACCGTTTGATTGGAATCTTTGGGGCTCTCGCGGTGGAGGCTGGACGATAATGGGTGCCGTCGCCTGTCGTGCTTTGGCCTCTTGCCGCTGGAGGCTTGAATCTACCCATTCATGGTGTTTTCAGGCGGACCAATCCGATGCGTCACTCTGAGACAACAAAAATGCTGATCGATGAGCTGTGTCTTGGTAGACAACAATTTCTGCCGAGAGTCCCAGCTATCTCTCGTCACTGCGCATCTCTCCTTCAGTTATCCCATGAGAAACAGTTTTACCTGCAGCACGCAAGAAACCCTGGAGCCACCCTGCAAATGTCCTCGCCTTCAGCCGACGGCCAAGCTGACCCCCCTGAACCTGACATAGTGAAAAGTGAAGTCGAAATGCGCTGTGACTACTACGAAGTAGATCCGAAAAGTCATTCTACCGATTTGTGTTACTGTAATGTGTGTAAATGCACACTTTGCTCAAACTGCTGGACCCGCCAAGTTCCACACTGGAAGCAGCAATTGGGACCTGGGGGAATTCCACATGAGAAAACTGATCTTTGGGTTGCAGAGCAGGTCGAGAAAGTCCTCTCGCCACCACCGGACCATCTCGCCTACCAGCAACTCTACCTGGAAGATGAAGAGACCGCATGGTTTGGTGAGTCAGAGAGCCTTGTTGAATTATCGCTACTGATCTGAAGGTGTGTTCATTTAGGCATTGATCATGATACCCGGCAAGAAGAACCGCTTCTTTTCCAAGATCATGGGAGATACGCAGAATTAATGGCAATTACCAACGCCAAAAGAATCGAGATTAGAGAACTCGGCAACAGCGAACAAGGCTACAGCCCATCCAAGGACACACGAACCCCTTCCTTGGTCTCATTTGTTGGACAAACTGGTGCAGGAAAGAGTGCTCTTATCAAGCTCATAGTCGAGTTCAATCAAAAGCCTCGAGCTGAAAACGCCGATGAGAAATTCCCTTCTCCAGTCGTGGGCATCTCAGGACATCACATGCCAACTTCAGAGGATGTTCATCTTTATCTAGATCCTTTGACTGCTTTCACAGATGGACCCATATTGTATGCCGACTGCGAAGGTTTAGAAGGAGGAGAGCGGGAACCAGAAGGAGCTAAATACCGCAAAAGAAAACAAAGCTCAATCGCGCCCAGTCCAAACAGCGAGGGGTCTTCATTCAAAGACAGATATAGTTCGGAGCGTTTTCTGGCGTGGTCAGACTCTCCCGCTCGACGGACAAGACATTTTGCAGTCAGCAATCTATATCCGCGTCTATTGTTCACCTTCTCAGATGTCATCGTCTTCGTGCTGAGGAACCCAAGGTGAGTTCCTATAACTAATTCTCGGCATTCGTTAACAGCACCACAGAGTCATCGAGGGTGTTCTTGAGAGACTGGTGGAATGGGCAGCAGTAGCATTGGAGACCTCATCGAATCAGCCTGTCTTGCCTCATGCAATCATTGCCCTGAATGCTTCCGAAAACAGCATCGATCCAGAATTGTGGGATACTGACGTCGCCACTGAGCGGCTGCTTGAATCATTGTCTCAGACTGTCCGGCAAAATGAGTGTTTTAGGAAACATTCTCAAATCTGGGCGGGCCGGAACAAGCAAATTAAGACTGTGAAGCAATTGATGCTTTCATACTATAGCTCGCTCAGGGTAGGTGTCTACATGCTCAGCCTTTATAGCCCGTCCCTCTCTTCTCCCCTTTCAGTTGGGAGGGAAGACAACAAACTTGGGCAGAATCTTGCTAATAATATTTCCCTGAATCTAGATTGTACGAATCCCCGCCGAAGGCCGGCCTAAGTTAATTCAAGAGCAAACGCAAAAACTTTATGAAGAAGTACTAATGGGATGCCAAAAATCCAGAGAACGCAAAGAATCTTTGCGTATGCTCCTCGATGCTGAAGAACTCCAATCTTACCTCCAGTGCGCTTTCGATCACTTCGCGAGGACCCTCGATATTGCTTTTGATTTTGTACAAGCCTCATTCTTTAACAGCCCTATTCCGTTGAATTTTGGCGGAAATATTCTCAAACTAGCAATCAACATGATGGAGCTGAAGGAATACACCAGCGCGCGCTCAATTTTTGGTAAGCTGAGCAACGTGGTGGCATCATGCATCATGCAAGATTCGGTGCGGCATGACATAAAAGGTATGTTCAGGCGTTTGAGAGCAGAGAGGCGTATAGCTCATATTTATTCAAAATAGGAACAGCGGAACTCATCTTTCCGCAATATTTGGATCATTTAGATAACGCCCTCAGGGATTTCGACGACCGATATTGGCCCTGCGAGTATATTCTCCGTGGGGCAGTCCCTGCACATATCCAGGCTCACCTCAATTCTATCCATTTCCACTACAACATGAGGGAATCGGCAGTGCTATACCGGTGTGTAAATGTCCGATGCGGTCATGGGTCAAAGGGACACCAGCTGAAAGATGGGAGGGTATTTGCGGCTGGCAGTTACGTCTCCGATTTTTCGTTTGAGAGTTACCACAATGACTTTCGTAAACACGTCTACCTCCGACTGGAACATCTTCTCAAATCGCTTTCTAATAGCATAAAGAAAGGAGAGGCTCCCAGTGCCGCCGCTGCGAGAATCCACAGAGATGATGTTCTCAGCCACTTCTATGGAAACCGAACCAAGAAAGAGGCAAGAGCCTTCCAGAGCCATTCGGTCTGCTTTTGCTGCCTGTTTGAGCCTCCTGAGCACGTGCTCCCGTGTGGACACGTTCTTTGTACCCCCTGCGTAAGATCATATGGACGGCCTAAAGGTGGAAATCTGTTCGAGATACATGAATGCCCTCTGGAGATAAACACACCGGGCCGATGTCAATCCGTGACTCTATACCTCAAGCCCGAAGCTTCAGGAATTCGCGTCTTGTCACTTGATGGGTAATTGTTTCAGCCCTGCTTGAGATTCACTATGTTGGCTTATTCGCTGACTCAATCTTTAGGGGTGGAATTCGTAGCATTGTTCAACTCGAAACTCTTCGTCTGATAGAAAAGGAAATGAATGGGAAATTACCCATTCAATGTTTCTTCGATATGGTTGTTGGCAAAGGGTAAGAACACTTGAGCAGATACACCACGAAGATTGCACTTTTGGAATTATTCTAACAGTAATGCTCTCTTTCAGTACGGGTGGACTCATTGCCCTTGGCCTCGTCACGCAGAGCTGGACTATGGAAGACTGTCTATGTCACTTCGAGCGGATATGCAGCAAAGCCTTTCCTCGTCACAATAAGCGTGGTATTCCAGTGCTGGCTTGGATTCGTGAGAGATACAAACCCAAGCCTGAAACAACTGCATTTGAGATTGCTTTGAAGGGAGCATTTCCAGAGACTCAGCACTTGTTTGGAGATCCTCGTCCAAGTGGCAAACCAGGCTCGCATATAAAAGTGGCAGTCACTGCTACCTCCTCTGCTGGAAGGACAGTTCTCTTGGGAAACTATAACCGTTATGCTTCAAAAAAACGTACGTATCTAGTCCTAGGACAGCCTATAGTCTTGATCACTCAGTTATTAAACAGTTCGCTATCATTTTCGTCGTCCGGAGAAAATAAATATGGAATTAAAAGTCTGGGAGGCGTAAGTAATCCAAGAAATACGCCCATTCGAACACTAATGTTTCTAGGGCTCGAGCGACAATGGCAATGCCGAAACTATTCAAAACAATCCAAAATGGAAGATCAAAGCACCTCTCTCTTGAGGGTGCAGATTTACGTCACAATCCAATTTTAGTCGCACACAATGAGTACAAAATTGCATCAACAGGAAGTGGTGTGGAGATCGAATATCCCGATGTGGTCCTGTCACTTGGAACGGGGCTAACGGCCACTTCGAGTCAAAATTCGAAGGACTCGGAGAAAGTATCTATCATTTCTCGACTGAAAAGACAAGGAAGTACCAAGACTCAGCAGAGACGTGCGAAGGGAGAAATCTCTGTCTCGCCGGAACCCGGTGATTCGTGGGACGAGTACATGAATCGTTGGCCTATTTCAGCTCCGACGTCAAGGTTTGTTCGGTTCAATCCCGAATTCAAAGAAGAATTGTTAGGATCAGAGGATATCGCTACTGTAGAGTCTATGCAACGTATCGTTCAGGACCACTATGCCACTGGTAATCAGATCAAACGACTTACTGCTCAGCTATTTGCCACACTTTTCTACTTCGAATGCTCCGATACAGTTCTTGGAGCAGAGAATAATCAGGTCACCGTTCAAGGTAAGCAAATTTATATTCTCCAAAATATCTTCAAGCTTATTTACGTGTAATTTCAGGACGAATATTGTGCCGTCTTCCAAATGAGACACCAGAGATATCTGAGATTGGGAAGTTACTCAGAGACGGTGACACTGGAGACACCCAATTCATATTTCAAGAAGACGGTGGCACTACACAGCATTTCCAGATAACTCCCGAAATTGTTCAGAAAATGATCAACCATTTGAACTTTAAGATGCCCAGAATACAAATTCGCGGAGTGAAAAATCTGCCGTTTCAAGCAGTTCTACGTTGGAAGGAGGAAGACTTTTCGATCAGCGGGTTTCCTCGCATCCTTCTACGAGACCCGAGCCAAACAATGAGTAAAATATCCTTCGAGAGAGTATTTGGGATTTTTATTGGCTGACAATTAATGTGGAGGGCAGCATCAAGCGACTCAATGGGGAGAACTCAACAAACACCGCCGAAAACGTTGGACTATCCCACCGCCAGATGAATCAGCATTCGTCTCGATGGTAGACCCAAATGAGTCTCTATACGAAGTTCAAGGAGACGACACTTACGACACCTTAACAACTCAACAAGAGCTGCGGAAAACCATCGAAGTTGATCCGAGCTTGCCACGAGGGTCGGTCACCGATGGTAAGTGTGTTTATAGTGTTGACCCTGATACACTATCTGACTTTGAAACCCCCAAAAATAGAAAGCCAGTTGGTGGGTATTGCAGGTTCTTCTCACTCTAAAAGGCCTTCCACCATTTCGGAGGCACCATCAAGTGGAACGTATATCGAGGATACTCCGACACGTGACAGCACGGAAAATTCCACGTACCTTACAATCATGTTCAACAACCATAAAGGTATATCAAGGCAAAATTCTAAGTTCAGTACGCTGAATATTTTCACTGACAAAAAGTAGACAAGGAAGATTTTATACAAAGCGACATCATACGAAGTATGAAAGTGACGCATATCGCGGACTCCACGGCGCCTTTGCTGATTTCCTCGTCAAAATTCAGCATAGGAGACCCACAACCCCCCTGTCAACTTTTACGTGGAGCTTCAACTCGCTCCGTTACTGAGCTTTCGGCTCTTCGTAAGGATGCCCTTGCAAGGGGCGAAATTTCCTCCTCAATCCCACCAAGACTCCCTGATTTCCCGTGGCGAAACGAGGAGGCCTTGACCTTTGAGGTAATGGACAATTAGATAGGTGCTACGCGCTATAGGAACAAGTTTACAGTGGTCAAAATACTGGAGTGTGGTGAACAAAGAGGGCTCTATGTGCGGCGAAACCCCGAAGGAGGCTGGGGAAAATAGGGTACGGGTACTTTTCTCAACACCTTCAATACCTAATAGAACAAGGAACAAATAGCATTCAAGACACAGTACTGGGTATTTCAAAAACATGTTACTGGAGATCTCAAATTGAGAAAAAAGGAATTTCGTCATTCTGGTATGTCAACGTTTTTTCCATTGTTGGGGTCGGCCCGGTCGAGTCGGGTGATTGTGCTGAGTAAATTTGCCTCAAAATTTTGCAAGACGAACGAGAGAATTCTTGTAAGCCATGATATCTTTTAGTATCAGGCCGTTCCTTTGCAGTAAAAGAAATGGATGGAAATGGATGGAACGGGATAACGGGGCCGCTTCTTCGATATTTCGCTCTCTTTCTTGACTTGGTTACTTAGACATATAGTAGTCAATAAGGTTCAACTGCGTGATATTCGGTGCTGAATACCTCTCCTCGGTTTAAACCTTGCGCTGATTTACTCTTCAAAAGCGGATGCCTTTCATTGCTTGTATAAGGGGTACTTCCTTTGCAATTGTATTGGAATGGAGATTTATTAATCATTGCGGCTGGCCCTTTGTTATAATATTTTTAAAAATAAGAAATAAAATAATACCAGGCCAGAATGGTGAGGTGTCAGTGACGATGGACCCCGGGCCAAATCGCTAGGTTGCTGGCCCCACCAAGATGCTACCGCCTTCATACACTATCCACATGATTGAGCTTTCGAGCAAATTCTGAAACCGATGGCAAAAGAGGAACGAGTACAGTGGGGCAGCTTTACGACTCCATTCTGGCAACAGCGCGAAGCAGAGAGGGCTAGTCACGTGCCATAGTCGGCCCCCCTGATGTATCCACTTCACTTTCTCTTTGCGACAATTACAACCAGAATGAAACAGCCTTTGATCGTGAATAAAACGTTCACCTTCAGTATTTCATTGTCTTGAAGCGAGAACTGTCTGAGCTCACTTTCTCCGATGTTTAATCCGTCCCATTCACCAACGCCTCAGCCTGTCAAGGGCAATATTGTTCCGGTTTATTTACAAACGTTTTTCAACTACCAACACCAATACAACAACTACAATTACAACTACAAAGCGCCGCACACTTTGCTCTAGCAATGCATCGTGACGCCAGTCGCACAATCAACGAGTTACTTGCTGCACGACTCTTTACCCGAGGGGAACATATCTTTTGCGCTGCAGGATCGCAGGACGCTCCTGCTTCGAAACACCTTCGATCTGGACCTCTCGAGTCCATCTATCACCTGCGACATTCCTAGACAGCACCTTGACTCGACATATCGGGAAGGAGCGACCTGGTAGACAGCAAAGATGGACAACTCCTCGGACGTCGATGACCGACTCCTGGGAGCACTGCTGAACAAAGAGATCGAGGAGCCTTCGACACAGCAACAAACATATAGCACGACATTGCCTGGGAACAGCGAGATGAAGGAGACTTCGACCGAGCAACAAGCACAAAGTACAGCAACGCCAGAGAACATCCAGGAAGATTTCGGTGCTGATCAAATCATTCCCGAAATTGTTGGGACCCAGGTAAGATTACCACCTCAGCCAGACCATTCTACTGACATCTAAAAGGACAGTCAGCCACTCTGTGGACAGGAAAACGACCCTTTTCAAGCTATGATGCACGAGATTGGAGATATCCGAGCCCATACCCAAGTTCCCCCTTTTGGCTTCGCTCCTTCCCACGCAGCTTTTATACCAGAGCCACCACTATCTCCGACTCACGAGCATCTCAACCTCCAGTCATCGCCTATTCGTGAGCATGCATTTTTCCAGCCGTCGCCCCACCGGTACAAGAGCCTATTTCAAGACATGTCTTCCCCACTGCCGGTCGAACAACTTCTGTTGCACAAGTTCATCAACAATCTTCCTACCCATTCGCCTTCCCCATTCAAGACTGACATATTTGTGGAGAATCCTGAGCAGAAACGTAAATTGGTTGAGCGACCAGTCTTTTTGAAAGAACGGGACCAATATGACGAAAATGGAGTTCCTGTTCGCTGCGTCGAGATGGCCATGGTGTACGACAAACCTCCGAAGCATCGTGCACATTGTGTCATGGTCGGCTCGAGCAAGATTGACGCAGATGTTCCTGGACAGCCTGCGGTGGAGTTTCCCTGCTCAATTTGGACGAGAAAGTACCCAGCTGGTTGGGACGGCATTTACTTGAATGAGGCGGGCAAGCTTGTCAACCATGAGTTTAATAGCCGCAGCAGAAATCTCGTGTGGATGTACTCCGCAGCAGCATGTGTTGTCATGCAAGGAGTTGAGAAAAGCATCGAATGTGTGGTTCCTCAGAAGGTCGTTGAATTCAACGGAGGTCAAATCGATTTGGAGCCTGCATGGGAAGATGTTGTCAATGCTCTCAAGGAGGAGTGTATACGCCGGGTACAGGGCGTATGCACATTTCAGCAACCACAAGTCACAGGACAAGCATTCTGGCGGCAGGGATTCCAGCAGCAGGTATTCTCTCAGCAAGTATTGCCTCCGCAAATGTTGATGCAGCTGGCGAACATTGAGAATCATCTTCCACCCAAGAACATCCCGCGAAGAACTCAAAAGACGCCAAAGAAATCCAAGAAAGAGCAAGTCCCCTGTCCACCTCAGCAAGCATCGCCCTTTCAAAAATTTGTTTCACACGCCCTGGAACGATCGACAAGCGACGCTGGTGCCTTTACCAGCGGCAACAATATGAAAACCCCTAATTCCGGAAACGAGTATCAGACGGCTGTTCCACAGCGCGAGGGACATTTTGAGCACCCTCACCTCGGACATCCGCTGGGCTGGGATGATGGTCCCATTCTACCAGGTTTTGGTCGCCCATACCAAGAGGGAATTGGCGGCCCTTCAGCACAAGAAGCAGTTGAAGCTCATGGCCAGGAGAACAATGTACCATCCCAAGTGGTACAACCTATAAGCCACAGCCTGCAAAACAACGATATCTCGCTTGAACAAGAGGACCAGTCAAAACCAAAGCGAAAGCGTGCACCGGCAAATAAAAAGCAACCGACGCAAATTGTTCAAGAGCTTTCTGGACAATCCGACCAGGTTGCGGAAGCCGAAACACCACCGGCATCCGGAAAAGCTGGAACCAAGCGAAAGAACTCCATATCAACTCGAACACCTGCTAAGAAGACAACTGCTGCGAAGACAGGGGCAACGACTGCACCTGTAACTAAGACGCCTACTGCGAAGATGCCGGCCACTAAAACCCCCTCATCTAAGACGCCTGCTACGAAGACACCTGCGAAAAAGCGTGGCCGTCCTCCAAAAAAGGCAACTCCGTCTTCTGAGGTCCGGGGTGATGGTAGTGAAACCGGCGAAGCCAGCGAGACCGAGGACGGCATGCGAGATAATGTTTCTGAGCAACAAGTTCAATTTGGTCCCCCGTTACCTTCCGATCCATCAACGGGACTCGAGACTCAACAAGGTATGCGAGACAATGGTCCCAAGCAACCAGTGCAATACGAATTGCCGTTACCTTCTCATCCATCAACGGGATTCGAGACTCAGCAGAGGCGAATGAGCCAGTCAGTCCAGAATCATGGATTCACCGCAAACCCTACCAATCAACCCCAAATGTCCTTGCCGGTTTGGAACAATCCACAGAAGTCTAACCTCTTTGATCTGCACGGAAGTTCTGCCATCAAACCTCACTTCCAAGCTTCTCAAATCTACCATCAGATTAGGAACATTGATGCTGAACAGATACGCCTTTTCCGGACCTGCCCCAACGTTATTGTGAACCCTGCGGGGTACCTCGAATGCCAACATCAGATTGGAGAGCTTGGTAGAATGCGAGATGCCTTGTCCTCGATGATGCCTGCTCATCTATTTCCAATGTATCCGGTGGCTTGGAACAATGGCTTCCAGCCCAACTACGGGCTGTACCCAACCCACCAGAACGACGGCCAGGTGCACCTGAACGGCCAAGTCTTCCCAGTACAACAGAACGATAGCTTCCAGTACGGCTCATCCCAAATGTCTAGCATGCAGCAGAACAACGGTTCCTACCAACCGCATTCTCAAATGTCTGGACCACAGTGGTACAATGATTCCGAAAGGAGCTCTACCCCCGGCAACTATCTCCCATCTGCGACTCTATCCTTCACTCAACCAGCAGAATTTCAACAAGGGGCACAGGCAACCGTAACTCTTCCAAACGATTCCGCCATGTCTAGTATGAACGTGGGAGGGCCCGGACTGAATCTCAATATTCCACAGTCCACCACCTCTCCGACGCCTCAATATCCGTCTCCAACTCAAATCGGTCTTGCCGAATTCCCCGAAGAGCAAGTACAACGCGCCCGAAGCTCTGTTAAATTGACTCTTGAAAAGCCATTTTACGGACTGTCGAACAGTTCTAGCTGGACCCAGCAACAAGAGGGCGATGACCGAATGACCGGGGACGACCTGGGATTTTGAGGTTAAATGAGGGTTTCAAATAATATCAGGGGCGACAATATAATTCGTTGTGAGTGTGTTGTACGAGATACCCTTTAGTTCTTATCCCGTAGCGATGATTCTCCTAGGTAGCATGGTAGATTAAGGAGACTTCTCGAGCGATGGATTTCTGAATGCTCGCGTTGATTTGGGATAATTCAAACGGGTCGTGCGTGTGTCCTCAGAGACATTAAATAAAAACCATGATTTGACCTGATGAACTGCCCAAGTGATTGCACTGATTAAAGTGAGTTGGACTTCCCCCACCACACCACCAGCCTCCTCCCCACTACCACATCCCACAACATCGCAAGCAAAACAAATGGACAACAGCACAGCGTAGCTACCACGCCCAACCAATCCTCTCTATTCATCCAACTATCCAAAATACCCCTGCAGCGCCGCCGTCTTCGACGGCGAGATGTCGGCGTAAAGGGAATATTGGTGTTGACGTTCGCTTCGAGGAAGGTGGGCTCGATCGCTGGCTCGTGATTGCGGGGGCGTCGGGAGATTGTCATCCCAATTCCAGCTCCTGAGATAGGTGGAGTCCCTTCACCTCTACTATTTTTGACAGGTGAGGTAGAGAGGATGCCGGAGCTGGTGGGTTCCTGAAACGGGACAAAGACAGTGAAGGAACCACCTTCTTTGACGCGGACGGAGCGGAGGGGAAGAAGCATTTGGTCTTCGTGGAAGCGCCGGTAGGTTGCGTTATAGATTGTTATGCGAAGAAAGGAGAGGGAGGCGAGGCGGGAGAGCAGGAAGGTACAGGTGATCCATTGGGAGTGGGCTGTGTCGAAACCGTGGTAGAAGGAGGGAGGTGGTGGGGAGAGGTATGTTGGGGGGATGGTGACGGTGATATTGAGGGTTGTGAGGTGGGAGAGGGAGGTGTGGGGGACGAGTGTGAGGAATTGGTAGAGGGTTGGTAGGGAGTGCGTGGTGAAGGTGTGGAGGGCGTAGATAAGGTGGATGGCTTCTTGGTGACTGGGTGCGTTTGTTAGTTGGATTTCATTTGATGATGGAAGCGAGGGGAGGCAGGTTTACACGGTTCGACAGGCAAGAAATATCGAGAGATATGTCCCTTGTAAAGCAGGCGGTGTCCCGTTTCGGATATGCCATCCTTTGCATGTTTCATAGTGTGTGTGGTAGCGGAACAGGTCCATTGTGTTCGAGATGCGGGTGAGGGGTGAGGGGACGAGAGATTGGTTGGGGGAGAGGCAGGGTGTGTAGGTTAATTGTCCGGAGCCCAGAGAGGGTGGGTATAGAGGGTTGAATTGAGATGTTAGGTTGATATGGAGGGCTGGGCCCCAGGAGAAGGAGGTTATATGGTGTTGGTAGATTTGGAGCCGGATCTCGACGGGGAGATCGAGGAACGAGAGGGGCTGGTGGGGCTGAGACATTGTTGAGAGATGTGTGATGTCTGGGATTCGTTTTGAGAGTGATAGAGGACGAATGCGGGTTTATATGAAGAGATATGTGATCAGAGATCTGGCCAGAGTCCTAGGCGGAGACAGTGAAATTGAAGCCTGTGATGATGACGCTGCTGCCTTGAAAGTTGAGAACACGGCAGTGCCGCTGATGCAGATTGATCCTGAGGCCATAAAAACAGTCTTACCACCTTTGGTACAGCCGATGTTATACGTATCTCATTTTATAGCTTTTATGAGTCCTAGGTGTGGTGATAGAGAAATGAGATTGAAAATGAGGTCGAGATAGAAAGTGAGAAGTGGCGTCGCATTCTCGGCCCCACTTTTCTCGCCACACTTCTATTTTCGGAGCAACCCCTTTACCTTGGTAATGCTCGTAAATCGAGCAGAGTAGGGAGTTGCATTTATGGTAAAAGAGTTAATTAAAGCTAGCTAGAAAAGAGCTCAGGTGAAGTATGGAAACTCTAGAATATGGGTGTACAGAGCCTGACTAAGCGGAGCGATCGCGCTATGCCTAACTGAGAGATCGTCCTGCAACAGTGCTGCAGCACTTGGGCATTATTTTCATTCTTCTACTTGGGTCACGTGCATATATGGAAACTCATGGTTCGAAGTTGATCTCGATCAATTTAGAATTTCTTGTCTCAATCCTCCTTTTGCAAAATTTGGCCTACTATGTGGCGTTTCATTGCCGAAGTTTGCAAGGTCGGACCACATCGGCCAATTATACGAGATCCAAAACAACGACTTCAGCGTGATATGGAACGTCGAACTTCGCTCTGAACTGTTCCAGATCACCAGTGTGGCTGTCCATGAGCCAAACTCCACCGATGACTTGGTACGTATACTTGTTAACATCAGAACCTATTCGTCGCAAGACAACAGGAACGCTGCAGCTTCTTAGAAAGAAAACTTCATCTGAGGATCTTGTATGTGGATTGACGAGACCTGCCATGAACTTCACCGTTCCCGGCTTCTCTAATACGTGGTTCAATTCTGCGAGCCTCATTCCACTCCCTAAGACTTGCTCCAAGGCTTGGTTGGCAGCGTCCCATGCTTTGATGCGTCTTCTCTCAGTGAGTTCTGCATTCACTTGCTTTGCCCTTGAACTGATAATTGAAGATGACCAGGAACTCTGAGTTTCAGACACTCGTGCCTGAAGCTGTGACCACTCCCGAATGGTCCAGGGTCCAATCTTGAACCAGGCATTGCTGTCTAACCAATTGATGATCTGAGTATTGTAGATAGAGCCTCTACCTTGAGGCGTCCAAAGGCTACTAAAGCATTCATCGATCTCATTTGGGCGGATGTCGACACCCAAGCAATTCATTGTGAGCGTCCTCCAAATTAACAATCGAACCCGCACGTGTTCCTCGGTGGCGGCACCCAAGTCAGAAAGCTCTTTTCGCAGATTTTTAGTTGAGAATATGTAAGGTTTTGGAGAATGTTGGAGTTGTGCACTTTGTGTGTGACTTTCCAAAGAAGAGGATATCCCATTTATGGAACCAACATAGATGGCTTTCACTCTAAGCACAGAGGTTGTGGAAGTTGTGAGAACAGGATCAAAATCGAACGATTTTGGAGAACGAAAGATCAATTTTTCGAGTGTGGTTATGTATGGTGATGACCCTGAGTAACAGAAGAGTTAGTAATTACTTGATACAGTTGGTTTCGTGAGAGGGCAATTTCTCGGGAGAAAATCACGGAACAGTCCGAAAAGGGAAGGGATTTCTCCCCCAACACCTACACAGACTAGGCCAGTTTGGTGCCCAGGTCGGTATTTCGGCAGAATCTTGCGGCTTTGTATCAGCCCCTCTGAGGCAGATCTGATCCAAACTCCGATTACGGCTGAAGCTCAGCCTACTCATTTCAGAAATGATCGATTTTAGTGACTGCTTGTAGTTGGGAACTGGCACGATTCGGAAACCGTCATGACATAATCCAAGCAAGGCAAATATCTTGTCTCGGGGATCCGTGGCTTTCGTGTGGGTGGTCCATGTCATGGCTTGTAAAATGCTGATTGGCTTGTTGGTGTCAATCCAATGTTCCCTGAATCTCAGGAGATGACTTGCTCCGATCCCACTGATGTTAATTCCTTGCTCTTCATGCCCGTGGGCCGATTCCTTGACGAGCGATCTGAGAACGGGGACGAGGAAATCCCAGGAGACCTCAACAGTTCCATAGAGCATCGTCACCGTCGAAGCGACTGTGATTTCTTGTATAATCCATACTCTTCTCCAGTATTCTTTGTTGAAAAAAGATATCATCACATCCCATTCTTCCCCGGATGTCAGCATTGAATCTGATCTCGAGGATCGAGCTTGATCCGAAGATAGAGTTGGCCGAGGAATGACCATCTGCATTTTGCGAAGAGATCTCTCAATCGCTGGCGATGGAGCAGTTCCCGCAATTGGCCCAATCCAGGCCAGCACTTCCTCTGCCCTGGAGTAAATCTGCCTCATCATTTGAATCTGCTGACTTCGTTCGTATAAATCGCTTTGATTGATGCAGAGAGCATCAACCCAAATTCGAAGTTCTTGTTTCTCTCCTCTCCGCTCCCACACCGCCAACAGAGCCCGGTGGAGGTTTTCCGTGATGGCAATAGATTGAACCTGTGCTCCTTCACTATCTAGCCGGAGAAATTCGTCGGAAGCCGGGTCTCCCCAGCAATATGATAGAGCGGTGTATGGATCGGTGTCAATCAGAGACACGTGCTTCAACGTTCCTCGAAAACGAGGTTTTAGTTTTGAAACGGCACCCCGCGATTCTTCAATATCAAGGCTGAACTCAAGGATGCGTATCTCATGGCTGTTGATATCCAGCGCTTTATACAGAAAAGACGCCATTGCTGTGTTTCCCTCGCTTTATGTCTCTAGTCGGGCGTTTTGGATGGTTGTCGATACGCCGCCGCAAGACTCAAAGGTCGAGAATTGAGAGGTTATTTGTCTGGCTGTAGCGGTGTAAGCAAGCAGACCCCCCTTAGACATCTGAATCGACAAATAAAGACGAGTTTGTGGACCGGCATCGTACCTCGTGACGATCAGATTGACGTTCATGAAGTTGCGAGAACGAGGCCTGACAAGACTGAGACATTTTGGGTCACATGGGGAAGGAACGCCTCTCACGTGACAACCCCCTCTCTTTTGGGTCTTGCAAAACCACCTAGTCTAGGGACTTGAAGTGAGTCTCAGGTGGTGTTACACGATTCATGAACAAATTCTAGGGAATTAGAGTGGCTGGAAACTGTCGTCGTTGGAAAATTGGGAGTGTCCCTCGAGTATCCAGCCGTCCAAGAACCCTGGTCCCTAATACTTTATACAAGCGTGGATAAGAACAAGTCTGCTTGGTATGTAATAGTCGGACTTAACATTGTGACTAAAGGGGCCCCACTCTTTAGTCGGGGAAAGCGAGTTGGCCCGTGAAAGCGAGATGGCCCGCACCAAATAATATCCTTAATAACTTGAAACCTTGACCTTTTTAAATAATTCTAAGTAGTAGAATTAAAAATATAAGCCTTATAAACTAGATATAATTCTCTAAATCTTAAAAAAAGATATGGGTAGAGAGTTATTAAGATTTTAATAATAAAATTGCAAGAAATACAAAAATCATAAGAATTATTTATTTGCGACTATTTCGCAAGCATTAGATCTACGACTTTTGCTTAATTATAAATTTTTATTCTTTTACTTAAAACTTTAGCCCTTAAGTATGCGATAGGTAACTGTAAGATTGAGAATAAAACGTATTAATTCGATTTCCTATAGCTAGTTCCTAATAATATTTTTTTAGAAGGCAAAAAAGGCCGAAACAGGCCATCACCATTTTACTGAACATCTGATTACTTCATGTCAAGATGTGACACAGCATTGAAATATTCTGTGTCGTCAAACATAGGTTGGCGTTTGGGATCAAACTAGAAGCCGTCTGTTAGAAAGGTTATTAATCCCAAACACTTTCGGAAGCATAGATGTACATACCCCGATACCTCTGCCGTGATCGAGAACGAGGGCTTCTTTTCCAAATACAATAAAAGAGGTAGAGAAATCCAGTGCATCCCTAGCTAGACTCTCAAATCTTGCCTGTGCCTTCCGAACATACGGGACCGAAGCCGCGCTCTTCATAAACAATTTATACACTAAGCAGTATTGTGGATTATTCCCGCCCCAAAAGTAAGCATTGAGATCAAACTGACTGCTCGTAATGCCCACATTAACCTCAACCTTATACACTTCCTGCCTGGTATTCTCGCTCAGCGCCCGGACAAGGAGTGTCTGCACCTTATCTTGAACCGCACCACCATGTCGCTCATTGTCCGGTGTCGCCAGAAAGTACGTTGCTACCGTCGCGAAGCCATCATCCGCGGTAGGCTTCATCTCATAAGGAAGCGGCACCGGTTCCTCGGTCGCAAGCAATGCCATCGTGGTTTCAAAATCAGCAAAAAGTGGTCCGTCAGGCCCGACTTTTGTCTTCACCCAGTTGCTGCTAAAGACCTGTTTCAGGTGGTCCCAACCACGGAATGTGAGTTCTGTAACGTCGTCACGGCCCACCCAGGCATGGTTGAGGTTCAAGCCGCCGGGGCGCGCACCGAACGCTGCGTCGAAGATGGGCGTCTGGATATATTTGCTAGGGGGGGCTCGGTCAGTGGGTAATTGTTTGGGGAAAAACCAGAAAAACCAGGTGAACTGTATACTGTGGTGATGCTTCTTCGGCGTCGCTGAGGGCACCGTGGACACGGAAGCGGTGGTCATTGTACTCTTTGCGCGTCATGTTTGGCTTGCGGCGGCCGCACGCAATCTGCTTGATCTCTCCAGTGACCTCAGACATGCTAGCGGAGTGTGGGTGATTACTGCCTTGCATCAAAAGTGTCCTGTTATGAGAGGGGAGTGGTATGGAAGCACAACTTGTGGTTGACGGCAGCTTACTTCCTGGCGTTTGTGATGAATTAAAGAGGGCTTCTCCAATGCAAAAGCCGCTTTTGCGGCTGAGTATTCGGTATACAGGAAAGGGCTGCACCAGGGGAGGTAAGAAGTGAAGAATGTGCCGTACCCGAGGTATCACGGAGCTCAGCTTAAGGGGGGGTTGTTCACTTCCGGTGGCGCATTGCGGGGGCGAGGGGGCGGGGAAAATGGCTGCGGAAAGTGGGGGAGCCAACCCACAACAACGAATATCACAAACATGCGGGAAGGCTCGCTTTGCCTTAATTTCCATCAGGAGAACGACAGTTAAAGTCGGAGGCTGAGCCTGGAAAGAAGTTTACGTACTCGGTTAGCGGGTGGGAGCAGTGTTGTCAAATGAGTAGAGTAGAGTAGAGCAGTGGGTCCTACTCATACGCTACTCAGCCAAAATATGTCCTACTTATACTCTACTCATTGCTCATTAAGTATATACTTAATTAGCTTAAGTAGTAAGTCACGCGCAAGCACGTATTATAGTAGGGGGCCCCCAGCTGAATTATCAGTTTTAAACTTACTTCAAAACGACCCATTATATCTCAGAGTAAGTAGAAGTCAAAGTAAGCCTTACATATCTCTTCTCTCTTTAACTTATTACTTAAAAGTTACATGTCTTAATTAATACGTTGTTATTGTATTAATTTTTACTACTATAATAAGTAGTATTAGAGGAGTTGGCTCACTGACAGGCCACATGAGTTTCTTTGATGGACTAAAGTTTCAAGAAACATATCCATCGAAAATCGGTATTTGGCATTACGTCCATAGCGAGGAGTCATGCAGAAGTAACATGATGGCTGCTGCTGAGCCCCCGGAGGTACCTCGAACTATAATACTTCAAATCTTTGAAATAACAGCTTCACATGTTTCAAAATCGCCGAAACGAAGGCCAAATGAGAAGCCTAGAAAAACCAAATTACGTAAAAGTAAAGAAGTAGTACTATTATAGAAAGACTGTTATTTTGAAGTGTTCCGACAGAACTTAGCAAGGCAGCTCCTGAGTACTGAATGTGACGTTTCATGACAAGATATTCAGTGATTTTGTCTAAAATTGTATCAATTCCTCTCCTGCTTGAACTCTTCTCAAGCCTTCGATAACTCCAGGATATGTCCAATTATATCTTTGAAAGCGGTAGATGTCTCCCACAGTCTTCTTGTTGACAGATTGTCTAGTATTGTCCTGAATTTGACTTGCTCTGGGCCTTCTAACGGAGTCAAACTCCTTCAGAATGCGTGGTACATCAGCTGGCGATACACCAGGTCTGTTGAAAAGCTCAAATCCCTCCGCATCTTCGATTGACTGTGATCCACCTTGGCCTTGGTGTGGTGTCATCGCGTGTGCTGCATCTCCGATTAGTACTGTTTTCCCTCGGACATACGTCGGAAGAGGATCCTGGTCTCGAAGCTGCCAGAGCTTGATATTCTTCCCAAGCTTCAGAATGTCAAGGAGCCACGGGGGGAAATCCTGGAAGCAGCTGAGAAGCTCCTCTACATCGCCGGCGGCTGACCACGACTCGGTTGTTGCAGTCTTCAGAATATCGTCTGGAACTATGCAGACGAAGTTGAGCAGTTCGAAATCACGACACGGGTATAGCACGGCAGACCGCCGGGATGGATCGAATGAGAAGACCGTCTTTAGCATTCCCGGTTTGGATTTATCCAGGATGCGGAAGTCGGGTATCTTCTCGAGAATCTCTTCTCGTGGGAGGGTAAACCGGAAAGCTGATAAACCAGAAGGGCGCGCACTCTTGAAGGCATCGTCGCCAACGACCATTGCTCTGGCGATGGATTTTACACCATCGGCGGCTGTACTACTGTTCAGTTCTTGTATTGTCGTGTCTCAATGAGTGCAGTAGATCCTCTAACTCACCGATGACAAGGTCCGCGTCCACCTTCTCGCCGCCTTCCAGAGTCACTGTCCCTGTCTCGGCATCAATGTCGACTGCCTTTGTACCATACCGAACAATCGCTGGCACGCCCTTTAAGCCCAACTCCTCACTCCGCGCCGTTGCGAGTCGCAAGAACTCTGCACGCAAATCTGCCCGATGCTGGAGCAACCAGGGGCTACCGTAGTCCTGGGCGTAGTCTACCTCGATGTCCCTCACCATCTCTCCCGCCTTGTTCCAAGTCCGCAGGTTTCCCACAGGGACCGAACCTGTCCGCGTAGGGTCAAAGTTGAGCTTCGCTAGGATCCTAGTACCGTTAGGTCCAATGCTGATCGCTGCTCCCACTTCGATGGGGTCTGTTGAGAGCTCGAGCACGGTCACAGAATGCTGCTCGCGCAGTACTCGGGCGGCCAGCGAACCGGCGATCCCTCCACCTATGATCGTTACCTTGAGGCCAGACTGTGTCATTGTGAATGCTTGCTGTTGGTGTTGGGCCGTGGAGGTTGAACTGTCTCACAGCTAGGTCGGAATTGTTTCGATGTATGACTGCTCGCGTGTTAGTTGAGAAAGAAGGACTCGATTGGTGTTCTAAGAGGGGTTTTACAGGTCTATATATAGGGTCTAGTACCCTGGTCAAACAGGGAGTAAAGTCAGGTAATTTAGGCTACTAACATACCCTCGCAGGTTTGCACGTGACAAGGAGGTTTGGATATAGTGAAAAAGAACAAATCTTAGTCTATATAGGCACTTGATTTTAAAGCCCAAAAACCCCCCTAAACCGTACAATATCCCGTGAACCATAATATAAGACTCACGTGAGGAGCAAAAGGTCGATTAAATAGAGCAGTCGTATATATGTGGACCGGATATAAGAGCTGCGGGGAGGAAAAAGGCCGTGAAGTGTATAGCGTCGACGAGAACTGGTTAACGAGAGAGTGAAAGGATGTCAAGGGAGAATACGTCAAGTAGTGTGATGGTAGTGAGGCTTGAGAGGCTTGCCGTTAGCCGAAGAGTACCGGCTAATCAGAGGACGAGACTTATAGAAGGGAGGGGCGAAGGCCAAAGGGAGCTATTTGCTAGAAGGGAGGACCGGCTAGTGAGAGGGTGGTGCTCTTAGGAAGAGGAGGATCGAGCGAGCGGAGCTTTTGGCCTGGGCTATTAAGGGGAGAGAGAGCCCTTGAGTAGTAATAAGTGGCGGTGGCAGGTAAGCTTAAACCTCGTATAAGAGCTTAGCTAACGTGTTTCTCACTGAGAGAGGAGTGCCCGACGAGAAAGTAGGCAACTGTGAGGGTTGGCGAGAGAGAGAGAGAGTCATTATCAAGAAAGGCACTAGCGTAGCGAAGGGACTAACGAGCCTGCTGACAGAAGTCCGTGTTTTTAGCGATGTTTTCAGGCCTCACAAAACCAAAGTCGCCTACTTTACTTCATAGTTTCGCAGCAACTACAAGTTAAAACCTTATATAATTCAAGCGCATGAGATAAAAGAGGCCAGAATAGGTTTAGAACGCCTGCAAAATCAATTCCGAATATAAATTTGAAGTATCCAAAATAGTTATAGGGTTCATTTCTTAGCGAAATACCCTAAAAACACGGACTTTTGTCAGCAGGCTCGTAAGGCTAGTGTCTTGTGTATATTATTGTGGAGGTAACGAAGAGAAGGGAGTCGTGGTCGGGACACAAGAATAAGTCGTGGAATCGCAGAATACGAGGTAGTGCCTCTAGTAAGCACTTAAAGGACAAACGTTAAATTGTGTTACGAAATTAAGAGTTAGAAGAGAATATTAATAATTAATAAAGAAGCATTATTATGTAAAAGACTATTACTAGATTACTACAAGCTTGCTATAGTTATAAGTAAAGACTACTTTTATAAAATTAATTTTAAAATAAAGCAAGTATTAAGCATATATAAGAAACGATTATAAAAAATACTAAATAGGGAAAAGAGATAATATAATAAATATATATAATAACTTGAGAATATAAAAGACTTTAAATAAAGTATATATAGCTATAAAAATATAATACTCTTATAAAAATAAAGAAACTAAGAGCTTTAAAGAAAGAAAAAGCCAAGTAATATATAATAAAAAGTTATATAATTATAAAGTATTTTATATATTTGTTATAATTCTCTAATTAGATTACTTTATTACTTATTATAATTTTAGTATTAGCTTTTATAATTAAAAGTAAATAAGTACGTAATTACTTAACTTTATAAAGCAGTTTTATAATATAATAAAAGTAATTTGAAAATATATTATTTAATAAATTATAATAAATTCTTAATTAATTTTTTAATTTTTTAATTTACGTATTTCTCAAATATAAATTAGAACTTTAAGAATTTATTTTCTTATCTTTTCTTATAATAAATTATTTTAGTATTATTCGTTATCACTAAAATGCCCTGTACGCACAGGCCTATGAGGTTGGGCTCGTTACACGGCCCCCGTTCCGCGTTACCCTCCACTTTTCGGTTCACGCAGATCCGGCAATGTTCGATGAAACTGACACTGTCCTTAGGAACCACCTCTACTTGGATACAATTTTCGGTACCCTCGGCTCTGTGGTCTCAGTGCATAAGATGGCGGGATGTCACGAATTTCGAAGTGGCTTTCGCAAACACCTTGTTTGAGTTGGAGCTGAGGTCAGATCTTGATAAAATGCCTACGCGGGAGGTTCTTCCTGCACCTTTTGTACAACTAGAAGTGCAAGAGTATGTACTAATAAAGGTACTTCAGGATGACTAAATCTAAGTGGAACTTGCTGTAAGCTCGTTGATCCCCTTGGACTGGAAGCGAAGCAGCAAGAACCTGTTCACACCCTTCCACCCACATCGCAAGAACGCCTTATATCATGACCTGCTCTGGCTTCTAGCCAGTCATTGAAACTTATTCAATCTCTGCAATCACGGTTTTAGGTATGGGCATATCTGGCACCGTAGTCGACAAATGCACTTCTTTAAAGTACGAGATTTGAGACCGGATCATGAGCATCGGCTCTGTAGGCTGGAGTGACGGCAGCTCGTCCCAATCGCATGTCCTGATTCACGAACGGGACAGGTGCAAAATAACTAAATCTCAAACACAATCTCTCTCCCAACGGTAAAAATTCGATCACGATAAACTGACAGCCCAGATCTCTAATAGCGTCGCTTTCGCTGATGCAGCCACAACACCGTTTGCACTCTCTACCGTCTTCTGCGCTCTCTTCCTAAACCTAGCTTTACCTCCCCCCAACTGAGCAAAAAGCAAGAATGCTCCTACAGTTTTGATTCGGGTAAGCCTTCTATCCCAAATTATCTCTTTCTTCACCTCATTGGTAAATTAAGAGCTTCAGGGTGCATCCGGCAGCGTTGACGCCTACGGAGATCGCGGCATAAAATATCGGGAATACAGGGCATTATTTTATAAAGGCCACTAAAGGGCCTATAAGGTCTTACTTTAATCTCCCTGTAGCTTTTCTAGTACCCTATAAGCCCCTATAAGCTTACTGAAAGTGCCCTGAAGCCTTAATATAGGCTTATATAGCTTAACAAGTACTAAACGCCCCCAAACGCCTATAAATGTAGGCGAGTCCACTAATTAGTAGCGAGTAAAGGGGGGAGTAATTAACCTTAATACACATCTTTCCGTATATACTTTGTCTTAAATACTAATTCTAATTAATTAGAAAAATACTTTATATCTTTTGCATTATTTTAGTAATTATTATAGCTACTTTTAAAGGTTTATTTAACTTTTCTGACTTATTAAATAGCTAATTAGAGCTCTTTTCCCTTTCTAATTCATTAGATAACGAATACTATAATAAGTATACTAAAGATAAAGAGGATGCATAATATAATTTACTATTAGATTTGGATAATTCAGATAATAATTCAGCTAAACTAGTTCTTTTATTACTCGCTTCATTAACTGCTTTTATACTTGCTACTTTTGGGCCTAAAAAGCACTTTACTAGTACTAGAATTAAGGCTATTTATATACTTGAGAATAAGAAGTCTTTAGAACAAATTAGAGAAACTATAGAAGTACTTAAAATAGCTCTTTATTAACTCGCAGCTATAGCTAGAGAATATAAATAAGTAAAGAATAAGAATATGCCTTTAAAAGTCTTTTATATACTTAATATATTAAGATCTAGTCGACCTATAATCTTCTTTAAAGTAATTAAATATATTTTAAAGATTATTCTTTAAAATTCTATTATAAAAGGCTTTTCTTATATAATAATTATAAAGGAAGTAAGGAAGCTGTGATGGGCACACGTGATGGCGCATGGACAGGTGTCAGATGTCGTGGATCTAGTTTCCTATTTTAGGTAAAGCTTGCGATCGGAATCGTACGGATCGCATGGGATAGTGTTTCCTAGTTAAGTAAAGTGCTTCGCAGGCTTGGCTAAGCACTAGGGAACATATAGGGAGACGCTCCTAGCTTTGGAAAGGGGCATCAATTAGTCTTTTATTGGAATCAATTCTTGGAATCAGTTACACTTGCAAGCGTCACTCTACAGCTTACTTACCTTGACTACTTGTGCATCACCCTGCTATTACGTGCCTCACAGAAGCGGAATTATAAGATTATATTAAGAATATTTTAAAAGATTCCTATATATATAAGCTATTCTTAATATAAATTAGTAGTTTAACCTGATTTGAATAAGCTAAATATAGTAGAGTAATTAGCTTAATATTTAAAAAGAAAATATTAGATACTTGAAAAATAGAAGAATATTATTTTTATAAATAAAATTATAATATAATTAAAAGATATAAGAAAAAAGAAAAAGTATAAAGATTATCTAGAGAAATATATAATAAGCATTATATAAAATAATATTAGAAAGGCTTTTCTAAATTTATATTCTGGGAATTATTTTTATATAATAAGAAAGGGCCTTGCTATATATAAATAAAGTAGATTTCTTAAAAGAAAAAAGAAAGAAATACTAATTTGGATACAAGAAATTCGTTAATTAAGAAAGTAAATAAATAGAAGTAAGAAAAGAAGTAAAAGAAGTGGCTAAGAAATTAAATAAAGGTATATAAATAGGCTTCTAGAAAGATATAAAAAACTTGGAAGTATAATAAAGCTACTAGTATATTTATAGTAAATAATAGTTAAGGCAGAATTAATTAGTATAGATATTAAAAGAAGATTCTTATTAAGAAGCTTTAGTTCTTTATAAGAAAATACCAAAAGAATTAACCCGATATAATTATTTAAAAGAATAATATACTAGTATATAAATCTTATTACTAAGAAGTAATTTATAGCTTATAAAGAATTATAAAAATGATTTGGCTAGTAAATGTATCTGATCTCAATATAATTGAGAAAGCTTAGTTTTATATAAAAAAGAAAATAATAAAGCGGGGGCCAATAACTAATAGAAAGAAGCTCAAAGCAAGATAAGAGAAGTACTAGTAAGACTTATTCTAAAGTAAGATTCAGAAGTGGATTAAGGCAATTCCTTATTACGTAAAAGAGATAATTCGTTTAGAAGGGGGCAATAAGTATAAAGAAGGGAGGAAAAAGAGGGAAGAGAAAATTACTATATACTAGAATCAAAGTTATTAAAAAATAATCAAAATTAGAGGCTTATCAAGCAATAGCGGGGTAAGCCACACTTTCAGGGGACCCTTACAGGGCTTACAGGGAACCAGGAATAGCTACAGGAAGATTAAAGTAAGACCTTACAGGCCCTTTAGTGGCCTACATAAAATATATTATAAAAAACACCCTGTATTCCCGATACTTTTTGCCGCTATCTACGTACTCATTCCAGCTCGCCAGTCTAGCCGGCTACAAAGTAATAGCAATTGCCCTGCTCCGCACAACCCATCTCCTATAAACAGAGTCTATACGCCTCTGCCGTATTTGATGCCGCTAAATTGGACGTAGTGAAGAAGATCAAAGCTCTTGATCTTGACCTTAATGCGTCATTCGACACCGTCGTTAGCACGGAAAGCGTCAGCAAGCCTTGCACACGGCAAGGGCGCGTTATGTACCGCCGTCATGTATAAAGATAGCGAGAGCATGTTAGATGTTACCTTCTCGTCGTGCTTCTCGGGGAATATTCAGGGGAAGTTCATGGGCCTGGCGTGCATGCCCAGTGATTCAAGCTTGGGAAGTATCTGTGGGAACATCTACCGCCATTTTTGGAGACGCGGGGATCGGAGCAATTAGGCATAAGGTTATTGGAGATTTGGATAAGATATCAAGGATTGAAGGAGCTGAAGAAGGGCTCGAGGGAGAAACTTGTCATTTTGGTAGAACAGACAGCCTAGAAACACGAACTGTCTGAACGAGCCTACCTTTTCTTATTTCTCATCCTCTTTGAAGAACAAGATTGCAAGAGCATCCGTTTCTAGAACAAGCCTTCTAGTAGTACATAGTCTCTTACTCCAACATGTATATAAGCGATTTTACCCTTCACCTCCCAGGCTCGTAAAACACAAAATCATCGACATCACTTCAAAGCTGTGACAGAGCCAAAAATAAATAGAATACATAACTAGGTAGATAATAAACAAACCTCAACAGGAAAGCTTTCTATTAAAATTTATTTCAAAAGATTTGCTACTTTCAAGACTTTGTTAGACTCTGAGTGAGAGGTTCAGTGTCACAGATATTTCTGCAAGGTGGCGCGAAGGCACCCCTCGCACGCAAATATCACACTTTGTTTACTCTCCTGGATTACGCAAAGGCAATGACCACTCTTACGTTGAGGATAAGAAATGCGGTAGAAACAAATATAAGATTTAGGTTTCCTGATTTACAACTTCGCCCCATTCGTGAGTCGGAGAGAAGTGCTCATGCTGCCTACTCTTCATCTAATGGAGCATCGACATGCATAGTAATGGTCTTAGGTTCTACGAAGAAGCAGGAGGCTAGGAGAGATACGTGTCAGTGTGCAATTCTCTTTGGAGAGTGTGGTTGGGAGGAAAAACTCACCGATAGTGGCCACTCCAGCCAGAGCGGCAGCAGCGATCCACACGTTGCGAAAAGAGGCAGCAAAGGCCGTTTTGAGAGCGTTGACACCAGCTCCGATGATCTGAGGCGTAACTCCAGGAATGGCCATCAGAGTTGCCTGATCGTTATTTGCGAGCGCTGTAATGAAAGCTTTGATGTTTGCTGGCGCGAGTCCAAGAGGGATGACTGCAGCTGCGATACCTGGACCAAGCTTCTTGGCGAGAGCAGTGTTAAAGATAGATGTGACTGAAGGCATGCTTAGCTCATGTTGCTATTCTGGTTAAATTCGAATGTACTCACAAATCGCTAAACCAATAGATCCTCCAAAAGATCTGATGGCGATCAACGCTCCGGTCGTGACTGCAATCAGGGCTGGCGGCGTGCTAAGTTGTGCAACCGTCACAAGACACGTGAGACTCCAGCCAATGCCCAAGCCTAGAATAGCTGGGTAGACCCATGCTGCAGTCGAGCTGCCGGTTCCAACAGAAGCCATGCACGCTTGGAAACATCAGCTTGAGACATGGTAAGAGGTTGAAGGATATATCTCATACCATTAAAAACAATAAACATGGCAAAAGAGACGACGATGGGAGTCCGGACATGCTTAGTTATAGAAGAATAGACTGCGATCATCATAGAGGACGCCATTGAGGCAATGAAGGTAATGCCGAATCGAAGCCCAACTCTGAAAGGATCCGTCTCGAACAGGACACCCATTTCGTAGGCGTAGTAGTTGTTTGCAGCGAAGAAGACCATTCCGTCAACGAAGATGACGAACAGCGCGACGGGGAAGTTGCGTCCACCGCTGAAAAGTTCGTTATGGAGCAAGCCATCTTTCTTGAACACCGTTTGGTGCACTACGAGGGCTCCGAGAATGGTTGCACCGATCAGCAGTGGAGCGAGCACTGCAGCAGATCGCCAAGGGTACGGGTTTTCCGCCCACGACAGAGCCATAACAAATAATACCGTTCCTGTAGCAAGCAAGAAGTATGCCACCCAATCAAGCCGTCGAAGCTTCTCTCCGGTAGTTAAAGACTTCTGCAGTGGTCTGAGTGGTGGATTGTACAAGATGGCGAAAATTAATGCCGAGACAGCCAGAATTGCCGCTACCAAGTACCAAAACACGCGGAAGCCTTCAGCATACTTCTTGATCATAGTCGAGCCAGCGAGAAGTGCTGTCAAGCCACCAAGCCCAAGAGATGCATTTATTCCTCCTTGCGCTGCAGGTCGATACTTTCGAGGCAGGATCTCGGAAATAACAGAATAGAGCAGCGGTTGGGAACCATAGACCAGGCCGCAGATGACTTCGCCGGCAATGGCCATGCCCATGGAGGTTGCTCGTGCAACGACTATGCTGCCAACGAAACCACATGCTGTCAACACAACAAGGAACCACTTCCGACCCCAGAGATCGGCTGCTTGTGAAACTGGAGGGCCCAGGACGACAGTCAGGATGACAATAGCCTGAGAAAGCCAGACCGTTTTATCGGATCCGCCCACAGCAGCAGCAATATCTCTAGCAAACTAGGACCAGAATATCAGCTCAATGCGCATAAAAGGATTGCCACCAGTAAGATGGTGGTGGTGTATTGGAAAGGGAAGCGGAAAGAAGATGGAAGAGATGATTACTTACCGCGGCTGCACCCACCAGGTTCAGTAGCTGAGCGAAAGCAATGAAGTTTATAGACTGAGAACTGATCAGATTGCTCACGCTACAAATTTACAGAAGAACATACGGCATAGACCAAAACGATCTTTGCGTTGAGTCCATGGTAGTTATTGACATTGACTGTCGCGATCCTGTCGAGATCTTGATCGACTTGCTCGTTCTCAGACTCGACCTGCTCGACCTGCCTCTTTTCCCCTGAATCGGTATCCTGTTTTGAATGCATGCTGGGCTTGTACGGGAAATATATCGTATTTAGCAAATGCCAAAGACAAAATTGTATGGTAAAGCAAAGCTATCATGCCAGACGTTATTGTCCAAAGGTTAAAAGGACAACCCACGGTTTCGAGACGACTCCTTCGCTTCCCCACATCCCGGTCGGTGAGATCAGTGCAGTCGGTCCGACGTAAATAGCTCCAAAAAAATGCAAAATTACTATAATACTAATTATTATAATTATTATAATATTAAAAAGTACTTTCTTTATATTTATTTTATAATTAGTTTTATAAATAAAATAATTATACTTTTAATTCTTATTATTAAATATTTAAATAAAAGAATTTATAATTTATATTTATTAGAAATTATTAGGGATTTGAGGAAATATAATTAAAAGAAAATTAAAAGCTTAAAACTTAATAAAATATATTTATAAATAAATAATAAATTAATAAAATTTAATTTAATATAAAACTAATTTTTATTTCTTTTAGAAGATTTAAATAACTTCTTTTAAATAAAAATTATAAAAATTAGTATTATATAATTATTACAAACTAGTTATATTAATTAAGCTCGGTATTTTAGTAGTTTTACTTCTATTTACTTATTTATTATTATATCTTACTTCTTTTTTCTTTAGTTTTAAATACTAAAAAATAAGAAACAGAAATCTTTGTATTTTATTTTAATAATTTAGCCTTACTATTATAAATATATAATTATTATTTAATAATATAAGAATAATATATAAGGTTAATTGAGCTTTATTATAGATAATTTAAATATTTATAACTTTATATATATTATAATTATATTAAAAACAAAATAATTAAGATATCTCGAGCTCTTTATTATATATAAATTTATATAAATTAAGTATATATAAATTCTCGAGAGTCATATAATTAGAAATTATAATATATTTTATTTACTGAGCTCTATTATAATTATATTATTTGATTTCAATAAAGTAGGGTTAAATTTAAGTAGTTATTATAGTTGTAAAATAGTGACTAGTTTATTACTTTTAGGTCTAACCGACTGTACAATGCCTTGCACTGAACGAGAGTGACAGCTCGAGCGTTGACCGCTTTACCTGCTGAGATCTGACCCTTCCAATCACCAGTTGGGAATATCACTCACAGGCCAGCGATCTGGATCCAGAATGTGGAAAGGGCATTATCCGTTGTTTGGCTTCGCACATGCTTCACCCACTTTCCGTCGAGACCCACGGGCGACTCCTAGCACAAAGGCGGAGCAAATTCGGAGGTGTCTCAGCCTCGCTGCTCTTCGGCATTGTAACCGGCAGCGCAGGCGAGGCTACCTTTGTAGACCCCACAAGCATTTTACTTCCAACCCAAACGAGCAAATCATCTCAACTAGCTGACACCGCATAGATTTTATCTTACAATGACCACATTACTTATCAAGAAGAGAAACAGGAGTCAACGTAAAAGACGTGAAGGTCGACATGCTCTGGGCGAGGCGCTGAACGTTACAATTGTTTCGGGTGAGTTCTTGAAACTGAGTGAAACCCAGTGTGGGCTCCGATAAATTATCGATCGAAATTATCGATTAGTAATCGTTATCGGCTAATCGATCGATAGTCGATAAAAATCGATAATATTATCGATAAAAGTGGGTCCAGGCTTAGCGATAGCTACAGGGCCAATGCGCTGTATTTATCCCTTCGTCCGGTGAGACATGTCCAGCGCTAGCAAGGGGGGTGTGGCTGCACGCAAGCCTCTTGAAGCGTAATAAAACGAGATGAGGCTTGCGTGCAGCCACACCCCCCTTGCTAGCGCTGGACATGTCTCACCGGACGAAGGGATAGGGCCTTAGCCCCTATATTTTTAGACGTACCAGAATTCCGATTTAGTAAAGGCGGTATAAGGCCTATAAATACAGCGCATTGGCCCTATCCCTTCGTCCGGCGAGACATAGTCCACGCTAGCAAGGGGGCCTGGCTCAGACTGTAAAGTCGTACCTTTGCTAATAAACTTATTAGTCATCTATCACCTTTTCGCCCTGAGCCAGGCCCCCTTGCTAGCGTGGACTATGTCTCGCCGGACGAAGGGATAGTGGCCCTGTAGTATTGCCAAGGCCCTGGACCGATAATTATCGATTATCGAAAAATTAGCGCGATTATCTAATCGTCGCTTATCGAGCTTATCGGAGCCCACACTGGTGAAACCATCCGGATGGACTCAAAAGGAGTGTGCCCCTGCTGACCCCTTGTTCAGTCTGTACAGTATTCCCAAACCAGGATTGTCTGCCTGAAGTAGTAATTTGATATATAGACTAGTACTCTTCTAGTCCTAAAGATCTTCTCATACCTTGCGAATGCCTCACAGCGCCTCTTGAGATCTGCATAGGGCGTATGGCCTGAGGCCATAGGGCGTTACAGCGGGCCCAACCCCCTAAATTGTGCCCCGGGGGATGCCAAGGGCCCAAGTGGCCTGTAATCCTATCACGTTATGCAGTGATTTTCGTATATCAATTCCGCTCCAGACATTTCGCAGCAGCTGGAAACGCCGCGGTATAATCTTTTACCCAGGACGGAAAACTTTCCAATCGTTTCAAATGCTTGTCGTCGACAAGTACACCCAGCAACCCAGATGATAGTAAGATTACCAGTAAGATTTCGACACATTTCCGCGGGCTCCGTGTTATAGTCGACGGGGAATGTTTTCGCCTCGTCTCTGCCTACAAGCCCAAAGTGCATACGCCTTGTCGTGAGGAACTGTGGCATGCCGATCGCTGAAGTTGTGGAACAAGTTCAAAACTTCCAGAGAGAATGGGCGTTCTGCCTCTTGCTCTTGTCTAGATCCGTTCAATTGCCATTGCACCAACGCATTCTCGCTAACCGTGTTGCAGAACCACATGCAAAAGCCACGTTCAAATTCTTTGTTCTCGTAGCACACTTCAACGGAGCACGTTTTTTGTTTTTTTTTGTTTTTTTTTTGGAGTGCTTGGTGTAGGTCTTCACTGCAGGAATAAACTCAACACATTCGAGCTGGAGGTAACCACAAACCACTTTCGACTTCTTAGGCCGAATGGCTCCTCGCACAGTCCAAACCCTGGTACACCACCGCCTGTGGATGAGGACGTTGAGGTCCTGCACCGCCAAACTTCGCTAGTCTCTTCCAGAATCGGGATAAGTGCTGAGCTTTCTTCGCTCGAAACTTATATATCGTTTGTTGGTGCAAATCTTGCTGATCGAAAAAAAAAAAAAAAAAAAAAAAAACGAATAGGAGTAGTAATAGATTTTAGAGTTTTAACAATGCCTAATTCGTTGCTTGTATATACTTAAGCCTTTCTCTCAAATTAGATTTCTTAATATAGGTATAAGGAAGTTTATATATAAGAGCTCTAGTTTTAGAGCATGAGATAAGTAAGGCAATTATTATATACGAGAAGAAAGTTCCAGATACTCAATCGCTAAATTTTCAGGCTCTCTTAAGGTCGATACCCCTAATTAATACCCGGAGAGGTATTACGTTATATTTTCCCATTTTACTAGAGGTTAAGAGGAAATAAGTATTGCTCTATACTATAAAACCCTAAATGTTTAATTTTTTTTTAACTAATTGCAATACCAAATTTGTCTTGGAAATTCGCAATAAATCCACAATAACGTGCTAGAGAATGCAATACGCGTATTTGGTGCTATTATATATTAATTTATATATATTAGTGTATATAAAGTGATATATACGGGCACCTGCCACTGTTTGCTAATTTCGGTTAGTATAGCCCCCAATCGATACCCCTAATGGGCGAGTCGTTTTAGTTCTTCCCGTTTTTGCAAGTATAAAGAGCAAACTAATAACGCAAAACTTTGCTGACCGCGTATGCTAGCTTAGGACAACGTATCTATTGCGGAGGTATTTATAGTCCCTCTCTTTGCACCTCTTTTAGCTAATTGTTAACATAGTCTCTATCCTCTTTCGGGCAACCCTCGTTTGATTCTCATCTCGAGGATAATGAAGATGCGGTTGAATAGCAAAGGCAGCAAGAGACGAGCATGTTTAGACGACAACTACGGAATCATCCGCCGCTTCTCCGGTGTTGAAAAGGGCTACCGGGGCTTGTTAGGGGACCGAAGCTAGGATAGACTCGAGAATATAAACGTCTTTCAGCACATTCGATAATGTGGCCATATTTTGCCTCCATATAAGGGTTTCAGTCAAGATATATATTTGTTCTAGATTCCACGATCAGCAAACCACAACATTTCTAGATGTCCTCAGCATTCAGCACTCAGTCCATTCCCCTCCTGATTTGGCATACTCCTGGCTTTCCACAAAGTTCGACAGCGTGCACCTCCCGTATTCATCTCCGCCACAAAACTCCAGTGGCTGGACCGCATCATTCACCAATATTCTAACCATTTCCTCCTGAGTTCCGTTACATAGCATCTTCTCAACGTACGCCCGTGCCGAAAATGGCACCGTCTGGAAAGAAGTGTATCCCGATGTTTTGCTCGAATTTCGATCAGTTGCATTTAGCCCGCCTTTTACAACAGTTGAATTAAAGAGACCGAGCGCGGAGAAGATCGATGTCAACTGTGTATCGTGCGAGAAATCGGCGTACAGTGCCAACCCCAATGGGAATGTCGAGTTTGAAGAATCCAGGGCCGTGTTGGTTGAGGTGTGGTCGACAACCGCTGTGTTCGTTAAGCGGGCGAGAAGCTCATTTACCCAACCGACTCCTTGGGTGGGGCCTAGGCCGTTTCCTGGACCATTGCCAAAGTACTTGTCGAGGTCCTGCAGGAATTCGTACGACTCCCATTCATCATCTATGAAGAGGGAGCAAAAAGGCGAGATGGCACCATTCGGGGTCGCAACGGTCTCAAACGGACACATGTCCATAATGGCTACTGTGTCGTTGACGTTCAGGTTTGCTCCTGGCAGGTCCGCGTTCAGGCGAGCGGTTATCGGAGCCGCAAAAATATTGGTCCAAATTTGGTCCTGGTCGTCGCCGATAGTATCGAACGGGGTGTCATTCTCAAAGGCATTGCAGGTTTCAACTTTGAGGGTGTTGTTGCTGGTTTCGACCTTAGGAATAACAAGGATCGAATTAGCGGGAACTAGCTTGGTGGTTGCGCTCCTGTTGCTTGCTGCGGCATTGAAGCCTTGCGTAAAGTTCTGGGCAGACTCGATCACTCGTGCGCTTTCGGATGCTCTCACGAACGGAGCAGAAACATTGCCGAGGGCGCCGTACCGGTCGAAGAATTTCAACCCAGAGTTGACCAATTCTTGTTGTCCGAAATGCGTGAGATTATCCTCGCCCAAGATATAAGTAAAGTTCGTAAGAAAGTCATAGTTTGACGGCAGAGAGAGACTGGAGTTCCGCAAAGCTACTTGCGCTTTTGCAAGCGCAGTTTGGATACGCGCTGCATTTCCGGACGTAGGAAATCGTGCTCCGTGGCGGGAGAGGATTTGTGCAAAAGTAATTGAGCAGCCGGGAGGGGTATCGTCAGATCCATTGGTAGCTAGAGAAAAGAATGGCGATAGAGCTCCTAAGTTTTGCGTTATCAGAGGCTGATTCGAATAGCCCGTGATTGGATTATCATAGATTATAGAAGATTCTACTGGCAATACGCTAATATTCTATTAGCAAAGCGGTGACTTCGAAGGTTTAAGATTAGTCAAAACTTGCCAAGCGATGAATACCAGTGAAAATAGAATAGAATAGGAGCTGATCGATGGTATATACATAATGGCGTTATCGATACGGGCATAGAGCGTTTTGGGACGCGAAGACGCTCAAAATTGGATGATGCTCTGTTAGACTGTTCCCGCAACTTTTCTAGCTATTGCATTGTACAGACAAGTATAATATATATATTCGGGCCACAGTTGCATTAAACGTGCACATTCTGCCAGGTCAGAGGCGTTAAAATATAATTAAACATGAGCATGAATTAAGGTCGCTTAAGTGCAAGGTCAGGGTAGGCGCTTGACTATCGCTAACTTCATTATTTGATTATTGTTTCACGGTGAACGACTACAGCATTATGCAAAATAGATATTCGCAAGGCTGCCGTTGGTTCGTGCTCATTGGTACTGCAAAGGTTTCACAGCGAAGTGTGAGCTAGGACTCAACACTTGACTCCAATGAGGTCGAAACAGGATATCCTTGGTGAAGCCTTCAACAGTTCCAACGCTCTTATTTTTAAGATGCAAAGGAGTTCGGGAGCTTACCGGTGCCTGGCGGATCCCAGTTATTTGGCTCAGCCCCAAACCGAAGGGTCAGAGAAGAACATGAAACTTCATCTTTCGCAATCGGCCCGACGAACGCGTGTTTCCGGGCTCTTTCCTCATGCCGAAAATAAAGGCTGCCGGGCGCAGCGTTCTTTTTCTGCTAGGGCACGTGACCGACACGTGCCACACGCGGATAGCTATATTCCCCACTGGCATAGCTTATTCAGAGAATAGCCATATTTCTTACTAGGTAAAAGGATATATTTAGAAAGACAATATAAAGATTAGTAGTAAAAGAAGTAAGGAGACTACTTAATAAGCAATTAATTAAGTCTACGGGATCCTTATTAGTTAGCCCTTCCCTGCTACCCAAATTTTCTGAATGAGGGGTAATTTCCTTAAAAACGCTGCCGCCAGCAGTAGCGTTTTCAACAGCAAGGTAATAGCAGTTTCTATTACAATTTGAGATAACTTGCCCGCAACTAGGTATTTCTTTAAACGGAGAACGAGGAGCTACTATCCCTTCGTCCGGCGAGACATAGTCCACGCTAGCAAGGGGGCCTGGCTCAGACTGTAAAGTCGTACCTTTGCTAATAAACTTATTAGTCATCTATCACCTTTTCGCCCTGAGCCAGGCCCCCTTGCTAGCGTGGACTATGTCTCGCCGGACGAAGGGATAGTGGCCCTGTAGTATTGCCAAGGCCCTGGACCGATAATTATCGATTATCGAAAAATTAGCGCGATTATCTAATCGTCGCTTATCGAGCTTATCGGAGCCCACACTGGTGAAACCATCCGGATGGACTCAAAAGGAGTGTGCCCCTGCTGACCCCTTGTTCAGTCTGTACAGTATTCCCAAACCAGGATTGTCTGCCTGAAGTAGTAATTTGATATATAGACTAGTACTCTTCTAGTCCTAAAGATCTTCTCATACCTTGCGAATGCCTCACAGCGCCTCTTGAGATCTGCATAGGGCGTATGGCCTGAGGCCATAGGGCGTTACAGCGGGCCCAACCCCCTAAATTGTGCCCCGGGGGATGCCAAGGGCCCAAGTGGCCTGTAATCCTATCACGTTATGCAGTGATTTTCGTATATCAATTCCGCTCCAGACATTTCGCAGCAGCTGGAAACGCCGCGGTATAATCTTTTACCCAGGACGGAAAACTTTCCAATCGTTTCAAATGCTTGTCGTCGACAAGTACACCCAGCAACCCAGATGATAGTAAGATTACCAGTAAGATTTCGACACATTTCCGCGGGCTCCGTGTTATAGTCGACGGGGAATGTTTTCGCCTCGTCTCTGCCTACAAGCCCAAAGTGCATACGCCTTGTCGTGAGGAACTGTGGCATGCCGATCGCTGAAGTTGTGGAACAAGTTCAAAACTTCCAGAGAGAATGGGCGTTCTGCCTCTTGCTCTTGTCTAGATCCGTTCAATTGCCATTGCACCAACGCATTCTCGCTAACCGTGTTGCAGAACCACATGCAAAAGCCACGTTCAAATTCTTTGTTCTCGTAGCACACTTCAACGGAGCACGTTTTTTGTTTTTTTTTGTTTTTTTTTTGGAGTGCTTGGTGTAGGTCTTCACTGCAGGAATAAACTCAACACATTCGAGCTGGAGGTAACCACAAACCACTTTCGACTTCTTAGGCCGAATGGCTCCTCGCACAGTCCAAACCCTGGTACACCACCGCCTGTGGATGAGGACGTTGAGGTCCTGCACCGCCAAACTTCGCTAGTCGTCTAAATTGTTATATTCAACTTCCCTCGTGTCGTTTGGATAGATATCATCAAAATGCTTAGCTTGAGAGAGGTCGTAAACTAGGCTAAGACCTTCTTACATCATGATATCTATCCCACCGTTGGTGTTAATGAGAGAGCAGCCGCCTCCAGGTCCGCGATCGACTGCCTCGAGCACCTTCCCAAGCCACATGATGCCAGAAGTCGAGCAGCTATAGTTGGAGGACAACATCTCGACCTGCCATGATTTTTGAACGGGATCGGATCGATTGATACAGAGGGCGTCAATCCACAGCGTCTGAGGTTTTTTGATAGCGTAGCGCAGGTACTAGAGGGCATCGGCCAGCGCAACCGAGACTTGAAACTCATTTTTGCAGGTGATAAGCGGCTGGAACGTCCGCAATTTTGCGACATCTCAGGATTTGCAAGACCCAAGCCGCCTGCTTCCTTACACAAATAGATACAAAAACAGTATGCCCCTGCCAATCCCTGCAATATCCCTGTTTTGCTCGCGTAGCATTCCTAAAACATGGGTATACGCCCAAAGGGGAAATAACAGGAGGCCAACTCTAATTAGAATACATAAGCACCCTCTCTGGGTAAACCCTAGAACGGGTGCTTATGCAATTGAGAATTGGATTCCCTTATAGCCCCCTTCCCCCGCACTTTGCAAGCTAATTTTTATAATTTTATCGTAAAGTAAAGCTTTCTTTTTCGGCTATTCTTTAGCCCCCGGTACGCGTATAAAAGATAATCGTTCGGCGGTTCCCACCTACAATTCGCCTAGCACGCCTTGTAGGTGAGGGATAGCGATACGCACAGAACAGCGATACGCAAATTTTTTACCCCACTTCCACACATCACTCTACCAAAATCACCAAAATGCCACCCGAACCACATGAAATCGAAGAGCGCATAGCTAAAGCCTCTCATGCAATGGATAATGATCCTTACCTGAGAGGTACGAAGGCTGCAAAGCAATTTGGGGCCCCATACGAACGTCTAATGGCTCGTCGACGTGGGCGTCCACCCAGCCACTCGCGAGGAGGGCAGAACAAAAAGCTCTCCGTACCACAAGATGATGCTCTAAAGGAGTATATTCTTATGCTCCAATATTCCGGCCGTGGGGCCAATATATACGAGATTCGTGCAGCTGCAGGAAGGCTCCTTTTTTGGAGCTCTGGGGATTCCAATTCGTCAGTATCGATTCGATGGACCAAAGCATGGATGGTCCGGCAAGCCGAATTCCTCAAATCGATACGAGAGAAGCCTTTATCCGCAAAGCGATTGGCCGCATATATTGTGGAGGACGTCAAGGGGCATTTTCAGGAATTTGATCGATGCAAGAGAAGATATAATGTGGAGGATTGCGATGTGTCCAACTTTGACGAGAGTGGATTCCAAATTGGAGTAGTTACCGGCGATCGAGTCTATGTTTCCCACGATTGCGAAGCTATATATAATACAGATTCAGAGAATCGAGAGCTTGTAATAGCAGTGGCTACGATTAATTATGGAGGAACCAAGGTGCCAGCGATGATTATTTTTAAGGGAGCATACCACTTGCGGGGACACTTCAAGAACCAGCTTGACGAGAATATACTTTTCGCGCGATCTCCCACAGGATTTACTAATTATCGGCTTGGAGTATGCTATATTAAGCATTTTGACAGATTCTGTCCCCCTTCTGGACCCGGCAGATATCGTATCTTGATTTTCGATGGCCACGGCTCTCATATTATTCGCGAATTCCTAGATTATTATTGGAAGCATCGCATACGACCATTCAAGCTTCCTGTACACACCACTCACCTTCTCCAACCTCTTGATGTGGCCGTTTTCCAAGCTTTAAAGCATTGGTTCCAAGTCGAATTACGTCGAGAGATCTTTATGGGTACAGAGACAATGGACAAAAAGGCATTTTTTGCGATATTCCAGAGGTTTTGGGATAAGGTGTTCAATAGCCGCACGATCGCACGGAATTCCTTCAAGAAAACAGGGCTAATTCCTCTCGAACCAGAAGTGGTACTCTCAAAAATGAAGGAATATAAGTAACTTCAGAAGCAAACAAGACGACAAGCTCGTACGCCATCTCCTCCAACCTCTCCAATTCGACAATCTTCACCAATTCTTCCCTCCTCTCCTCTCGCATTTGCTACCCCGCCACCCCGCACTCCTCCTCCTGCCGAGAATTAGGCTAATTGGGCCACGCCATTGACAATTCGCATACGAAAGAAGGGTGTTATATATGTGAAGGAGCGAATAGAGGCAGCAATGAACGGTATACCAATTACACCATCTGTAAAGCATGTACAAGAAAAGGTTAAGGGTGCAGCGGAGCGATCCATACTATCCGGTGCTTTAGCAAAGCAAAGGGTCCACGATTTGAGCCTTGCAGAGCAAGAAAGGGAGAAGAGGAACGATAGGGATAATGGAAGGATCGTTCAAAAGTATGGAGAGATTTATGTATATTAAGGGCGAGCAGATATTGCAGCAGATGACGAGGATGAGGTCAAAGTAGTTAATATGCGGAACGCCCGATTGGCCAAACCATGGAGGAAAAAGTATCGACAGATGATGGTATTATTTCCAGAGGACTATTGGAAGGTAAAGGCTCAAATGCGCTGTACTTTCCATGATTTATGGGAGTGATGCGTGGGGTTTAAGGCAAATAATAGTAGATTTTGGTAAAAAATTTGCGTATCGCTGTTCTGTGCGTATCGCTATCCCTCACCTACAAGGCGTGCTAGGCGAATTGTAGGTGGGAACCGCCGAACGATTAGGCAAGACGTACGTCCCTCTGTCCCTTACTTATAATTACTTAGGAAATATATCCTCAAGAATATACGTATACTTTTCGTACTTAAGATATACGTATATATACGCTCCTGTAAGGTGCCGAAAGCGCCGAATGCCGTGCCCCTAGCCTATTAAGGTCCTAATATTAGTAGAGAAATAAGCTTTAGAACTCCCAGAACTAGCGCTCTGTCTAGTTATGCTACAACCATAAATTATAATGCATTATAAGTTAAGGTGTTACTTTGCGAAAGCTAAACCAAGTTTTAGAATCTAAGAAATTAGCTTTAGCGCTGAATCAGGTGGTGGTTTCTTCGCGAAATGCAATGAAGATATAACTTCACGATCAGTCCGCAGGCTTCACAGCTAAACGGAAGCAAGAACAAAGATAGAAGTATTAGAGCTTGACCACTTGATACACCAAGAAAATGAATTACAATGTAAGAAAGGGTTTTGCCACTTGGCTTTTCAGTAGGTATCCGGACTTCCAAACATATTGTCCGAAGCGTGTGGTTAACCAGAGGCAAATTGGTGGCCCAATCACATCCTATATGTGTACAGGACTATTACTGCCTTCGTAGTGCAAACGTCCATCTCGATGAAATACTAATTCTTGAACCAAAAGACCGCGATGGGCACGTTTATAAGGAGTCTCGGGAATAACTTCCAAAACCACAGACCTCGGCATATATCCATCTTCCCCACATTGACGCCACCTCCCCACGCCCTCTGCCCGACAGCCGGACGAGGTCTACTAAAAAGGTCTATTTTGCGTTAAAGGGCGCGCGACGGGCAAGGATCTCTCGACCCCTCATTCTCTCCTCCAAATCTGCTGGTTTTTCTTCCTCGTCCATTCTTCGTCTTTCCTTCTGTCTTCATTCAAATGTCCTTCTCGATATCAAATAATTTCAAAATGGCACCCCCGTCAGCAATCCACACGCATGAGACCGCCGGCACAGGCGCCTCAGTCCCAACAAACTCCAACGGTGGCCCAGGAACAGCAACCCACGAGCCCGGCCTGACGAAAGCGCAAGCCGAGAAAGCCGAGATCGAGATGCCCAAGTTCCCAGCGCCGAAGAAGTTCGAAGACAAGTATCAGGAGAGGGAATATCAGAAGGGCCGGTTGGTGCTTGCGTTTAGGATTTTTGCGAAGCTGGGGTTCGATGAGGGTGTTGCGGGACATATTACTTTAAGGGTGAGTTCATGATCCGAGTCCAAGAGTGGGGGATGGTTGGGAAAGTAGTGGGGGGCAAATGGAGGGGTTTGGAGGGGAAAGATCAGGAATGCGAGTGCTGACGAAAGGATGTCCAGGACCCGGTTGAACCAACGAGCTTTTGGGTTAATCCCTTTGGTGTCGCGTGGCCACTTTTGAAGGCTTCGGATCTTATTCGAGTTAATGCCCAAGGCAAAGTGGTTGACGGAGGACCCTGCCGTTTGCTGAATGCTGCAGGTACGGTCCCAAATTCTTGTCTACCTCGCTCCGTAAGCACTATCAAGAAGATGTTGACTGTGTAAATAGCATACATGATCCACCACGCCGTTCATACAGCTCGCCCCGAAATAAACTGCGTTGCGCATTCGCATTCCCTATACGGACGAGCGTTCTGCTCTCTCGGTCGAAACCTCGATATCATTACACAAGATTCCTGCGCTTTCTATAACGATATCGCTCTATACTCTTCTTTCAAAGGCATAGTTCTAGACGAAGAAGAGGGAATCGCCATTGCGGCAGCTCTTGGGAATAAGAAAGCTGCTCTTCTACAAAATCATGGTCTGTTGACGTGTGGGAGGTCGATTGAGAGCACAATTTTTTGGTTTATGAGTCTGGAGAAATGTTGTCATGCTCAACTTTTGGCTGATGCAGCTGCCGGCGGAAGAGGTTGCGAAACTGTCAAGATTGATGAGAAGGATGCCGAGTATACTTATCAGACTGTGGGCACTGAAGGAGCGGGGTGGTTCAGCGCGCGGCCGACTTTTGATATCATGGAGCATGAGTCCGGGTTGGACTATAAGTGGTAAATGGAGATCTCTGGTGTGAGATATTGATATTGTAAGGAGACCCTGACAATAAGACAATCGTTTAAAGTCATTTTAGTAACCTAGTAGTTTCTTGGTAGCCTCTTCATAGGAGTCGGGCTCGACAGTGGAACTTCGAGGTTTTAAGCCGATGAAAACTATTTAGCTTTGTTCTTACCCGTCATCTCAACCAACACTAGATCAATATCGCCCGATACCTTGTTATGTAGTCCAGGATTCCTAGACCAGGAATCCGATCACTTTACCCTGAATGCCTATCGATCAGCAAACTCCAACTTCGATTCTTTTCCCTTCCTTCCTCAACTTCCTTTCCGTGTCTGAATTTGTCGCAACTTTGCAAGTATGGGTAGGTAAACTGAAACAGGTTGGATGTAGGGCTTTGCGAGTCGCTTAGAACCTTCACAACCGGAAGGAACAGGGGCCTTGGTGCCCGGAGTCTCCTGGCAGACTTGCTTCTGGAACCTCGTCACACTCGCACTGAATACCATGGCTCAGCCTTGTGGAGAAGTGTGTGATAGGAGGAGTCGATATTCCATGTATATGCGAAGCTGCCCAATTTTTTCCCTTGCGGATGCATTTCCGATCCTCACTCACCTTGGCTTCGACCCTCACTCGTCCTTTTGGCTTAGAATCTCGCTACAAATTTCCATTGCCCAGTTCATAAAGCTTCGATTCGAAGATGATATGGAGAAGCAGAGAAAACTTGAAATCACTACCTTTATGTGTTGGCTGCTATTTGTCCTGCGACCACTCTCGCAAGTTATTCGATTAACCTCATTTCACGGTACTCCATGGACAAAACTACTCGGATTCAGCTTTCTGGTGCCATGGGTGTTAGTGGAACTTCTAGTTTTTATTTCGGAAAGTTGGCCAATCGAACAAGGAAATGCTCACACGACCTACCGGTCTCTTAACAGTCTAGATAGACTTTGTGGAATATTTGGCTTGGTTGCGTGTTTTGTCCACCTTATTTCGGCATTCGGAGGGCCATTGTTCTTCATAACAGGTTTTACAAGGGAAAAAGACGCAGATTCAAATTCGCTTCAGTGGAAGAATACGAAGATAGATATATCAATTCTTCTTTTACCATGCTACTTTTACGCGTTCTGGATCGTTTAACTTATCATCTTATTATTGGTTCGCAGGTTTTGTCACAGAAACCTGGTAATTGGTCAGAATCTACTGCTAGCTTTTCTTGAAGGAAGCCCGCCCATAGTAGATGTCCCGGGCGATAGCTGTCCCCGATCAGGCATTGTTTTGATTGTTAGTGTTTGTGGTTAACTGTTTGATCTGCTTAGGTCTTTACGCTTTCTCATACAATTCCACTGGAACTAGTAGTTCGATATCGGAATCTCGACACGAGTACTTTCCATTTTCTTCTTTGGACCTGAGCTGCTGCTGCTATAGCCTGACCTGTGGGTGAGCCAAGCCGAAGCTAGGCTGACCAAGCGAGCCAAGGAGGTGAGCCCACGGTGGACGGGGTGACCCGTTTGGGCTCCTCGGCTACGACTGCCGCCGGTGCCAGGGACCCGAACTTTGTTCCCTTTTCAACGCTGTCGTTCCTCAGGCGCTATCGTAACGAATGCGCCAGCGTTGGGGAGTCTAATTTTGCTCCATTCTCAACGCGAGTATTTCTCATACGCCAGCGCCGTACGACCTCACCTACTCTAGCGCCTTCCCTAAACCTCCTTACCTAAACTATAACAGCCACTCTAAATAATTCTAGTATAAGCTAATCCTATCAAATATCCCTTTTCTCCTATAAACCAAACACTAAGCAAATGTTACACTTCGTGTCCCAAGTCACGTGCCACGTGGTTTAAAATTATCGTTACACATCTATTTTAAGCTGCGAGTATATTATAATAAGCGTTGCGTTTGATTATTTCTTCCCCTCTCCTTTAAAGTACAGCATCAACCACGTTCTGTCACGTGAATTGTCATGTGCATGGAGCAAGTGAAGCTATCAATTTACACGCGTACACTTCTACGTAATGATATTCCCTTGATACGCAATCGTCTATAAATTCACATCTAGAGTGATAAGGAGAATATCTTTCCTACTATCATCCGGCGCTTCTACGATTTCAATTGTTATCCGTCCAATAAATCAGGGCTGCATAGGCCAACCAACCACACGTGGCTATTGCTGATTCGCGAAAAAGCAAGGGTTCGGCGGCTAGTTCATGGAGTTCACACCGACGCCCTCTTGAGATCCATGGAACGCTGCCCAAACTCAAAACACGCAGCTAATCACCATTATAGCTTGTACTTGAAGAGCAGCACCTGTTGCAGAGATCGCACTCGACTAATCTCGCGACTTACCAGAGTGGTTCTGATAAAACAAGACAAGGAGGTAGCTCAGCCGAACTTCCTCGCGGTTTTTGATAGAAACAGGCAAGATCTGAGACCCAGACTGTAAACCAGTTCACATCAATGATCGTGCTGATAATGAAATAGCCCTACCGATAAGAAAGGAGTGCTATATTAGTAATACATCGGTACACCAAGTAGCTGTAATAGCTGGACGGCCTTAGCCGTGTCGATAAGGCTACGAGCGAGAGCGCATGAACACATATGCTCACCCTCTTCCTCGAAATCGCCCTTCTCTTATCCCATTGACCATCAGTCACGATTCGAAGTGGAATTATCTATATTCCCAACCTCAATCTACTCAATATTCTTGGACACAGCACCACGGACAGGTTATTCACGTGCTCAACTGAAAATGTTGGATCCGTTGACTTGCCTCAGTATTGCCTGCAGCGTGATGCAGATAGTATCCTTTTCTCACGATGTCACTTCTATTGTCAAGCGTATCAAGAAGGATGGCACTGCGGACCCCCAACTTCGCGAGCATGCTGACAATCTTTCCAAATCGTCGGAGGGGCTGGAGCAGTACCTCCAAAGTTGCGACCTGAAGCACCTCCCCAAAAATCAGGAGGACCTTCGGGAAATTGCCTCGAAGTGTCTGGAAACTTCGAAGGAGATTCAATCAAAGATGGACAAAATTGACTCGAGTCGAGGTTTTCTTGTCTTGAGGGCATTAAAATTGAAGTGGCGGAAGGGTGATTTCGAGAAACTGGAACAAGATATGCGAAAATACCAAGATACAATGCAAACTCACATTTTGGTCCATCTATGGTGCGTTTATGGCTTTCTCGAGGGCTACAAAGCTAACCCTGTCAATAGCAACCAAAATGATGCCGCTGCTCTGGAGCAGCAAGCTGGGTTCCAAAAGCTCGACGAGATTCTCAAAAAATTCATCAGAGCGTATGTGCAAGGCCAAGCGCAACTTAGAGATCTCATTTCGGACGAGTTTTGGGCAACCCAGGAATTGGTATCTGCTGCGAACGAAGCTACAAGTCGACAAATAGAGGCAGAGAGCCACAAAACCCGCGAGCATGTTACTACGACCCAAGCTGCTACAGAATCCCGACGAGATCAACAAGCTCAACGGCAACAAGTCCTCGGTAGTCTTTGTGATAAGGATATGAATGCACGTCGAAACCAAATCGAGACGCGCCATACAGACACATTCTCCTGGGTATTCAGTGAAGTAATCCAAAGACCATGGGATAGCTTCACGGAATGGCTGAGCTCTAAAGATTCGATCTACTGGATCAGCGGAAAAGCGGGGTCAGGAAAGAGTACATTGATGAAATTCCTCATTGATGATGAGAGAACTAGCCAATACCTCTACAAATGGGCACCAGACTGTTCGATCTACTCACACTTCATCTGGAACTCGGGGACGAGAATACAGGGAAGTATTCTAGGCCTCCTTCGCTCTTTACTTTATCAGATATTTGACGCTCACGAGTATATTCTGGTTCACATCCTGCGGAAATGGCCAAAGTTCTCGAGGAATAAGAATCCTGAAGATTGGTCAAGGGGTGATCTGGAAGAAATTTTGGTTCATTCTTTATCTCTGCATCAAAAAGGTGTCTGTATCTTCCTTGACGGACTGGACGAAATCGATCCAAGAGACGGTCCGTTCGATCTTCTGCATCTCGTTAGACAGATTTCATCCATTCCAAAAAACAACGGTCTTAAAGTCTGCGCATCAAGTCGCCCCGAAGCCAGTTTCATTCAGGGGCTTACAACTTGCCCAAAACTCAGACTTCAAGACTTAACGAAGCATGATGTGGAAGTCTACGCGAAAGACTTTTTGCAAACCAAATGCACGTTCAATTTGTCAGGGATCGATGAAAGTCAATTCACTGACGAGATTGTCAGCAAGGCTAATGGAGTGTTCCTTTGGGTGTCTCTCGCTCTCAAGAGCTTGCAGAGGGGAATCACCAACGGTGATGATCCGACTAAGCTCATGGAACGGCTCCGTGCGCTCCCATCCGAGCTCGGAAAACTTTATGAGGAGATGCTAAAAAGGCTTGGTGATGATCAGGGCCTTTATAGCATGGAAGCTGCAATGCTTTTCAACATTTTTATCCTTTTTTCCGAGAACCTGCCCTATGCGCGTCCGAATCTGTTTCAGTATGCGGTTGCGATTGATCCAGCTCTGCGTGATATGCTTCCAAAGCAAAAGACCCCGCCCTCCCCAACAAGTTTGAAGAAATCCTTGCTTGAGGTAGACCGCAAGTTGATGTCTCGATGTGCAGGGATACTGGAGGTAGTTTCTCACTTAAAAGGGCAAGCGGATATCGAGCACATTCTTTCCAGAGACGTCATTAGACCTTGGGACGCCATCGGAATTGAATTTCTTCACAGAAGCGCGAAGGATTTTTTACTGAGCATGAAAGACACGCTTTTGGATCAAGACCCAACATCAGCGGCTAAACGCCAATTCCAAGTACTTCAAGCTATTATCCTTGAGGGTTCCTATCCGCCTAAGAATTATCGACCGGAGGGCAATGCTGCAATGAAAATTATGATCGAGGCGAAACCCACATTGCCAAACGACCAGGAAATGGATCTTCTCAAGTTAACCCAGGAAATCTATGAGCGGAACGGCTGGTGCGAGTTTTATGAACTCGCAGCTCGGTATGGTCTTCATCAACCGCTTATCCATCTCCTAGAGAATAGTCCTGGAGATATCACTCCTCTTCGAAACTATCTTTTGCTTTGCTCTTTAACCAATCACAACGTTAGAACCAATACCACGGTATCTCAGCTTCTTGGAAAGGGCGGCAATTGTAAGAACAGTGTTGCTCTTTTTCCGGTGTTTATGGAAGCTGATAGCTTTTTGTCTCTGCCCGTACCTTTGCTTGGATACTTTTTCGCAGAGGCGTATTCAGTATTCCACGAGGAAAGCAAGCTTATTGAGAAAATGGTCGCCTTATTTCTTGAAGCTGGGGCAGATCTTGAACAAAAGTTTCTGTATCCAACGTTAGGGATCTCGGGTGCTGCTCACTATGAGGTTACGCATAGGACTCGTCCGTGCTACACAGGCTACCCCCTCAAACCCAATGGCTTCGATTTGCTTCTTGAGATAAATTGTATCGAGATCATTTTGACATATTTTGTTGCCCGCAACCATTTTACCCCTGCGGAAAGATTGGCGGTGATTTCGAGGTTAGGGCTTGATGTAGAGAGAGCACATCACAAAGTGCTCCTCTATTTCTATGAAGACACTGTATATGGAGCAGAGGACGAAGATTCTGACACCCTGAACCAAATTTTGGACTGGCCACCACCGTCACGGATACACCGCGAGGCAGACAGCGGAGAGACGAGAGAGGAATGGGAGAGGAAGAGGCAACCACAGTTCGAAAAAGTACGGGAGGTGTTGAAAGGGAAAGAAGTGGATGATGTTAAAAAATGGCTGACCGACAGAGGACATGTGTTTCCGGAAGACAGCGATATGGCGGCAATTTCCGATCAAGCTTCGGTTCACGAAATGGCTGAAATATATGAAAGGATCAGGAAAACGGTTGGTAAGGGACGGTAGACGTAGCTCGTTCGAGATCATAGCGATAGCAGCAAAGCTTTTGCACACTTGTCTCGTTCATTTAAACTTATGTTGACACTTCTAACCTTGCGACTTTAGATCTGCAAAAAAAGCTATACCCACATGTTTCTTCGTCTTCACCCTGTGAACTATTAGTAGTTCATTTCCCTACTATTCCGATCCCCAGACTATATATTAGAAATACTAGCAAGCAACTCCTCATGTTTTTTCAATCACTACCTAATCTCCGTTATCAATTCCCTCTTGCGACTCTCCAGTTTTTCCTGATTCCTAGCATCGTCTGAATCCGAGGCTTAAACACTGATGCGGTCTCGACGTCACTAACAATAAACTCAAGTTGTCTTTATCAAAGAAGATGAAGTTGTCAGAAATGGGGCGCTGCTTCGAGGGCGAGCCTGGAGTTGCAAGCGTTGGTAGGCAAGCAGGCAAACAATATTTTGTCTTGAAACTTTCGAGGATTTCCAATTTCGGGCAGCTTAGAGCCCGTTCGGCCAGGCACCTACCCGGTAATATTTCGTGGTGCCTTATACCTGCCCCATAACTTCATGGCCTTTCGTGGGACTACACGTCATGATCGCGGAGAGGTACGAAGGTAGACATTTGACTCCACCTTCACAGGATGTCAAAATGGGTCTATTGGGTAGTTAAAGTTTCTAGCCGTTGTATTGACTGTCTCCACTTGGGGTTTAGGCGACTCCGCCGGCTGTTAGTGGGTGCCTGTCTGTCTAAGCTATTAGTTGAAATGAAAACAAGATCTTTATGCACACCCTCACACTGCTATATTAATAAATTATGCAACAGCCGTTAGTATACTATAAGTTGGAAAAGTAACAATAACCGCGAGGTGTCCTATATGTGTTTCCAAGAGCTTTAGTTAATTAGCCGCTCTGCTTAATAGATGGGATTAGAAATTATTTATTGGAAAAATTGATTTAATAACAGTAAAAAAGAAAGACTCAATAAAACACTAAAAACAGAAATATCTTGTTTAAATATAAGGAAAGAACTTAACTTTTGAAGTATTATAAGCGAGGTTTATTATTATAATTAAGCGCTTTTCTAAAGGACACCCGTCTTGGTTAGTGTATTCGTTTGTGCAATATCTAAATAGCCTTCTATGCTGTCTGATTGGATATCGCTGTTTCATTCATTCTACTAGGACCTCGAATCCCCGGCGGACGAAGGTATTTAGTAGCTGGTCGTTAGAAACTAGAAACATAAACCTTGAATATGCGAAGATCCTATGACCTCAGCCGGATTTGAAACTGTAGCACTTTTCACAGTTATGAGAGGATGTTGGGAACCAGATGCTGTACGGAGACAGCGGCATAAAGTAACGGGAATACAGGGCATACATAATTCTAGGGCCTCTAATATGCCCTATAGTGTCTCACTTGGCCCTGCAGCCACTGTAATTACACTGAGTCAAGGCCATAAGACCCCTGAAGGCTCACTGAAACCTCATGCAGCTCGATTAGGACGTTACATTAAGCCACAGCGTTCTATAGGGCCTTAGCTCCTATATTTTTAGATGTACGTCCGTAATCGGTAGCGGGGTAAATTAAGCTTTTACCCCCCCATTAAGCTCTCCCACATCCTTTATTCTTCTTTACTCTCGCTTCAATTTATTATAGCTACTTTTGGAGATCTTTTTGACTTCCCTAATTTATTAGATAGGTAATCAGAGCTCTCATTATTCCCTGATTCGTCTAATAACAAGTATTCTAATAAGTATACTAAAGATAAAGACAATATATAGTATAATTTACCTACTAATTCAGAAAACGAGGATAAAGATAATAATTCAAGCCTACTACTTTTGGTATTTTCCATATAACCTGTACCCTTAACTAAACTTGTTATTTCTACTACTATATATAAAGAGTACTCTACTAGTACAAGAATTAAGGCAATCTATATACTTGAGGATAGAAAGACTCCGGCTCAGATTAAAAAGGCTATAGGAGTACCTAAAACAACTATTTATCGATTATATACTATTACTAAAAAGTATAGCTAGAGAGAGAATAAGAATATACCCTTAGAAACAAGTTATATCCTAAATATACTATAATCTAGAAGACCTCTAATTTTAATTAATGCAATTAAATATATTTTGAAAGTCGTACTTTAGAACTCGACTATAAGAGGCTTTTCTTATATTATAATTACAAAGGAAGTGAGAAAGTACGGATACGAAATTACTCCCAGAACTATCTGGAAAGTCCTTAAATAAGCAGGCTATTCTTAATATAAATTAATAGTAAAGCCTGGATTAAATAAGTTTAATAAAAAGAAGTAATTAGACTAGTACTTAGAGCGAATATACTAGATATTAGAAAACTAGAAAAATATAATTTTTATAAATAAGACTATAATATAATTAGGAGATATAAGAGGCAAGAGACATATATTAAGATTACCTGAAAAAGTATATAATAAGCATTATATATAAAGAAAATAGAAGGGCTTTTCTAAGTTTATATTTTAGGAAGCTTTTTCTTTTAATAAGAAAGGGCCTTATTATATATAGGAAAAAGAGACTATAGAGGAAAAGAGAAAGCGCAAAACTAATCTTAATACAAGGAATTCATTAATTAAGAAGACTAATAAATAAAAGTAGAAGAAGGAGTAAAGGAAGTGACTAAAGAATTAGAAGAAGGTCTATAGCCGGGTACCAGGAAATATATAAAAGGTATAGAAGTATAATAAGAAAACTAGGGCCTTTATTATAAAGAATAAATGAGAAGAAATTAATTAGTATTAATATTAGAAGAGGATATTAATTAAGAAGCTCTTACTTTTTATAAGGAAGTACCAAAAAGATTGCCCTAATATAATTATATAAGAGGATAATATACTAGCCTACAAGTCATATTACTAAGGGGAGATTTATAATCTATAGAAGATTATAAAGATGCTTTAGCCAGGAAACTTACCTAATCTTAATATAATTAAGAAAGTATAGTTTTAGATAAAAAAGGAAACTACTAGACAGGGACCTATAAGTAATAGAAAAAAGCTTAGAGCAAGATAGGAGAAATACTAGGCGGATCTTCCCTAAAGTAAGATTCAAGAGTAGATTATAGTAATTCCTGATTATATAAAAGAGATAATTTGTTTAGAAGGGGGGAATAAGTATAAAGAAGGTAAAAAGAAGGGCCAGAAGAAAGTAGCTATATATTAGTATAGTTTAATATTATGGTTTGGCTCCTATTTACTTCTTTTAAGGGGGTGCGGGGTTAATTAATCGCTTTAGGGAACCCTTACAGGGCTTATAGAAACTAGGATATTATTATGGGAAGATGAAACTAAGACCTACTGGGCCTATTAGTAGTCTTCATTAATATATTATGAAATATGCCCTGTATTCCCGTCACTTTATGCCGCTGTCTCCGTACACTTTTCTATACTTCCTAGACGTTCAAACAATCACACCTTTCATTTCCAAATCTCCAAAGGCAGGCGTTTCACCGAAGATCAGAATCGCAACAAGGTCTGAAAGCCCGAACGAGTATTTTCCAAACCCTCAAACATGCCTCTCATAGAACTCGCTCACAGCCTTAGCAGTCTCCTCCGGGTCCTCCTCCGCAACAAAATGCCCCACACCCCCTTCAATCCCGTGCACCTCCAGCATTCCTTTACCCATCCACTCGCTCCACACTCGCTTAACATCATACCTACCCCCCAGATAGCCCTTCGAAAACACACACAAAACGTCAATATCCACTTTCCTCCCCGCTTTCTGGTCTTCTTCTTGCAAACTCGAATCCTCCATAGCACCAGCACGGTAATCATCACAACTAGCCCTGATCACACTTTCCCGCTTAAAAGACTCCGCATAAACCTCCACTGCATCGTTCTCCTTAAATCTTGCAAGTCCAGAAGGGGAGCGACCGAGCCAGCGATCGAGACACATCCTTACCCAGACATCGCCGCCCTGAGCTTTAATCATCGCCGTAGCAACTTCGACATTTGCTAAGAATGACCAATGGAACGACCCCATGTTTACAAGGGGGTTGATGCATGATTGCCATTGGATGAGTGTTGGTACGATATCTAAGAGAACCGTGCCGCGGATGGCGAAGTTGAGGTTGGAGGGGAGAGAAGAAGCGTCGACGGCGAGACGGTGGCAGATTCGCGCGCCGCGGTCGTGGCCGGTCAGGATAATTGGGATTGGAGAGGAGGAAGGCGGGAGCAGAGAGGAAAGGGTGGTGAGGAGGGAGGTGCCTGTACTTCGCTTGTCGTGGGGGCCGGGGAGGGGCGAGGAGCGGCCGTAGCCCGGCAACTGGGGAGTTTAGCGAGGGAAGGGAGGGCAAAGGATGAGGAGACGAGGACTGACGTCGGGGATGAAGAGGGGGATTGTGGATGGGAGGAGGGGGATAAGCTATGCTTGTTAGCTGGCGGTTTTCGGAATGTTGGAGGTGAGCTTACAAGTCTCCACCTGTTGGTGTGAAGTCAGAATGTATGTCTGGCGAGAGTAGCTGGTTTCAAGCTTTAATAACCCAAAGGAAGTAAATCAAAATATCAAATAATATTTATTGGATAATGGAGAACATGTTTTATAAAAATAAAAATAAAAGGAGACCTAGACGTTGACTGACATGAAATTCCTGGAGAGGTGTTAGCCATGCCTCATCATTTCATGGTTGTATCAGAAAGCTCACGTTTGTGGATATCCGTGAACGAGAACCAAGATTGGCGTGGAGCTATTGTAAGTTTCCAAGCCGCGGTGATAGTAGAAAGTCTTGTCTGCTGAGGCTGTTGTGACGTTGCTCTTGAGACCGAGGGAGGTCATTAAGCTGACATCATTAGTGGATTGCATCTCGCCTTCTTGTCTCAGAATCCAAGTCTGTGCTAAGTGTCAAACCCTGATAGCGATTTTACTGATCAGTAATATTTAGGAATATATTTGAGAGTAATGTGACAATCGAAGGGTGTGAGGATGAAGATCATTTTTCCTGGCCTCCGTTATTGCGATGCCGGAGGTTGGACTTTCACGTGATATGTCGTCCGAATTCCTCCCCGAAGCTTACATTCGCCACTTTAGGATCCATTTCCAACTCATCTGAATCAGTTCTTTGCTGCCCAAAATCCGTCTCCTCCAAGGTTATAGTGAGATGCCCCGGCTTCGTCTCATCCTCGCCAACCTTTATCCATTTAGGAAGACGCCACTCCAAACCTTCAGAGATCCCATCTGCCAAAATGTTAGTCGTTACTGAAGTTTGGAGCGACAGGTAATACGGACTGTATTCAAGATACGCCAGTTCCATCATAACTCCCATCCAGATTGTGATCCCTACAATCTGCCCGAAGCCCCAAGACTTGGCATCGACGTACGGACTCGCGAGAACTTGCTGGAAGAGTGAGAACACGAGGCCGAGACAAACCAACATCCCCGAGACTATGATGAAGTGAAAGAATACTGCGATCCAAAACTGGATGCGGTGATTGAGCCTGTTGGATCGGTGTGTTTCATTTGACGTGAAACCACTCGTGCTTTTCATTCCGGCAATGAGTCTCTTTGCGAGTCCTTTGATCCATACCGACCACCACGGTGTTGACTCTGTCAAGATCTTCCAAAGAACTAGGCATCCCATGAAGATGTCCGTTATGCTCATGATGAGTTTGTAGTAAAATGAGGCAACATCCTCCTGGAAGATTTCGCTGTTTCTTCCGATGGCGTAGCAAAGCCCAGCGGGACCTACCCCTCCACATGCGGCAGGCCCGACCCCCGGCACGTCCGTATAGGAGGCGAAGCTTCGGGTGATGTGTACCCCATTTGCTGTAGATAGTACCGCAGAGACGACAGACAGTCCGATCATGTACCATGACCTTTTCCCAAACGTCATTAAGGTGTATAGGGATAAGGTAACTGGCAGCAACCCATCCAAGCTCACAAGAAGAAGAAAATTCTGGTCGACAAAAAGCAATGGCGTCGTTTTTGAGTAAATGATGACAAAGGTTGCGATTTGGAGCGCAATAGTGAAGTAGCACTGTGTCTTGTGGAATTCGGCCAGTGTAGCACAGAAGATGATGTATTGATCTTCCACCGTTTTGCCAACTTTTAGCGGCTTTGAGAGGCTGGATGGCTCGTCGTTGAGAGTCAAGCCTGTCAACCCACGAGTCAGGTGGGATTTGGAGAGTTTCTTTTGTTTCTTGTAGACTCCGTAAGCAAGGATAGTTAAGGAAACAAGTGCGAGCAGGGCAATGGCGCTCTGGGTGAGGTATGAGATAAGGATCTAGTGTGATTTAGCAAAGCACTCTGATGATTCTGCGTGTGGAAATATACGCACCCCAACACCTGCAATGTCGGGATTGGCCAATTGAACGCTTGGGGTACACAACTTGAGCCAGCATTTCACAACTCCTTGAGCAGACAATTCGTAGTTGCCGGTTAGCAGGTTACCGACGGTGCAAAGTTCGCTGGCAGCGCACTCGGCTTGGGTAGCACAATAGCCAGCCAAACATGTGGTGTAAGTTGATCGAAGATTTAAGGATATGGTCTCGGAGTTATTTGACAAGAAGCTGCGGTCAGCCGCATTCGTAAGCAAGGAGCTATTCAAGGAGCCCTTTGCGATATCGCGAGTGACGTTGGCATAAAGCAAGCACCCAACGAAGGGACCTATTGAAGACGCACTGCCGAATATCGTTTCAGGATTAGAACAAGCTTGAGTCCAGTTGTCCACACGGAAAATGGGATCCTGCTCCACTGTTTGGTTTAAGTAGTCGAAGATATGTTCCGATGGGTCGCCGTCATCAAAGAGGAATGAAGGAATGATGTTGGCACCATTGAGCGGGATAAAGGTGTTCGCGGGATCGTTGTAAGTGCCCTCCATCTTGAGAAAATACCTTCGTGCGTAAGAAGAAGCCGAGCGCGAGATCTAGAAGTGAGGGATGAAGATGGAGGAATAGTTCAGAGGATTTCCCCAAACAAAAGAAGATAAGCAACAAGGTCAGGATTATTACAAGTGCCCCTTTCCGTACATTACTCTTCGCTAGTAGGGCTGAGGCGCAGCACTCCCTGCAATCCCACCACCAAGCCTCCGGCCGCCCCCAGGGGTTTGGCGCCGCCGATATTTTTGGAATCCAACGATGGAGAACAGGAAGGCTGTGAGAAGAGCATGAAAGACACGAAGAGATGAAGACATTCCGCCGGACATGGCCAAGGCAGAACAGGAGAGTGAGTATTGAAAACAAAACAAGATGCTTGAGGTTGCAATTGCGATTGCATGCAATTGCAAAAAGAATGAACGTGTGAATGCCATTGCCAGCCAGCAAGGAGCGTTTCACATGAAATAAGCTCGCGGCGATTGGTTCCGTCCGCCCCCAGATCCGATGAGTTTGGGGCAATGATCGTCCCCACGATTGGCCCCAAAGCGCCGTCGATACGGGTACGCGCTGCACGACCGTGCCATTCCAATTCGACCGCTCGACGAACCCACCGCATGTTGGATGAAGCATCTCGATGAATGTACAGATGAACGATTGTCGCAGGAGGTGGAGGGTAGCGTACGGGTACGATCGTCTCACCCCGAGATATCGCCATACCAGCACCTCAAGCGTCCCCCATCCTCTCGTCCAAACAGATCCAGTGCCTACAGATCCAGTGCCTACAGATCCAGTGCCTACAAATCCAGAACTAACGTTCCCACACCTCGGCTCACACAACTCAACATCATCCCCTTCTTCTCATCCTCCAACAGCCCCGTCCCTCGATGCTCCACCCTCCCTTTCCTCACACCAATCCGACAAGTGCCGCAATTCCCCACCTCGCAGCTGCTTGCCACATCAAAGCCCGCACTCCTCAGTACATCAAGCAACGATTCCTCTCCCTTGACTTGTAGCTCCTTGCCTTCACTCCCTATTTCAACGGCAAAAGGATCCCCGCTCGTCGAAACGGCGAATGCTTCTGAGGAGATGTTAGTTTCCGGGAGGCCGATCGATTTCCCTGTCTCGCGGACTGCGTTCAGTAATCTTTCGGGCCCACAGACGTAGATGTGAGTCTTATCGGTCGCCTGGCTAAGAACCCTTGCGATGTCGACCCGAGTCCCTTTCTCAGAGACGCAAAGCTCCACGTTTTCACCCAACATGTCGATGATATTTTTGAACGCGCCGTCGTCTTCACGTTTCATGGCATAGTACAGCTTGGATTTCTGCCTCTGTTCCTTCAGCAACCGCGCGCTTGCGAGGAAGGCAGTGATTCCCACTCCACCAGCAATGAAGATATGCTCATCGCACTCTCCACTATCTCGCAGCGGGAAGTCACTCACCATACTGCTGAACACCAACTCATCGCCAAGGTTCAACTGTTCATGCATGAACTTCGATCCTCCTCTTGAATTGGCATCATGCGCGATACCGAGCGTGAAGGTCTTGCTGTCACCGTCTACCACTGAGTAAGCTCGTACCAAGTTGCCGCTTTTTGGACCCAACTTGACTCGAACATGTGCCCCTGGCATGACTTTGATCGGGTTATCGACCTTTTCGGCAGCGGTGAAAGTAAATGATGTAATAGACTCCGTTTCTTTCTTCTTCCCCGCCAGTTTGTACTTGCTCCATTTCAGTAAATGCCTCTCCTTTCCAATGAGGCGGTCGTTTTCATTCTGGTATATTCCTTTCTGGACGCGAAGTCGCTGCGGAGTCGTTAGCAAACACCTCTGGAGAAACATCTATAATCTGAGAGATTCAGGGAAAGGGAGATGATAGCCTCACTCACAAAAATGCCCCTCGTCTCCTCCCCCAACCCCTCGAGCTCCAGCAACTCCTTCATAATCTCCATGTTCTCCCGCTCAACATACATATAATGCTGCACCCGACTCAAACACCACTCCGGATTAACCCTCTCCACCAACCTCATCTCGTCACCTGGCTGAATAAACCCCGGCACCAAAACACGGTGATGCCACCCCGTCATGTTATTATTCTGCGCCCTGAGCGCCATATCTCTCACCTCAAAGCGATGATTTAGCTTCAAGCAAGGCTGTCTCGGCTGCGTGACCTGAATCTTGACTCCATTCTCCCCGATCTCAAAGATATCGCCCACGCATACTGTGTGCTCGTTATACCCATCATCGGGGCTCGTTAGGAGATTCTCGCCGAATCCTCCATAGCGCAACAATTTCTCGGACTCGGGGAGTTCGCGCTTCCAGTGGGTGTAGTGAGCGGAGGCATAGTGCATGAATGCCTTTTCTGGCCCGCCGTGAGTGGGAGCGCCTTGTGCGTCGCCAGTTAGTCCAAGGGGACCGAGGTAGACGGGCTTTTGGGGGAGAGCGACTTTGAAGATTGCGGAATTAAGATTAGGGATGTTAAATTGATTTCTGATGACTCGGCCTACGCGAAGCTGGAGGACCTTTGTGGGAGGTAGAGGGGAGGTGGGTGTGTTTGAGCCCATTTTGGAGGCAAGCGCGATGGCTGCGGATACGCGCACCTGACTATCGAGCAGTGGGAGAATTGGAAAGGGAATCAAGTGTGAAGGAGAATTGACAGAAAGTGTTGGAAGCTGCCTGGGAATATATGCTCATATCTCTGTGCAATACCGAGTAATGCAAGTCTGACACACTTGAAGAATGGCAAGGCGGACCTCGAGGCAGATTTCGGCTATCTGCAACGCGACGGATGTGCACTGCAGGCTGCAGAGCCTTGCTGACAGGCTCTGTGTCCTCTCCCCTTTCCAAACGATATTTCAAAAACAGAATTGACTGATAACCGATGCCATGAATTCTAAGCCGACAGTGCAAAAGACCCTCAAAGTTGCCCCAGTAAATGGGATGAGATTATCGGGGATGCCCACGGATCTGGACATGTGCACGTGACCCTCACTCATGAATCTGCACTCAAGATCTGTTCGCCTTGTTCGCGCCTTGCTTTTGAAATGAAAATCTCTGCAGGGGATATACAAGTAAGTACAAGGGTCCGTGATTTTTCGGGGAATTGATATTTAGGCACCCAAAGTGAGGTCTCGCCCGCCATCTCCAAATCTTCCCTCGCTTCACTGTTACTGAAGTACGAGTCTATCATACAAAAAGAGGCGGGGTTCAAATTAAGAACGTGAATGTCGTTGTGACGAAAGTATTCTTCTAGTAAATATGACCATGAGAAACAATTAATCCCGGGTTCTATATTGCATCATATAGACATTCGCCGTCTCGAAGGCAACGTTGCTACGTTTGCGCTATCCGTAGCCTCGACGCTCCAGTTCGCAATACTGTTTCCAAGAACAAACGGAAAGATGTCGACTCCGGTGGCAGCCAGTGCTTCAACATTGCCACTAGGCAGTTCATCAATTTCCCCGTTATCGACGGATTCCGATGGTGTGCTTGTTTCGCCAGAAAAATATCCTGGCCACGTCTCTTGTGCCTCTGTTGTATCTTCTGCCCCGTACTCCACGAGCAGCTTCACAATATTGAAAGATCTTTGACATCGCTTTGCAACTTCCAACGCGTTGCGAGATCCCAGACGCCCAGCAAAATTGACATCAGCCCCGTGTTCAAGGAGTAGTTTGACCGTATCGGCTCTATTAACCAGAATAGCTTCAAGCAACGGGCTTCCAAGCCACCCCGCCCGTGCTTTAGCCATAGCGCCACAATCAAGAATCAGCTTAACAACAGCTATGCTATGTGCTCCAGCAGCTGCATTTAGAAGCTCGTTGAGAATGTCGACGTTGATATCTTCCCGGTAGTGGTCCATAAGCAGTCGAATAATCTGAAAATTCCCAGTACCAACAGCCATAAATAACACATTACCATGCCCAAGATCTGTCATATCGATTGGGACTTCATATTGAAGTAGTAATTCAACACATGCGACGCTTTCGCACCCCACCGCATGCATCAGAGCAGCTTCAGAGACTTTTGCGCCGTGTCGAAGCAGCAGTCGCACCAGGTCTGCATTTCCAGATAGTGACGCTTCTGTCAAAGGATCCACGTTTGAATTGTTTGTTTTGCCAACTGATGTGCCTGCGTCGAGTAAAAGTGCCCCGAGATGATGGTCGCCATATCGAGCAGCGTAGTATATCGCACGATTGCCAGCTTTATCTTCAGCATCGACATCTGCTCCATTTTCCAACAATATCCGACAAGTAGAATGAAGGCTATAGCATGCAGCAACATGTAGCATCGTTGCGGAACTTGCAGGGCACCGCGCTCGAGGCCCCTCAAGACGCCTGTATATCCTAATCCAGAACTCTAAATACCGATGGGCGTTGTCTCCGAGCTCACCGTGAGGCTGTGTTTCTATAAATCCGTGGTTTTCTGCCTGTTGGACATGGTGGAAGCAGTTCTTCACTGCATACGGGAAGAGTAGGTCGGAGTGAGGAAATCCCAGGTGATCCGGTAACTCCACTTGACGGTCGGCGAGTTTCAGGCTTTTAATGCAAGCCTGAGACAGTCTCGAATGGCCTTGAGCTATCAAGTCCTCCATTGTATGGGGAGCTAAACATTTGAGCCTGTCCTGAACCAAGAAGTCGGTAACAGACTGATGAATAAATTGGGTTTTCCCAGGATAGTTATTTACAACGTCCTTGACTTCTGCCAGCCCCCCTGATAAGCTGATGATCCTTTGAGTCATTTGTGCCGGACTCAGAACGGAGTTTTCCTGCGAGGGGCTCCCCGAACCAGCAAAGGCCATAGCACATCGTAGCTCCTCTATGGAAAGTGGCCGGGTTGCAAGACAAATGACCTGGAAGAGAAGCAGGCTCTCAGAAAGATCCTGGGGCTTAAGCACGGCTGTGAGGATATGACGGTAGACTTCCCCGATATCCACGGGCACGGTCTTCAGTGTCTCGAGGACCTTCTCTAGGGACTTTCCTTCGTTGTATTGTTCTGCAAGCCTCTGCGTGACAAGCACCGCCCACAGGAATACGCCCGACGACTTTTGAGCAATGGTGCTCTTCAAAATCTTGATATCTTTATCCTGTGTTGAATTTTGGCCTGGAGAGACAAGCACCCTTTCTAGCGTCTCGCCAATATAGAGAGCAATATCGTCGTAGTTTTCGTCTTCAACACAAATACTGAGCCTGTCGTTATGCGCAAGAATAGGATAATGGCGGCATGAAAAGCAGATGCTCGCGGAAGACCCTCCTTCGTTCAAGTCGTACTCCAAATCATAGAGATAAGAGACGACACTTCGAGCGGACTCGTCACCACCCTCATCAAGTGCATCAATAAAGACTCTGTATGGACGGGTTTTGGCTGCTTTTGTCAAGGCAGACCTGAAGATCCGTCGCAGGTCAGTTAAACTCCAGTCCCAAGTAGTCCCAATCTTCCCTTCCTTCTGTTTCTGCTCGAAAAGACTTTGGAGATCCGTCCCAAGTTCTGGCTCTTGTTTGAAGAGTTGATACAACAAAGTCCGGAACATGCCTAGCTCAGTGTGCTGTAATTCCCCTCCTCTTCGATGAAAGAAGTAGGACAGACAATAAGGACTATCCTCAGCGTCGTCGTTCAGCAATTGGAAAATCTTCTTCATCAGCGTCGATTTTCCGGACCCAGGTTTCCCTTTGATCCACAGCACCCCTTGCTTTTGCTCTACCCATTTCACATATGCCTCGTTGTTGAGTATCCAAGTACAGGATTTAGTGCGAGCATTCCGGATCTCTGTTTGACGATAGTTCATCTCAGGGAAGTACAATGTATTCAAACAAGCTGCGTGTCGTTAGAGATGAAGACTCAAAGAGAAAATGCAGGGTTCAAACCACTTGAGATAGTTTCTTCAAAAATGCGAACTTATGTTAGCATCACTCTATTAAATGCAGAGGCTTCGCAATTCGCTGACCTTGTGTTCTTTCTTCATACAATTTCCTCATTTCATCTTCTCTTGATTTCTCATTGGAAAGTTTCTCGCAAGGGGCTTGGAGCCTGCGTACAACTTTCCGATACCCTTCATCTTCTTTGCTGCGATATCTGGTCATCGTCCTGTGGTTGGCATTGATCGTGCATTTGCTTTTTTCAAGCGGGAAGGAAGATGAGAAGTCCCGAACAACCTACACATAGTTAGAATTTGGAGACTTAAAGAAGATGTATGCTGCAAACCTTCTCATTAAGACTAAGCATTTGAGTGCCTTTCATTCCTTGCGCTTCTTGAAAAGTATGAACCTCGTAGTGGCGCTTTAGACGTTCGCATAACTTTTGGAAGCGTTCATCACAATTTTCCAGTAACGCACCGTCAACCTCGAGGGCTTGTATGTTCTGGCTAGCTGTATCAAATCCTGCGATGCTTGCGACACGCCTAACCGTTTCTCCCATGTCAGCATACGTGCTGCCCCTGTGGGGAGTCCCAAGGAACAATGTTGCTATTGCTGAATTGCAAAGTTGTTGGTGACTATCGACGTTGCTTTCATTTGCGCGGAGAAGTAACTACAACAACGTCATTCCTTTGCATCGATCATATGATTCAGAAGATTACATCTTTAACAATAATGCCTAACAAACAATCAATAAACATTAACTCCTAATTCTGAGGACTTGAAGTAACGGCTTACCTCCAAGCGAGTGTGCCACGAAAATGATCTGGCGTTTCGACTTCAGCAAAGGTTAGCTGTTGGGTTGATGGGAATGTTTCGGCCAAGCGTTGACCTACCTCGTTCCGCCGCTCCCAGATGATGTCCTCGAGTAAGTCTCGAGAATGTGCAAATATGTTGTTTTTATTCGCGGACCCACTGAAGAATTTGGAAATGTCTGAATCATAGCCCCAAGTAAGTATCCTGGCATTCGGGCAGTCGGCAGGAAGAAGATGATATGGCCAATAGACATCGCACTGATCAAAGGTATCGCCATCGAGCGTATTTGAACTCTCCTCCTCTGTCTTCGTTTTACGCCAGAAACCCCTTTTGAGTTTGCCGGGCTTGCTCTCTAGAGCTGTCGGATTCAGCGCTTTTTTGGAACTGGGAGTCCATGTCCAAGTATTCCGCGGATGGCCCTGCAAGCCATGAACAAAAAGGATGCTAAAAGCACATTGTCAGAGTTGTGTGAAAGCAATCCAGCAGATCGTTAAATCATGTTATCGAACCTGATTCAAGGCTACCAGCGCACTTGTCTGGTCATGTTATCAGAGACCTTCTCATCACTTACTCAAGGACTGTATCATCTCCTGTTGGTGGCTCATACAAGACCGTAACTCCGGTTCTTCGTACTGACGGGCAGAGGCTCAATGATAAAGACGATGTCTGAAGATAGTTAGGTCTCTGCGTGTCTAAACAAGGCTGCGGGATAGCTTGAAGCTAGTGGCTTCAAGTGCCATGTAGAAACTCACCATGATCCATCTAGACAATTGTCTAACCACTTCTTAGATAGCTATATAATTTGACATGAAAATTTCCCTAAAAGCTATAAGGCGAAGCACGGAACATAGTCCCTGATTGTTGTTGTGCGGAACAAAGGTCAGGCTCGATCAGCCTAAGGCATGACTGGCTAGTCCCGATTTAGCTTAGACTACTGCCGGAGGACTGCAACTGCGATCCCGATCCCATTTCCCACTTCGAAATTCAGCGTGAAGGTGACTTTAGAGTTTCGTGAGAGAAGCGCGTGTATAAAAGGAAATCGCCTGTGGTTGGGAAGCACGTGTAAGAGGAGAGCGGCTCGGCGGTTCGGATTATATAGAGGCACATGATTTGAATGGGTCATGTGGATATACAAACCAGGTGATAACCATATCCTACAAGTAGGTATTGATGATGTCGGAAAAGTGTCTAAGTCTCAAAAGGGAGATCTAGAGCGTTGCAGCTTATCTGGTCTCGCTATATATAACAATTTCAGATTGAAAAATTGGGGAGCAATAGATTGAGTAGCTGTTGCCCAATACATGTTAACAGTGATGCCACCACCTTCTAGCCACTTCAAATATCCCACCCCATACAACATCAGAATTTTCTTCCTTTTTCCTTTTACAGCTTTGAATGCATTTTCTTCCTTCTTTGCCCTACCTGTGTCCAAAAGTCGTCAACCGCAGGCGCTTGTAACCACTGGCCAAGCATTGGAGATTTTCCCTTCTGCCAGGTTGAGTTGTCTGTGTTGAACGCTAAGTAGGAGGTTATATGTATACATCTTGGTAGCGCTTACCGAGTTTCTCGGAATTTAGCCTTACATTCTGCCCCTTTTGGTGTTGCCAAGCTGGGAGACGAGTTGTCGCTTTCTCTACATGGTTTGCTGATAGCGAGGACGGCATTGTTGTGACCAGCTTTGTGCTAAGCGAAGGATTGTGGCCCGTTATGTCAAACCAATGTATTCGATGAAGGGTGTTCACAACATGCAGACTGGATTCAATTGACGGGGAAATTGGATTATATTGCCTACGGAAGTGTCTAGATTTATAAAGCAGAATCAGGAAATGATTTTGCATTCAAACCTGAAGAATGTATCCTCTAAGTAATCAGGACGAGAACAAATTGACAATGCTCAATGCAGAGATATCAGGACAACTTGTATCGTGGGTAGCTTTATCTCTTTCGTCGCGGTTACGGCGAGCCAATAATGAAACAGGAGGGCGCAGGACAAATTCAGGACAATGTTGAAATGCAATTTTATTACAAATCACTAGAATTGGAGTTAATGCGAGACCCTGCAAGGACGGGAATGGGGATATCTCAACGCTTACCAGGACATTTGTTCAATTAACGTCCTGGTTGTTGGTAGCCAGGACAACTTCCAGGGGCAAGCGAAAAAAGAAAAGAGGAAAAAAGCCTTACTGGTACACTATTTCCCAGGATAAGCGAGCAGCCCGAACATAATTGTGACAATCTATGGGAATGACATCAGTGACAAAATCTCACAGGCGACTGCTGAAGGGGGATCTGATGCAGGACTGGACAAGAAGGTACCGTCACTGATCCAGGAGACGTGAGATGATGAGATAGACCAAAGACAGCGATCAATTCAGTCCAACCACTAAAATACGGAGGCCAAGCGGCCGGTGACATCCGGTTCGCCCCGATTTGCTAGTGATACCGAAGATCCTGTGTTGCTACAGGGATGTGCTGGTGGTGCATGGTCGGGGGCGCGGCGGAGGCCATGTCCTTACATAACCTTATCCAGCGGCAATCCTTTTCAGCCTCATAAAGTCCTGAATGCCCCTCCAAGGAAGTCCTGAGTCCTGACCGAACAAGTCCTTGCGGCGTCCTGGCGACCCAGGCGCACTGCCCACAAAACGGGCCCTCGCACACAAATCTTGGGATCTTTATCAAATTCCTTTCAATATCGACCCACCCCGATCAGGCTGAGGCAACGGTTGCCTTGTTGTGATACCTTCCCTTAGCACCTCGTTATTTTCTGCCGCCCTCTCCTCCGCCCCTAAAATATCATGACGAGGCTCAAACTGGATCAATGGGAAGGGCGATGGTTGTTTTCGCGCGGAGCAACGAAAGCTACACATAGGACCGAAGGTCGCTCCATGACTGAGCTTACTGAAGCGTTAGCAGAAGTTGATGGTCTGCTCGCTGGTATCAACTATCTGGAAAAATTGGAACCTGATTCCGAGGAGACTCGTTCCAATTCTGCTCGGAACGGAAATGCAAGCGATTCTTTCCCATCAAATCCAGCGACAGCCTCTTGGTTCGGACATCTTGCTTTTGATCTACTGGGCTCGGGTTCAGAGGAGCGTTCCGAGATCGAACCAAGACACCTTCGAAATATTTTGAATGAAAAATTGGTCCAATCGAATGATGAGCCGCACCAAGCACCTCGTGAATCTCAATGGGCTACCATTCGCAGTTTACGAAAGGCATCCTTGCTCCACTACAACCAGTTCGCAAAGTTGACTGCCGACTCAACAAATCCTGACATCCGAAAGCTGAGGAAGTCTTGTGTTACTGCGAAGAAATTACTAGAAATGGGGATATTGACTTTCCGACAAGTCCTCCATGGCCAGACCCCAACAACCCTCGTGGACATCTTCGCCTTTGCAAGTCTGTCTTATGTGATATCGAAGACTTTACATGCCAGGGGCCACATTGACGAGACCGATATTCTCTCTGGCATCTTGGACTGGCGAGCCGCTATTGTTGATGACAGGGAGAGGCCTACTTTCGACGAGATCGCCAAACAACTGTGGCCCGAGGCAAAGGAAATCATGCATTTCATTCCACTCGAGAGAACCGCAACGAGTCAAGAAACGGCTGGCTTGAGGCCTGATGAGAACGAAACGAGGTGTGCTCCGTCAATTATACCTCAAGAAGCAACAGTTCCGGGGCCTTTGAGGCCAGGGGAAGAAAATGTCACGTCACAACACGATCCACCTCTGTCCCCATGGACTCATGAGAATATATCGGTATTGCAAACGGACACATTTTCGATGCCATGTCTCAGCGAAATGGAAAATCCTCGGGTGGACTCCAGAGCCATGTTTATCATCTTACTCACGAAACAAGGTTATATCCCGATTTTAACTTTTCCGATTTTTCGTCTTCAGATTGGTTCAATCATGACAGTGCTGTTCTGGAAGGTACAATGGATTCAACTTTCTACCAAACCCTGGCACCGGATATTTTCCCCGGGGTTCTCAATACATCGCAGACGGCAGGTTTAATTGGCACGGAATTGCATCCCATCGAGCCAGAGAGTTCTCCACTCCATGGTATTGAGGAACCTTCTCCAGTTGAGCAGATAAGCCCACCAACAGATGACTCTGCCCTCCACCTTCTAGAAACCCCATTGTTTCAAGCAGTTTTCCGCTTCATGATTCGTCAGTTGCTCTTCCACCTCCTATGTTTATCTCGCTAATCACCGTTGCAGAGATTTCTGAGATGGGAGATCTACTGAATGTACTTTCGGGAGGTGGGTTGACGTCTGAAAAGGACGGCATTAAGCCCCCTCATTCAAGACCGCCCTGGGTAGCTTCGGAATTTCTTATTCAAGCCTCTCGACACTTTTTGGGGCCCCTACATCGCGAAGCAGTTCATATCGATAAGACTTTCGGTGGAATCGTTGCTATGGCGGAGATGTTTGTCAAGCTTGGTTGTCTCCAGACAGTGAGAGAAGTTGAAAATTACATCATCACGGTTGGTCGAGTATGTTTACCTGAAATGTCCCCTTTCCGAACTTGAGGCTAATTCCGAGGATCTTACAGCATCTAACCCATTCCTATGACTCATTTGCGACACTAGTTTCCAAAACTCTTAGCCAGTGTTTTGTTGCCTCCCGAACAATGGGGTGGGACCTCCTCTATCCCAATTACGTTCAAGAAGCCGATGAATACACATTCCCGTATCTCAATAGAAGGCAAAGAGGAGAGACCAAGTGGGCGGAGTTCGGGTTTGGCCGCCAGGGTCTATCGGAAGCAATGTCGTCTCCTACCTCATCAACGAACGAAAATCCCCAAAAGCGTTCGCCCAGCCCAAAGAAACGTCCTTTGCAAGACGGGGCGGATTCAGCTACGAAGCGCCGGTATGTAGACTCTAAGAGAATTTGATCGTAGTCTAACTCTATAGCCCTCGAGATATGTCTATCGCGCCTTCTCAGAGTTCGCCTTCAGGCTCCGACACGTCGATTATCGAGCGTTGCACTTTTGAAAACTGTCCCAAATATTATACCGGCACGGCCGCCCTAAGCAACCTTTCTCGACATGTCCGAACCAAGCATCGGAAGAAGAAGAATACCTTCATATGTCCAATTTGTCGCAAGGAGACGGATCGCCGAGACAATCTACGTCAACATTTCATTAATGTCCATGCCAACGTTGAACAACCGGATTGTATTGCGAATAGAAGCCGGGGCCTCCAAGATGCTCGAAGCACTAACTAGTGGTCTTTCCTACAATATCTTTCCTTTTCTTTCCTTAGGAAAATCTTTACACTCTCACTTAAAGTTTCCAAGTCGGGGGGAGGGGCTTTTTTTGGTTTCTAGTGCCGCATTTCTTAGAGTTACAGTTTATTACCTTGCTTTGATAAATGGCGTTAAATCCCAAAGGTTGTCACGCCACATAACAGGCTGCAACTACACTCCTCTACTGACGGTAAATACTCGGAGGAAAGAGGCAGATAATGAAGTTTAGCGATTGAAGTCGGAGTTGGAGTTGGAGTTGGAAATATTTATTATTCCTCTTTTGTTTTGGTATGCACGCCTTCGCTTGCAAAGCAAGATCCTATTTAATTTATTTACTCTATTAAGATGTAAATGTCCACAAGAATCAATGCTGCATTGAATCAATAAACTATGAATGCCTGTGATTTCTTGAGAGCTTCGCGTTCGACAACCTATAGATGTGCATGCAGGGCTGGAGAGGCGGGAATTTCTCTTGAAATGGCTGACATCTGGTGACCATTTTGCAGCCATGGTAGTTGAAAGATCGAAGAAATTGGATGGCTTAAAACGCGATTTGTGGATGGTACTGTATGTTGTGGTAAGAAGGTTGAAATAATCACATGATCCATAATCGGCAAAAGGTTTCTCCTAGCCTCCGAAGCCAATCAAGAGCTCAATTTTTTGTGATGAGATATTGATTGCACATATCCTCAGACTTCTCCCGCAACAACGGCCCTCAAAAATCGACAAATATGGGCCGCGGAAACAAACAAGTAAGTCTATCCATTGTGTTGTCTGCGAAAATTCATCTGACTGTCAATAGGGACGAGGAGGCGGTGGTCGAGGACGTCAAGGTCGAGGAAGGGGAGGCGGTGGGCGCGGGGGTCGTGGCGGGGAAGACAATCGAGTCAGCTTCGAGAAGGTCGAGAAACACAACGAGAAACTTGAAAGATACTACAACAGTGTTCTGGGATTAGCAGATGAGGAGGAGAGGCACGACTTCTGGGCTGCATTGAAGCGGGAATTGCCCAACAGCTTCAGATTCGCCGGTTGTAAAGGGTATGAATGAATTGATGGATCAATTGCCCCCAAGCTAATTGTTCACAGACATGCGCTCGCAGTGCAGAAGCTTCTTAAAACCCGCTATGTCCCAGAAATCTCCAAGATTTCTCACTATGATGGTACTCCTGTCGAACCTCCCCAACCAGTGCTCTGGTATCCTGACGAATTGGCGTGGTGGATGACGACTCCGAAAAATGTCATTCGACGATTCCCGCCTTTCGCTGCATTTCAGAAGTACTTGGTGTCCGAGACAAGTGTTGGAAACATTAGCAGACAAGAGGTGGTTAGCATGATTCCGCCCTTGGTTATGGATCTTCAACCTGGAATGACAGTCCTCGATATGTGCGCTGCTCCTGGCAGTAAGGCGGCGCAATTGTTGGAGATGGTACACAATGGAGAGGAAGCACGAGTTCGAAAATCTCTCAAGGATCATGCCAAGCAAGATGGTCGATATGCGAGCCCTGAGGTGAAGTCGGAGGATGCGGCAGACATGGAAATCGACACCAGCGATAATGGACGAGCTACAGGATTGTTAATTGCCAACGATTCCGATTACAAGCGGAGCCATATGTTGATCCATCAACTCAAACGACTGTCGTCTCCAAACCTGATTGTCACCAATCATGACGCAACGATGTATCCTTCGATCAAGCTTCCGTCGACGCCTGAAAATCCAGCCCACAACAGATACTTAAAGTTCGACCGAATCTTGGCCGATGTTCCTTGTTCAGGAGACGGTACGACCAGAAAGAATGCGAATCTGTGGCAAGACTGGAATCCTGGCAACGCGCTTGGTCTCTATATCACGCAAGTCAGAATTCTTATTCGAGCCTTACAAATGCTGAAGCCTGGTGGCCGTGTGGTCTACTCGACATGCAGCATGAACCCAGTCGAGAACGAGGCTGTCGTAGCATCTGCCATTGAGAGATGTGGGGGGTTAGCAAAAGTCCAGTTATTACCGAGCGACGACAAACTCCCTCTCCTGAAGCGGCGCCCGGGCTTGAACGACTGGACCGTAATGGATAAGAGTGGTAAGGTATGGTCTACATTTGGCAAAGTAAAGGAACACGAGGAAGAATATGGTGCATCCGTCTACACCGACAGACTGGTGGAAGGAATGTTCCCTCCCATCAATGCTGACATCCCATTCGAGAGATGCATGCGTGTCTATGCCCACCTTCAGGATACTGGCGGATTTTTCATTGCAATTTTGCAAAAGATGTCGGAATTCAGAGCCAAGCCGGAGTCTGACTCGAAAAAGATTGAGCCTAAGCCGCCAATCACATCAATTATTGAGGAGATCGAGTCAAACCCAGAACCCAAAGACGGAGAAAGTCTTCTTCCCAAGATTGAGGCCGCAGATGCTCTAACAAGACCAACGGAATATTACGATGAATTTGTCTCTGCAGCTGCTCGCCAGAACCAAGAAAATCCAACGTCAGATGGTACTTTGACAACGCCTAATGGCAGGAAGCGCAGCCGGGATGAGACTGCTCCCATCGAGACCGAAGAGTTCTCCTCGAGCAAGAAGTTGAAGACGCAAGATGATGGGGACGAGGCCGAGATGAAAGATGCGGATGAAGCCGAGATCGATGCTGTTATGGAGACCAGGAAGTTGAGCACCAAAGACGAGGTTAATGAGCCCGCTGAAGAGGGCATGGAGAACAGGAATGTGCACTATCCCCCACCACCTGGTGCAGAGCTGGACTTAACTACTCGGCCTGGTGATATGCGCTCCGACTCGAGACCAAAGCAGCAGCAGCGAAACAGATCGGGTCAGCAATTCGAAGAGCCTTTCAAATACATCTCTGGAGATCATCCAGAAGTTAAGTCAGTGGAAAAGTTCTATAATTTGTCGCCACGCTTTCCTCGGGACAGATTCATGGTTAGAAATGTTCAGGGGGAACCAGCGAAGACGATTTACTACACATCGGCCTTGATTAGAGATATTCTTACTGAGAACGAGGGCAAGGGCATCAAATTTATCCACGGAGGTGTCAAGATGTTCATGAAGCAAGACGTTCAAGGACCAGATGTCTGCAAATGGAGGATACAGTCAGAAGGCATGCCGATCCTGGAAGGTTATGTCGGTGAAGAGCGAGTTGTTCGTCTCTATAACAAAGAGACTTTCCGTAAACTTCTTATCGAGATGTTCCCCAAACTCGCAGATGATGGATGGAAGAATCTTGGCGAGATTGGAGAACGTGTCAGGGATGTCCCGATGGGTTGCTGCGTTCTCAGAATTGAGCCGAGTGACCATGAAGATGGATTCGATGAGCGAATGGTTCTTCCGCTCTGGCGAAGCGCTGCCTCTTTGAATCTTATGCTTGCTAAGGAGGACAGGACAGCAATGCTGTTGCGCATCTTTAACGATACGACACCACTCGTCAATAACTCCACAAATAAACAAAAGATCGAAGAGAGTGTCAAGAAGCAAGATGATGAGGAAGACGAGAAAAAGCCTGTAGCGTCTGGCTTCGTTGTCGAAAATGGCAAGGTCAAGGTCGATACATCTATTGCTATCGAGGCAGCTGCGCCTGTCAATGATCGATCAACGAACGCGGAGATCAAGCCAGGGCCATATGGTGTTGTTATGGGTGCTGCTCCAGAGGATCAGCCTATGACGGATGTTAAGGCGGAAAAAATAGCCAAGGGAGAGGATACAAGTGGCCCCGAGCAGCAATTGAATGGTACTGGCGGCGTTGAGGGACAACTGGGTGGTGTGTCATAGACGCACGATTGCATATCTGGATGACTATGCCCTCTTAAACAGAGCACTGTATGAAGTGAATCGAGCTCACTTTGCACCAATGAATAAATGAAAGTCATGCCTGCGTTATTTAATGTCCGGGGTCCCCTGGAAAGATCCAAATGCACCCCCAACCCCCCTCCCCCCAAAACCCGATGGAGTGATCAAGATACGATTTTCTGTGGATGAATCACTTGCGGTATCTCATTTCTTCGAAGTTTGATAGCCGAGGAACCAGCTTCGGGCATCTTAAATTGTTCGTGTCACCTTCTCATTCATTGTTGCAGTTGACACGTGATTCACTGACCGAAGCATCATGCCACTTTTTCACTGCCCCATTCGTGAATCAGCCTTGTCCCGCGAATAGCACTATAATACTGACCTTACGGCCTACCGTTCTCAAATTTGCTTTCACGTTCTCCAAAAAAGCAAAGTTGCTACAATTTCTCTTTCAATTCAGCATTCGAGATGCCTTCCTCAATACTCTCCAACATGGCAGCATCTCATCTACCTCACATATCTCTCAAAACCGCCATCGTTCAACCTGGGATGTCCAAATCACCCCCCTTCACCTCAGAAGTCCCGGGTTCTCCCCAAGTAGACGGCGAGACCATCCCGCGTCGAAACGCCAAATTCGTCAACTCCCTCGTCTCCCGTCCATGTGGAGAAGTATCCACGCTTTTCGACATACTGCTCCGCTCAGCTGAGAAATTCGGAGACTTGGAGGCCATGGGAACGAGGAGGTTGATCGAGACACATTTTGAGATTAAGAAGGTGAAGAAGGTGGTTGAGGGTGTGGAAAGGGAGGCAGACAAGAAGTGGGTTTTTTTTCGAGATGGGGGAGTTTGAGTTTGAGAGTTTTGGGGGGTATGTGGGACGGTGTTTAAAGTTGGGTGCTGGGTTGAGGAAATTGGGACTAGAGCCAGGGGAAAGGGTGCATGTTTTTGCTGCTACGAGGTAAGTCCTCATAATCTTCGGGGAAGAAATGAAGTTTGACAGGGGTTTCTAGTGCAAACTGGTTGGCTGTGTCTCACGGTCAGTCCTCAATGTCTCTTCAAAGATTCAAAGGAACGTCACTGATATTTTGATAGCTGCAGTCACACAATCAATGCCAATCGTAACCTCCTACGCCACCCTCGGCGAAGAAGGCCTCACAACCTCCCTCACCCAAACCAGCGCCAAAGCAATCTTCATTGACCCAGACCTGCTCTCCAAACTAACCATCCCCCTTCAATCCGCACCAGAAATCAAATTCATTATATACAACGACCAACACCCAGTCCCTCAATCCGACATCGACAACTTAAAGGCATCTAACCCCAAGCTCATTGTCCTCTCCCTCTCTGATCTCGAAGAATTGGGCGAACAAAACCCCGTGGACCCAATACCACCACACCCCGAAGACCTCTGCTGCATAATGTATACCTCGGGCACGACCGGAACTCCCAAAGGTGTCCCCTTGAAACACCGCAACATCATCGCCGCAATCACCGGTCTCGATAGCGTATTCGCAGAATACGTCGGCCCATCAGACTCCGTGCTCGCTTACCTTCCACTGGCACATAGCTTCGAGTACGCATTTGAAAACGCTTGTCTTTACTGGGGTGTGAAAATGGGCTACGGCTCTCCGCGTACATTATCCGATACCTCGATGCGGAATTGCAGCGGGGATATCAAGACGTTCCGCCCCACAATTTTGGTTGGAGTGCCAGCTGTCTGGGAGACGATCCGCAAAGGCATTGAAGAGAAAGTCTCGAGGTTGGGATGGGTGAAGCGGAATCTATTCTGGGGCGCACTGTGGTTGAAGGCGGCGCTTTGTGTACTTTTCCTTCCGGGCCCGGGACTCCTTGATAAGGTGGTATTCAGGAGTGTAAAGGCAGAGATGGGGGGACGGCTGAGGGCGTGTTTTAATGGTGCAGGACCGTTGGGGAGAGATACGAGGCGGTTTATTAGTTTTGCGGCCGCGCCGTTGGTTAGTGGGTATGGGTTGACTGAGACGACTGCGTGGGTTCTTCCCTTCCCCCTTACTTTCCTTGCTCCTTTTCCTTATTCTCTGGAATTTAGTGGGCATTGACATTGATGGGAAAACAGAATGGGAGCACTCCAAGACCCTCTCCAATGGACGGACGACACACTGGGCTCCATCCCAGCATCCATCGAAATCAAACTCGTCGATTTCCCCGACGCAGGCTACTTCGCCACCAACTCCCCACCACAAGGAGAAATCCTGATCCGCGGTGATTCCGTCATGGACGGCTACTATGGCCCCTCGGCATCAGAGAATGAAGGCGTGATCATGAAAGATGGCTGGTTCAGGACGGGCGATATTGGGGAGTGGGATGCTAGGGGTCATTTGAAGATTATTGATCGGAAGAAGAACCTGGTTAAGACGTCGAATGGGGAGTATATTGCACTCGAAAAGGCTGGTTCCCCACCTATCACAGTTCAGTGTGCCGTCCCGGAGAAGGGCTGACGAAGTGTAGCTTGAGAGTATTTACAGAGCAGCGAACATCGTCTCAAACATCTGCGTCTTTGCCTCACCTACACGCTCAAAATCCATCGCAATCGTCATCCCAGACCGCAAACTGCTCCAGAAACTCGCCTCAACCAACAACCTCCGCCCACGACCACACGAACAGCTAGTGCACGACCCAGAGGTTAGAGAATTGGTACTTAAGGAGTTACAAAGCGTGGGTAGGAAGGCGGGGTTGGCTTCTTTTGAGATCATTGAGGGTGTGGTGTTGGCGGAGGAGGAGTGGAGTAGTCTGAATGGGTTGCTGACACCAGCGCAGAAGCTGGCGCGGAGGAAGATTGTGCCGCTTTATCAAAGGGAGATTGATGGCGTTTATGGGAAGACGAAGTCTGTATTGTAAGTTTTAGGATATGCAATTTCATCATCGTTGCATCTGAGCACGGGACTTTTGTCACCGATGCATTCGTGGGACGCCGATTTATGGAGCATTATCGAAAATCATTCCTGGAGTTTGGAAAAGTGCATAGGCCTGAGTTTTTTAAGCATCTAGCCTATCTCTCAAAAGGCTTGAAATTTACTCTACATAATCATGAGTCTTATTTTATACATAATCTTGGACAACTCGGTCATTGACAACGCAAGAAAAAGCTCGCTTAAGTCTAGGGTTTGGAAAAGGGGCAGTGGTTGGCCTGTTGTATCTCATATGTGTGGCCACAAAACAACCCAGAAGACCAAAACAGCTTTGCAAAACCCCTTAGATCAAACTACTGATTGATTGGACTCGAAAGAAAGGGTGACAGCTTTTATGCTCGGGGGAAAGTAAGAGATCACGTGAGAGTGGGGTAGATGACAGATCCCTGCACACAAATAAGCAGACGCGTCTCCAAGCAACCTCAAGACAGAAGAAAACCCAAACTGGGCAACGAAACCATACCTCTGCTATACACATAGCAAGTTTCCTAAAGATGTCACAAAATTCACGAGTTGCCCTCTCTCAGGATGACCTATCCAACTTCGAAGAGTTCATACAGAGCCGTTCCCAATACTCGAATCTCGTCGATCCGAGGGCATTTCCGGTGAAGGAACGGGACAGGCAAAACACTGCGAATATTATCGAGGGTATTGATCGGGTTTCCGTACAAGGCATTCTTGTACCTGCCGTCGTATCTCACCTGCACGAGGAATACGGCAAGCATGTCGCCATTGTCTGCAACGAATATCGGGTCACCAAGAACAGGAACACACACGCGTGCTGGGTTGAGGCGGCCGCGGAAGGGCAGCGAGACAGATTGCTCGACGGAATCAGATGTTCCCTAGAGCATGTACCACCGGCAATCGCCAGAGATCTGCTTCTCGGGGGCGTACTGACTGATTCGGAGGTTGCACAAGCGTGTCTGATCGCTGCGAATGCCATGTCCAGCGAATTGTCGACAGCACTTTCTGATATTGAGAATGCCTTTCAAGGCTCTCACAGGATGCTTGGAGAAATGCGCCATCTTGTTGAATGCAAGTGCTCGTCGGCAGATGCAAACGACGAGTTCCTCGAAAGCTGCTGCGAGGTGAGTAGACAGATTTCTGCAAGGAGAGAACAGCTCCACATTACTTTCAGCACGGTCATCAAAGTAGTTGAAGGAATGCCTCGATGGGAAACCCGAAGAGATGCGCTAAGAACTTTGAATAAACTGTATTGGAAGTGTAAAAACTGCAATGTCTTCCTGCGGGATGGGGAATGGGAAACAGATGTGGTCAAAAAGCAGTTGATCGATTTGATGGGCGGGGTGGCGGAGGGAATGGGGCCATTGGAGCGACAACGATATATGGATGAGGGATTCAGTTTCAATGTCCTCGATTCCCTTGAGGGAAAAGTATATGAATCGCTGAAGGATCTCAAGCGAGCGACTGATAACCTACGGGCAAGCCGCACGCGAGACAGCAAGGACCCGACCACACCGAGCCATTCTCAAAGGTCAAGACCACATATTGATTCTACGAAGTTGGGGGATAAGCACATGTCGGATACTGCAGGGGTGAAGAAAGCGGAGACAAAACAGCTGAAGAGGCGGAGGGTGAAAGATAGAAAAGCTTTACAGAAAGCGCTAGCCAGTCTGGGTCTGGGAGATATCGATGAGCACGCCGCTTGAAATGGAACGCCAGCTTTTACAGCCAGTGGTCTGATTGGAACTCTTTTCCTTGGAGATTTGGTCTACAGATCGACACGACTCCAGACAATGCATATTCTCCCAAGCATAAACCACTTTCAACCCAATTCTAGCCAATGCATCTTAGACCTAATCCACACCTCAAACCAATCAACTCCAATCGCGAAGCAGCCTAACTTCAACGTATCATACATCGACTACTAAGTCCACTCCTACCTCTCAAGCAGTTTAACCCACCTTCTCCCATAGGCCGGCGCCCCTCTCTCATGATCGACCATCACGCCTTGGTTCCCGTGAGTATCCTTCCCGGATTTACGTTCCGCCAACTCCAAACTATGACCAAACTCCATCCCGCCCTCAATCGTCTCAATCTAGAAGTAGGCCGCTGTCCTCTCAGTTGCAATCGCAATCGCATTCTTATCCCTGAAGATGAGGATATCGCCGTTCTCTCGGAATAAACGATCGATATCTTCGAGGGTGCTGTCCGAGGTTTCAAGATAGAAGAGGTACACAATCGGCACGGACGAGGCGTCGAACACCGTCTAGACGATGTAAGATTGCCAGCCTAGTTTCTCGATTCCGATAGGTGTGATCTCCACGACAATGGACTTGAAGATCCAGTCCCCGGCAGTGCCTAGAGCAGAAGCTTTGGTGCGCATAGAGGCCGAGTTAATCTCATTCGGGTACTGCCACGGCACACCCTGCCAACCGATGCCAAAGAAGATATAATACAGGAAGAACGGAACCGAGGCGGAAGCGACTTGTTCCTGGTATTGGTAACCTTCGAGCTCGGAGTAGGTGATGAGAACTGTAACGAAGACGCAGCAGAGTGCTTGGCCGGCTGCGTACATTATCGGGTTTCTGCGGCCCCAGCGTTCGATGTTGGGAATGGCAACTAAGCTGAAAAGGAGGTAGGAGACTAATTGCATATTGCGAGGAGATAGACTAGGCCGTTGGAGATCTCAGCGGAGGAGATGAGGACGGCTGGGAGGTAGTAGGAGGTGACTTTGATACCTGAGAGCTGCTGCATGATTTGTGTGCCCATTCCGAGCACGAGTCGGCGGATAGTGGATGTTCCTCCCTGATCCCTTGTTCGACCGCGAAGAAGGTCGCCCTAGGAGACATCATATTATCGCACGAAAGCGACCGTAAATTCAATTTCTTTGACATCGTTGGTGACGTGCCCACCCTTGGCGTCCAAACCCTCGAGGTCGGCAAGAATCTTGCGGCTTGCTCCACATCACAATGTGCAATGAGCCAACGAGGGGACTCGGGAGCCAGGGAACAGTTCCGAGGAGAACGAAGATGAAGGTGAATTGGAACGCAAGCGGGAATCTCCATGAGATGGAAACCTCCGACGAATGAGAACCCATATGTAACCCAATTTGACAGGGAAAATTCAGCAATGTTTAAGATCATTACGATGACGACTAGGTTTCCTCTCCAGCTTGCTTTGAGGCCTCGGACTGCCAGAGTGGGGCAGTTGAACTGTTTATGCCGTTACCGGTGCCGACAGTGATGCGGCCCGCGATCATTACTGGCGCACTGAGTGCTGTTTTATGTGCATGATCGCTCCCACAGCCCCGATGGAAGTTCCGATGAGGATCGTCTTCTTTTGTCCAGGCAAGGCTCCCACCATCACAGCAATTATGGCGCCAAAGAGACCGCCGATAACGTAGAGAGCCGTCATAGTGCCGATCATGGACGTGTTGCCCTTGAGTTTGAGAGTATCGAGAACGTCTTGCATGACGATAATATCACCTATCGAGCATACCAGCAGCTGGGCATGCGAAAGGTAGTGTAGTGTTGTCACGTGCTGCGCACAGGCGTATATATAGCTTCTTCACCGCCCTTAGGGCACGATCATTCATACATATATTTACACAAACACACCACATTCCACTTCCACAGCTTGTCCAGGCCGTGACAAGTGTAGAATGAACCGAAGGTACCTTGATCGTATCCGAACAATACCATATCAGTTGCACAGGGAACCGTCGCCCAGAGGTCAACCATCCTCCTTTCAACCCGAAACATGGTAGTGGCTGGATACAATCATTCTTCTCAGATTCAGATACGCGTCTAGATTGGGTTTTAAAGTGGCTAAGCATACATCGTACCCCATTGCGTCTTCTTGATTTTCTTTGGATTGCCAGCTAGATTGGTGAGGCGGCACTGTATAAAACTAGACACTACTCGTAGTGCTTCAATAGGAACTTCAGTGAAGCTTCGATTCCGTTAAGTTTGGGTGAGAAAGATCCAGCACATCAATTGAAGCTTCGAAATATTCTGGCGACGGTAGGGCAAGAGTTAAGCTTACGAGCCAGCTCGCCATACCCTAGAGCCTTCCCTGCCAATTAGGGACCCTTTTCCGTATATTACAAACGGGAGCTGCCGGCCTCGCTACTCAACTCAGAGCATTCTGCAAGACTGGCCACGATTTCGTGAGCTATATTTCACTAGGAACCTTTATAGTAATTGAAAGAATTAGTGGAGAAATCGAAAGAGACCTATTACTCGTTTGTTAATCAACCCGAGCCAAATCGGAAAGTTTAGCTCTACAGTAGCTCTATATCCGGTAATAGAATTTCTAGAAGCCTAGATCCATCCCTTTGTCCAGCGAGACATTGCTAGGCGCTAGTAAGAGGGCCTGGCTCAGACCTTACAGGCGCACTTTTACTTATACTTATTAGCTATCTCTTCCTTTTCTCCCTGAGCCAGGCCCCCCTACTAGCGCCTAGCAATGTCTCGCTGGATGAAGAGATATGAAAGCAATATTTAGAGCTGCGGTTCGGAGATTCGAATACAGTCCTGGATATCGAACTTGCCCCTTCGGATTCCAGCGGATTTGCTGGGTTTAATAAACCATCAAATCAGAAGACCACGATAGGCTTTATTTCGGCCGGTACTCCTAAAACCCCGAAAGAAATTCCACCAATCGATAATCCGCTCGAAAACCCAATCGAAAATCACGCAAATATGAGCGGTTTCGGTACAAGAAATGCAAGCCTACGTCCCTGCGGGTTTAGTGCGTATCAGCAATATGGCGTTGAATTAGCAATACGGCCATTTTTGTAATAAATTCCACAATTTCATAATATTGAAAAATTGAAAGAAGCCAAAAAAAAAGTTCAATTATCGGGGTGCCTCTAGATAAACTTTTTCTCCAAGACATTGTATTACATTGTGAAGTTATTAAAAATTCTAGATCTTTTTTATTAGAGAAAAAAAGTAACCTAATACCCAATAAACCCGCAGGGACGTAGGGGATTTGGTGCAAGTCCTGACACACGATTAGCTGTAATGCCTGGCGCTGGACAAGTCTCACTGGGCAAAGGGATAGGGGCTAAATAATACGCTCGGTCCCCTGAAGTAACCTAGTATAGGAGGTAGGTAATCCTTCTTATAAAAGTGAACTAATTATTTAGTTTAATATACGGAAGTACAGCTCATAAAGTTAGTAATAGCACTAGTAAGGGTTTTTGTATGTCTATATATATTCTAATATCGCTTTATTAAAGTAAATAAATAAAACAAGCCAAGCGAGGGATTTAATACCTAATTAAGTCAAGTTCTTTACTAGCCTAAGGGGTCGTTCTAGTGCCTCTGCTACAGGAAGGGGAGCTTGCGGGGGGGTATATGGAGTAAAAGAATCCCAAACTAAGATGCGAGACATTGCAAGTGTAAAATGTGGTCTTTTAATTAGCTAAAAGAAAGAGAAAGTAAATGTGAAGTGTCTGTTTTGCCCACCGAGCGAAAGTGCGTGGTTTGTCTATTATTTATTTACTTGTAAAATTAAGGCCAGTTTAGGGCTTGCTTTGCTTTGAAATCAGTAAAATTAAAGCTTAATTTCTAATAAAATCATTAAAATCAATAAGAGTAAGCTTACATGGGACAAGCCGATGTGTCCACTCGCTTGCTTTACTGTCTTTATGGGCTGTACCTCCGTAAATACAAATTCCCTCATTATCTCGGAATTTTATCTATCTTCTCTCAACAGTACGATAGCAGATCTTGAAAATGAGGAATTGTAATCTTGTGCTTCCATTTGGCAGCCTCCTCGTCAGTATGTTTGCTTCAGCGTCTGTTTTCACTCAGCCCCCTCTTTTCAACAAAATTTTAACAAATCCCAGAGCCCGCGTGCCAAGCCAGTTTTACAATGCTTCCGTCCCGCGATGGGAATGGTGGCCAAATCCAGGTCAACTCGCCAATGGAGACAAAGGCCAATACCTAAATCTCTCTTCCGGAGTCGATCTATGGTACACGACATTTGGCAAGAACTCCACTCGACACACGCCCGTGCTGCTTCTCCACGCCGGGACTGGGAACAGCAACCAGATGTACAACCAAGCCAACAAGCTAGCCGAAACTCGACAAGTCATTCTTCAAGAGTATATCGTTTCTCCCACTGAAAATAAAGTTGCAACTAATAAATTGTCCCAGCACCCGCGGCGAAGGACGCAGTCCCTACACAAACTTCACAAAATTTCACTACGACGACTTCACCCGCGACGCAATCGCCATCCTCGACCACCTCAACATCCCCCGCGTCGCAGTAGTCGGCTGGAGCGACGGCGCAATCGTCGGGCTTGACCTTGCCATGAACTACAGCTCTCGCATAGAGCGGGTGTTCGCTCACGGTGCCAACCCTCAAGCAAATATGAGTATCCCTGGCCTTAATGATCCGATCATTAATTCGGATTCTGGATTTTTGGACTCAGATTTTGCGACAAACGGGACTACGTATTCTATTAATGGGAGAAGGAAGAGGGGGTTGGGGAAGAGGGGGCAGACGTATAATTGTGAGAGTTTGAGTCCCTTGCCGGGGAATTGTTCGGCGATGAAGGAGGGTGTTGCTTAGTGAGTCTATGCTTCTGTGAAAGGTGGTGGTGAATGATGTGCTGACGGTAAATAGTATGTGGAGGACGGAACCAACCTGGGGACCAGGAGCGTTGGCGAAAGTCAAGTGTCCGGTTTGGATTGTGGACGGAGACCATGATATTTCTGTGGAGAGGAATCAAGCGGATGCTTTGGCAGCATGGATTCCGTTTGCTGGGCAGCTGATAATACCTCACGTGGGACATGCTGCTTTGCTTGAAGATCCAAAGCTCTTTAACTTCGCGATGGAATACTTCTTGGATATGAAGTTTGATGGGGTTCTACCTTACTACTAAAAGAGAAGTCAAGCAAATCAAGGAATAAGTATTGTGGGGATCTTGGACTCGCCATTTTCGTGGCCCCATGAAGCTGGAGTTGTGAGTAATTTAATCAACACATTGCTCGAGCAGATATAGTACTTTGAAACTATCTCCACGAGGGACATTCTGAAGTGAAGGTATGTGTTTACTTCCAACCCCTCGGTGTTTCTATCGTGCAGGGCACAGACAAAGCTATTCATAGGGAACAGTTTCCTTCCGTCTCCAGACCCTAAGTCTGCCTGCCCTCACTAGACGGGCAGATCGACTCAGCCATCCACTTGCTCTCCGGCCTCTTCCCTTCATGCTCCTTAGGCAGCTCAACATCGTAATTCATAACCAGGTAAGCAACAATCATCTTGAACTCGAAAACGAAGAAGAACCGGCCTGGACAATCAGTGCTCTCACCAAACGGAAGAAATTTCGGCCCTGTGGATCCAGACGTAAGATTGGATTTCTCGTTTGCATCTAAAGTTGAGTCTTCGCGAATATGAGAGAATCTGAAAGGGTCAAATTTAACGGGTTCGTCGAATAGTTTGCTATCAGAGTGTGGTCCGTATGCGATGACAGAGGGTAAGGCGCCTTTAGGGAGCAGGATTCCGTCCTCGGTGCGGAGACCATCGATCATCACCTTTTTGAAAACACTTCTATTTGCAAAAGTCTTTATTCGGAGAGTCTCTCTGCAAATTCTGTCTGTCTTTATCATCTGAGAGATGGAAAATTTAGTCCAAGTATGTCGTTTGCGGTGAGAACCCTGGGAGATCTTCCCTAAGGAGCGCAATTGCATTGTATTCTTAGTCCGAAGCAACGATATCGAACACAACATTCGCGATTCCGATATTTGCTTGATGAAAGATTTCTACATCTAGGAGTGCCAGACGACCGGTCACATCATCGATATTGACCTCGTCTGGGCAATTTGTCTGTTCGTAACGGAGCATCATTTGCAACATGTCTGGCGGATCGTCTTCGCTTTTTGGATTCTGGATGACAAACAGTGGTTTCTGAAATAGCCTTTCCCATTGGCGCTTCATCTTCCGTATATGACTTCAGATGGGGATACTAGCAAGAGACCCGAAAATTGAGCGGAGACTTTGGGTAGGATTCCAATGATGCCCGCATTGATGAAACAAATATCGGTGTAAGCGATCCGATTCTTGAGGAATTCTTCATCTTGTCCTGTGTTAGGGTGAGTCAGTAAGAACGCCCGGATAAAATGGGTGGCGACAATTACAGATAGGAAGTCCCAGCATGGTCCTGCTCGAACCTTGAGCAACAGTTGGCTCAACAGTTTCAAGCACATTGAACTCCTTCCAATCCTTGGTGTTAGTACTGAATTCCGCATCGAATGTAAACTTCAGCTCGTCGTCCAAAGATACGATGGTAATTTCGAGGATGTTGTTCGTCTCACGCTTGATCAAGGTCGTTGGCCAGTTGTCTAGAAGGTAAAATCATACTTTTCTCCAACATGTAGACACCACCGTCGAGTTCAACAATCGCCTGCTGTGCGCTGAGGACATTATTTGGTTGGAATTGAATCTAACGAATAGCGTTGGTTGGCATGATGACTTCGTCTCGGAAGCCCAGACTGGGGAACAAGCAGGTCTTTCCCTGCTTCGACCACTGTTTGGTGTATTAGCCTCAGCACTATTGTGAAGCACCCTCAGGAAGTCCTTTCCTCTTACCTTCTTATATGCTTCAATGAAAGCTTCTGGCAATCCGTGAGGAAAGCCAGGCGTGTTCTCAAACTGAACCGAGTGGCGCCTTTTGGTTCACAAATTCGCGGGAGACGCGAGGGGTATTGAATGATGGCGACGTATGGGAACCAGAACGCTGCAAGGACTGCACTGAAGGCGCAGAGTGATCTGATTTCAAACCAGTCTACGGCCCGGATATTCATCACGTCAACTGATGAAGACATCATGTAAAGCTTGATGATGTCGGAGAGGGAAGCTGTTCGCAGCATTCGAACCCCAGCAGAGAGCCAGAGGGGTCCAGGGCAACAGCTGGAGCAACGTTCAATAATTTCTGCGTCCATAGAATGATGGAAATTTAAAAACATCTCACGAAACTGAGAGATAAAATGAGAAGCTGAGGTAAATTCAAGACATTCCACTTTATGCGAAAACTTGATAGCACTTTGTATCGATCGCCACGGTGACAATAGCAGAGTCTCCTTCGTAAATTTAGGGTAATATCCCGCCCCCGAGCACAGAACCATGCCGCACCCTCCTTAGAGTCCTTGTCTTTACAAGATACTCATGTGTATGCGATGTCCAATGAAAATAAGAAAAAATAGATATTTCTTCAGCCGCATTCCCCGTAAAATCTTGAAGAAACGCGATTCGTGGACATCATTCTGTTGAGAATTGCTACCTCCGTATAGTATTCACCCGGCATTAACCTTTCCAGTTCGGTTAAGCCCTAAACAGTCAGCGAGACCTATACACCCAGCCTCCATGAGCTCAGGAAAGTCCCCCGGAAAATTGAAAAGCCTGTGTCAAAACCTATGTATGCAAATAAAAATGATGATGTATTTGTAAAGTGCCCAATCTATAAACAAAGACAACCCAATAATCCCCCGTGCCCAAAAAGAAAAACTATCGAATTAGAGGATATGCAACCAACAGCTCCTTAGCCTCTCAAAAGGCTGAGCAATACAGGGCAGCAAGCCCACTGTGTGTTCTACGGAAGCGGCGCAACAAACACGTTATTAAGGACGCGAAAACCAAGCAACTTTTTACCAAACGCCGAATCCCAAAAGAGTGATATCCCTTACAACAAAAAGATCAAGATAGTTCCTGCAACAGTGGCCCCAAATTGGCCGACCGTTGGCGCTAGATGAGTGCAGGAAGCGGACTTCTTGGCACTATTCTTGCTGGTATTGAAGATAGGAGAAGAATTGCTATCGTGTGCCTGCTGGTTTCTCTTCTCATCACTTCCCTCCTCCTCATCCTCCTCTGTGCCCTCTTCTTGGTTGCCCTCCTTGTCATCCACCTCGACTGCATCGTCGATAAAGGGCTCAGGCTGAGTAATTGTCAGCGTCGGCCCTGCTCCATATGCAAAGTAGAAAGTACTGGGCGAGAAAGCACTCACAGCCGTCGCCGTTACTGTCGGCGTGCTTTCAGCAACGACTTCAACCTGAGTGGTGGTCGGTTCCGGAGTCGAGATAGAAGGAGAAGGAGAAGTCGGAGCACCCACACGAGTAGTAGTCGCCTTGCTCTCCTCAGCCTTCTGAGATGCAGGCTCAGCAGGCTCGTCATCCTCTCTTCCCACATCCTGAGCATGAAACTTCTCGCCCTCTCCCTTCATGCCACTCTTGATGTTCTCGTACTGACTCTCAGGATAGCTCAAGTGGTTCTTGCTTTTCTCCAACTTGCCGAGCTCTTTGACAACAGTGGCAACTAAAGAGTCATCGCCAGTCTTATCCCCAGAAACTTCCCAGAACATGGCGCCACCGAGACCCTTCTCCTTGATCCACTTTGCCTTTTGGCGAGCGATGTTGGGGGTATCGTAGGAAACCATGTACTCCTTCCCTGCATCGTAGCTGTAACTAGCACCAAGTTCAGGAAGCTCGACGATGTTGGCAGCTGAAGGGATATCTTTGTAAAGGAAGCTCCCTTTGTCACCTTCTTGCAATGATGCAGCTTTATCGTAATCGTTGCCTGGACCCTTGGTCTGAACAAAGACGTGTCCGTACAGCGGCAAACCAAGGTTAATCTTCCCCGGCGCGATCTTCCCGAGATTGATATAGTAGTCCACGGCGGACTCTGTGTTGAAGGGGGTGTGAGAAGGGTTCTCTGCGTTGGCGAAGAGGTTAGAAGAATGGCCCGAGGTTGTGTCCCAGGCTCCAGCGTAATCATATGCCATGAAGTCCCATTGGTCGATGTATTTATCCATGGCTGGCATATCGAGGTGCTGATAGTTTTTCGCTCCGGCCGGAGATGCGTACGAAATGATGAACGGTGCCGAGTTGGTGGACTTGGCGTATGACTCCATCGCGGTGCGAATCTTCTTTAGGAGATCGATCATTTGGTGGCATTCGACGGGGGATGAGACGTATTCGTAGTCGAGAGAAAGGCCGTCGAAGCCAAGGTCAAACATCTTTTGAACCGCGGACCAGGCGAATGTCGAACGCGTCAATTCGGATGCGAGCATTGGTTCAAACTGTCCCTCTTGAGAGTACGTGTACCCCCCGATAGAAAGCAAAGTCTTTAGAGAACGGTTCTTCTTCTTGAGAAGATACATCTGTTTGATCTCGCCGTAAGCGTTTGATTTACCGTCCCATAGATCACCAGGGAAATGTTTCTCTAAGTCCGCATATTCGTCACTGAGAAGTCTGTTTAAGATAAATTAATGCCATACTTTAATTCTGGATATTCGACTTACACTTCACCCGTGTTCTTGTCAACTTTAGCGAACGAGTAGATTAGATGCGTATACCGCTCCGCTGGGATGTCGCTGGCGCTGAAGTTCTTGTAGGTTTTCTAAGAGAAAATCAGAAGGAGTCGCACCTCTATTTCATTCATTCGACTTACCCAATCGCCATAGTAACCAACGTTGCGAAATCCAGCATGTGGAGAATTTCGTGCGGCAAGATCGGTTGATTTCGATGTGTGGGCGGAGGAGATTAGGGTGGCATTGGCTGCTGTTATAGCAACCAAGAGGCAGGTTGTCCAAGAAGAAATTGAAGGGAGCTTCATAGTTAATTAAAAACAAAGAGGTGTTGTCGAGATTTCGGTGAGAAGTTGTATGTGTGAGTATTGAAAGTAGAATATTGTAAGGTGTTTGAGGATGAAAGAAACACAAGGGCCAAAAAGTATGCTCATATACGGGAAGGCAAGTTGTCAAGTGGGCTAGAGTGGGACCGGTCCCGGATGGAAAGCAAGCTGCCACGGCCCAGGGTCGATTTAGTCCAGCTGTCAGAATGAAACAGGGTGGAGCTAATGAGAGACTAGAATATCAGTGCCCACACAAATAGTATGCCCACAATTATTTTTTAGACTCGTATCTTTAACTATTCTTCAGCAAATCTGAACTTTGATGAATTTGGCCAGGGCCAGTCAGTATTGGAATAGACTAAGTTCTTAAATGACATGATAATACAAATCGGGAATTTGGGAGCCTCTACCAAGAGATAATTAAAAGAAAAGCGCCAAATTGCGACTGAACCTTCCCTATACTATTGTCAGTGGGCATGAAATTGGAGGCGGGCGGGACCGGCTCGAGACCGAGAGCTTTGGGAACCAACTTACTTCCCATAGCGGCGTACAAAGCCCACGTTATAATTTCTAAGCCCTGACACTCTCCAAAATCGAGCGCTCGAAATGGTAGGATATGGAGCTCGAATTCAGGAAAGCAAGTGGGCAAAATATACAAAAATATGCCTGTTCCGGCCGGATATTGAACGGTCGGCTGCTGAGCCTGACCACGCCAACGGCAGTACCTGGCCTTGAATGACCATAAAATGCCAACAAACTGTGGATATCTCCTCGTTATTATGATATCAAAGAGCTTTGCTTATAAATCATATCCTACCATACAGCCGAAAATTATCCCACATAAGCGATGTAAAGAATCACTTCGCTGCTGCAGTGTTCGCCAACCTAAACTTGGTCTTCTCAACAATCCTCTGCTCATCCCAAATATAATTAACACTCTTCTCTTTAACAACTGCATTCGCCCACTTCCAAAAAGCCGGGGCCTTCGTCTCAAGATTCGTCAAAAGACTCTTCGGAGCCAGTCCACCTTTCGGATAAGCCAGAAGCCGAAGGATGAAAGATCCTGTTTGGACCTAGTATTGTAATATCAATCAGCATGCCCAACTCCAATTTCCATTCAATCATCCAAAAGGTAATGTTTAGATCGGAATAGGGGAAAGTGGCACTCACCTCAGCTAAAGTCAACCTCTCGCTCCCCCCGAAAAACGGCTTAGCATCCTGGAGCAACGGCTCGACTTCCTTAACAACAGCATCCACCAGCTTCTCAGCCAACGGTCCCTTCTCCTCCTCACTCGCCCTCAAAATGCCGTAAGTCTGGCTGTTCACCTTGCTGATAAATGCATCGACGAAAAAATTGATTTTGGCTCGCTGAAGTGCGCCGCCTTCCTCGGACGACGTCTTCTGTAAGTGGGAAGGGTGTGCGTCGCTGAGGAATTGCGCGACAATGGCAGATTCAGTGATGATGGTTCCGTTGTAGGAGATACTGGGAACCAGGCCTCGAGGGTTGACGGCTAGGTAACGCAGCGAATTAGCATGTCAAATTCTTGACTTCTTAGGGGCGAATCTCTTAAGACACATGTCGGCTCCCTCTCAAGCAAGAAAATAGAAAACATTGGTATGGAAATAGGCTAACCTAGGTATTCGGTAGTGCGAGGCACGGAGAGGTCGATGATTTCTTCTTTGAAGGGGAGATTGAGTTCGGCGAGGGCGATGTGTGCGCGATGTGCCCACGGACAGCTGTGGTTTGTATACAGAAGGATCTCGGGAGTTTCGACGGAACCCATATTGGTGGTTATATATAGATTGATGGCCTGCTTTAAAGATGCAAGTGGAGAGAATGTGTGTCAAGGTGAAGATGTCAGTGAAGATGGTCACGTGAGGATATAGAAACGGGAGTGGGTTGGAGAAGGAGACATTATACTCCGGGGAACGGAAGGGATTTATAACTTCAAGCAATGACGAACCGAACGCCGGGAGTAGCACCGTAACCCCGTTAGCGTAACCCGCCTGCTGAAATGACGCGATTCCTGGCTGGGATGAGGATGTGTGCCCCTCCTTTGATTTCTAAGCCCCTTATCTTATCGTCCGAGCGGATCATTATCGTCATCGGGCGGGATCCCGCTCCGCCAGTATATTGTTTTTCTTTGACACCGCCTCGAACAAAATAATCATCTTCGTGCCCCACTGCTACGAAAGCAAGAACTAAACCCTCCCTTGCAATCTCTCAAGCTTCGGCAAACATGGCAGCACCTTCCGAAGAAATCCCAGGACCAGACCTTCTCACCCAGGCCATCAATTCATTCTCCCTCCCCTCGGACTCCACAGCACAAGATGGCACAACGCCCTCCTTGCCCCCGGCAATGGCCGCGCTACGGAACAAGTCAGCAGATGAGATCCTCTCCGACCTCAACAAAACGCCCCTCTTCATGACCTCGCTGGAAGAGAACGACGACCTCGAAGCCCTCAAAGCGCTAGCCTACGAAGGCACTCCGCTCGAAGTCTCCACCGGCTTCAAAGAGCGTGGCAACGAATCATTCAAAGAGCGTGGCTTCAAAGACGCAAAAGAATTCTACACCAAAGCCATAAACGTCCTGCTCTTGGAAGTTCGGAAGCGGCAGAAAGGAGAGAAGAAGACGGAGGAGGAGGGTGGTGAAGAGGAGGTTAAGAGGGAGATTGCAGTCTTGGAGGCGTGTTTGGTTAATAGGGCGGCGTGCCATCTGGAACTGAAGAATTATAGGAGTTGTACGCTTGATTGTGGGAGTGCGTTGAGGATTAACCCGGGGAATGTGAAGGCATTCTACCGGAGTTCGAGAGCTTTACTCTCCTTGGATCGCATACCCGAAGCGGATGACGCTTGTGCGCGTGGTTTGGCACTGGACCCGGAGAATAAGTCGTTAAGGGCTGTGGCGCAAGATATAATAAAAAGGAACGCACAAGTGGCTGCGAAGAAGAAGGCGGAACTGGAAAGGGAGCAGAAGAGAAGGGTTGAGGAGGTCACGTTGAAGGCTGCGTTGAAGGCGCGTGGTATCAAGACACGGCAGACGGCACAACCGCCAGAAATGGAAGACGCGCGCATCCAACTTGTACCTGACCATGCGGATCCAACGTCCACACTCGCATTTCCGACGGTGCTATTATACCCGTTGGCACTGGAATCAGATTTCATCAAAGAGTTCAACGAGACGGAGACCCTGGGGCATCATTTAGACTACATTCTTCCTGTTCCCTGGGATAAAGTGCTGTATACGCCGAAGCGCGTGGAGTGTTACATGGAGACGATCACGGGAGGATTGGTCAAGGTTGGAAGGAATGTTACGCTTTTGAAGATTCTGACGACCGCGAATGTCGAGGTTGTAGATGGGGTTGCCCGAATCTTTGTGTTGCCGAAAAGTAAGGCGGAAGGGTGGGTACAGGAGTTCAAGAGGAAGAAGGCGGCTGAGAAGGTTGCGTGAGAGGATCCCGCACGGATGAAGACCCGGAATCTGAGAGGACGCCGCTTTGGAAGGAGGACCTTGAATAATTTGAGATGGAAGAATGTGAAAAGTGAGAGATGCATGGTAGGACTTGTTTTGCCTCATCTTTTCTTTTTCTGATGGGACAAGCAATGAGCCACCTCGCCGACGAAATAGGAAATATTGTTCTGTGCGAGGAAGGAAAAATTGGAGATTTCTTGGCCAACTAACGAGACATTCGTACGAAAAGGGACACATTTGCATCGGGAACTTATTCTGCCTCCCGCCGCCATGCACGGCGTTCGATCGCGCTACCATCCCACCACGATCACCACGAGTTGGTATTAAGGTTGCGTAACCAGTAGAGGCTGATCGCCGACTTTGTGCTACTTTCAACGGCTGAGATGCGCGTCAGTGTCACGAATGTGGTGTTACGTGGGGACTTCAGTCTACCTCCCTCCACCAACCTTAATCGAAGCTCCTGAAGGCCAGATGGGCATGTGCAAGAGGAGTGGTGGTGGGGAAGAGAGAGGTAAAGGGGGAAGAGGGAGAGCTATGAGAAATCAACGAGATAGATTACGACTAGATTACAATGCAATTGTGCCAGTGATATGGACTTGCATCCGACTTTCTTTCATCCGAAATGTGATCCACGTGAAACCAAAACACCTCCAATGCAAAACGAATCATGACAGAACAATCTGAACATCCATCTCACGCCCTCCTTGCCCAATCCATGTCCCGAAACGCCATCAATGCGTACTCACATGAATACTTGGAAGTATTCACATACTCGTCGCCCTCCTCCTCTTGATCCGCGGTCCGTCACCCTCCTTCTCCTGCATCTCAGCACCACACGCCGTCTCGCCATCCTTAACACTAAGCCTCATCAACAGCCACGCCGCCTTCTTCTCCGCCGCACCACCGCCCGCACCAACCCTACCCGCAGAAACATCCTCCATCTCTTTATCACTGCCGCCGACTTTCTCATCCAAGCTCCCCTTCTCATCCGTAACACTTGCAGACTCTTCGCCATCATACTCATCATCGGCATCGACCTCCTCAACGCGTCGCTTACCCCGCCAGCTCGCAATCGGCATATCAACCAGCCCACTCGACCTCGGGATCGCGCTGAGGATAGGATTCGGTCCCGCACCTCCACTTCCGCATTTGAAAGCCGGAGAGGTGTTGATGGAGGAGTCGGCGGAGTGCGAGAGCATGTTGTGCGTTTGCCAGCTTGGGACTTGGCCAGCACTGTTTGTGCTGCCGGGCGTAACGGGGCTGTGGAAGTAACCACCGCCATCGCCGCTGGAGGTCTCGCTGCCGTTGGTGTCCATGTCTGTTTCTGTGAGTGTGTAGGGGCTGGCGCTGTCACCGAAGGCGCGCTTGAGGCGGAGGCGCCGGCCTAGGTGAGGAGGTGTGCTGCGCATGGAGAGCGGCTCGGGTATGCGGTCTGAGCGGATGGAGCGTGATGGAGAGTAGGACTCGCGAGCGGAGGAAGGTTTTGGGGAGAATGTGCTGTATTGCAGGCGGTAGTTTTCGGCTTCTGCGGTGGCATCGTTTACGAGCTGGGGGTCGATGATCATGCGACCGTGTTCGGGGGCTTCGGGGGACACGCATTGCGAGGGGAAAGTTGGGCCGAAGATGGGAATCAAGGCTGGTGCGATGTGGGCGCAGAAGGTTGTACATACTGCGAGGGCGCAGGAGTAGGGCATCCAGTAGCCTGCCATTAAGTTAGAATGCCGTTTGAAAAATTGAAAGCTGGCGATTCTTACCTTGCGCTGCGAGTGCACCTCCTGTGATGCTGTGGGTGATCTCCTTAAGGCCAGGATTCAGGTTGAGCATTTTTGCTGGGGTTGTCTGCCAAATGTCAGTCGAATTTCTAGAAAAGAAAAAGAAAAGCAATCACGGACCTTGGAGTATTTGCAGCATTTGAAGAATGGGGTGATGCGAACGAGGCCGATATTATAATCCCACATCACGATGTAATCCTTCTCGTCTCCAGGAACTTTAAAAGTGTACTGGAAGACTGCAATCGACGGATCAGCATGGATTAATGAACGTGACGAGTCAGATTTCTTACCTTCGAAACTCTCTCGACCTGTCTTCTCCAGGAAGCTTTTCTTCTCGCTGTTATAAGGAATATGGCGGGAGTATTCCTGGATCTTGCCAAGGGGATGAACCTGGAATTTTTCGACCTCGCGTATGGTCTCCTCATCCAAACGCTCAAATGGCGGGAAATTGACCTCTCCCTTGATCTTACCCTTGACAAAAACAGCGCCGTCCTTAGTCATCTTCTGCTTCTTGATCACAGATTGAGTTGATAACTGAGGACTACCAAAAGTTGAAGACGAGGTACACAGCGACGACGAGGGACTTGATGGAAGTCGTGTACCCCGGGGTTCTGGCTTGACTGGGCTGACAGGGTTGAGGAGAGATGCCACGGACAACATGGCGGTGAGAGTTGAGTGGTCCGGCTCGAATGCTGCAAGGTGTTAGAGTTTAGATCTTCGATGACGAACAGAATCTTCGTCAAGGAAGCAGCCCGGGCGGCAAATGCACTGGTACAGCAGCTCAGAGGACCACTGTTTTGGTGCGTGCAAACAGAGCTTGAGAAATAGTCGGTTCGTGGGTCTTTATGGGAGAATGGCAGATAGCGAGCTTGAGAATCGGTGCTCCTTCGATACCAACTAGCGGTGCAGCTTCCTGCAGTCCAAGGCCGCCCAGTGGTGTCTCCAAGCGCTCTCAGCAAGTTCGGTGTGGAAGTCCTCTTTGTTGGCAATGTCTAGGAACCGACCTGGGTAGGAGGAGCGTCCGTTTGCACGTCTCAACCACCCATCCGTGAAGTCGAGGGCGAGAGCACACACCGCAGTTTCAGCACCTGGGGAAAACGTATTCTGAGCCCTTGGATCTTTGGGCAACCTTGGAGAGGCGATTTCTCCTTATGAATCCCCTTTGCACCGGCGTTGATGCTTTGAAAGGACAAGTCCCGAGATGACGAAGTCTTGATTCAAACGAGTTATAGAAGGCTTCTGTGAAGATTCTCCACTCCCGTCCGTCCCATGGGGCCAGCAGGGCTTCCGAGCAATATGCACACACCTTCCAGAGCAACGATCGAGGGAAGCGTGTTTCACTAGGCCCCCAAGGTAGCGGAATTGCCAAATGAAAAGAGACAGCAACCGGAACATGACAGCAAAAGTGTGTCTCGCCATGCTGAGAATGGCAGTTTGACACCAACAGATTCTGCGCCATTGCTCGATCGGGACCAGAGCTTGTTTGAAGAGTGGGGATGTGATTTGCTGGGCACACATGCTGGCCAGGAGTTTTGGGACGGAAGGCTGCAGTAGTCGCGGGTGGCAGACCATGATGGACAGCCACTTTTTGTAAACAGACAAAGAAATCAGGACGATTAGCGCCAGAGATCAAAGACAGCTTGCTTGACTCGATGCACGTGGATAGCAATCCAGCAGGTCAGAGGACTTCAGCAAAATCCAGTTTCCCAAGGTCAAAATTGCAAACACTGTCTTCCACACACAGACACTGTCTCAAGGAAATCTTGCAGCGGCTCAACGATATGAAGATACCGGATTAAGCTCCATGCCCCTAGCCGGCTGATCACATATTGCTCCTCCTGCTCCTCAAAGGACTTCTATGTCCCTTCGAGAAATGTGTGGGAAAGTTCCCTGCTCGTAACTAACGCGGGGATGCAGCTGTCACTTGAGAATCATGGTAAATCCACGGGACTTATGCATATAGGCACATGCCGGGATATTTGGTTGATGCCTCCAATCTCAGTATGTAGGACGTTTTCAAATAGGCAGTGCAGAGACATCGACTCCGGGCTGGTCCTGGCATTGTCTGACCTTGTGTCGAGAACAGATGAAAAGGTCGCACGGCAAGAAGAAATCAGAGAACTGAGCAAATAGGAAGATCAGAAACACAAAGATATTGAGATAGTTCTCGTCAAATGTGCTTCAGCAAGTATGCTCATTACAGTGCATGGGATTTGGTACTTCCCCTCGAGTCGTAGTCTGAAGAAGAGTCAGTGCGTACACCGTAATTCAGCCTAACCTGCAGCCGCCCGGATGCTCCATGCAGCGAATTCATGCTTTTTAGGCCAACCACGCTGTCGTCTATGCAAGTCAACAAACGAATCCAGGTGAAAGAGCAGATCAGTAGGGTGATTGGAAGGTAAATTCCGGAAACACAGCGCATGGGCCAAATAAAGGATGAAAGCCTCCTCAGAAGACTCGATTGCAAGCTCACGCAGGAGGTAGGGGTGCAATACGCTCATCTTGAATTATCGTGAGCAAATTCGGCATTCTTGTGTGCGACAATTCCAACTTTGGTCGCCGACCTGGGGTATAGTAGGGACTCCGGTACAAAGGAGAAAAGTGATTGGATTCGATAGGGTGGGCCGAGGAGGGTTACTCTTGCGAAAGAGTGCTCGATCTGCAGGTCTTTCTGAAAGTAGCAATACCGTGTGACAGACCCAAGAGGTTGTTTAAAATCCCGATGTCCCTCTGACAGCCGTTGAGGTTTCAGATCTCTTGAACGCGTGGAATACAAAGATTATTTTGGGATCTGTCTCCAGATTCCGGCGCTGTCTGAAGGTTCGGGAAGTGCGGGTGCGGATCAGTGCAGCACATCGGAAGGCTGGTGTATGGCCATTCTTCTCCTCCTCTCTCCTCTCTTCGTGCTGCAGGTGTTCCACGAGAATAGATTCCGCCGGGATGTAACGAGGGAGGCACTTTGGCCTCAGTCCTCGGCTTTCGGATGAGGTTGGGGATGCATATGTGGTGTAGAAGCCATGGTGTTGTGCTTCTGAAGAGTTCAAGGCTGTGCCTTGTTGCTTACTCATAAGTCAGGCCAATCATGTTTGAGCTTTCGCTAGCGGGCGTTGCAACGCGACTGCAAAACGACCCTGGTAAACAAACAACCTCCTGGCTCCTCTCGAGGACTTTAGGGTCGCACAGTCCTTAACCCACCACAACAAACCTCTACGATCGACAACAATCCTACTGTTACTTCCTACCATTGCCGTTCATTCATGTGCGATTGAGCATTACTGCTGGTAACACCGCCTGGTCGCGTTTCACTTCTCCTTCCCCTCACCCAAGAACGCGTCAGTCGCGAGCCAACACCATGGATCTCTCGATGGATGATGCCTCAGTCTTCGACGAGTTTGATGACTCTGACAATTTTGAGCCTGTGCCGATCGTGAGTCTTTCTGTTTCTATGCGATTCATCTAAAGGCTTCTTTACTCAATTGTTGCCTCAAATTGCATTGAGACTGACAGCTCTGCCATAGAAGGCCAAAGCAAAGCCAGGACCAAAGAAGGCTACCGCACCGAAAGCCCCAAAGGCCACTTCGAAGAAGCTGGTACAGACTACATTGAAGACCACCAAGCCCGCCACGAAGAAGCGTCCCAAGCCGGACAGCGATGAAGATGAACCCTCCGACATTGACATGGACTCCATGCAAGATGCATCCCTCCTTTCGAATACTCCACCGAGTTCCAAGAAGCAAAAGAAGGGTCCTGTGAAGAAGAGCGGTGGAAAGCCCTTGCAGGATATTGCCAACGAGAGCATGAATATGGATGGTGGGGCAGACATAAAGCCCATGAAAAAGAAGGATGCCACAGACCAGTATCAGAAACTCACCCAGCTTGAGCACATCATAAAACGTCCCGACACATACATTGGTTCAGTCGAGCGTGCAACAGAGATAATGTGGGTCTTCAACACAGAGACATCGCAGATGGAACTTCGAAAGGTGTCCTTCGTTCCTGGTCTCTATAAGATTTTTGATGAAATCCTTGTCAATGCTGCCGATAATAAGCAGCGCGATTCGAGTATGAAAGTCATCAAGGTTACTGTAGACCGTCAAAATGGACAAATTAGTGTCGAAAACGACGGAGCTGGTATCCCCATTGAAATCCACAAGGTAGATTTGTCCATCGTCATCAAAGGAAAGCTTTGCTAAAGTACTCCACAGAAAGAAAAGATATACATCCCCGAGATGATCTTTGGCCACCTCTTGACTGGATCCAACTACGATGATGATGAGGAAAAGACTACCGGTGGTCGAAATGGTTATGGTGCCAAGCTTTGCAACGTCTTCAGTACCGAATTCACACTAGAGACACAGGACTCCAACTCTGGCAAGAGATACAAGCAAACGTGGACCGAAAACATGAGCAAGATGGGAAAGGCCAAGATCACATCCAGCAAATCATCTGATTTCACCCGAGTAACCTTTACTCCTGACTATGCGCGATTCAAGATGGATGGTATCGACGACGACTTCGAAGCCCTGGTTAAGCGCCGAGTCTACGACATGGCAGGAACTGTCAAGGGCGTCAAGGTGTTCCTCAATGGCGTTCCGATCAAGTTGGACTTCAAGAAGTACATCGAAATGTACGCCAAGGCCATCGGCAAGGAACGCGGCGTCGAGGAAGGTGGAGAAGCAGCTGTCAACTCAGTTATTATTGAGGATTCAAAGGCACACGATATGAAGTGGGAGATTGGTTTTGCAGTCTCTGATGGATCTTTCCAGCAAGTGTCCTTCGTCAACTCCATTGCCACAACTTCTGGCGGGACACACGTCAACTACATTGCAGACCAGATTTGCGAAAAGCTCTTGGAAGTTGTGAAGAAGAAGAACAGCAAAGGTGCTGCCTTGAAAACCAGCCAAATTAAGAACCACATCTTCCTCTTCGTCAACTGCTTGATCATCAATCCGGCCTTCACTTCCCAGACCAAGGAGCAGCTGACCACCAAGCCAAAGGCGTTTGGCAGCAAATGTGTTCTGACAGAAGCTTTCTTGAAGAAGATTGGCCAGACCGACGCGGTCCAAAACATCTTGAATTTCCAGCAAGCCAAGGCTGACCAGCAGCTGGCGAAGAGTGACGGTAACAAGCGATCGCGAATGAACAACCCCAAGCTCGTCGATGCAAATCTTGCTGGTACTAAGCGTGGCCACGAATGTACCTTGATTCTGACTGAGGGTGATTCTGCCAAGGGTCTCGCTGTTGCAGGCCGAGCAATCTTGGATCCTGATCGCATCGGTGTTTTCCCTCTTCGAGGTAAATTACTCAATGTTCGAGATGCCAGTGTCGACCAGATCTCAAAGAATGCCGAAATTCAGAATATCAAGCAATTTCTGGGTCTGAAGCACAAGCAAGTCTATAAGGATACGACTGGACTTCGATATGGACATCTCATGATCATGGCTGATCAGGATCACGATGGCTCTCATATCAAGGGTCTTCTGATTAACTTCCTCCAAGTTCAATTCCCTAGCTTGCTCAAGCTTCCAGACTTCTTCCGAGAGTTTATTACTCCCATTGTCAAAGTCTGGAAGGGACCAAATCCGAAGAAGCCTATTAGCCCAAAATCCTTCTTTACTCTGCCCCAGTACGAGGAGTGGAAGGAGCGACACACCAATGACAAAGGCTGGAAACACAAGTACTTCAAGGGTTTGGGTACCAGTTTGCCTGAAGATGCTCAGATCTATTTTAGCAATTTGGATGACCATCTTCGTGAGTTCGAGACCATGAAGCCGGAAGAAGAGGAAATGATCGATCTGGCTTTCTCGAAGAAGAAGGCCGATGCACGCAAGCAATGGCTTGGAAACTTCCTTCCCGGAACCTATCTCGACCATTCCACCAAGACTCTCACCTATAACGACTTCGTCAACAAGGAATTGATCCTCTTTAGTATGGCCGACAATCTCCGTTCTATCCCGTCAGTCATTGATGGGTTCAAGCCTGGACAGCGGAAGGTTATGTATGCTTGTTTCAAGCGCAATCTCACCCGCGATATGAAGGTCGTCGAATTGGCTGGTTATGTCTCCGAAAATACAGCATATCACCACGGTGAAGCATCCATGCATATGACTATTATTGGCCTCGCACAAAACTTTGTGGGCTCGAATAACGTCAATTGTCTTGAACCTAGTGGATCTTTCGGTTCTAGACTTGCTGGAGGAACCGATGCTGCATCGCCTCGTTACATCTTCACTCGATTGTCCCCATTTGCTCGCCGGGTGTTCTCCTCCCACGATGAGCCCATCTATGAACACAATGTTGATGATGGCCGACTCATCGAACCAACAATGTACTGTCCGGTCATTCCCATGGTTCTCGTCAATGGGGCCGATGGTATCGGCACTGGCTGGAGTACTACCATTCCAAACTACCACCCTGTTGATATCGTCAACAATCTAAAGCGTCGCATGGGCCGATTGGATGGCGATTCGGAAGAGAAGCCATTCACGACTATGATTCCTTGGTTCCGAGGCTGGAAGGGAACTCCCGAAGAAGCCGGACCTAATCGATACTCCTTCAATGGTGTCATCAAGGAAGTCGGAAACAACGAAGTCGAAATCACTGAATTGCCAATCCGCATGTGGACTGATGATTTCAAAGCCAAATTGGAGGACATCATCAAGGGGGAGAAGGTCCCTTCATTCATCAAGGACTACAAAGAATACAACGACCACAAGAGTGTCCATTTTGTGATCCAGATGGATGAGAAGCATATGAAGGCTGCACTTACTGATGGTCTTTCTGAGAGATTTAAGCTCAACAAGACCGTTGCAACTTCTAACTTGGTTGCGTTTGACACTAGAGGCCAAATTCGGAAGTATGAGAAGGTCGAAGATATCTTGGAGGAGTACTACGTTTACCGCATGGCCATGTACACGAAGCGCAAGGTATGTCAAGTTTACACTTGGAAGCAACAATCACTGACCTCTGATAGGCATATTGGTTGGCCAAGATCAATACCGAATATCGCAAACTCAAGAATCAAGCTCGTTTCGTCATGGAAATCATCGAAAACAAGCTTGTCGTTTCGAAGAAGAAGAAGCCCGTTCTTGTTGCTGAGTTGCGAAAGCGTGACTATGAAGCCTTCCCGAAGGTCACTGGAGCCCAAAAGGCTGGCGAGACTGATGATGTCGTCGAGAACGAAGAGGAGGTGGCTGCCGACGAGGATTCAGGTGCTAGAGATTTTGATTATCTTCTCGGAGTGAGTGACATTCTACAATCAGGTCTGACACCATTGCTAACTCCCTACAGTTACCAATCTGGTCTCTCACTCAAGAGCGTGTTGACAAGCTAAAGAATCAAATGGTTAGCAAGAAGGAGGAGTATGATGCTTTGGAGAAGCTCAGTGAGAAGGATCTGTGGTGCCAAGATCTCGATGCCTTCGTTGCAGAATGGGAATTGCAACTGAAGGAGGAGGCAGACTACCAAAAGTCAATCCGCAACACGAATCGTCGGGCATCTCGCAAGATTGGAGCAGGAAAGAACGTTACTGGCCGAGGTCGTCCGAAGCAAGATGAGGAGTACAATCCCAAACCTGCCAAGTCGGGTCCGTCCAAGGTTGTCAAGGTCGAGCAGAAGCCACATCAACGATTCCTCAGCATGTTTGAGAACAAGCCGAAGCCTAAACCAAAGGCAAGCCCTATGGGATCCGATGGTGCTGAAGATGATGAAGTCTCGGGAATGTCTGATGGCGATTTCGACATGCTCAGAGCCGACAAAGGTAAACCTGCCGCTGAAATCAAGGAAGGCTCCAGAGCACCCAGCGAGCAACCTGCGAATGGCCGTGTCAAGCGTGCTGCTGCTGCGGCTCCCAAGAAGTGGATCATCGAAGATGATGAGTCCGAGAGTGAGGGCGGTGGAGAATTTGACGTCGGCGATATGGTCAAGGGTATCGGTGGAGCAGACCTCGTGGACACCAACGGCCAAAACGGACGTCTCTCCCTCTTTGCCATGTCGCGGCCAGGTAGCAGCCATGGTCGTGCAACCAGCGAGGCCTTGCCAAAGCTGAAGTCGAAGCCCAGCAAAAATTTCTTCAACTTGAGTGACGACGATGATGCCGCTGATGAGACAAACTACGAAATGCTTGCCAAGTCCTCTCCCAACAAGACAGCTGCCGCCAAGAATACCCTTGACAGCTACCTCTCCGACAGCGATGACTTGGCGGTGGTGCCAGTTACCAAGAAAGTCCCTGTGAAGGCTGCTGCGCCCGTCGCAAAATCAAAACCAGGACGACCGAAGAAGGCACCCGCTCCGAAGGCTGTCGAAGCTGCCCAAACCAAGCCGGCCACCCTTTCTCCTGCAGCCAAGGCGTATGCTGCCAAGCAAAATAAGATGAAGCTCCCCGCCAAGAGAAATGTCATTAGTGACGACGAAGATGAAGACGTCGGTATGGAGGAAGCTGACTCCCCGGCTCCCAAGCCAGCCGTAAAGGCCCGAGGCCGCCCTCCACGTGCTGCGGCAGTCTCCAAGCCGAAGAAGCCCATCTATATCGACTCGGATGATGATGAGATGGACATTGATGACAATGACGAATCTGCCCTGGTCGACGAGGCCAGCGAGGATGACTTTGATGATAGTGATTAAGGGGGCACATTGATTTTTTGGCCGGAGGATGGATAAACGAATTCGCGCGGGGTGCATGCTTTGCTATTCTGGGTTTTCTCAATCATTCATGGGTGATGGGGCATTTCTTTTTGGCTTCCTTCATCACGTCATGAGAAGGCAGTATTGATATGGTTGCGCAAGATCTGCCGGTAGCTTGGAGCTGGAGCCGGCGTGAGTTGACTCGGGTCCGAAGCTATCGCTAGGTTTTCTGGTTAAGGCTGACGGTCTTGCGTGGGGTGGCTGGGTATTTGGCAGTGTATGAGTACGTATTGCTTTGACGCACTTTTAAATACAAGCATGCAAACAATGGAGACGCATTTGATATGAACCTGAGTATGATGCTTGTGCTCGATCCGCATGCTCTCAACTCCAATCTAAGTCCTATCTCTGCTGGTACCTCAAGAACAAAGTTCTAAACTGCACTGAAGACAAGTGCCGGGGGGGTCGGAATGCAAAGCAAAAAGCTATTAGTTAAATACGCCAAATCAAGGATTTCACCAGGCAGGCCATTATTGTCTTCGGCCACGAACCCTAAACTTTATCTGGCCGACACTCCCCGTTATGCCCTTCTCAAAAGCTATTCTCCTACCAAGTCAAGTCAGAAGTCAAAATCTGCACAGAACAGAACTTCACATTAACAAATGCTCTTTATCCCTAAAGAAATCTTTTTCTTCTTGATGCGTTATCAGATATCCTGTGTTTCTCAACAGTGGAGTGTGCGCTTTTCGGCGAAAATGTCGATGGAGAAAGATGGATGTAGATGCCTTCTCGCCCCTGGGGCTATTGCCTCCTTGGTGTAAGGAAGCTTGAGCCCCTCTGCAGCCCAGTTGGCAGGTGATCGGGCACGGGTATTCTTATTATGTAGCTTCTCTCCTTCCCGTAACGGCCCTTGGCTAAAGCGCAATGTGATTCCCGTGGTGCAGGAGCGTGGAATCATGTGACCAGAAGTTGTGATCACTGATTCGATTTACTGAATCACATATCTGGTCCCAGGTGTAAATAACTAACTCCTTGCAAATAATTTTCTCGAGGCGGACAAAACTCGATGCGAAAAAATAGGGTGCTTCTCCCTTGAATAGTGGAGATGTTTATTGAGGCTGTTTGGCTGAGAACTTGTACCCAGTTTTTAGGAAGACTCTCAACACGAGATCAAAAACTTTTCAAAGCACTGCCGCATGCAAAAATTTCGTTGATTAATGGTGAGGGCATTGTGATTATCGTTGCTCTTCAATGGCAGGAAGGCAGGTGGTGGGATTGCATTGCTTAATATGGAGGCGGATAAATGCTTACGTTGCCGAGATAAGCGATGCATGCATACACCTCCGAGGGAAAGGGGTCTAGAGATTAGTTCAGAAGCAGTGGGCTTCAAAACTCGATAGACTGCCGAGTGAAAAGCTTTTTAGTGTTGTGATTAAATTTGAAAAGTTCAAGACAAGTTAGGGAATAATAGTGATTAGTTGTTCTGCAGTTCCACCACTCAGTCGTTAAGCACAGTAAAGCTAATTTCCAGACACGCTTCGCGACGAGACGATCACTCACCCCTGTCCCGCCCTCATGAGCCGCAAGAGAAACTGCAAACCCATTCAGTATTGAAGAAGCACTGAATAGCACCTCACAACACGACACCGATCAACAAAATCCACATATTTGTGGGGAAACTTAAAAAGGCATTTGCATGAGAAGATAGATTAACACACCGTCACTCCTGCAAAAGGGGCAAGCCGTGTTGTGTTCGCGTGCTAGCTGTCCAATCACGACCCCTGTTGTTCGAATTGGTGGATTGACCCCTGACCAGGGAGATTATCCCCAGCAATCCGCTTCCGAGTCCGCATCTCACCTCGCCAACCACCTCCACGCTCTTTTTGATTGTTCACTCCTTTGATCGCTGTCGATATCTTCGGCGGCTGCCGCTCCTTTGGCTCGATTGTACATACTGTCAGACTTTGTTGCTTTGGGTGGATGCGAGGTGCTGAGGTCAGTGAGAGCGGGTGAAACAAGGTCGTGCATGCACCACAACGAAGCAGTCCCGACAGCGGTATCTACAACCAGGACGAACGATTTGTGGGCCCGTTGAGCCTCTCTCCCGAACGGCGAGTTTAAGGTTTATGCTGAGCTGAGCTTGGAGTAAGGTGTTGACTGATTTTCATTGTTGAAAGGAAAGTAAGGGAGGAAGGAAGGGAGGCGCGAGTAAGGAGCATCCTTCCTACCCGCTCCCGCATTCCGATCTCTCGAATCCGTCACCATGGACACGGGTCCACAGCCGCAGATCGAGACCGAGGTAGAGACCGAGGTCGAAATTGAAGTTCATCGGGAACAGGAATCGGAATCGGCACAACAGATCCTGCAGCACGATTCGATGGTCACGGTCAGGCTTTCGGAGCCCCCGCCAGCATTGACGGTTGACACAAGTACGAATATTACACAGAGGGTGCGGAGGGGTACTATTGAGGGCAGAAGGACAGAAGATGTTGTGCGGGATGGGCAGACGCCGGACGAGGAGAGTCCTAGGATCATGATGATGGATCCGAATGGTGAGGTGTTGAGTCCCACCGGCAGCGAATCTGCGAGTGAGAGGAGCCCGGAGTCGAGGAGAGGAAGTGATAGTTCGGAAGCAAGTGTAGAAGGTGGAGGTGTCAATTGGGAGGAACTCGAGAAAACAGAGGAGAAGGAGCCGAGAGATGAGAGCTCTGATGATGTGAGTTTGCTTTGCCCCATTTTGCTCCGATATTCCTGACGGCCCCAGTCTACGGCATTGCTGCTTGCGAGACTCGAACAGGAAAATAATCTCCTAGCCACGAATCCGAAATCGGGAATTGCGAAGGTTCAAATCATCGAGAAGCAGAATAACAGGAGTGTGTCGAGACCGCCGTCGATACAACATTTGAAGAGATTGGTCAATGGGCCCACGCCCACAGCATTGCGGTACTCGATGATTCCGGCGCCGCCTATGACGGATCTGGAATTCTACGCTGCGCTTGTTCAAGATTATACGAGGACTGCTCAATGCTTGCCCACACTATTGTCGAAGAAGATCCGAAGTGGTGTGCCTCCACCTTTGCGAGGTGTGGTATGGCAGAGCATGTCTGGGGCGCGAGACCGGCTGCTAGAAGATCAATTCGATAGGCTGTGCGGGGAATCAAGTCCATATGAAGGCATCATCGGGAAGGATCTGGGAAGGAGCTTCCCAGGTGTTGAGATGTTTCGCGATCCGGAGGGAGATGGACAGCGAATGCTGGGGCGGGTGCTGAAATGCTTTAGTCTGTACGATCACAAGATTGGGTATTGTCAGGGCTTGGGTTTTCTTGTTGGCCCGCTGCTTATGCATATGGGTGACAAGCAGGCCTTCTGTGTTCTTGTCAGGTAGGCTACATGTACGAGGGTCCGACGAAAGCTGCTAATAATTTCCAGATTAATGGAGCATTACGATTTACGGAACTGCTTCCTGCCAGACCTCTCTGGTCTTCATGTACGAATATACCAATTCCGCCAACTGCTCAAGCTACATCTACCAACTCTTTCCGCCCACCTGGACGCCCTACAAATTGAGCCTGCATACGTTTCACAATGGTTCTTGTCATTCTTCGCAGTTACTTGTCCTCTGCCGATGCTGTTCCGGATATACGATGTCATATTTGCTGAGGGAGCTTCGGAAACTATAATGAGGGTGGCTCTGTCACTCATGCGGAAGAATGAGGAGAAGATCATGGCATGCACAGAGTTCGAAGATGTTATGCAATTACTGCTGTCGAGAGGCCTTTGGGATGTCTATCATTACAACGCCGACGAGTTCGTCAATGACTTTGTCAGTTTGACGGGAGTAGTCTCACATGAGAGCCTGCATGCACTGGCAGTCAGCTACAGCGAAGCAAAGGTTGCCGATGCCGTTACTCCATCGGAAAACATTGGATCTGCGGCAACGAGATTTCTGGGTCGGTTATGGGCCGGATCGAATTCTTCAACAAAATCAATGAATCTGAGTGTGAGCCCAGGTCTCACAGCACCCTCTCGGCCTGTCAGCTTTCTACGAAGATCTCCTTCGAAGAACAGCATTGCTTCGACATTTAACTCTATGGAAGGTGGTGGAACAGATAGCATGCTGAGCTCTTCCACAGATGCAACTAGCATGTCTCGGGACTCTTCAAACGCAGATGGGTCTTCAGTTCGCACTCCATCTGTCAGCTTCAACAGTGCGATTGCTGTCCCTTCGAAGACAAATAAGGACAAGAATCTGCATAGCCAGATTGAAGATCTGTTGACAGCTCTCAGCGAGATGCAACGGGACCATGCTATTCTTGTAACTCAGCTGCAAAAAGAACGTGAGGAGCGAGAAGAGGATAGAAATGCTGTGAGATTGTTGCTTGATGGACTAAGGAGGAAGACGAGTTCGGAAACTGTGAAGAGTTCTGGCAGTGATGGAACTGTGAAAGCTGCCTCTGGTGAAGCTGATGAGATTGTAGTCGTTGAGAAAGAGGTCGAGGCGGAACTAGCCTCCTCCGAAGAGGCTGACAGTCCCACCCCTGGAGCTCCGATCACAGCAGATGATCTGTCCCGACTGCTAGATGTGGTAGAAGACCGATTTCAAGCACCTTCACCCAATCGCCGATCATCAATGCTTCAGTCGAAATCCCAACTTCGAGAAGAACTGGCACGGTCGAAAGAACAACTTATCATCGAAGTGTCTAAATCACAAGACTTCAGCAGGCGGCTATCAGAACAGCGACAAGAGATCCAGAATCTCAAAGACCAAGTCAAAGAAGGGCATCTGCACATCAGAAACGCCCACGCCGAGAAACAGCGCCTGGAAAAGCAAATCCAAGACTCAAAGTTGCGAAGCGGCGCAGCAACAACGCCGGACGGAAGCAGAGACACCGAATCCGAATGGCCGGCCCGTACTTCCGCTCCCTCTGGTCTCCGCGAGCTCAAACTCGGCCGCGCAAACTCGAAGGAGAGATCAAAAGGACCTATGTTCGGCAAACGTACATCCAGTCTCGCTGCCATCAACGGCAGCTCCAGGGACAAAGAAAACGAGAATCCCGGCCCATATAGAAGCCGATCTTCCTCCCAAACTTCCTCTTCTGCGCTGTCGCCAACGAAACAGGTTCAAGATGCTGATACTGATACGTTGGTGCTGGAGTTAGTGCAAGCCAAGACTGCGGAAGCGGTTGCGAAGCAGGAGGCTGAGGAGGCGAAGGCTAAGCTTGAGAGCTTGAGGAAGCTGCTCGGCATGGGTGGCGAGAGTCAAGGTGCAAGTGGGGGGCATAGAGCGAGTCCAAGTCAGGCGAGTTTGAGCTCGGGGATGGGGTCTTACTTGACGAAGGGCACCAAGGCAACAGAGGCCCCTACGTCCGTGAGTGCTACAGCTGGGTTTTGGGGAAGTTGGGGAAAGAGAGCCACTGCGGGAGAGAAGGTACCTGCGGGGCATGGAGGCTAGGGAAGAATTGGAGAGGGTTTGGTTAGGAATAGGGCAGGAAGAGGAGGTAATTAAGAGGTCGATAGGGATATGAATTTTGAGAGCTTGAAGTAGAGAGAGAACGAAATACCCAGCGGAGATTGAATTGAAGATAGGTTACAGGAATATATTGAAGGGCTTTAAATATATCTTGAGATCGACTTGCGGTGAGACCTATTTCAGTGGGATTATGAGCACATCAATCCCCCCTGGGGTGGCTAGAAATTGGGGGAAGTTTCTCCATCCCTTATGCTCTAGTCGTTTTCCTTCCGTGCCTCTTTTATATGGCTGGCTCATTAAGTGAGGAATTTCACGTGAAGAAGGCGCAGGGAAGTTTTTCCTCCGAGCAGGTGTTGGATGAAAGGAAGGAGTGCTTCACCTGGCTCTCCATTCGCTCTCGCACCTCATTTCTCAGACAATTGAGCTTTTTCAGCATCGTTTTCATGTCACAATAAAGCCAGTGCCAAGCGGGCTCACGTAGAACGGTAGAACTTTCTTGTTTCATCGCAGAAAGACTTGACAATTCCCCAAGGCATCTTTCGCAGTACTCAAAGCGGGTCATGGTTGCTTCACGAAAGTGAGTAGAACAAGTTTGAAGGGGAAGCCAAGAGTTCAAACTGAAATTGGAGAGCTAACTCTACGTGGTCTCGCTTCCTTTTCATATACACTGCTGCTACAAGGGGCGGGCTTCGGCATTGACAGAGGCTTGCGTCAACAATTCTCTTACACCACGGCCTGGATTGTCCTGCAAGCTATCAGATGACTCAGACACGCTACATTACTCACAAAAGACAAAGCCACAGAATTGAGTCCTTCGGTCTTCGCATTTAAAGAAATGACTGAGGTTGTTTTTCAAGTGTCTCCTCCAAATTACAAACCTGCTGGAAGATGAAAGTTCCTGAGTCGAACTTTTGAGTGGCAAACTACCAAGTCACTTTAAGCAGCTCCATGCTTTGGAGCAAGATGCAGACACTTTGCTTATTGATTGTTGATCCAAAAAAGAAACAAAGAAAAAAGGAGGTGGTAGGGCCAAAAACAAACTTCTGCCACGAAACACAGGGTCGGAAGTGAAACGAAGGGCAGTTTGTTGGAATCACAGTCATTTGCTTCTTCCTGCGTGATTGCTAGGCATACTGTTGAGATTCGAGATCTGAAATAGGTTTGCTTCTCGCCCGCTCTCCCCGTCTTCATGTGATTTGTTTGCTCATAGTTGAATCGTGCAGGCAGGGATGGAAGCACCTTTTTTATTTTTTTATGAAATTCACCGAGGTTCAGTAGTGAATCGAGAGAAGAGATTAGTATAAGATTCTGTCGATTTTTCTAGTGAAAAGTAAAGATCAAATTGTTAGTTTATACATAAATATATGTATTGGAACCACAAAATTTTCATGAAATGAGATTTTTAGATCGTCCCTCCCCTTCCTTAGGTCATTTACCCAAGAAACTACATTCCACATTTCTATCACCTTCCCGCACCATGTCAAAACAATACAATTATTCAACCTGGTTTGAAGAATGCAGGGCATGATGCGAATTGTTCAAACCGTGCAAAGAAAGGCATACTCACAGTTCCTAGGCCACAAGCCGCTTCAAAGCCAAAAATCTGGGAATTCTTGGCTGGCAAGAAAAGCTCCGACAAGATACCAACAACGCTGGTGATTGGTTGTAAGAAGGCTACAGGCACAAGTCCCAATTAATAGAAGAAGTCCCGCAACCGGCCAACCGTCCATGGCTTTGCTGCAAAGAGGGTTTTCAGATCCTTATTTTTGGAAGACTGACTATCAGAGAACTAATGCCAAGAATCAACGTGGCACCACCTCTCATGTCCGACGAGGGAGAGGGGAGAGTAACCCCGACAGCAGCGTGGAGTCCATGGCCACTGGCGGACTGCCACCAACACCATGCCAGCGCCATCGAACAACATGGACTTCGATAAGCCAGCACAGATAGGTCTCGCCGAGAAGAGAATGAACACCAAGCTTGGTAACAAGCAGGAGAAAGAAGAGGGAGGAAAGCACAACCTCCACAAGAAAAGATGGGAAAGTAGATGTGGGAAAAAGAATGAGAAAAAGTCTACTCACGTTCTGTTGCACAGGGTATCTTGTCATCCAGGATATAGTGATGTGAAGAGACTTTTCTAAATTCGAAACAAAGTTACAAGTGTGCTAACAAATCTATGATTAAACAAAGTCCAAGGTATTCTTCTGCACGCTATTATACTCCGAGTCCGTATACGGATCGGATTCATGGATATGTTCAGAACGTTAATCACTAGGCTCCCTCATGTCAGTGTATGAGTCCCAAACCGTTTTGACCGTCGCAGCATTGCTCTTTCGAGGCTGGACTTCCCCATTCTTGACCCCTCGCAAAACCATAGGAGTAAACCCGATCGTCATCAGAAGACTGAATGAAAGACTGCCATCATCTCCTATCTCGAACGTCCCACTCTCATGCCGAAACTCAGATGTGTACCATTGCGGCTGATAGCCTGTCTCGCAATTCTTGACTCTCCACCGAAAGCCCATTTTGGGTGAACCTTTTGGAGGCGGTCCGACCCAGTCATCGTCGTCCAGCTTGCAGGCTTCTTCAAACTGCTTGGCACTCCACTGCCTCCCCCCGTCCTTTGGCATGCAGAAGCGCAAGCAGCCCTCTACCGCGGTACCGAATTTGAGGATTGCCCAATATTGTCTCTTGATTTTGGTGTGGCGTGGGTTGTTGGCAAGAAAGATAGACATCGTAATGGGTGTCGATTTCGGAAGCCCGATCAGTCTCATGAAGCTGCCTGCACGAGGCTCGTGAGCAGGAGTGAAAGTCCATTCCCCCGTGATATCCCAGGCCCATTCAGGCCGCTCCTGCACGACCGCTGCACCGGATGCAGTTACCGGTCTTGGCTTGTGCTTGATTTGGATGATTGACCCGGGCTGGTATGGTGTAGATGCCAGACCAACCTCCCAATTCGGGCTGAGCAACGCCTGCCATTCCCTCTCTAGAACAAAGCTAGGCCTAGGTGGGTCTAGTGGAGTAGCATGGGCGCCTTCAAAGGTAAGATGCTTCCCGTCAATTACCATGACGAACACAATTACAATGACCTTGATGCCGCTTCCAGGCTCGAGTGTTTCTTTCTTGAACGTAAATTGTCCTTGGGCACGAGTTTCTCCCCCTTTCAAGACTCCGCCTTCGAGGGCTCGCCATCGGGACTGCAGAACTTTCGAGTCAACATTGCTTCGAAAATAGGCCCACTACCTCAATTGAATGAGTCGCAGCTTACGAGCCATTGTGGATTGGAACGGTATATTAATCGGGCATACGTACCAACCAGTTTTTGAAGGTTGGGCTTGGGTTTGTCTCGCCGTCGAGCTTGCAGGCATCATCAAAATATTTTAGGGACAGTGATTTGTCAGGTTGAGAAGTGAGAGCTTTTTCAGGACACAGTCGCATGATGCCTTTGAGATTGCCAAAGTCGAAAGTTGCAAACAGTTGACCAGGAGCTTGGGTAAGATGGTGAATCTCGAAGCAATAATTGGAAGCGTCTACGGGATCGAGACGATTTGTACAATATAGTCGATACACGCCGGAAACAGACCAGTCTGTTGCCTTGGTCTTTGGAGAAGTATTTGGGGGCATCCTGGAACCTGGATAGGTAGTCAGCATAATCTATTCACGGCAGCTGAGGCCAGACAAACCGTTACTGAATGGGTGATACCTAAAATACTAAGTCAACACTGTTCTCCAAGAAGGGACGAGAGAAATGTTTTGGGGTTAGAAATACTCCGCCTTTCGCTTCCTATTTTCAGGAAACATCCGCATTCTCACGGGCCAGAAATTATTCTCTTTCGTCCTCTCAAACTCTAGCTTGAACTTGGCTTCTGGTCTCGGATCATGTAAAGCCTGCCATTCTTGCTCGAGAGAACCCGTCCTCTCCAACTCGGCCGAGTCTAAGTCCGCAGTCTTGATGGCCTTGAAACGAAATACCTCATCGTCGTAGAGTATATCGAAAGTGATCCTCATGTCTGGAAACCCTTTTGAGGGGGTGGTCTTCTGCGCAATAATTTCGAACAGGTGTCCAAGCTCTCCATCGATAACATACCTGGAGAGATCAGCAATTGGATCAGGATTGGTACAAAGAATGCATTACTTACTCTCCGCACTCTTTGCCTCTCCATCGCGATGAATATTCACAGCGGCCACGAGAAGGCCAGTCTTTAGATGGCAGACCACAGGCCTCGTCATACGCCTCGGCAGTCAAACGACTTCTCTCAAGGTCCAACTCAAGGTTTTTGCGCAACCGGATGATTCCCTCAAGCTTGTCGAACTTGAATGTGGCATATAATTTACGTTCCTCTCCACTGCAATCATAGAACACCCTGACCTCAAAGCCGCTAGTATCCACATGATGCCCAGCATCAGATCTGCAACTGATCAGGGTGTATTGCCCACTGACCATCCTCTCTTTCCATGGTCGAATGGGGTGCTTTTCTCGGAAGGCTCGATATTGATTGCCAGTGAAAAATGTAGGAGTGGGGGTTCGTTTTGGGCTCGGAGTGTTTTCGTAGGGGTCGCTGTCCTTGTCTAAGATATCTCGAGGTCGCTTTAGCCTATTGCCAGAAGTCTCCCGCTGTGGGGTCGTAGGGGCCTCAATTGAAGGGAGGACGTCGTTCTGCGTTGATTGGGTGGCAGATTCTGACTTTGCAGATGCAATTGGGGGGGCTTTGCCCTTTCCTTTAGCACGTTTCGGTCTGGGCATGGCTGTTAAGAATTCCAAGGTCTGTTGGTATTCGTCCGGAGAGCGTTTCGGGAGTTGGAAGACGCGTCGCGTTTTAGCGAAAAAAATAAACATCGACTAAACTGCGGCTTTCACAAGCGAGCCCCTGAGCCCCTATTTCGCTGGAACTGAGTCGTACTTTTCCCAGTCCCATCATTCTTCGGGGGTGCAAATGCTTGATAAAGTTGAACGGCAATGATGAAAAAATTATTCTGTGGCATTTAAATCTGAAGGGCGAAGCAGCTAAGACCATAGAGAAGTCAACAGCGGGTAGGTCAAATGATCCCTGAAACAGACGCAGTCTAGTTCTGGATTGAAGTGTTTCTCTAAGCCGAAACGAATTCAGTAGGTAGTATTTAGGAAACCCAGCCCCGCTGAATGCGAAGCTTTGTAACAAGAGGTGGTCTTTTGTGAGCGGTTCTCCTATGCAGTATCTGACCAAAATCCGCCCAAAGCTTCCGTCGAAGCTCTGTCTTATCTGAACCCCTAACTTCCAAGTCGAACTACTTGCAAAGTCATTCATAAGTAACAGTTAGATCACCTGGAAGTGAAGCAAGCCTTTTGAGTGGCATGTTAACATCATGAAATAGAAGTGCGGTTTGTGGGACTTACATCCCTCAACAAGCTCAGCGACCTACTGCTTGATCATGCACGCATTCGCCTGTTTGGCGGTCTGAATCTTGAGGGCTGTACAAGAGTCTTGAGAACTGTACGAAAGTCGCCAGCGCATCTGGCACCCAAAGCTTTCTGTAGAGCATCGCCCTTCCAGCCAAAAAGGTAACTGCCATGCCAGCCATAACCCAGACTGCCGGTATATCAGCACAAGTTACACAGTCTCTACGGGGTCCGAAGGGCTTATGGATTACCCGTGCTATACATAAAAGGATTTGAGCCATCTATTGGCTAGACACCTTGTTATTGAACTCTCTGGTTATCCCATATCACCTCGAACGTAACTCGAGGCAATCACCAAGTGGTGTGAGAGCTAGGGTACGGAGCAAATCCCACTGTTGGGCCTACGCAGGAGGCACCAGAGATTTCGAGTCTCGTAAAGAAGGTTAAAGAGTCATGTCGCCCCCAGGTTATACGTCCTTGTTTCGTCCTTTCCCCCCTGAAACCTGATAGACAGCATTTCATAGCCCGTCCATCCTTGAAACCTTCAAGATGGGACATCAAATCAAGAAGTGGATTGTAGCAAATTCGCTGCGGAAGCGTAAGCTGCCCATCGCTATCAACTGTGTCGCTGGCTTGTCAAAAAAAAAAAAAAAAATTCATCGGGTATGATCAAGGAATGATGAGTGGCGTCAACAATGCTATAAACTACATCGAGTTGATGAGATTTGGTCACGCCGAGGCCATCGATGGTTCTGTGAACACACCAGCCATAACATACAGTTTGTTGTAGGGCGGCATCCTGTCGGTTTATTTTTTGGTCACCCTCGTTTGGGCTCTTGCTGGAGGTTGGGTTGGCGAGAAGGCGGGACAAATAAAGACCATTGCTCTTGGTGCTACATGGGGTATTCTGGAAGCAAGTCTCCAGTGTTCAGCTCAGAATCATATTTGGATGATCTTTGGCAAGTGGTCACAGCGCACGGGAACCAGCACTCTTTGACTCTTCTTCCACAGCACGCTTGATCAATGGCTTCATATCTGGCATTCTGAATGCCATCGTTCCAGTCTGGGCAACCGAAAGCGTGCCACAAACTGGCCGTGACCAGTTCGTCGCCATTGAGTTCACTCTGAATATCTTTCGCGTTGTGGTGGCATACTTGGTTAGAAATTAGAATTGTGAGTTTATTTGTCTTCTCGAGGATGTCTTTGCTAACAATGTCCAACGTGTCTGTCATTCATCGATCAAGGCGCTTCACCAATCCGGTGGAGAATTCCTATCGTCTTCCAAATTATCCCGCTACTCGTACTATTCGTCTTTGTGTGGTGATTTCCAGAGCCTGCCAGATGGCTTGCGAAAGTTGGACAAGGTGACGAGGCATGATTCATCCTGGAAAGATTCCGGGGAATTGAAAGAGAAGAGAACGTATTGGCTGAGGCAGAATTCCAAGATATTCGTAGTGTTTCACAACTTAAGAAAGATGGAAACCGGACATCCTATTGGTCGACGTTCGCGGGGCGAAGTTCTGGAGACTTGGATACGGGACGAAGAGTGCAGCTTGTAATTTGGTTGTAAATCATGCAGGAATGGGTTAGCATTGCTGGAGTGACAATGTATAAGTTGCAGCCAAGTGTACCACAAACTCTACCGAGACCGATGAAAACAGATGCTTCTACGATCTTCAGTATTGCTAGATTCAATGCCGAGAAGTCACAGTGGGTTTCTGGACTAAACAACATATTCTACATGGTACTACAGCTCTTGCTCTTTGAATACATCATGCTAGCCCTCCCAGTTTTCCACCCTCATCTGTGTGTTCAACCTAGACCGCATTGGACGAAGATGGACGTTGTGCCGGGGTACCATCGGCCAAGGAATCGCCATATTCCTCGCTGGTGAAATGTCAAGACTGGCAATAAACAACTCCGACGCATTCAAAGCCTTACAATACGGAGCTGCTGCTGCTTTCATGGCCTTCATCTTCACATGTTCGGCGCCGCGTGGCTCACGGTGCCATAGCTGTACCCCTCTGAGATCCTCCCACTTGAGGTACGAGAAAAAGGGAGTGCTTGGGGTGTCGTGGGATGGAGCATTGGAAATGGGTGGTTCGTGAGTGTTCCAAACTCTCAATCAGATGCGAGGTGTTGATTTAGAACAGATACTTCTCTGCCCGTAGTGTAGCAAGATCAACGACAAGACACTCTACGTATTTGCCATCAATAACGAGATCACCCATCCTGATGGTGTGGGTGCTCTATGCGGAATCGAATCAACGCACGCTCGAAGAAATGGTTCTTTTATTCGCTGCAAAAACGCCTTGGGTATGGGATGCAGAGAGAAACTTTGTGAGGTTGAAGGAAGAACATCCGGAGATTGCGCATGCGGCCCACAAAGGACAGATGGTAAGGGATTTGGAGACTGGGAAGGTTGGTGAGAAGTCCTTGAGTGCCTCTTCGGTGGTTAAGGAGGGTGGCCTTGAGGCAGGCCCTTGAATCACTTTACCACGTTGCCACAGAACATTGTTGCTGAGATTAGGTCTGTAGCTTAAGCAAATACGTCCTTTTCAACCATCCAGAGGCACTTGGAACAATATATTCAAGTAGCCATAGGTAATACATTCCGTGCGTCAACTACTTTACAAATTCCTGCACCATCCTCCTGAAGATCCCTTAGGCACGCGGAGCATTCAATATCCTCTCTGCCTCTCTCTGCTCCTTATCGATCGCTTCATTCATCTTCTCGAATTGGGCCGATATGTCGTCATACTTGAAAGATGATGGGTCGTATAGCTTTGCCTTGTCCGTTCCCTTTGCCTTCTTCCCCTTGCTCTTGCGGCCCTTCTTCTTCACGGCAAAGGTGGCAGGCTCCTCTTCTCCGTCATCCAAAGCCTCATTCTCCGGCTCCTCCAAGGACTCCTTTCTAAGCACCCGCTCCCCTGAGACCTCTCGTTCCAGAATGGCGAGTTGTTGCGGGCGATAGCTGAGGATTGGGATCGAGACATCGCTGCGTTGATTGTCCCTCGTACCCCTAGTACAATCGGAGAGTTTATTGTTGGTGGGTGTTGTGGTACTATCGATGATCTGGGAGATCCAGTCGTTGATAGCTTGGTTTGCTTCTTCGCTCAGCTCGTAGCGGGTCATCTTGTAAGCTGTGAGGGAACTGTTAGTTTGCCACTTCACTGCAAGTGAGGCTCCCAAGCCAGTTCGTTGTACAGAGGGACGATGTGCAATGAATGGGAGTGGACTTACAGCGCTCTTGCGATGTTCGTTTGATGGAGGATTAAGAGATCGTGAAGAAGTTGTTTACAAATATGACACGAAGCGAACGCGGAGGCTCTTTCACCTAGCGTCGTTCATATCTGAATAACAGCCCGGCGGCGAGATTCCGAGAGCGGAATTTGAAGGTGAAGGTTATCGATAAGACACACAGTTGAAAGCAAGCCTAGTCTGCACAAATATTCTCATGGAGTGAGGCACCATGAAGGAATAGGGGGGGAACGGAGGATTCAGGGGTGAGGACAAAGGAATGCGGCGGTGTAGGATAATGAGTTAACAGGGAATCAAAGTGGCTCTTTAATATACCACGAGATTCGTCTCAATGGGTCTCAATGGCCTAGAGATAGAGTTTACTATGTTCCATATTTCGTAACAGTGGGTCAAACATAAGGGAGTTTATAATGCAGGCATAAGGAATTTGAAGATTCTCATAATACTCCTTAACACTTGGAGAAATCTAGAGTCAGGAGGGGCAAGCCTGTCCCGCCGAGGCGAGGTTCAAGGACATGCACGGCAGAATACGACGTTCTAAGGATTCAAGAATAGCCCCATGTGTTCGGGTGCGGATCCTGTTCTCGCCTAGAAATGTCCAACAGTCTGCCTTTTCCAACACAATTACTACCAAAGCAAGCTGTTTTCATGAAAGCATTGTATCAGAACTGTGGATCGTGGAAGGTGCCTCTCAGACAATTTACCTATCACACTGAGTAACTTTATATTCCATCACAGCCCTCTAAATTCCTTTCTCCTCTTCACTATGATCGTTTCCACTACTGAAGTATCGGCTCACCTAAACCTGAAGGCTTTGGAACACCCAAGCCCGCCCGAGCCATTAACTCGAACCCTTCTACACAAGATGCCTTGTTGGCAAGTTTTGGACGGAACAACACCTGCCTTTATCAGTGCAGGAAGTTCAGGATAGTGGAGTCATTTTGTTAGGCGGTCGAAGCAGGTACCGTAATGTAGAACAGGAGGAACTAACTCGAGCATTGGAAGGCTAGATAGATAGGAAAGGCAGAAATTTCAGCTTAGGATAGTAGAAAGCAAATAGGGCTTTGCACTCATAGTGCTTGATCCCAAATAGAACACAACTGTACTATAAAGCAAAAGCAGTCGGTAAATTTAGCCACTCTTGTGGGGTACATCGTTCATTTCAGGGCAGCCAAGGGAGATAATGAGACAGCAAGGATTTTAAGGGTCGATGGAAAAGTGTTTGGCAAAAAGGCAACGGAAGGTAAGCTAGACATTACGCAGTAATATCACTTGATAATCAAAATAGACAAAATGGCAAGATTAAAAGAAGATCGAAAGCAGGCAGTAGGTTCTTACGCTCTCGTGCATTGCATATTCTTCATTCCTCATCAGCACATCCCTCCCTAAAACGTATCTAACCCATCAACATATCTCGTTCATCCCTCCAATTCGCTTCTCATTGCTCCAAAAGCCATCCCTCCTGACATCAATCCGTCCGTCCACAATGCGGGGATACAACAACAAAAAGAGGAGAAACATCCAAAGCCTTTTGAGAGCCCGCCCCGTTTTTCAATCCGAGACTGCCTCCACGCCAAGTCTAACCTAGGAGTGGCGATGGCTAAATACTCAAGGTGGGGATCTAAGAAGAAGAAAATCAGACAAGGCCATCGTAAAGCGAGAGCGCAGATACGATGGTCTCATCGCGCTTGCTGCCCTCCTTGAACTCTTCCATGTCCAGACTGCCGTTCTCGTCCTTGTCCATCATGCGAAAGATCTTTTTGACGCGCTTCTCGGGCGTGTCCTCGTCAGCGGGGAGCTTGACCATTGAGCCGACCTGTCATCCAGATTAGTATGCCTTGCTGCCTGTTGGATTGTGGCCGGGGCCCATAGAGAGGTCACATGACCAGTGTTCCATCGGGGAAATCGGACATACCATCTTGTAAATGGCCTCAACGATAGCCAACATCTCATCATAGCTGATCTTTCCATCGCCATCGATATCGTAGAGCTGGAACGCCCAATCTAGCTTGTCCTCCATCTTGCCCCTACTCGTGACGCTGAGTGCAACGATGAACTCCTTGAAGTCGATCGAGCCGGACTTGTCGCTGTCGAAGACGTTGAAGACGTAGTCGGCGAAGGAGGACGGGTCTCCGAAGGGGAAGAATTGGCGGTATATCTTTTGGAACTCCTCTTTGGTGAGCATGCCCGTGGGACAGTCCTTCAGGAAACCTGGCCGAGTCAGCTTAGCAAATTGCGGGAGTAAATCACAAGTACCTTTGTACCATTGCTGTAACTCCTTCTTGTCGAAATGTGTGGATCGTTGAAGCTCATTGAGCTGCTCTTGCGAGAGTTTTGATTGTCTGGAAAGAGCCTTTTAGATTGTACCCAGCAGAACCCACAGCACCGGATGCTCACGACTTTCCCATCTTGACTTCTTATTCAACGCTTCCTCAGGGAGAAAAGGCTATCACCGCAATGCGCTCACCGTACGTCGTTGCGCAAATCAAGCGGAGGTTAGCCGATGAAGTCGTTCTTTGTCTGGAAGCGAGCTGTCAGCTACTGCTTTTAACATACAGGCCGCACTTGGACTGACAAATTGATTGACTCTTGCCACAGCCTCAGCAACGGAGCGGAAGATGTCGTCTTCCTGTGCGGCTTGCTCGGAAAGGCTGGCTTCAGTCTGAAAGTAAAACCATCAGCAACCAATACCTCGAACTCGAAGCAGCGCAATGATGCACTAACAGACGCCTATCCCCTTGAATTCTTGACCGCAGATACCAATCTCCACTCCTGTCCCTCCTGCACAGCTGCTTCCTTTGTCTATAAGCTCGGCGCAAAGTCTCGTATGGGAATCCAGGTACAAAGTTCCGCGCGTCGAACCGTTCTTGAATCCGTTCGCAAAGCCGGAAGAGAAAGAGATTTCCTCGATTCCCGTGGCCTGGCAGGCTGTCTCGTTAAGGGAATGAAGTTTTCGCTCGCGGTTGGGATTGATGGAAGTTGGGCTATGTCATGAGGTAGGTGGAGAGATGAGGCGATAGTTCGTGCTGGGCTGGGCTGGGTTGCCCCCCCCCTGATTGACAAGCGCGGGGCACAATGGCGGCCGATCCGGCCACCGTAGAGGAGGCTGTGCAAAAAGTTAACCTCCGGGCCGGGCTGGGCGCTTATGAACAGCACGTCACGAAGAGTTTGTCCGATGGACTTCTCTATGACGGAGACAGGACGGGGCCAGGCTGGGCGATGTAGGCCTGATGTCTTTGATACCACCCTTGGCATTTGGAGGTCCTCCTTGGCTTGCATTCAAGTGAACAGTGTCACGTGATTGGACTTGGCAATAGGGGGTCTCCCTGGCTTGGCTGATTTTCCGGATGAACCTCTTTCAGAAAATTGAACTAACATTTGGGTATTGAACAGCAATTATACATCCGCGTACCTTCCTCTGCTTCAAACGATCATACAAATTCCAGCTCCTTCGGCTTCGAATACCAATCACAGCAAGAAAACCTCCATGCTCCCTTGTGCTTTGGGAGATACAACCATCGGAACATCAAAGCAGCAAACCATGGAAATGGTGGCCATGTTTTCGCGTGATAGGGATCTTCAAAAGTGTAGTCGAGACAAGTCACGGCGATTGGGATTTCGAACTCCTGTCACATATATTAGAACTTGGGTTTCCAACGGTAGCAGGTTTGCTAACCGTCTCAGCGCCATCGACTGCGAGCTTTTGAACCTTCTTATTCCAGGCTGGCCAATCAATCTTTAATTTCTCCAGCTCTTCGAAAGACGTAATCTCTTCCTTCAAGTGCTCTATCAAAGCAGTCCCGAACGCATCAATAAGCGAGCGCACTTTTGCTCCATCATATTTTGCCTTTTCCTCTCTTAGAGCTTTCACGTAGTCTTCGAAGGCCTGGAGACCTGGGGCAAATCCATGATGCTGCTCCACGTTCTTGTCCAAGGAGCATTTGACCTCAGCATTCAGCTCTTCTAGCCATGGGAAGTAGAATTTCTCCTCGTTTCCATGGTGCTCATGGATCGTGACCAAGAATGCATGCATGAAGGTGGCAAAATCGGAAATATCCTTCTCAAGCTTGACGTTGGGGGCTTGAAGATAGATGCAGTTTAACATGCGGATGAGCATGTTGTGGACCAGGCACATCTCGGTTGCAGCAGCCAAGGCTCCAGGCTCCTTCTTGAGGTCTTTGATCTACATAAATCAGCGTCTGGAAGCATCAGAAGATTTGGAAAATAGTTACCCCAAGCCTTTTCCTGGGAGTCTCCATAAGTTGGAAGGGGCCATCTGCCCACTGCTTCGTGATCTTCGTTGGCTTTTGACCCATTTTGAAGGTGGTGAGCGGAAGAGGGTAAGTTGAAGAGAGGCAGTCGGGCCAGAGAAAGGACTAAATACAAGGAGACTCGAGCCTTCTTGTACCCTTTGGTGGCGCCCCTGGTTAAACATCCCCACAGCAGCAACTGGTCTATTGAAATCTCGAGTGATGTAGGATTGGGGCGTGTTACGCGGTTGGGATTAGCGCTTACCCGCCGCTGTTCACTCATCCCGTTGAAGGAAGACTGCCTCCGAGAATATCTCTCCAATGGCAATATCTCGGATCCGAAGGGATCAATAACTGTTTGAAAGAAACTTAATCTCATTTGTTGGCACGGACCGGCGAGCTGTGGCAGCTTCAACCCGCCACTTGGGGGCCATAAACGTGGCAACGGAACATCCTGTACTGCGTATTACCGTATCGACAGCCTCTCAGATCCTCCACTGTCCACACATCCCACACACACTCCCGTCGACAGTACGGGGCCATGGTAGTGAGATACCAATCGGATCCTCCGTTGTGAAGAGGGAGGAGAGACGACGGAAAGGAGAGATGAAAAGAACATGCAAGTTCGGATGAAAATGAAAAGGAACGAGAGATCTGGATCACATGATGTCGTGCGAAACAACGCTAAGCCCTATGAGTTCGCGTTCCTGACTTCAGTTCTTTCCCCAACGTCCCTCGCAACTTCCATTTCACAACACCATGGACAGAATAATTGACAAGCGCTTCGAGCGCGTAGAAAAGGCACTGGCAACTCTGATTACCTCCATCTCAACCTATAATCCAGCACCCGCTCTTGCCAACGACCTCGTTTCAGCCGACACAGAGCTCAGCCAGGGCCTTGAACAATGTGAGCTCCTCCCCCAGCTGGCCTTCTTCGCAGACTGACCATTGCACACAGTATCAACACATCAATCCAACTATTCCAAGATCATGGCCCTGCGCGCTACATCCAGCGAACTCGACACCCAGATTCGCGAAACCCTCAGCCTCTTAACAAAAACCCGGAGTGAGCTCCTAGCAACGCCATCAACTAACTACCCATCGAGCACAAACCCAGTTTCCTACTCCGAGCTACTCTCCTACGCCCGCCGAATCAGCAAATTTACCCTGCCGCCCAACTACCGAGAGCCAGAGGCGCAAACAGAACAAGCGGAAGCCGGGATAAATACCCCAAAGGAAAGCAAGTCCGAAACACAAACGAACGGTACTACGACTCCGGTCGCTGCGACAAACGGAGTTGATAGCCAAACCCACCTAGCAACAGCGATGGAGATCGATGGTGCAACACCAGCAGCTACGCAATCGCAAACGCAAACATCGCAAGCGACTTCAACCGCGAAAACGAACACCGCAATGTGGAGCCAATACCTGAATCCCGCGGACGCGCAATTTGTCCCCTGGCCATCAGAAGAGACGATTAGGAGGGGTGCGTTGGCTAGTATCCAGATTCTGGTGGATCAGGGGGTTGATCTGAGTACGTTTGATCCTGAGAAGAGTGCCGAGCTGGAGGCGGAGAGGAAGAGGGTTGAGGAGGAGCAGGAGCGGCTGAGGGAACAGGAACGTGCGAGGTTGGAAGAGGAGAGGAGGAGGGAGATGGAGAGACGCATGAGTGTCAGTGGGGCTGTGCCTGAGAGGAGGGAGGAGCAGCCGAAGGTATTTCAGTTGGAGACTTTTGATGATGAGGAGGATGATTATTGAGGGCGTCATCTTCGATGGATGTTGGGTTAATATCTTGGCATATTGGTCCTGCTTGGCGGCTGAACGAGAAGATTCATGAATCACTTGGTCGTGACAATGAACCTGAATCTCTTCTGACATTGGAAACGAAATGTACCTAACATTTCCGAATATGCAACAACTCCATATTGTTCTCACTCCCTATCAAATTTTGACTTTTACTTTGCCATATAAATCACCAAATCCTGCTTCTTCTTTACTTAACCACCCGTGGGCGGAGCACTTCACCATCAGGAGCCTGGGTCAAGCAAAGCCTCACTTTTCTCCAACACAAACCACCCTGCATGTAGCATCTCAAGTGCCCGACCAAAGGGAGCTTTTCCCCACATCACTATTGCTCGCGATACCATAAGGCGACATTTGCTGTCAAATTTCGTCAGATTGTCAACTCTAGTTTCGATGTCATTATCCCAACCGTCATCCCCTCCCTACCCTCCCTGCTAAGAAATTATGGAAATCATGCTATCGATGCCTCCTTAGAAGAAAAGCTACCTGCGAAATACAGCAAGTTGCAAGTCAGCGTTGAGTGCGTTTGTATCAGTGAAAGAGACAGATCTAGCTCGACGACGAGCGGGTAGAGGGGCTAATTGGAGGCTTGGCGCGTTCCTTGTACTCTTGTCCTCTTCTTCGCGGCATTCCAGATAACTAAAGAAGCAGGCTCTGGGTTTCGAAATGAGGATGTTCTGTTGTTGGTGGGACAACGAGTAGTGTACAAGTGGCCAGTGAATCAGGAAGTTTTGCGGTCGCTGAATGAGTTTCATTATCTCTACAAAGGCCTACATTCTACTCCAAATCCAGAGCACTCTTAAAACTCCGGCTTGCTCTTGCTCATGAAGCCCCTATACCACACACCGCCAACCATTTATGCCTTCGCCAAAGCCACCTCGGCGGTCTCGCTAACCTCCAGCCTACTTACACCATTCACCACCGGATTCTCACACTTTCTGGAGGTAGTTGTATCCCCAAACTCATCCGTCCCCACTCTTTCCTTCAACTCCTTAAACCTCCCACCCGGATGATTCGTTGGCAGTATCTTCACATCCTTCTTCCTCCTCAGATTCTCGCGGAAAGTACCACCTGGCACCGCGTAGTCTTTCCACATGATGCCTCGCTCCATGAGCATGGGGATGAGGAGTTCTACTAGATCTTCGTAGGATTCAGAGTTTAAGACGTCTGTTTTTCGTTAGCTCGGTCAAAAGATGATTCAATATAGGGGAGGGGATGCTTGCAACTCATAAGCAACGTTGAGCCCATCAATATTCGCTTCGTTTACGAAGCTTTCGAAAACATCCGCAATGCTCTCCGGCGTCCCCACATACCACTGTCCACACCTACAAAACGCAAACGCATGTCCCAGCATTCTCAGCGTTAGCAGTTTCCCCTCATGCCCCGCGTAAGTCTTCGCGCACGCAATCAAGCTATGAATCGCACTACTCCTATCCTTCAGTCCCTCGACATCGAACGGCTCATCCACGGGACACTTTGAGAAGTCAACATTCATGAAACTCGAAATGGTAGCAAGGCCTCCTTCCCAGCCAGCGTTCGCTTCATACCTGTCATCTAGCGCCTCTTCCATCGCCCTCCCCACAATCGGCACAATCATTGGGAAGAAATTGACATCTGTTGCTGCCCTGCCGTTCTCAATGGCTATAGCGCGAACCTCGCGCACGAACTTGGCGAGTTTCTTCATATCCGTGCCACCAGAGAAAGTAGCCTCCACATGCTTGCCCGCAAACTGCTTTCTTGACTCGCTGGCTGATCATTCGGCTCGGATAACTATAAAAGTGGGATCTCAACCTCCCCTCACTCATCACAATAGATATTTTTATTGACCGTCTGTATAACTTAAGAATCCCAGATCGCCTCACTCGAGGCTCACCTGAGGCCCAAATCAGCTCACAGGATAGAACAATCCGGGGCTGGGCCGAGAAAATTAAAAATCCATATTTTTTCTACCATACAAAACACAAGTACCGAACCAAATCAAATTCAACCTCCAGGTCGCGGATGTCACGGACGCTCACGCGCACAGAAATGCAAAACGGTTTTGCTTGCAGCTTGTTCGCACCTATTGTACACTCTGATTTCATCATATCGCTCTCGCTTTCTATCGAGTCCTCGAATCCATTTCTGTTTCCTGTTCCGTATCCTCGTTTCTCGTTCGGTTTTCATGAATCCTTTAATCGATCTTGATAGATCCGTAGATCTTGTACACGAATGCCCAGCTGGCGAAGAAGCCGATGGTACCTGGGTTGAGTTAGCGAGATAACCTAGAAAAGAGGGACAGTGGCGACGGGAAGAGAAAACATGCCAGTCAGAATAAAGAACAAGAATGAAATCAACCCGCTGTATCCAATGTACAGCACCGTTCCTGCCAGACCACCCAACTGCAACTTCGTGACCAAATAAATGAGGGCGTTCAAGAACACGTAGAACGCCGAAGCACCAGCCGTCATGAACGCTCTCCAATGCCAGTGGTAGTTCTCACTGCAGAGTAGGAAGTAAACCATGAGTACAGTTACTGCCGCGCAGGTAATAATCATGAGGCCGTAGCAGAGGAAGAGGAAGCCGAACATGTAGTAGACTTTGCTGAACCAGATGGAGGACATGATGAAGTATAGCTCGACAAAGATTGCTCCGAAGGGAAGGATACCGACAAGTAGCATGGAAGGGATGGGCCGCATGTAGGTTGTGCTTGGTGGGATTTGGCGGGGGATTTGATTGGTTCGGACCGGAGCCTGGAAAGCTGGTTGGCGGAATCCGACCCAGCTGCCAGCGAAGGATAGGGGCACTGAGATCAGGAACCAGATTCCAATGATGACAATCATTGTAGTGAAAGGAACGGCGCCAGATGACTCCTTGGCCCAGAGGAACAGATTAAGAAGGAAGAAGGTGCCAAATACAATTCCTGGGACGAGGAGAGGCGTGAGTCCAATGTTGAGCTTCCAGCGTTCGCCTCCGAAGGATTTATAGACTCGGGCCGAGACGTATCCACCGATGAACCCAAGGACCGTGTACAATAACACCATTATAGTTCCAAGAGATCCGCGATTTGACGGCGAGAGGAATCCAAGGAGGGCAAATGCAATCGTAAAGCCGGTCATGACAAAAAGCTGAGCTCCGTTTCCAAGGAACACACTCAAGATGAGCGGGGAACCTGGAGTACGGAAAACATCTCCGTGTACAAGCTTCCATCCCGAGTCTTCCTGAATTCCATCATCAACGGCAGATGTTCCAGACAGATCATCGAGATTGATGTTGTCGAGACGGTTGTACCTTGCAATATCCTTCCTCAGGGCTCTCAGAAGGATCGAGACGACCGTGAATACCAAAAAGACAACAATAATAGCGGAATTGATGAGAGAGAACCAGTGGATCTTGGGGTCGAAGACATGCAAGTATTTGTCCCATCTGGTAGCCCAAGCTGTGGTGGACTCGTACCACAGAACATTGTAGGTGAAGGCAACCTCAGTTTGTCCCTTCTCGTCTAAAGTCACTGGCCGCCCTCCTTGACCACAGTGATTAGCCTCCGCACCTTCGCCATTTCCACTCAAAGCGCTCGATCTCGAACTCGGTTGCACAATAACCCCTACGACTCGGAATTCACCCGGGCTAACTGTATGGTAGTCAATCAGAATATCGTAGTGGTTGTTTAGATGCACGCTGGTCGCATCACTACTTCCCAAGGCAAATCCTTGGCTATAAAACCGAGTCTTCGTGACCTCCTCCTCAATCAATTGTCCAGCTGGTAGCCCATCCACCAGCCAATTCAGCGCATACCCTGCTGCGATCTTATGGTTCACCCACTTAGCAGATGCGACATCGTATATTGATGTGCACAATGCCTTGCAAGTCTGGTTCTTCATCATAAGGAGCTCGAACGGGGATGTCATTATTCGATCTCCAAACAGGATGCTGCCCAGACTCTCCGAGACATATTCGGCCTTGGGTTCTGGATGGCAGAAATGGAATGCTGGGTGGTAGTAGTCGAATGCCAGGACGGAGCGCAGAGTCCCGTCCTCTTGCGAGCCGACTGCTGTGAGATGGTTGACGTGCAGAGGGACTTTGACTCCTTCTTTGTATGATTTCGGCGCAACTCCTGGCAAATAGAACGCTGTTGATACGTCTGGAATCGTGAGGAAGGCCGCGAGGATCGCCGCGGACGGCGAGAGGTCTCGCAAACGCATCTTGAAGGGTATCTAATATTTGAAGCTCGAGTGAGTGTGATGTTGAGGTTGGAAAGTCGCAGTGTCCTTCTTTGACGTATCTGGGGGCCTAGAGCTTACGAGTCGTGAAAGAACAGCTCAGGTTGGCATTAAATGCCACGAATTGCACGCTCAAAGACTACTATTCACGCATGTATCGATGTATCTCGCGGTAAAGTGTGGATGTCTCTTGACCGTGAATGATTGTTGTTGCGAAGCAGAAGCATTAGACGGGGAGGTTAAAGGGGAGCTCCAATAATTCTAGACGGAGCTGAGTTATCTGGCTCTCGGAACGGATAAATATTTCACCGAGCCGCCTCTTTTCCTCGAAAATTCGAGGCCGAAACTTCACACCACCACATCACAACACAACATGGCAACCACGACTTCTTTTCCAGCACTGCTGGAGACGCTCACGCAAGCACTGGAATCTGCCTCTGAATCCACAGAGAAAATAAAATCTCCAATTCCTCCCAAAGACGGCATTTCCCTCCTTGACGTTAAGAACGAACTTTTTCTCTCTTACCTCCAAAATCTTGTCTTCCTCATAATCCTCAAGCTACGAAATCGAAAAGCGGGCAACGATGATGACGGCGAAGACTTGGATGGCTCGGTTGTGAAAAAGCTGGTCGAGTTACAGGTCTATCTGGCAAAGGGTGTGCGACCATTGGAGGGACGTCTGAAATACCAAATCGACAAAGTTCTTCGTGCAGCAGACGATGCGAAACGAGCCGAAGATGCAACGAAAGCCAAGACCAGTGGATTGGCTACTCGTAAACAAGATGATGACGAGGAGGATTCAGAAGAGAACAGAGACAGCGACGAGGAATCTACGAAGGGGGTAATGCTGAAAGCTTCCGAGATTGACGACCTGCAATACCGACCCAATCCTTCAGCTTTCATTCGCCCTGCTGCTGCAGTTGGAGTAGATTATAGAGGCAGATCAGCAGATGGGATTTACAAGCCTCCGAGAATACAGGCTACGGCAATGCCTACGACAGGTCCGCGAGAGAAGGAAGCTAGGAAGCCGAATAAATCTGCTACTTTGGATGAGTTCGTCAGCACAGAGTTGTCGAGTGCGCCGTTAGCAGAACCAAGTATTGGATCAACGATTGTGGACCGTGGTAGGACTCTGAAGAGCGAGAAGACGAAGCAGGAGGAGAGAGAGAGGAGAGAGTATGAGGAGAGAAATTATGTGAGATTGCCGAAGGAGAGTAAGAAGGATCGGGCAAAGAAGGGAGGGAGGAAAGATGCTGGTTATGGTGGGGAGGAGTGGAGAGGCTTGGGTGAGGGTATTGATCGGATTGAGAGGTTGACAAAGAGAAAGGGCGGGGAGCCAAGAGGTGCTTTGGAGAAGAGTCGGAAGCGACCCACTGAAGATGGACCTAGAGGTAGCGGTGGTATTGAGGCTGGCCAAGGCTTCCAGAAAAGACTGAAGACGCTGGACGGTGGAAGGAGAGATAGAGGGAGAAGGTAGTCCACAGAATCAACACGATGTTTCACATTATCCGAGGGGTCTTGATCAGTCCGTCAACTTCTCGCTTTCCTTTAGGATACTTACCACTAATACTCTCTCAAAGAATCAGGCTACGGCCTCTCAAATCGGTTCGAAATATCGAGCCTCAACCTGCCGCATGAGCCTACACAGTCTATCCCCACACTTTTGGGTGCGCCTCCGAGGTCTTTGGGCTAAAGTTTGAATAGAATCTCATAGTCACTACGTTACTCGTAGGGTTTCAGGGGCGGAGTTAAGCACCGCCACATTGCTGGCGTCTACCTGCATTAAACACCAACCCTTGTGGCTCTGCAGTATTTTGCTTCGGAAGGCTCCAGCTGGATGTCCCCATGTCACAGGTACATTGAGTGATTTTTCATGAATTGTCATTTGCCCCTAGACGCTGGTCGGAGAAGGCACTGATCGTCGTACTAGATAAAAAGCACTTTTACTGTTCGCTTACTTATCTCCTTCAAGACGACTTCAAGATATCTTAAAGGGCACCTCTCAGACAGTGAAAAGGCGAAGGCAATGCAAACAAGTGCGACCGAATATCCTCGTACATTTAACGAGAATGACGCTTGCTGATGCGAATGGGTTGGGACTTTGAATTATCGGGAGTGAACAAGCGTGCCGTCCTTTACATTTTGTTGCACATTTCTATGTACCACTGGATTCTCTGTCGCCTTAAGAACTTTGATTCAAGTTCTTCCACACCTCCCTCACCACGATAAGCTACTTCACGCAACAGGGTTCGCTGCCAAAAATGCATTGACACCCCCTACGCAAAGCACATCATCAAACGGGTTCTGTCCCGGTGCAGAAGGCGGCAAATCCTCAGTATTTATGATGATCACAAAATCCAGGCCATCCCATCGCGACTGGGCGAATGACATAGACCCGGAAGTGTGACCTTTGTGGGAAGATACCGGGTTCGGAACGCGGCTGACACGGAAGGAGGGACGTGGGCCGATACCATTGACCGCTATGATTCAATCAGTTGGAGAGTCTTGATGGGAGAGAAGGTATATCGTTAAGGAAAGATGAGAAAATGTACCATGCGTCCCGATAAACCTCACAATAGTACTCGCACTACTGGCCAAACTCATCGCCCCGAAATTTGCCTCCTTACACATTCCATCCCCACCAAACACAAACGCCATCTCATTGTATGTCTGCGGGGTCATTGCTCCAATACCCGTCCACTTGCTCTCCTGCGTGACAGGGTCATTGACATGCGCAGTCGACGCAGTGGCGTATTTCCTGACATCGTACGACCCCGGTAGCAGAATATGGCTGTAGAGATAGTCGTAGTAAACCTGTCCCGAGATATGCTCGATCACGTATGAGAGAAGGATGTATCCATAGTTAGAATATGCAGTTGCCGTTCCAGGAGCATAGTCCAAGGTGCGGCCAGTCATGCAATTCACAATGGCGGCCGTGTTAGTTGGCCCGCAACTGGTAATACCGCCAATGTTCGTCGAGCAGGAGATATCGTAGGCAACGTCACCATAACCGAGGTTACTGCCATCGTAGTCGTGCAGGTCAGTACCGCCTTGGTGTGCGAGCAGTTGAGCGACAGTGACGTCTTGGAGGCGGGGATCGGGGGTATTTGTGATTCCGAGTAAGGGGTAGACTTTCGTCGTGGGAGAGAGCTGATTTGAGTCGTAGAGAAATTGAATCGCCGCCGAAAGGTAGATTTGGGAAAGGTTGGCCATGAGGAAAACATCTGTTGGAAGTGTAGTATGCCGAGTTGCTTCGCTCCACGAGTAGGCTCTTTCAAGCAAGATATTTCCAGCTTTGCCGACAGCGAACTGAGCTTGGCGAACGCCAGTCTTCTGCATGAATGACTGCATCATGGAATCAGCTGCTGCTTGAGCCACTGCGTTGTTTTGGAATCCGATTGTGCTGCCGGTTGCCCACCAGCTTCTAGGTGTGGGGATGTCGTGTTCAGCAAATATGGCCGCGAAAAGAGTCGAAGAGCCTGTTCCTCCTCCCAAGACATGAATTGGGAATCTTCCGGCTGCTTTTTGGGTAGCATTTTGGGCTGCAAGTTGTGAGGCTGTCATGCCGTAGTGACAAACCCACGATCCGACGTCGGTGTCTGTGAAAGCGGATTCGACCCATTGATTTTCTCCCATGGAGAGTGCATATGGACGCCAGAAAGGCTTGATGACTTCGCTGTTGAAGACTGTTTGGAAGTTATCAACGCCTCCACGTACCTCTGCCATCCACTTATCGTATTGATCATTGTAGTAGTAAACTGTGCAGTAGAGTTGATTCTGCCCTCCAGGACCGTATTCCGTGATGGCTTTAAGAATATATCGATTTTGCTGCGCGGTCTGGATTCCCACCTTCCAATCGGCCCATACAACCCCGCAGCTTTGATACCAGTTCGTCACCCCATTCTTCTTCATTACGGCGGCAAAGATGGGGTTTGATGCTGTGCCGGTAGTGCTAAGCAGCGTTGTGACAAAACCATTGGCGGCATTGGTATTGAACCATGTTTGGTAGGTGGCTGCATCTGCTTCGTGGATTGCGAGGCCCGGAACGTTGGACCCAGACTGCGGTATAACGGTGATTGGGAGGCAAATCATATACATTGAGGGAGACCATTCGGTAGCCAGCAGCGAACCATTTGTTGAAATTTGTTTGATGCTGAACAGCGGTAACATCAATGTAAAATTGATAAACTGGTGTCCGCTTCACCAAAGATGAATCTCGGGCGGATATTTCTGCCGGAAGAGCTGTGCTGAGAGCGATGAACCATCCCAGAAGGCCAACCAGGAGGTTGGGCTTCATGGTGATGACTGGGGTCAGGATTTCAACCGAACGACTGGATTAACAATTATGCACACTTTAATGCAACAATACAGAAATTAAAACAATAGGCAAACCAAAAACAGGGGAAAGACTGTGAGAAGAGACAATGGAGGAAAGAAGGACAATTCTTCAAGAAAATCATTAATTATCATAACCTTCACCCATACGAGATACGAGGTCGCTCCATTTCGGGACCTGCCTTCCCGCGATGTCTTATACTTTAAATTCGCTCCGAAAGGCTGCCTGGAAGCGATGTCGAGGACTGGATCAGGAAGTCTCAGCCCCAGCCGATCCCCGAATCGTAGAGAGCGTCATTTGGTAAAAACATTCAGCCATTCCACGAATCGCTATTGTGGAAATGGAAAGACAATTTCGGGACCGTTGGCCGCATTCCTCCTTCTCATTTTGTCCCAAGGCTGACTAGTAGGGAAGCGCAAACGCTTAGAAAATGGTTTCAAAAAAGTAAGTAGTTTTCTAAAGAAAGGTTTGTATTTTAGCTCGCGAATAGAGGTGGCGTAAGGGGCGTCCTAATTAGGCATAGCCCTTCCCCTTAAACACTAAACAAAAATCCTCTTTCCTAATGCAACCGACCATTAATTCCAAGCTCGTGAATATAATTCATCGCGGGGATATCACACTTGGGTCGCCATGCAACTTGGAAAGTTCTCTTAAAATGTCTTACGGATGATTCTACAGCGATATGGTTGTACAATGCATTCTAGGGCACTTCAGTAACAATTGATGAGTGGTAATATTGGAGAAACACATTTTCCCACGATAATTTCGTAGTGATCTAGCAAGGAAAACTGGCAATTCGTGGGCTGATGCACACGTGATCGTGGCCCCCTTTCCTCCTCCCACTCGCTTATGGTACCCCCTTTTCAGCCACGGTTCAGAATTCCCCAACTCTGGATTCTGGGTGCAACCTATTCGATACTGACGATAATTAGATAGAATGAAGTCAACAATTTATTTTTAGAATTACTTAATCCCGTCTTGTCAACTTAGAACCGAGTACTTGAAGTAATTTTTTTCACGGTGTAATAAAAGGCTGCACTCCTTCTTCTTAAAGTTACATCTTAACATCGCTATTCCTCTTCAAGTCTTCTTGGTGCAATTTCTTCACATCTTATACCTAAGTTTCTTGTTTTCCCGATCCGTTTTGTCAGAAAAGGCATCGATCAACTCCTCCGTCGCATCCGCTCCCTCCGCGCCCGCAGGATCCAAATCCCGTCTCTTATTCTCCGCTTGATACACAAAGTATAACGATACAAACAACACAATATTGATGCAAAACGCCGCCAATGTGACAGCAACACCAGTCCCATATCTCGGCGCCTGAGACGACAGAAATGTTTGCGGGCTCACAATATTCGCCACCGCGTTCGCAGAAAAGAACAAGGCTCCAGTTACAGATTTTTTGGTGTACCCGGCGATGTTGCTGGCGAGCAGGGCGTAGAGAAGCCCGGCAGAGGTCGCTACGACCGGAATGATGGTTATGGCAAACAGGTGCGCCTTGCGAGTTGAAGATTTTATGGGGCTGAGGTAAAGGATAAGGCACGAGGCAATTCCGGGGAGGTAGCAGAGGATTATGACGAAGATTCGTTTGCCTTCGCCCCATCTTGAGGAGAGGAAGAAGCCAGCGAGAAGCATGGAGGTGGCTTGAACTAGGGGGTGTCAGCTAGGGGGGCTTTGAATGGTGAGTGGAGGGAACGAACCTATGCCCGGTGGGATACTGAGGAGAATGGATTCATCGACGCTGTACCCGAGTCCTCGAATCACCAATCCAGAAAACTGTTTTTGATAGAAGTATCAGTTATCTGCTTCCGTTATTGTGCACCAACAATGCCGACTAATGAGAAAAGAGAACAGAACTCACATTTGTTTGGAGAGAATTGGTCATATTGTGGAAGAAGATTGCAGCAACCAACATCCAGACTTTCAGATCCTTAAGGGCTTCGAAAACTTGGTACTGCTTGTGATGAGTATTCTTCACGCCAGTCTTGTTCGACTTGAGACGTTCGACGGCAATGACCCGTTCACGCTCAGTAAGGAACTTGGCTGTGTGAGGAGAATCTGGAAGGATCCACCAGAGTGTGCTTCCGAAGCAGACCGTTATGAGACCAAGCTTCATATCTATTAGCAAGTTGTTGATCACACAGATAGCTAACTCACAATGATAAACATCCATTGGTACGGAAACATTTTGCCAACATGGATATGAGCAATTCCAAAGAATATCGCGCTAAACAATGTGTCAGTGGAAGTCCAGGAAGTAAGAGAGTGACAAGATAGACCAACCCGCTGGGAGCTCCAATTAACCCATTAGCACAATACCAAAGAGCAACACGAGCAGACTGTTCCTCTCTCTTCCACCACGACGAGGTTATCAGGACAAAGCCTGGATTCAAGCACGATTCGAAGACTCCGAGGAAGAATCGTCCGACAGCAAGCGTAGCAAAATTGGTTGCAGATCCTGTTGCAGCAAGTGTCGCACCCCACAGGATGAAGTTGATAGCAATGTACTTCCCGGTTGGGAACCTTTGCATCAAGATGTTCGTGGGGTATTGGGCGACGAGGTACCCGATATAGAATATTGAGATCAAGAGTGAGAATTGGGCTCCAACGAGCTTGGCTTCTCCGATAATCCCATATGTTGCTGCGGCAGTGAGAGAGTTTTTGTCAATAAATTGGAGTCCGTCTAGGTATCGGCAAGGCCTGGTTAGCTTAAGAATTAGAGACCAAGAGAGAAAAATCTCACTGATTATGAGCATCAAAATACACATTCGATAATCGATCTTTCTCAAAAGACTCTTCTCCTCCTCGGGAGAGTATGGCTCGTAATGAGTATGAAGCACTTTCAATGCCTCATCACCATCAAAAACCTTCTCATTCAAGTGATGAATCTCAGATTGATGTGTAGCGACAGCTTCAATATCAAGAGGCGGTGCCATCTCGACCTCTTGAGGGGGCTCTTTGCCGGTGGCCATCTTTCCGTTTCTACGGGTTGTGTATCTTGTGTTGCAGAATGCAAGTCAAGAAAGGTTGCCAAAGTTGATTCCACACGACAGAATCAAATAACCATTTCAGTATCTTTATACGAAATGAGATTTTTGCGAGTGTGGGCCCTTAGATTCGCGTCCACTGCAAAGATGGCTTTTCTCATAACCGGGGACGGCATAGGCGGGGTATGCGGAGTAAGGGGGTCGGGGGAAAATTATTACCCACAGAAGCGGAGACGACAGGCTCAAAGGATACTCGGCCAGCTAATAAGTTATGTCTCCGCCCTCGCTCTGTGCAGAATGTCCACATTCCACAACCTACAATGCAGGTGCAGGTCTGCTCAGTGGGCCAATAAAAGCCTTTGTCTCCTGCCGAGTCTAGGTGCCGAAATTCTGGCAGCCCCTAACCTTATTTGCTGCGATTATGCCTCCCGCTGCCGAGGCTGCACGAACCACTCTCTTGTCCTCCACATCGGGGAAACTTTCTCCAACCATTCCCCACATACTTCCCGCATTACATATTTGAGTCCACTTTTAACGATCTGCTTACTAAAACAGAAGCTGGTCATGAAAAAGCTCATGGAGCCTCTCCTACTTAGTCACTGGGGCGGATATTCATTTTAGCGTGTCTTGGGGGCACAGAGGGCTTCCTGCCAATAGCTGAGTGTAGAAACCCGAACCCCAGGAACTGCCGCATTTGGAGTAGACTAATGGGTCTTTGAATATTAGCCATCTAAGGAGGCTGGATAGTCCTTACAAATACATAAAGCTATCTTCCTAATCTAAGTTATACAAAGTTATACTGAGCTAAAGGACGCCAGTAAGGGTAACTCGACGCCTCCGCTCAACCAGTTATTGGCGTAGGCTTATTTGGGTACTGGAGAGGCATAGTTACTACTCGTATAGGCCTGGCCGGCTGACTTAGTAACCAGATTGCACTTTTAAGCGATTTCAGTCTCGTCGTCGCAATAATTCTCGGTAGAATCCATTGAGCGGTTGGATATCAAAAACGACAGTCGGATACCTTGGTTTCTCTAGATATCTTATCCGCCACAGCTTGCTGTCCAGCAAAGGCACTTATCTCGGCTTCAGGTGAGGCGCGGGATACTCCCGCGTTGGCGCCGGCGCGCCTGTTCTCTGCACTGAATTTTGTGCAAGGTGCGCATGCTCGGTCTGCTCTTTATAGAGAACGAGCATTAGAATTTCAAGTGTAGCTTTACAAGTTTTCCTACCCATCACAAAACATGCCTGCAAAGATCGAACACCAGACCCCCTCACTCAGTTGTTCCATAATTGGGGAGGCCGAGGACGGCATAGCTTGCTTTCGAGGCGTACCATATGCCACAGTTGACAAGCGGTGGGCGCACAGCGAAACAAAGCATTCTCTCGAATCTCCATTTGACGCGACGAAATATGGGCCTCGATGCCCGCAAGGAGAGGGTCAGGTTTTGGTAACAGGGGGTGTCAACGACCCCGTTCCAGGCGACGATGAGTTCAAGTGTTTGAACTTGAATGTTGCCGTACCACAAGAAGCACTAAAAACAAATGCTGCACTTCCTGTTATGGTATGGATTCACGGGTATGAAACTCCTACTTAGACCCTCAATTTACCTCTCACTTCGTGAGCTTGAAGAGACTTTCATTTCAATTCCGTTGCTACCATTACTTACTTCTTCAATAGCGGTGCGTTCAATTATGGAGCTAATTCCGTTGCACGATACCGGCCAGTACAATTATCTCTCCTTGCGAGAGCGCAAGGAACTCCGGTAATCGTTGTCCAGATTCAATACCGCCTCGGCCCCCTGGGCTTCTCTGCAAGTAACGACATTCGTTCCGCACAATCACCGCCTTCTTTAACCCCGTCGGGCGATCTGGACCCAAACTCCACATTCGGTAATTTTGGCTTCGTGGATCAAATACATGCCTTGGAATGGGTGCGAGATCATATCGGCGACTTTGGTGGCGACCCCGCAAACGTAACTGCTTTTGGTGTCAGCGCTGGTAGCGCGAGCATTCACTACCACATCCTCACAGGAACTCCCCTTTTTGACCGAGCCATCCTCATGTCGGGCAGTGCACCTACTCTCGGACCATTGCCCGTTGAGTTGTATGAAACATCGTGGCAGAATTTCCTCCTGCAAACAGGCGGCTTTGAAGATTCGAAGACGTCTGTGGAGAGGTTAGAGAAAGCCAGAGCCCTGAGTCCACACCAGATAATCGAAGGCTTCAACTCAGCGCCTTTGGGTCCAATGGCGGATGGAGACTTACTTCCTCAGTCTTGGGCGTACAATGAGACTCAAAAAACTACCCGCTGCAAGGAAATCATCATTGGTGACACGAAGATCGAAGCCATCATTATGGACGGTCTCATCAACGCCATCCCACAGACCAGGTTTTCTCAATTAGTACACGACACAATACAAGACGGCGAGGGCTTCCTTCGCGCTTTTGATTTCATGCCCGACATGGATAAAACCGCATATCGTGATGCAATGCGCTGTTTTCTCTCCGTCGGCATGTTTCAATATCCCAATATTCTCGTCGCGAAAAGATTTCCGGGAAAGGTCTACTTTTATCATTTCGACGAGCCATCCCCGTACCCTGGTCCCACATTTGGTCTGCCATATCACGGCCAGTGTGCACTGTTTGTTTACCAAAATGGAAATGCCGAGTATCCTGTGGCAGCAAAAACTACAGCCGAGAGTATGGGGAAGATTTGGACTGCGTTCGCAAGCGGAAAGGCGGCACCTTGGGAGGAGTATAAAGTGGCGACGAGATTCATGCGCTTGGGTCCGAATGGAGAGTCCTCACTGCACACTTTGGAGACTGATCGCGTGAGAGAATATAATTGGATCGGGTGGGTGGACGAGAATTACGAGAGCCTCAAGCAGCTCACGAGGTACTTGACTGTTAGAGTATAGGTTGCAATATGAGTTAATCTGGAATGGAGTGATAACAAAACCTGTTGTTCCGGTTGGATTTCGCTCTCGGGGCTTGTCACCAGTTGGACGTCTCTGATGAAATGTTCTCCGAACGCTTCAAAGCATCAGAATCAAAAGTAGAGATAAATTCCAAAGAGACATTACTGTGTATTAGACTCTGCAAGAAACAATCATATAGATTTAGATTCGGAAAAATATGTGCGCAGGAAGAAGTTGCAGTTTTCAAGTAATGTGGATTTAATCGAGTTTCGGCCCTGCAGCTACATACGGAGTATCAAAGCCCACTGCGTCGCTAAATCAACCCGTATTTCCGGGGTCTACGGAAAGCCGTAAGGATCAGAAGACCAAGCGATTTTCGAATCTGGTTTTCGACCTTCAATGTCTGATTTGTGGCACGTGCGCACCCCACCAAAAATCACAAATACCTATACACCACGCCTATATATTATGCCCCCTCTCCCTGTGCCTCTATTATTACTTCAAATATTTCCTCTCTTTGATTCTCCTCGCTCTTTTTATAAGTATAAGGGTAAGAGAGGGAAGAAGGGGGGGAGGGCAGGGCAAGGGGACCTTACAAAAATTTACGTTGCAAAGCACTAAATTTTTAGTACCTATAGCCTATAATTTAGTAATTGTGGCCCTAAAATTTAGCGATAAGTAGCCTATAATTATAGGGCTTCCTTTTCCTCGCGAGTCGCATGCCTTAAAGCTCGCTCTTCGATTTTCGCTTTCCACTTTTCAACTTTCACTTTTCACTTTTCACTTTTCACTCGCCCTCCATCTCCTCCCCCTCCCCCCCACCCCCATCCCCATCTACCCCTCTCTTACCCCTCTCTCGTATATATATAAATAAGAATTAAAAAGAGAGTAATATTTTAAGTAGTAATAATAAGTAGAGGCACAGGAAGAGAGGGCATAATATGTAGGCGATTTTTGGTTGGGTGCGCACGTGCCACAAATCAGACATTGAAGGTCGAAAACCAGATTCGAAAATCGCTTGGTCTTCTGATCCTTATCGCTTTCCGTAGGGGTCACTTGCTTTCCCCGACTGTAAGTGAAGCGAACAAAGAAGGACGGACCGACTATTATGCGAAGGCTCAGGGCTGTGTAAAGACTGTGCGAAGGCTATGCCCACGACCGCAAGGGTTAGAGTTACATCGCAATTCACTTCAATCCTCAGCTGCGCATGAAGTATATATTTCACGAATGCGCGTCGCTTCAGTCAAGAGGCTGGTTTTCCCGGATACGCAACTGGCTGGAAATTGTCGTGTACGATGTCCGCCGAACACTCTCAGTCTACTCAGTACTCGTATATGCAGCCGGAAGAAGGTCAAATCCGGCTCTTGACTCTGCGACCAGGCAGCAATCAAGACGAACCCATCGAATGTGAGCTTTCCAGTTGCGAGCTAGGCAACGCTCCGTCATATGAAGCTTTATCCTACTTTTGGGGCACCAACCAGAATACTCGAGTTATTTCACTGCATGGCTCGACGTTTCGAGTACGGGAAGATCTTTACAATGCGCTATGTCGTCTCCGACAACGTCAAACAAGCCGGATTCTATGGGTCGATTTTATCTGCATCGACCAGAGCAACCAAGCCGAAATATATAACCAGATATCACGATTGGGAGATATATGCGCCAAAGCCGAGAGTGTCGCGGTTTATCTCGGTGAAGCGACAATGGCAACAGACCAAGCAATGGACTACTTGATGCAGATCAAGGAGGGAGAAACATCGCAAATCCCTCCCGGTAGAGTGGACGACTTAATACTTGAAGGTTTTCAAGATATTCTATCCAGACCTTGGTTTCAGAGGGCGTGGATACTCCAAGATGCCTTTAATGCCCGAGCCGCAGTTCTGCATTGCGGCTCCAAAGCTGTGTGTTCAAAGACCATGATCCGCGCATCCGAATTATTGCCGGGCAAGATAGCCCCTCTGTCACAACAAGTCTTGAACCTAATGCCCGGATCTAGAAGAGACGACCAAGCGGCTTCTAAATTTCAACTCTACGATCTTCTACAGCGGTTTCAGCACGCAAAAGCGACAGACCAGCGAGACAAGATCTATGCTATTTTGGGCATGGTAGATTTTGGGTATTCGAAGTCGGTGATCTTACCGGACTATTCCATGTCTCAGAAAGATTTGATGCGTGCAGTTATCGCGAATCTGTGCTTCTGCGAATCGAGTAGTGTTCCTGAGCCTCCATACGATACGATCAAGGAATTCTTAGCGAACCTTGATCCGATCGACAATGACATTCTAAAGAAGATTTTTGAGACCTCATTGGAAATCGATTTGGTATCTCTACTTCGACATGGATCACGTTATATCAGAATTGACCGCTCTCTTGTTGAAGCTGCAAGCCGGAACAAGACTAAAGGCGATGAGATGGTTGAGATTCTTCTCAGAGCAATTGGCCAGGAGAAATCAGCTTCCCTAAGTCCACCGGAAGCGTCATCAGTATTCTAGTTAGACGCAGATGGCGCTTTCGTCTCCCACTACCATTGCCAAGAGCGAGATTGCTCGCTATCTGATACGACGTTGGTGTTCGGATCTTGCCCCCATACAGCTATCACGAAAGGGTGGAATCGTTCGGACTCTGGATGAGCATGGAGTCGCCTGTAACTTATGTGGAATCGCACCATTCTCCTTTGACGGGTGCACGTAATTCAATGCTGGCTAATGTGACTGAGAACTCGCGAGTGACTCGTAGTGCGCCACATATATTCTGAAATAGGTATACGGAGTAGTTTCGAGGGTTGACTCATCACAGTGCTGTAGCCTGGTAGGCAGAGAGGTGTGGCGGCACAGGCTAACACTTTCTCGCTGTTGAAGTGGCAAAATAAAGGGGGGGAGGCAATGCTCTTCAGACGACTATCCATTTTTCAGTGATCTAAGGCCTTTACTTACAGACTTCCAAATGACTCTTATTACCCCTGAAAACCCTTGTTTAGCTGTAAACCCTTGTTTGGCTAAACAGTCAAACCAGCTGAACCTTAGCCATGCCTGCACAGCTGAATCGCCACTGGTAGCCTTTGACACCAATTTCCAACAGTCGCCACCTAGGGAGGGACGTTAATTGCAATGCATCACTTTATGGAAAATACATGATCTTAAAGTTGCTTCGAATTTAAAAGGTTACATAAACAGCGACGTGCCTGCTCAGCATGATAATCCAACTCGGCAGCAGTCTCCCATTGTAGAAACTGATTTCCAGCAGACATCCAGCCTTTAAGACCTGATTTCATATCTAAATCGAGAGCTGTTGCTGTGGAATATTGCCTGCAGTCCCAAGGGCCCATCAACATGGCTTTTGCCACCCTAGCTCGTCCTCCCTAGAAAGAGGCGACTGGGGACAAAACTTTCGTGTCTCGATATTCTGTGGACTATAGTTTTGCAGGAGATGGAAGGCGGGATCAAAGATACGGTGGCATGCTCCACTCGTTGTCATACTCTGCTCCTGTAAAAGAGCTATTACACACACTCGCTTTCGCAGGCTATGTTATACTATTACCTTTCGGCTTCCGTACTTAATTGCGGTTGAACGTTGTTTTTATAGTTTTTTAGAAGAAGAGGTACACGTCCGGGTAGTTACAACTAATAAAAGCTCCGCAGTTTACCCTAAGCTAAGGCCATAGAGGTGTTTCCCAGCCACCGTACGCAAGTGCCCGCAGTGTATACCCTAATATCACTCTACCCTTTATATAATTATTAGAGGATATAAGATATCTCTATTTAATACAGGTTTAGATATATCGACTCTATAGCTAGTAATATACTAGCCTTATAATATCGAGTATATATAAAGAAAATCAAAGTATAGTATATATTTAGTACTTCTTCTTTTTAGCTTATAAAACTTTATATAATATCTCAAAACTATTTATTTATTTATTATATATATTATAGCTAAAGCCAAAACTAGATTAAATAATAAGGAAATAATTATTCTTGTTTTTCTAAATATCTTTATAATTACTAGTATTATAAATAATAGTTATTAATTAAGCTATAAAGAATTATTACTTTATTAAATCTTGTATTCTTTTCTTATCTAATAAATAAATAAATATATATATATATTAATTATAAGAATAGTATTATTAATTCGAATTCGGAATAATAATAAAGAAGTTAATAATAAGAAAAAGATATTTAATATTATATAGTAATAATATAAAGTTCCTTTATTTCTTTCTTTATTTCTAAAGAGGTTTTTAAAGCTTTATTAGTAGTTATAAGTTTTTATAAGCTTTCTTTAAATTATTTCCAGATGTCTAAAATAATTCTTTATATCTTTTTCTTTAAGGAGAATTCCTAAAGAATTACTTCTAATAATTACTCGTTTAATCTTAGCTTTATAAACTGTTTTCTATTTCCTAAATATAAGACATAAGCTATAGATTTATAAGAAATATTATAAATAGATATTAAATAAGTTTCCCGGTATTTATATTTAATAGAACCTTTAAGAAATACCTGAAATATTCTATATTATAATAAGTTTATTTTATTTTATAACTTTAATAGCTTTATTAAAGAAATAATAATTTTACTAAAATAATAATTTTACTAAAATAATAATTTCACTAAAATAATAATTTCACTAAAATAATAATTTCACTAAAATAATAATTTCACTAAAATAATAATTTCACTAAAATAATAACTTTAAAGTATAATAAAACCTTGCTATAAGAATACTTAATATAAGAATATTCTCGATATAAGAATACTATTTTAGAATTCTAATAAAAATTAGCTTTAAGCTAAAAGTATTCTTATATATTTTTTATTTTAGCCTTAATTTTTTAATATATTATTCTTATAATAATATATATAATAGGCTAATTCATTACTTTTATTAGGCTTTTAGGCCTTTAGTGTTGGTACAGCTGTTCCTCTGGGAGTCACGTGCGTAGTCACGGGACACGGGACACGGGACATGGGCAATGGGCAATGGGACATGGGATACGGGACATGGTCATGTGACCTCGCGTCCCATTGGTGACTCGACCAGTAGACTAGACCCCTTTAGGCTTAGCAGATTTAGGGATCGCATATCAATACCACGATACTGCGATTCCTACTTCTGAATAACAACTTTACAAACCATATGCAAATAGCACTTCCACGCCTATGTAACGGTGCCATGCGTTCCTGGTGAACCGATACTAATCAGTTAGTACTTATAGATCAGGAAGGATTAAGCTGCGCTTGCCTAAGATTCGGTTGCTTAGGGGCAAAGCCATTGTTCCAGTCGAAGAGGGGATAACTGTCGATCCTGTTACCTGTAATTCGGTTGCACAGGCAGGAAAGATACTTGATCTTGCTAAAGCCCGATTATACTACGTTAAAGGGGGGAACATCTGTTAGTCCTATTACCTGTAATTCGGTTATATAGGCAGGAAGGGCACTTGATCTTGCCAAATACCAAAACGGTTAGTTATTTGACTATCCCATTCCATTCCCATTTAACTCCTATAAAACCCTCTTAAAAACCACCTTCTTTTGAACCCCTGGGGCTCTTGAGCTTTAGAACCGTCAAGTCCTCCCGGAATCTCGATATTTTACTCCTTAAATTTCACTTCCTAAATTTCTCATTATAGACGAAATTTTTATCTCGAATATAATACCTATTACGAATTACCTATTTTATAAACTATTCTCCTCCTTATAAACCTATCCTTCTTATAAACTACTATACCTCAAACTAGATATAAGTCTATAGAATATATAATAGCGGAATATACTATAGTAGATAATTCCTTTATTAGATCTATCTAATCCGATTACTCTATAAATAATAATAATTTTAAGGAATTAGTAAGAAAGTAGAGATATGGAATTAATCTAAACTCTATTAAGGCAAATGAAATAATTGAGTTTTTGGATATTAAGCTATTTTAATATATTCTCTATAAAATAGTTAATAATAACCTTTAGAAGCTATTTAAATATAATTTTAAGAACTTTACTTATTAAGGGAACTTTAATAAATTCGAATTCCCGGAAATACTATACCTATATAAGACCCTTTAGTATAATAGTATATTTATATAATAAAATAGTAGTACTAATACTATTATAAATACCTTATATACTATTATAAAGAAGGATAAATAGTATATATAATTAAACGAGGATATATTAGTAACTAGACTAGACCTTATTAAGGGACTAATCCTATTAGGCTTTATTATTCTTATAAAGAATAAGTACTTAGAACCTATTATCTTTAATATTTCTATACTATTATTACCTCTTTTATTACCTTCTCTATTACTATATCCTATATTTCTACCAGATTTATATACTAGTATAGAAGCTCTAGAAGTAAATAGTATACTTTTACTATTACTATTACTATAATTATATTCGAATAACCCCTAATTCCCTTTAATTATAAGACTTATTAGGGAAATTACTAAGATCTATACTAAAGAATAAAAGTATAATAGATCTAATAATAATTTTAATTATAAACTCACTATTTTTCTTGATATTTACTAATATATAGAGCTTCTATAAGAGGTACTAATGCGAGCTTTTCTTACTATACTAAAGAGACTAGCTTAAGACTATTTCTATAATAATTAGCTTTTTTAATATATATATAAAGAGGCTTATATTAATATTTATAGCTTTTTTAAAGGCTCTAGATTCGAATATTAAAATTTAGATAAGTGAAATATTACTATATTAGTTTCTATAATAGTTAAATTTCCGGAAAAGATAATATTTAAGATTATTTAACTACTAATTAATAAACTATATTAATTATAATACGGTTTTATATCTAACTTATAAAATACTAAATTTCTCTATAATAAGATTATTATCTCTTACTAAGGCTTCCGGATATATAGATATATAATTTCAGACCCTTCTATAAATCTCGGCTAGCTTATTAATAAGCTCTAGTTATTTATTACTATATATAAGAATAAATAATAAGCTAATTCCGAAACCTTCTTTACTAATTAATAATACTATTTTCAGAATTCTCTAAGCTATTATTCCTCCGGAAATCGTTAATATAAACCTAGCCGTAACTTCGGGACCTATAATAATTACTTTAAGCCCTGTAATTATAATAATTATATTCCGAAGTTATATTTTATATATAAGAAACCCGAATACCGCTTATAGAAATATATACTAGAAGAATAAGAGGTTGAGAAGGCTTGATTTAGGGATAGAAATATCTATTAGTTCAGATTCCGAAATACCTATAACTTTAATAAATGCTTTAGTAGTACTTATATATAGTATATTACTAAAGCTAAAGGCAAAGAAGGTAATAAGGGTAGTAAGAATAAACTAGTAAATAATGCTTTTAAGGCTTTATTAGTAGAAACGAATAAAGAAAAGAAATATTACCTAGATTCCTACTTTATTTTAGTTAAGAGCTTTTTAGCTACTCCTACTACTTTTGCTTTACTAATAACTATAGCTAATACTCTTATAAATAACCTTATTTCTCTTTTTTTTATATACTAGATAATAGGCGAAAACTATACCTTGAAGCTTATTAAACCCTTAATAGAAGATACTTAGACTTTTATAGTTAATAATATATTAAGATATAATACTTACTGCTTTTATAGAATTATAATTAATACCGGAGTCTCCAGATACTTAATTACTAGTTCTAACTAATTCCAAGCTTTTTAGTAGACTAATA